ATCATGTGTTATTATATATACGGTAGTGCAGCACACTCTAAATTCTACTTATATTAGCTACCTTCACCTTCAGATAGGTTAAGCTAATGTTAGCCTTTTTAGTGCTGCCGCTATATTTTACAGCTTTGTCTTCCTATATATTGTCATTGAAGCAGTAACCACCATCTAAGTACTTTTCGATTATAATTTGGCGGTTATTCCATGATATAAATTTTGGGCAGCTCGATGCGCTGAACGTTGAAAAAAAAACTGACAAAAAAATAAATATCTGAAATTTGCAGAGAAGTTCTTTATGGTAAGTCATGGTAGGATTGCAACTATTGTATAATACATTATACAATACATCGACATATATATGGAGTCATAACTACTTACAAAAGTTCAGATCATTATAGAAATAGCATCTTTAGCTTAACAAGTAGTACTTTTGTTCAAGAAATTGATAAATTAACGCTATATCTTTACAGAACATTTGAATAAATATTTCATTCCATATAGCCATCCCAAATATTCTTCAACTGCAACAATGTCAACTACAGACGATTTTGACATCACAGAGACATATCTAAAGTTTTTAGAGGAAGATTCAGAGATGACTATGCCTATAGCGGCTATTGAGGCACTGGTCACATTAGTTAGAGTTAAGAACCCAACAACAGCTGCGGAAGTCATAAACTTAATCAAATCTGGTGCTGAAGTTCTGGTTAAATCTATTCCAAACTCTGTATCTTTAAGAGCTGGGTGTGATATATTTATGAGATTTGTTCTTAGAAATCTTCACTTATATGGCGACTGGGAAAGTACCAAACAACATTTAATAGAGAATGGGCAATTATTTGTGTCGAGGGCCAAATTATCTCGTGATAAGATTGCTGAAATAGGTATTGATTTTGTATCTGATGATGATATTATTTTAGTTCATGGTTACTCTAGAGCTGTAGCTTCTTTGTTAACTCACGCTGCTAATAGATTTATTAGATTTAGATGCATAGTTACAGAGGCCAGACCAACTTCTCAAGGTAAACAATTTTATGAGTTCTTACAAGAAAAAGGTATACCCGTCACATTAATTGTCGATTCTGCAGTAGGGTTAATTATTGATAAAGTCAATAAGGTATTTGTTGGTGCAGAAGGTGTTGCTGAAAGTGGTGGTATTATTAATAGAGTAGGTACCTATTCGGTAAGTGTGTTGGCACATAATGCGAAGAAACCATTCTACGTGGTGACAGAGAGTCATAAATTCGTTCGTATGTTTCCATTGGCTGCAGACGATCTTCCAATGGATAGAAAGATCTTAGATTTTTCTCGTATTGATAGTGAATCTAGTTTATTGAGTGGTCCAACGATTGATTATACTGCACAAGAATACATCACTGCATTGATTACTGATTTAGGTGTTCTAACCCCTAGTGCTGTTTCTGAAGAGCTTATCAAGATGTGGTATGATTAAAGAAATTGATTTATCTTTGTTGTGGTTGCTTTTGCATTCTAGGTATTATTATTATCGGTAACATCAACAGTATTTCACTTCTCATATATATCTTCTTTAAAGAAAAATAGCATCAATAATATAAAACTATGTACAGTTTTTTAACAAACGTCAGACCTTCAACGTAATCTCAATGGAAACAAAATCATTTTTTTGCGACTGATGCAACTATAGTAAAACTCATAGTTGTTATAATTATATAAATGGCTACAACCTTGTAATGCTAAAATATGTTTTATGTAAATGCAATGTTTATTTAACCAATCTTGAATGTATATTTTATTATATCAGATGATTTATATATTCTTCGTGACTTTCGACTGGTTTCACGGTACTTTCAGAAGATTCCTTTATAACAGATTCTCTAAATTGACTGACTGTGTTCTCTGCCCAGTTAAGATCCGTTTGGATTTCTTCATCTGCTACTTTATGAGCTAGCAGGGATCCTGTTAATCTATTTTGTGAAGCATCATTAACACTCTTTACAGACATCGTAACCACTTGAGCTCTCTGAGAGGCTGGTGTCGCATTTAATTTTGATTCTTCCTGCTTCTTTTTCAGGTTTACAGCATCTATATACTTGAAGAATGGTTTTAATTGTGTTGTTGTTTTAACAGGTACTAAATAAGCCTGGTTGTCTTCCATAAACGCAGCATATTGACTGGTGTTATCTACACCAACACCCTTTAACGTTTGGACCTCAACACCATTCCAATTCTCCTTAGCCTTATCTTCGTTGAAAAATGCTTTCGAATCAAGTGGAACATCAATTTCCCATAACGCTGATTTAGTCTTGTATCTGGCTGCTGATATTGGTGGATGTTCACTAGGCTTGTGATTTACTAACCTTAGTTTGTTTATGTATTGAAATATATGCAGATTCTCATCCTTACCCCCGAAATTCAAAGGTATTTCCTTAACTATCGGATCTAGATCACAAACATCCGAGTTGACTTCATCGTCGTCTTCATCAATCATTCTAATGTCCTCAATTTCGACTTCCTGAACAGCATTTCCTTCTAGTACAACATCTTCCTCTTCCTCAGCAACAAATAGTTTATTTTCGTTTTCACTCATCTCAACTAAAAAAGTTATCTTCTTCACCTATGTGGAGGAACATTTTGGAAAATAATTAAAGCTTGAATTCAAATAAAAATAACACTCTTTTTTGTTTTATATTTTGCAATAGTTTGTATTTTTCATAATCATTGAATACAAAATAAGACTAGTGAAATTTCAGGAAGCGATATGTACTGTCTGGAAAAATTTTATCATACTTTTTTTTTTTGGCTCTGCGATGAGCATCACAAATTTAATATACTGATGCCATAATATACTGCGATGGCCACGACCATAAGATTGTTAAAAGAAGTACCCTCACCAATACTTATATAGAATACTGAATCATTTAGTGATTAGGATATATCAACAAGATCAAAAAGTAGGTAATTCATAAATTGAAGTAATAACTATGAGTGAAGATAACGATTTTTTCATTAATCTGGCTACTCCAGATCAGCAATCATCAAGTTCTTCCAATTCTTTAAATAAAGTTTCTGGTGGAAGATGGAAGGATAGAAGAAAATTGAGAATGCTGATGGATAACAGACCTAATAAAGGAAAAAGATCTAATGATAATGAGGGCCGTGAAGGTTCTTTTAACAGAAAGGAAAAAAAGGCTAAGACACATGATGGGATGAACGATACACCAACTGTTACAACTGCTCACACCAAGCAAATTGATCAGAGACTGTCACAAAACAAGAAAGGTAATTCGGTTAATGTTGATGACCAAATTGTTTCATCATTATTTACTTCTAACAGGGAAATTACGACCTCTGAAAATACAAACAAGCAGGATAAGGATGCCGAAGTGGTAGCATCAAATGCTCCATTGGCAACAAATACGTTTGCTGATTTAGGTATTGAGGAACCTTTACTATCATATTTATCAACCAAAATGAATATTGAAAAACCTACAAGTATTCAAAAATTGGTAATCCCTCATTTATCCTCCGTTGCAAATGATAATGATCTATTTATTCATGCCCAAACAGGTTCTGGTAAAACACTAGCATATTTACTGCCAATATTGTCATCTGTTCTTAACATGAAGACACGTATCGATAGAAAATCTGGATCATTTGCTCTAATCATCGCACCTACAAGGGAATTGGCCTCGCAGATTTACGATGTTGCAATTAATCTAACTAATTGTTGTCGGTATTTAGTGCCTTGTCTATTAATCGGTGGTGAAAGAAAAAAGTCTGAAAAGGCAAGACTTCGTAAGGGGTGTAACCTTATCGTTGGGACACCTGGTCGTATTTTGGATCATTTACAAAACACACAAGCTATTAAGGAACAAATGACCTCTTCTTTAAGGTATGTTATTCTTGATGAAGGTGATAAATTAATGGAATTAGGGTTTGAGGAAAGTTTACGTAATATCTTTGAGATTATTCATAATATACCAATTGATACTGCAACGTTCCCAAAGTTACCTTCAAGAATTATGCATGTTTTATGTAGTGCCACCTTGAAGGAGAATGTCAAACAATTAGGAAATGTAACACTAAAAAATTATAAACTAATTTCAAATTCTCAAAAGAAAGGTAAATCAAACGATGAATCTGTCATAGCTGTTGCTCCAGATCAATTGCAGCAAGATATTACAATCGTCCCACCAAAGTTAAGATTAGTTACATTAGCTGCTCTTTTAAATAACATAACTGTCAAGCATTCCAAGAGTGAAGATGGAACCTATCGTACTATGATTTTCTTATCATGTGCTGATAGTGTTGATTTCCATTTTGAGGCATTCTCGACTATGGATTCATCTCATAAGGACCTAGTGGAAGGAGCTGTGAGATTATTAACCAAAGGGAGTACTGTTTTCCCTTGTTTTAAAGAGGATGAAGAACCAAATGTGATTTTCTATAAATTGCACGGTTCTTTATCTCAACAAATCAGAAGTTCTACTTTAAGGCATTTTGCGTCAAATAAGGACGCAACCAAAGGGAAGCATCTAATTCTTTTCTGTACGGATGTCGCAAGTAGAGGTCTAGATTTACCACATGTTGGTACAGTAATCGAACTGGATCCTCCATTTAATGTGGAAGATCATCTCCATAGAATTGGTCGTACTGCTCGTGCAGGTAGAGCAGGTGAAAGTATATTATTTTTAATGCCAGGTGAGGAAGAAGGATACATGGCTGTTATTAAACCCTATCATAAAATGGGTTGGACTTTATTGAAATTTGATAAGGATATACTAATGCCAGCCTTTAGTGAAACTAATGTCGGAAGAAATGATATGAAAGACAGAAAGAAAAAGGATGTTGATCTTGAATGGGACACAAATGCGACAACCTGGCATTTGAATGTTGAGAGAAGGATTCTAGAGGATTCTGAATTTAAGGATGTTGCATCTAAAGGTTACAGTAGTCATATCAGGGCATACACAACTCATATTGCAAGTGAAAAGGCTATATTTAACGTGAAATTTATTCATTTAGGTCATTTGGCCAAAAGTTTCGGTTTACGTGAAAAGCCTAAAACTATGGGTATTCAAACTAGTAAGCAACAGAAGGAAATTGGCGAAGCCAAGAAATCTAAAGAAGGTAACAAGAATAAGATGTGGCGTATAGCACGTATGACAGCGAAAGATACTGCCCATGAATTTAACTATTGATGTATATTATTTAACACAAGGTATTTTTTTTTCTATAATTATTCTGCATTTATTTTCATTATATATATATAATACTGCATATGTCTATAGCACAGCAAGGATATTATCCTCAAGTGCAGAATCATTGTTGGACGCGATTTGAACTCTTGATTCCTTAGCTAATAACCTGTTTACTTGAGAGTCATTGCTTTCAATTGGTGCAGGTTCATTAGTGTTTGAGTCAACATATATGGGCTTTTTGAATTGTTTCTTATCTTTTTCATAATCCCACACATTTGACTGAAGAACTAAGTTATCTACATCTTTTTCTTGTTGTAGCTGTTGTTTACTGGTACGAATATGATGCAAATCGGCTCTATCTTCATCATCACTTATATTATCGAGATCTTCGTCAGAATTGGCGTACACGTCTCCATGGTCTTTTTCAACCTCAGTCATTGTAACTTTTCCGTTGGCCCCGATATTCATGTTCAAAACGTACTTATCACTTTTGCCATGTCTTTCTCTTTCCATTTTTTCCCATTTACGAAGATTTCTTTGCTGTTTCTTCAAAAGCATTGCTCTTTCCTTAGAGCTCCCCCACATACTGGCATCTCCTGACATATCAAAGTCACTGGCATTGTCAATAATTTTTGTTCTTTCTGCCGACGTGTCCTGGAAATGAAGTAAATTCTCTAGCCTATTCTGAGCCTTTTCTAATTCCTCATCAACTTTTACTTTCTGTTGTGGTTCTATTTCCTTTGGAAGATCATCTAGCTTTTTCATTACTTCATCTCTTTTCCGTTCCCTTTCATGTTGTCTTTCGATAAAGTCAAACAGTTTATCTTGTTCCTTGAATAAATTTTTACCCATTCCTGATGATATTTTATATACTTTGGTTGGTTTACGCTTGGCAGTGGTTGTTTCCTTTTCGAGCTGGCCATTTTTGCCTGATATAATATCGTCTTTCTCTTTATTTAGTTCCTGTATTAATTCATATCTTTCGTTAAAAGGAATCAATTCAGCTTCACAAAAACTGCAATTATTTAAGTTTAATCCTTCTTTCACGCATATGAGTTTACCACAAGAAAGACAATTAGGTGCAAGTTCAAATAATGGATGTATTCTACCTTGACAAGAACATGCATATTCTTTAGAATTTGTTTTCTTCTCATTCAAGTCGAGTAGTTTAACAGCCTCATTGATTTCTTCTAGAGATTGAAGTTTCTTTTGTTTGCCTGTTTTCTTGCCAGAAGAATTGCTTTGTTTATTTTTAAGAGTCGCAGTGGTTTCTTTATTTGGTATAGATGATTTTGGAGTTTCCAACGTTATATTAGCCACATGTTTTGGTTGTACTTTAATAAGAGGTGGAGGAGCATTATCTTTACTTGCTGGAATCGTTTTTTCAGTATTTTCGATGACTGCTTCTTTCTTAGTGGATCCAGTCTGTATCTTTTTACTGTCGTCTTGCTCTAATAATTCATTGAATTTAAATATAAAATCGAATACCATCTCCTCTTGACCAAGAATATTCATGAAACCTTCAGCAATTGAGTCGGGTGTCTTATTTGTAGTAATAATTTGATTGCAGAGATCTATCACATCCTGTTTCTCCAAGGGTAAAATCTGTGGAATCGTTTCGACGGCATAGTTTAGAGCTTCAACCTTAGTCATTTTTGAAATATATTATTCTTATTGCATTACCAAGATATATATGAAAATTAATTAGTTCCATTGTAGCATTATAAGCTGGTAATAAATGTCCTATGCATTATGTTAGTTTAATATATTTCTACTGTTTGGCCAGTTCTAAATTTCGCCACGCACATCTTACCGAAAAGATTTCAGAATAGAAGGAATTTCATGTAAGAGGTAATAGCGTTAAAAGATACAGAAAGAAAGATATTTTCAGGTTTTCCAACAAGAATATTTCAAATCTCTTAGTTACAATTAATTCGTTAGATCATTTATATGGTATTAAGTATATAATTATAAAAATTCAACTCATTTTTGTAACTTTTTCCTATAATCTGCGAACGAAAGTTTCTTCTTTGAATTTATTGCATGAGAGTCTTGTGTTAAACCAGGTTCCAGTATTTGCTTCCTAAATTTGGAATAAATATCCCTTCTAGGTGTATCAATTTCACTGATGTTACTAGATATCTTATCTTGGTGGTCTCCGGGTCTCACCTCTTGCATATCTACAGTGGTATTAGTATTTCCAGGTAATTCCTCAGATATAAGATTTCCATAAGGTAAATTAACAGGTATTGGTAGTTTATTAATATCGGTAACGTCCAAGTCATCATAATTACTTAACAGTTTATCAAGGGCCTTCTTTCCCTTGTAAATATTTGGATTAATAGAGTCTTTCTTTATTAGGGAACGGATAAACGGTTCCTTCGTTTGTACATTTTTTTCGATAAGACTATTGTTGTTAATCTTATCTTTCTCACTATTACTAGTTTTATTCAAGCCATTCTTTCCGTTATTGACCTTGGAGGTATCGCTGTATGATAAGTTCAATATATTTGTATGCAACATATTTATGTCTTGCTCCTTTCGCCTGCTAATTTCATTTGATAACCTATTTAAAATAGGTCCCTTACGTTTCTTAGTATTCAGTTGATATTGGCATAGGATTTGGTTCAATTTGTATCTGTTATTCATCTTTGATTTGACAGATTTAACTAGAGTCTGGGAAATTTTTTTAATTTTCAGAAGATGACAATATTTACTATTGTTTCCACAACCACATTCGCAATTACTGAGGATAGTATCAACAGAGTGTATCAGAGAATACTTTACGGTATCATCGAACGATTCAAAATCGATCGTCCCATTTATTATTTGTAAAATTGGATGTCTGAGATCCCATTGCCAACCAATATATAATTCTTCGCCGTCTTGAATAGCTCGTTTGGCTTGAAGAACAAATTTTATAGAACCATCGGATAATCTAATAGTTGCTAATCTAACATTTGGGTCACAACTTCTACGTAAGAATCTAGTATAGTTACCACATGTTCTTTGATCAATTGTGATAGGCCAATTTTCATGAAATGTTACCTTTCGCTTTGGTGTACCCCATATTCTATATTGGTTCCTTGGGTCCATTAAATAATTCTTTTGAAAATCTAAATCACCTACGACTTCAGTTATAAAATTGTCCTTCTGACAACTATCTGTTATAAATACGCCAAGTTTCATGAATCCAGGGAAATATCTAGCATTGTTGGATTCATTATATGATTTCACATCAATGGGTATTGCTTTGAACTGCATAGAATTGTAAGGAATTACACAATCATCATTTTTGTGCTTTTCGATGAAAAGATTGACATATTTGTCCTCGTAACGAGACTCTTCTATAGATAGGTATACAGAAGGAAATGCTTCTTTGGGTGGCAATAAATGTTCTTTCTTTCGGATATCTGGAACAATAGAAATAATTTGATTGACAGTGGCAGTTTTCTGTGAATTAGTCTTTGCATCGGTATCTTTAGTTGTATCATTTGTTGATGAATTATGATGAGATTGAGTCTCATCATCATCATTCGTTTTCCTTTTCTTATATTCTTGTGAATCTGGACTCCCTTTCACTTTATTTAACAAGGATTCTCTTTGTCTCTTTTGTCTCTCTCTTGCTGTTTTCGTATCTAACTTTCTTGGCTGACATGCACTACATAGATATTGTTCTGGAGCCTCATTGATATCCTCTATTCCATAACAACTTGCGTGTTGCCATCTATAACAGTGGTCACATTGTATCGTGAATCCATCATCATCATCAAATCCACATATACAAGTAATAATTCCTGAATCCGGATCTACAATATATGAATCTAATACTGGCCATTTCTTGGGGCTCCCTGGTTCTAATGTTGGTTTTTCTGTACGATTTGAAGACATAGAATCAGGAGTTTCATCTTTGGTAATTTCGTCAGTATCATGTTTTTTCAATGGGAATGGGACAGATGCTGCAGTAGCTAATGCTGCCGCTGCTGCCACTGCAGCAGGATTTGAACTTTTACGAGAAGGCGGTTGGCTCAACTTCAAATGAGTAAATCCCTCGTGGTTTGCATGAGAATGCTCTGTTGCAAGAGTAGTAGTATTATAGTTTATATTTGATGATATTTGTTCTCTATGATCATTGTTCGTGTTGGTAGTTACTTGGGAGACACCAACAACAGGTGTTAGATTTGTGCTAGGCGGGAGATGTGATTGTGGTAATGATTGTGGATTCTTACGACTTGAAAACATCAATAATGTGGATGCATCATCTAGATCAGATTGCCCTTGTCCTTTTGAGTCTTTCTTGTCTGGATAATTTGAAGACATGAAATGTGAAGAAATAGAATATTAGATCTTTAAAAATATAAAAAATTTCAATCTTGTTTGTATATACTAATTTTATGATTCAAAAAGAAATACAGTTAGTATTCTTGTATTGGATCTATGACCTTTAAATGTTCAGACAATTCGTGTTCTGTCTTGCTTACTTATTCTAGTTTTCTGATTTAATATCAGAAAAAATGTCTACTTCTTTTGTTCTATTTTATTTTTTTGCTACCCAATTGACTAAATACAAGTTTCGCAGTAAGAGAAATATATATATCAATTTCATATAAGTGGTAAAGAAGACATATATATTATATATATATAATCATAGGAAATCAAAAAGTTTAAAACATTCATTTGAGTTTCAAATTTATGTAATATACGAGCCAGGTAAATTATTACATAAATTGATGTCAATGTTTGGAATTTCCATTCACCAAGAATATTTTGCTGAAGTCTAGTGTGCTTAATGGAAAAAAAGAGGATAGAATTCCCAAAATATATAATAAGCTTGAAATTCGTTACTGAAAGGATTGGAACAGTAATAACATTAAACTGAAATTCGTACCAAGTTTCGAGTGGCCTTCTCTATTCAGTAAAAATGTCGTGGAACTGAAGTATATATATTTCTATGTCATGAGAGAGTATATAATAGCATTTGTTGAATTTGTTAATTAGGAAATCGTCATGGGCTGTGTTTATAGTGCACAACTTAAATAATTAATCTGCACTTTGATTATGCACAGTTATGCTATAGTTACTGAAAACACATCATATAGTACATTACTGTATTATCTGGTCCACACTAAGAACGTTACTGGATGAATGAATGAATGAGCCAGATACCGTGAAAGGTGATCGATGTTCATCTGATGAACTTTATCTCGGAAAACTTATATTAGTGATCAAAAGCGTTGATATCGTACTAATTATTGTTCCTGTAGAATTGATTTCTCTACAAATTAGAAAAATTTCCTCAGCCAATCAACTCAACGGTATTGACCAACTTCTTTAGGGTTTATTACATTCGGACTTAAAAAGAATTGACCAAAAAGAGGGTGGTTACCCTTGGTTACAGGTATATAAAGGGGTATTGTGTTTCAGTTCGGGTATTTAATTTCACTCTCGTATATTAATTATTAAGGTCCGTTCGTTCTTAAATATTTTGCTGTTGGTTTTCATAGAGTCGTTAGCTGTTATTTTGTAAATAAAACAGTCGTTTATTCGGAAATATAGAAATGAAATAAATGAATTACAAAGGTATAACAATAATGTTCCTGCAAAGCGAATTAAATTTTGTTGTGCTGTCTACAATTCTTCCGTTATTGTTTTTGAAGGTTATCGTGTGTTCTTGCATTTGCTATACGTTAAATTCGATATTTGCGATGGGCAATCTGAATGTCGCAGCGAAATTGAATAATTTGTAGTAAAGCCATATATATATATTTTTTTTTCGAAGAGGAAGAAAATGTGCTAATACCACACTAGTGGCAGAGTCCAATGTCGTATACAAATAAGCCAAGTGTTTGATTTCATTTGCGATTTGTAATTCGCATCCGTTAGAACTTATATTGTGTTGAAGAGTCCAGGCTTGTAAATGTGACATCATCAACTAATATTTCCTTGGCTTGAGGTCACTTTTATGTAGTATTTATTGTGTTCCTAAACTCCCATTTATGCAAATATGTGTTAAATTTGATACCCAAGATATCTCGCAGTTAAAAGCTTATATCACCTCGAGAAATTTCAAATGCTATTTAGTTATGTATATATTTACAATATTAGGTGTAGTATATAATAAAGGAGACGAGTGAATACTCGGCTCATTTTCTGCTGTATGTGTGTTTGAAATCACCACCTTGTTGAAGATCGATGCTGGAAGTGACATAAGAAAAAATCATTTTAATGCCGCAATGTAGACATCAAATGTATATGAAAAGTACCATTCAAAGACTATGTATTACTTTGTCTCTAATCGTAAATATCAATTGGTGGTAATCTATCGGCACTGTAAAACCAATTTTTTGATTCAACTTCTCTTGCAAGCCATTCGGTTGGGAATAATACTAAATGACCATGGATTCTATCTAGGATTCTTCTAGCAGTATACTTATCAAATATTCTCTTATTGAATCCATATAAAATGCTTCCACCTAATTTCATTTGAAGACTTAACGCCCTACTTTTGTCATTATCCAATTTGTCAAATTCATTAGACGTAACTTTTGTGCCACTTGAATCATCAACACTATCACCGTTCACCTTTCCTTGGGCATTTATGCCATTCTTAGTTGATGGTGTAGTATCGTCGGAATTTCTTACTTGCTTAGGTAGATGTTTCCTTTCAAGATCAACTAATTCATTTTGACTTTCTACAAAATCTTCAGACATCCTTTTGAAATCTTTAAAGTCCCTCCACGTTTGAACAGCATTATCTGGTTGGCAATGGAATACTAACCGATACAATAAAGTATTTCTCATGGCAATTAAAAATAAAGTTTCTTCTGAAAATGATCCAATCAGTGGATCGTCGAAAGAATAAGGGTCAACAAATTTTAATTTCGAAAATCTTAACATGTTCTCTTTGTTAATACCAGGTCGACTTAAGGTAGGTACTAACTGTCCGAGTAAGATATCTAACGTTTCATCATCAAGTTCTTGTTCTTCTAATAAGTTTGAATGACCGGTATGGATCTCTTCAGTATTTGTACTGTTAAACTTGGAAGGGGTCTTGGCTTTTTGGTTAAACTTGGGTTTCTCATATTCGTGTGTACTTATTTTATGGCTCAGATATTGTAAATAGCAAACCCTTTTTAACATATCCCATTTCTTGTCATCTGTAATATCTTTGCATTCAATATAATCTTGGAGATCTTCTCTTGAAGGTAAAAATTGATTTTTAGAAACGATTTCTTCCTCGTTATCTAATTTTAGGGACATCGCTTTGAGAGCCCATTCTTTTAATTGTTCACTTACTGATTCTTTGTATGATTCTGTAACTTTTTTCCAATTATCGGCACCTTTACCATCTACATCTCTTTGATGGGCATTATTTTTGATTAATCTTGGATCATAACTGATAGGTTTGTTGTCCCGGATACCTGCATTGTCAGTACCACTTCTATAATTGAAACTATGGACAGGCGTAGTTTCTTTTTTGGTTAATTTACGCAGAGATGGTAAATTACGTCTATTCGCACTAATTTCAATGAACTCTAAAATACTACTTGAATCACCAATGTTATTGTTTGTATTCGATGACTGCATGTTACTGGAAGTTGGTTTTTGGGTTGGATCAGTTTTTGTCTCATCAGGATTAAATTTTTTTTTCCATTTTGGACTATAATCACAATTCAATATTTCTCTGTAGGCTAGTTCAATCATAGCCGACAGGTGTAACTTCTTCTTTTTGAACTTTTCTTTAGGGTCAACGTTTAAAGTGTTTAAAGTTTCATACTTTTCTTTAGCAAGTTTTTCTAGTCTACCAAATTTTCTTTCAACAATCTCTACTAAATCAGTATCACAACCTAAATGCTCTCTCATTAATCTTTGTCTCATTTCTAGTGCATATCTCCCTGCATAATAATCCTTACCATTCATTTTCGTCTTCACTAGATCAGTATCTCTTATTACGATAGCAACCTCACTATCTCTATTCCCTAATTGAGATCTCTCATTGATATTCGCACTACCAATAATACAGCTTCTATCATCGACGATCAGAATTTTTGCATGTACATATAATTGTTCTGTTACCAATTTTTCAAAGGGTCCTATCGTAGACCATTTTCTTAATGAGAAGAATCTAATATATTGCATCGGATCAATGTTCAATTTCTTCAATCTAGAAAATATCGATGTTTCACCACGCGATATACTTTGATATTGGCATTGCATGATAACTCTAAGACTTGAAGCCTCTGGTTGGTCAATTGGAGAATCAAAACCTGGCATTAACGGGATTATAATAAATGCCTTCCAATCAGTACCTTCACTATTCGCTCTCACAATTCGATCAACAATTGCATCACCAATCTTGTTTTCGATAACAACACCATCCCATTCTGAAGTTGTTACGAAGAATTGATTTTCAATGTATATATAATGGTTACTAGTTTCAATCAATTTTAGGTAAGCATTTTGGATCGATTTTTCTGTTTCTTTCAATCCAAGAGACCAATATCCGGCACTTCTTAATACTTGCACCTCACATGTAGATCTTGTCTTCAATGATTGGAAAAATGGAGAGTTCTCTAATTCATATTTAGTAAAATCAGAAGGTGGTAATAATAATGGGGTAGGTCTACTTGGTCTTTTTTCTCTTAGTAAATAATTCCAACGTTGGATAAAGTGTCTTGCCATGTCTCTGGCGGGCTCTCCTACGGTCATCATCTGAACATCATGCCAAGGCATTCTTGGTACTTCTTCCCTGTCGTACATCGATTCAAATGGTTTGTCAAGTTCATAAAAATCACAAACTCTGGCATTGGAATAATCTTTCCCGGGGAAAGTTTGATCTTTAATATCCTTGTAATCATCACGTAGAACGTGTTCTGGGGTATCATACCGGCCAAAACATAAATCGGTACCACCCATGAAGGCAACAGTATTATCAATGACGCATAGTTTCTCATGGTGAGCCCAAAAGTACGTATTCTGCAGCCATTGATTTGGGGACCTGATTAGATGGATGTTAGGATGCAGCCCTAACATTGAATGTTTAGTCCATAAACTATCAGTACCAACAGTGGCGCCGACATTTCTGTAGACAATAATAAAAATTTTAACACCTTTCTCAGCACTCTTACGCAGCATTCTGTCGATACGGTATTCTTGATGTGCGTCTACTGGTCTTCTCAAGTATAACTCGGGTGATAGCCACCAATCATGGATGTATATAACATCTTGAGCTTTTTCTAATGCCTCACTCAGAGACCAAAAGTAATCCCTTCCGTCAACTAGCAACTTACAAAACGCATTTTGTCTAACAGGTGCAAAACTATTAAACCTATTTTTTCTAGACCAAACTGTACTTTTCGCCATTAGTGTAAATGACGAAACCCATAATTTCAATGATGCTTCTGATTTACAAATAATCTGTAATTTTCTCTCTGAATTCTGTAAAGTGATCAATAAATTAGTGGAGATACTCTTTGAATTCTCCAAGTCCCAGTCTAATTCATCAGGAGAAATAATTTCATCATTGGATTTTCTTGGTTTTTTCTTATTTACTTGAGACATTTGTTTTCGTTTCATTTTTCCTGAACATTTGATCTTGAATTTACTATCCACCAGAAAGACGTCTAGTGGGGTTGTGCTGCATATATCAGATGTGTATGTTATATATGAATCACGTACTAGGAACCACTTCGGCGTATGTCTCTCAATCATATCTTTAAAATCATGTGCATTAAAATGAGAAACCCTCCAACCTTGCGTCTTTGCTGTGGATCTAATCAATAAAAAGCCTTCTTTACCTTGATACCCTTTTTCATAACTTAGAAGATTTCCCATTGGAGAAAATTCGTAAAATTGGAACAATCGATTAGCCTGTGGTCTTAGACATAACGCTAAATTTAATAACCTAAAATACCTTTCTAATCTAACGTCCATTGGTTGGTCTATATCATCTTCTTCGTCTATTAAATCTTGCAAATGCTTCATTTTAATCTGACTTAGGTCGAAATTTGCTGAAGGAAGAGTTTGATTCGAATCAATAGACAAATTGCCACTGGAACTACTCGATAAGCTATTAGTTCTTGACAGGATGTGAAGTCCTCTCATCTTTTCCTCTCTTTGAGATTTCTCCTTTAGAGTAGGAAAGTAAGGTAATCTAAATTTATGAAATCTGTTGTTATCAATGTACAACTTTTTCACTGTATTTTGTTGAAAAGCTACAATTTTCAAATTATGATGAAGTTGTTGCATGTTATTGTAGGTTTTTGTAATCGACCATCTATATCTATTGTCACCTATACCATATTCGAAACTTAATTCGAACACTTGTGATTTTAAATCATGATGAGATATTCCAGTGAATAGTTCAGAATTATTGTTGTTGTTGGCGGTGGTGGTAGTATTGTTCATTTGGGTGTTATTTGTTAAATTTTGGGTAAGAGAATGATTATTAATTGCAGCATTGGTATTGTTATTATTATCACCATTACTGTTATGAATGCCCATTGGATTGTCATTATCTTGTAAAAATAAGGAAGAAAAACTTAATAAACTTGATCTTCTAGATAATGATATATTAACATTATTAATTGTCTGGTTATTAGTTGAATTCTTGTTTCTATTTGGATTATAGCGGTCACCAAAACCTTTTGAATTTTGAGCACGATTTAAGTATTCAGATATATTCTCAATAGGTTTAACTCTGACATCTAGCATTGTGAGTAAAATTGGTGCTCTTCTGTTACCGTGTTCATCTCTAAGAAATTGGGTACTAGCAAATACAGCTGCAGGGCAAGCGGCTAGCATTGAAGCAATTAAATCAGATGCCATCTTCTGGGTATGTGTATCCTGTGGAACCAATTCATCAGTCGATAAAACTTGTGGTTGTGATCCATTATTTCTTAGGTTACTGCCACGTTTATTTTTCAGTTTTGACACAACAGAGATTTTCTTGAATGCTGTATTAAATTCTTTCTTCCAACCATTAAATTTACTTTGATCTGAAGAAGAAATAAATGATTTTCTTCTATCCTTTTGTTGTTCCTTATTATTATTATTATTATCATCATGATTTAACTTCATATAGGCTAATTCATCCAAACTTTTATTCTTTTGATGATGTTGTTGTTTATTCAATTTTGATGGGAAATAATCAGCATAATTTCTGGAGGTACTTGACCTTGGTGATGTCGGACTATTATTCAATGGAGATTGTGATCTCTTATGAAACAATCTATTTCTTCTATTAGCTGTGTTAGTTTTATTCAATACAGAGTTGGGGATCCCTTGAAAGGACAAATTTTTTAATTCTTCCTCAGATGTCCCATGTTCGTTATCCTTGTTATTCACAACTGGTTTATCGTTATCATTAGCATTAATTGTAGAAGGGATCCCATTTTGGTCGGTGGTATCTTTCTTTCTTTCTTGTTTATTTTCATCAGGTTCATTTGCTTCCAAGATACCAGGAATAACAGAGGTCATTTCTACGATAAATTTTGCAATCCAAATTCCAAAAGTATGAAAGCAGACAATTGAAAATTTTAATGATATTTTTTATTTCAATGGTATGATTGTGTCAAAACCAAAATCAGATTAGAAACTTTTGTAGCTTGGTTTCTTTAGATTAGAAAATTATTATTTTTTAACTGTATTAGGTAACCGCCACTACGGTGATGCCTTTGTTATTATTGTTTTTTTACCTAATTAATAAAATAACCCTTTAGCATTCTGACCGTGGCAAAAAAAAAATACAAATAAAACAAAGGAGGATGGTGATATATTGGAATAAAAAAATAATTAACAGTGGGACTTTATCTATCTATCTGTATGTTAAGGATAGATATTTTTAATATTTGGATATAAAGACACAATTTGACAACTGAGAGAAAATCACGAATATTAGAGACAAAATATTATAAGATATTAGTATTCTATACATTTTCTTAGATGTTTTTTACGATTAAATACTCTGGTGCAATAAGTAAGAGTCTCATTTATATTACAGGCAGACAAGAACAATGCAAGCCAATCAAATAGGGTTAAAATAGAATTCTACACCAATGTGCAACGCTTGTAAATTGGTATCTTATCTTTAATGTGTCAAGTATTTTGCAGATTGTAATTGTAACGGTCAAAATTGCAATACTCCATTATACAAATATGTGTCTAGATAAGCATTGTTTTTTTAATAGTATTATATATTGACACATAAATTTTATTTTGTGATAGAGTTCATATCATGATCATGTAATCTACAGATATATGTAAATTGGAAGTACAGTAATTTTTATCTAGTTTCACAGTTAAGAAAATACGACACAATATGATATAATATAAAATAAAATAATGAATTATCCAATCTATATATATATAGTATTATACTTATCAGTAACATTCCATCTCTCATGAGTGTGGCTACCATTGTGATTATCGTTGTACTTCGTTCATTCTTCTAAAATTATTTACTTTGATAGCAAAAGTAGAAGTGCAATCTTTTTATATTGATTGATATGATCCTGTTTGGTGTATGGGGCAAAATCGTTTTGCTCGACGTATAACTTACTCCGATGCAATGCGATACGATGGTGGGCGAACACGCGTTGTCAGAAAAAAAAATGAAAATTCGGCGATTGAAATGGTTGATATTTGATAAGCGCAAACTTGAAATGATAAGCATCGTTGATAAGATAAGACAATTGAGAAGGATTTGTCTTTTAATACACATGTTTGGATTCTTAAGAAATTCGACTGATTTACTTATTTCACGGATTTGAGGATAAATGGCTCTTGTTGTCTTTTGTATTATTTGTATTATTTGTATTATTTTTTTGCTTATCTTGACACAATCCCTAAAGGCATTCCTAGCCCTATCTGCAAGACGATTTTCTCTCTTTCTTGTGTTTTTCGGTTATCTAATCAATACAAGTAGAATAAGACTTCATCTTTACATATATTGTTGTGATACCTTTATTCAATTGATTAGCCCGTTTTATTTACAGATGGGGGACCTCTAGACTTGATCTTACAAACTGTGTCTGTGTCTGTGTGTCTCTCTCTCTGTCTTTTTATTTTCTTGAGGTGAACAGTGGATGAAGGGGGTAGATAATACGGTCTCTTAGAGAGAACTTCACTCCTTCTTTCATTCAAATCAGATGTTTGGCTTAAATATATTGTATAGTATTCCTGTTTGTTGCTAACTTTTGACTTTGGGATCTAAAAGATATGCATCAATCAATTATTCAAAAGATAAAAAAAGTATACACTCTATCTTGACTCATATATATTTTATGTAGCGCATATCTTCCCCCATTTCTGGCAATAAAGCGTTATTACTAATTCTGATAACGAAATCTGTTTACGGAGTCAATCTTGCTATAAAATAATATTATTTGATATGTAACTATTTTCTTTTCGTACGTCAGAATCGTTATATATGAAGGAGAAAGATATTCTTCTTTTCATTTATCTGCGAGAGTAGTTATACTATTGTTTTAATTTTTAAAAATATTAGAAAGTTCCCTTATTCCACATTGATAAACAATAACTGTTGTTTTAATTTATTTACTGCTATTATTATTGAGTGGATATATATCAGATGCTTATCAAAAGTTTCCTGTTATGGGAACTATTGACACATAATTTGATTATATAGCATTATTACTACAGCTTGGGGAATATCATAGATATTATATATATATATATATACTCGTATAAAATTTTTATATAATGTTTATTATTTATCTAGTCTATTTTTTCGAACCTATCTTTAGTTAACCTTTATATTTAATATTAATTAACGTCAATTGTGACATTGATGGTAATTTATAACAGAACAAATATAATAATTATTAAATATGGAGAAATCAAATATACTGAAAAATGTAATCACTTCAAGTACAACTGCTGATACTGTCGGTGCTTCAACTGTTGATGGCATTATTTCGAAAGATACTACAAATAATGGCACAATACGTTACTATGATCCCACCGATGTTCGAGAAGAAGAAGACACAGAGACAAGAAATAGTCCTTTATCAGGATCCACAGCAACAACATTGGCCTCAAAGAATACTACCTCAACAAGCGAAACAACTGATACAACCGTGAATTTGTCTTCAGAATTTGGTAAGAAGAACGATCAAATAAATATTCAATCTGGGAAGGATACCGAGACAAAGGATTATTCAAGAAGAAGGCATGACGGTGAGACAATGTGTAGTAATTGTACCACCAAGAAGACACCGCTTTGGAGAAGAGATTTTGATGGTAATATTCTTTGTAACGCTTGTGGTTTGTTTTTAAAATTGCATGGTACCTCTAGGCCAATTAAATTGAAGAGTGATATCATTAAGACAAGAAATAGAAAAGGTCATACTTTGACAAATTTCACATTACAAAATTCCTTGGATTCAAATTATGTCACAAATGTTACAAATTCAAATAATTTTAGGGTTCAAAAACCTCAAATGAGAATAAATCGAGAAATTCCAGTAATTACGACACCTGCAATTATAAATTTCAAAAAAATTAGAAGTATGTCAGATCCAATAGCAAAAGAACCAATGTATAAAGGTGAAACATATTCCAGTATCATTGATGCTACAAAATTTATGAAACCATTGTTGAAACCAAAACCTTCATTGAGGGGAAGTGTTAATGTGTCCCCGATAAGTGGAATTTCTATGCCGACGACAGGTCACAATAGGAAAATGATGGTACTCAATGAAGAATTTGAATTTGAAGAAAATCCTTCGATTATTTCGTTGGGTCCAGGAGACAGTAGGAAAATGAGCATTGATTCTAACGATTCTGATGTTGAAAGATTGGATCGTAAATATAATTACCATGACTCCGAAATAAATCATTTACTTACAAGTCATGAAGAAATGATAAAACTTAAAATTAGAATCAAAGAATTAGAACTTATTACAGATCTATATAAAGGATATATTAAACGACTTAATGGAAAATGTAATACTTTGGAACATAGATTACAATCCAGGGATAACTTAGCAACATAATTAAAAAGAGTTCATCGTAAATAATTTAATATATATGTGAATAGTCTCTTTTCTTTTTTATTTAATATATTCGATTGAGGAACAGTTAATTACAGCAATGATAATTAAACATTATATCTACCTAAAAATAGCTTAAATACTAAAAATTATTTTGTTAATACAGAAATCATTGATACAGCGAGCAATCCCTTATGACACTCTATCTCGATATACAGTAAGCTCTTTCTTTCACACAATGGTGATCTATCTCTGTTGGACACTGGCGCTCGGTATTATATATTATAGGGAAAAATTCTTGTAAGTGAGAAGGAGGAAATAATTAGAGGGGGAGCCTTGATTAGGAGAAAAATAGATATAGATAGAACTGGTTTGGGTGATCAACTTTATATCTTTATGAGGTATGTTCATTACATAATATTCCATTATTTATAGTAGAAACTGAAAAGAAGTTAATATATAAGAATATATAGATATATAACGATACAAGGATGTCTCGTGGTAACCCATCAGCAGCATTAGAAAATACACTTTTCCAATTGAAATTTACAGCAAAGCAACTAAAGAAACAATCTCAACGTGCTGCCAAAGAAGAGACTCAAGAGACGAATAAATTAAAGAAAGCATTAAATGAAGACGAAGAGATTGCCAAAATATATGCTTCTAATGCTATAAGGAAGAAAAATGAAAGATTACAATTATTGAAACTAGCTTCAAGGGTTGATTCTGTGGCCTCAAGAGTTCAAACAGCAGTCACTATGCGGGCTGTATCGTCTTCCATGGCTAATGTTTGTAGGGGTATGGATAAAGCTCTCGCAAGTATGAATTTGGAACAAATAACGATGATTATGGATAAATTTGAAAAACAATTCGAGGACTTAGATGTCAGTGTAAATGTTTATGAAAAAATGGGTACTAGTTCAGATGCAGTTATGGTTGATAACGACAAAGTTGATGAATTAATGGCCAAGGTTGCTGATGAAAATGGTATGGAGTTGAAACAATCTGCACCAGTCGATGCCTTACCAACGATATCTCAGGAAGCTGATAAAGTTGTCGACGAAGAGAAAGAAGATAAATTAGCTCAACGACTAAGAGCTCTTCGTGGTTGAGATTGAAAAACGCAACAAATAAAAGAACTTTTTTTTTGCATTTATGTTTGTTGTTAGTGTTTGTTTGTTTTTAGATATGTTGATATATTGTATTTCATTGCAAGAGTGATGCTACAATAAGGTTGTGATCTTGAGGTATTGATTTAGACTTAATTATTATAAAGGATTCTACAGAAAAATATTCCAATAATAGGACAGAGTGCCTTACTTTGTTTGCATATTGAATGATTTCTCTGGATTCTTATTACTTTATTAATGTGATATGTAAAAATGTGTGTGCGTGTATATGTGTACAAATGTATTTATGCAGTATATAAAATAATCATTGCATTGGCATTGGCATTCCTCTCCCTCTACCCTGAGGTGGCATCATACCTGCATTAGCACCCTGGCTTTCTTGGTTCTTAATAGTTTCGTCTACAGAAAGAATTAAGTTTGTTGCCTCCGTAGCACTGTTTAGCGCATTGATTTTCACCAAAGCAGGTTCCCAAACGAATTTGGCAAAATTATCACCAATATTTTCAGCTTCAAAATCAACACCATACCATTTTTCGCCCTTACTATGAGCTAATCTTAATTTATTTAGAATCTCAATAGAATCAAAACCTGCATTTTCACATAATTGTCTTGGGATAACTTCTAATGCCTTAGCAAATGCACTAATAATCAATTGTTGCTTACCAGCGATAGATTTGGAGTAATCTCTTAGGTACTTCGAAATTTCCATTTCAATAGCACCACCACCTGCAACAACAAATTTATTTTGTAGAGCTCTTTTCACAATCATGATGGCATCATGTAGAGATCTTTCAACTTCGGCAATGACTTGTTCTGCACCACCTCTCAGTAGCAGAGTACAAGTTTTAGCTTGTGGGCAACCCTTAAACAAGTTATAACGTTCGGAACCGATCTGCATTTCTTCGAATTTAGCACAGGTACCTAGATGCTCAGCCTTGATATCCGTAGTGGTAGATTGAATAGAACCACCGACGGCCTTTATAACACGATCCATGTCATCTGTACTTACTCTACCTGCACAAAAGATGTTACGGTCAGCAAAGTATTGTGTGGCCAAGTCACCAATTGGTAGTTTGGATAAAATAATATTAGCACCAGTTTGTTCAATTTGTTCTAGTTTATCCAAGATAATCTGCCACTCGGCATCAACAATAGCCTGATAATCTTCAACATGTTCCACACGAACCTCCGCATTGTCCTTTTCTGCCTTCAATTCTAGTTCGACATTCAAACTTAGAATTTTGGGGTTTTCAAAAAATTTTGGTTGTTGTTCAAACCCAGCATATGAAAATGTCTTCTTGAATGCAACACCATCAATAAATAACGACTCCTCCATGGCACCACCTGGAATCTTCTTTATACCAATCAATTTATCATCAAGGTCATCTCTATCAAGTGATAAGACGGCATCAACACACATCTTAACAAAGAAATCAGCGTTCTTGTAAATCAGCTTTGAACTCATAGCAGTTCTGGCACAACGTTCTAATAACTCTCTATTACCTTGATCTTCAGAAGAAACATCCAAAGCTAACTCATTGATTTTCTCGATGGCCAAGGCTACGGCTTTTCTGTAACCCTTCATGATGATATGAGATGAAATACCTTCTTCTAAAAATGGTTTAGCTTCCTTCATTAGCTCACCAGCTAATATAGTAACACTAGTTGTGCCATCCCCAACTTCGGCATCCTGAGCTCTGGATATGTCTACCAATGTCTTTGCTGCCGGGTGAACTACATCCAGTAATTTTAGAATAGTAGCACCATCATTTGAAATGGTTGTCTTTTGGTTAGATGAGACAATTAGAATATCAGAGCCTAGTGGACCTAAGGTTGGTTTTAAAGTCTCTTGAATTGCTATACAAGCATTGATGTTAGAGATAATTTGGCCTCTACCTTGAGATGCATCTGTACCTTCCTTTAGTACAACAATCGTAGGTGTTCTGTTTCCGAAATTCATTGTGTTGATATTAATGGTATAATTCTCAGTAGTGAAGTGCTCAACTGGTGGTTAAAGACTGTCCTTAAGAAGGTAATATGGATCATCACCTTTAACATGAAAATATTTCATCGATGAATTTTTTTTTATTGTCTTGAAATTATTTGAAGTAGTAACATTAACGTATTTTTTTTCGCCACACGAAAGTAATAGAAACAGAAAAATTAAAATTATCATGAGGGTAACCTTTGCCAATTTTAAAAATTACATGGGAAGACGTGACAGCTGAATCATTTATCATCGGTTTGTGTAGAGTTGAATGTATGATATGTTTCTCTATTTATTTGTACTATTTACTGAATGTATAGTTATGTCATTAAGAGCTCCTAGATAGACCACACGTTAATATCACCATTATTTCTACCTTCAACCATGTATCCTTCGTTATACTTAACGAAAGATGAAGTAGATGTTAAATCGGGAGCTCCGTCGCATTCCCAATGTTTTCCATTTTCTCTACTTATAACTCTTGGAGTTGCATCATCCGTAGCGACAGTAATGTTCTTCTCATCGAAACTTAGAGAAGATATAGAATTGTCGTACACATAGTTGTCGATGATAGCACCGGATCCCAGATCCCATATCTTGACTGTTTTGTCAAGTGAACCTGAAATTAATAAAGAGGAATCGAACTGAAGAGTAGATATTGCATTTTCATGGCCTTGTAGTGTACGAACAACTTTTCCTATTCTCAAATCCCATAACCTTATAACACCATCACGAGTACCTGTAGCCATGGCTGCATCAAAACATTGAATTGCACCGATTAGTGGTGGATCTGAACTGGCTCCTAGAGGTAAATCAACCTTTGTTGGTCTTGAATTTAATGTAGTATTTAAATTTATTAATTGGACACACTTCCCTGTGTTTAAATCCCATTGCCTAATTGTCTTATCTTTAGAACCACTTACCAAATTATTATCATCAAAAGATAAGGCAGTAACCTCATCTGAATGTGAATCAAATGTGTGCACACAAGGTTTATTATACATGAAAGGTGTAGTATTTGAGACATCGTTCTTAAACTGTTCTATGGCAATATCAACATTCCAAACCTTTAGAGTGGCATCTTTACTTCCTGTTATTGCTATATTGTATTTAGAATCCATCTGTAAGCAATTTACAGAAGCCATATGACCTTTTAACTCACCAACATGTTGTCTCTTAGAGAGATCCCATAATTTCACTACTGGATCAAGATATCCAGTAGTTGCCAATGTTCCAAAGGGGAAATCAAAATCTACACTCGTGATTTTATCGTCATGAGCTTTATTTAATTTAGCAATTGATGATCCTTTGGGATAGTGACTATGAAATGATTGTGATATGTAATTTCTTCTCTTAATTGGTGCTGTAAATAGTTTGTTTGGATCCATTTGGAACCTTTGAGATGCAGTGTTGGCTTCATAATTTAGAGGAGGCATTGTTTCCACGGAGATGGAGCTTGGTGTTGAATTCGCTGTATCAATATCACTTCCTAGCTTTATTTTTTCTAGTTCATCCCTATCTGAACCTAAAAAATTCCTTAATAGATTACCTTCCAAAATATCCTGTTCACTGGTCGTTTCAGTTGAAGAATCGTTAGAGATTCCGTATGCTCTTATAAATTCTTTTCGACTCTTCAGTGTAACAATTGTATTCTTTAAGTATAACTCAATATCATTAACTCCATTGATTTTGTTAATGATTTTGTTTCTTTTTGAATTGATATCTTCTAATTTAAGATCCAGATCATCCACATCTTTTTGAAGCGTAGCTTTCTGTATATCGAAATAGTTTAATTTTTCAAAAATACCTGACGAAATGTAATCTAGGGCTTTTAAAGAATATGATCTTTCGATTACTTCTGTATCGATATTTAATTCAATTGCTATATCATTTTTGTAGTCAGAAATGTCAGAGGATTCATTCAACATTATTCTTTGAGTTTTAATACAAGTCAGCATATTTTTGAAGCCTTGGAATAAAGATGGGTTAGATTTGCCTGTAATAGTTCGTTCGAGTTCTTGGTCTCTCAAAGTTTTTGTTTGTAATTTGTCATCGGTCAATAGGGAGTCATTAATTGTTGACAAGATCAAAAAGGTTCCTTTCAGTGTACTATTATAGTTAGTGAAATATTCGGCCCCTGTCTCTGCTAGGCCAATGTTTTGAAATGCAATGTTTGGTAAATTTTTTAGAAATTTTATGAAGAGTTTATCAAGGAACCTCTTGATACTAGATACTCCAGTGTGTGAATATTTTGTGTTATTGTCATGAATTGTGCTGTGTATTATGATCCCTAATGGTTTTGTTATATTGTTTCCCGGTGCTCTGGTATTCGGTTGATTCAAACTCCCCACGGTCATTTTGTAAACTTCCAGATGGCTTACTTTGTTCTAAAGTTAAGTTTCACTTTTGCTAATATCAATGAACTAAATAATTATAATTTATTACTTTCAAGTTCTTCTTTAACGTCAGATCAAAATAAAATAACTCCATCCTTCGTTTACCGCCAATTTTTCTTCTTATAATTTGTATAATTTTTTCCGAATTAGGTAATTACATCGAGGGACCTGGAGAAATATATATGTAAATAAAAGAATTGATCAATCTCAAGTGATACAGTAAATGAATTTTGAGGGAGAATGGGTCAGTTATATAAAATAGCTTCTGCTTATTGTATATATTGGTGTAAACTTACATATTGGTCGTTATGACCTGCTGAACTCATGTATTTTTTTATCACATTCGAGGCAACCTTACTTAAGATAATAATAATAATAATACAAACGATTAAATGCTATTACAAAATAGCTAATGATGCTGGTTGTTGGCTTCTTCTAGATCTGCTATTTCTTTCTCTAAGTCTGCAATTTCTTGTTGGTTGACTTCGATTAGTTTGGATATACTCGCAGGCGGTGTTGCGTATGAATCCATGTTGTTGATTTCGTCCTCTTGAATTTCCAATTCGGTTTGTATATCTTTGATCTTCATTGAAAGATCTGATGCTGATTGTTTCAAAGTATTAAACTCATCCTTAAACTCAGATAGTGACCACATGTTGTTGATTTCATCAAGTACCTTAATTATAAGGTCAATTGGGAAATCCTCCACAAACATAGTTTTTCTTCTCTTTATAGCTGCATGGTTTGAATGATCTGTGTCATCTTCCTCTGCAAGTACACTTCCGTTCTGTAAAGCTTCCAGCAACTTTGTAGTCATCCTTTCATTTTTGAATTTATTATACAACACACCGAATGCATTATTAGTTGATCCTAGTTCGCCTGTAGTGTTCTGAAAAATGAAGGAATTTCTACCATTTTTATTTCTAGAACTATTTATAACTTTTTCATGTTGACTTAAATAGAAATCCTTCGGTATCTGTATTATAGGTTTTGGGTCCGGTATGCCCATTCTTCTGTTTCTCTTAATTTTTGCTTCTCTCTCAACAATATAATCATAGATGCCTTGTCTTTTATCCCTTCTCGTTATTGATCTCCTCTTCGTATCAACTTGGAATAATGACAGTTCTTCATTAGGTTCCCCATCCCTCAGTAATTTCACAAATTCTTTCTTACCACCTTTGGATAGCATACTACCAACAACGGCATTGTGGAATATCCCAGGGTGTTTAAAATTTCTGTTGGAAATGGATCCGAGAGATTCTGTAATTTCTTGTAAACAGGAATTTAACGATTGTGACATCTTTAGGTATCCGTGGTCAGCTATTTTATTCAATTATTAATTAATATATGTTGCTTTATATATTTTGTAAAGGTCATGTATATATGTACATTTGTTTGTTTATCATCTTTAATATGTTTATTTTCAAATAAATGCAGTCTCGCCCTCGCGAAAACCGTACAGTATCTCGTAGTGCTGAACCATAAAAATATCTGGCAGAAAGTTTCATAACCATTATAATGCTATATATGATACTTCATTTTAGATTGAATAAGTATTTAAGCAGATATATATGCATATACCTATAATATTAATCACGCCAAGATACATAAACCTCATCGGTTCTAAACTTTTGGGTCACTACTGTCTCCGAAAAATCTTTTACGTAGTCACCCATACGATATTGAAGGAGACCAGCCTGTGCTATCATCACCCCATTATCAATACAAAATCTTTCATCTGTAGCATGAACCCTACCATTTGCACGGTCTTTGCACATCTGTCCCATCATCTCCTGTAGTCTTGTATTAGATCCAACCCCTCCTACAATCAAGACTTGTGAAGCATTTACATGAGCCATTGCCCTTTCTGTAATTTCTACAAGCATGGCAAACAAGTTCTCTTGTAAAGAGTAACATAGGTCCTCTACTGTTATTTTAGGTTCGCCAGTTTCTCGGTCAAATATAAGTCTGTTCTTCTTATTACCTCTAAATAAATCCTTTGCCAAGGAATCAATATATGCTAATATACCACTCATTGACAGATCCATACCTTTTACGGTGTATGGTAACTCAATTAGTCTGTCTTTATTTTTACAATTATTTGCGAGTTGTTCAATATTATAACCAGGTGAGGGTGCGTTTGGGATCTTCAAAGTTCTGGCAAATCTATCCAAACAGTTCCCTATTGCTACATCCAAGGTTTCACCAAATATTCTATATCTATTTTCAGAGTAAGCAATAACCTGAGTGTTACCACCACTGACATACAACACAACAGGATTCTCGGCTTTCGTAATCTCTCTACCCATTTCAATGTGACCAACACAATGGTTTACACCAACTAATGGAACGTCCCATATCAGAGAGCAGGTACGTGCAGCAATTGCTACCGAATGTAAAGGTGCACCCATGCCTGGTCCTCTAGTAAAACAAATAACATCAATGTCCAACCTAGGATCCTTAATTTCTGCTTTCTCTAATGCTTGTTTGATAATTCTAATGACCCAATTCCGATGATGTCTGGCGGTATCACGAGGTAGAAATCCTTCACCAGGAGGTGTTACATAAGTGTCTCTTATGTTTGATAAGATTTCTACATCACAATTATGAGAATTGTCGCCTTGAGACATGCTTACTAATCTAGGGTGCTTGATAACACCCACTCCCAATTTGTTAGCAGAACCTTCTAAACCTAATGCGATATAATAGTTTCTACCATTTCTTGGTTTAACAGTATTTAGATTAACCATTTTCAAAGAAAAGTAATTTGTGTGATAATAGTGTATTTTTAGCGAACTTTAAAAGATCAGGACTCTGTGTAAGTTCTTATATTAAATAAGTAAAAGGGATAAGAGATAAGGATGATACCCTTTGTTGTTGAAATAGATTATTGGACGTTAGTATTGAGACTTTATGATGCAAAACAACATGATAAATGTAGTTAATAAGTAATACTATTGAATATTTTTCACTCACAAGTTTTTTTTCAAGTAGCGCGATGAGTAAAGGGAGAAAAGACAAGATATGCATACAAAGAATATATCAGCATAAAGGTTGAATACAAGAATTATATGTGGTGGAAAGTACTTATTAAAGAAAGTTACCTCCACATTTTGAATGGAGCAATTACGTACCGCAATATACTTTAAGTTATTTTGGACTAGAAGAAGGGGGAAGTCAGAACTATAATTTGTAATGATAACACTGCCAGCTTAGGAAAAATTACTATAGGATAACGTAATATAATATCCAATGCAAGAAGTAATAGAGTATTATATTCAACTATAATCTATTGATTTTCCTATTATTGATGCTCGCATAAAAAAAATGCACGATTAAGTAAATCGTTTCAGCGATTTGAAATCAGATAAGATTAACTCTTTTTTTGACCTATCAAAAAAGGAAATTCGAGATAATGAAAAGATACATATATTGTATCCGTCGTGGTAGTCCCTTCATGTAAAATAAATTATTTTTATTTTGTCTTTTCTTGTTGAGAAATAGAGGTATTGGTTGTATTATAACATATACCTTAGCCGGTTGAAGATAGGAAATATCTTGATACCGAACACTTCTTTTTTTTTTTTTGACAATCATAATCGTTGCATCTACATCTGATAACAAATCAGACATCAATGAAGGACTCCGGTCTTATATGTTTCAACTACTAGGCTATAATATATTCATTCAAAAGTTGGACCTAAATGTAGCAAAGCTGCTTTGTCTAAAATCGTTTAGATTACAGTTACAGATAAAGAAAGGGATTGAGCAGCACATAATACAGCCGACAATTGTTAACTTAAATTGACTAGGGATTTTCAATTTTCCAATATTTCATTACGGTTTGTCCAATAACTCTGTAGATTGTTTTATCGTAATCGTAAATATGCATAGTAACTGTCACTTGCAGTCTTATAATTGCATTGCAGTTAGTATGCTACGGCGATTGTACCTATGCAATTCTTGATTCGGTAGTTTGTGTCAGATGGTCCGATAGACTCATTTCTTGCTCTCTCTCTTTCTCTGAGAGATAACCTTTGTATGTTTTCCTTATCTTTCGATCTTGCAGAATCAGGATGTACAACAAACTCTATATTCTTTTTCTTTTTTATGTGTTTTCCCAGTACATCTCTCTCTCGAAGAATGTTGGATTATTTTTTTGGTTATCTTATCTCAGCAAGCGATGACTTCTTTTCTCGCTTCGTTTATCTTTGATAACCTTATCGCTTTCAGTCTTCGGTGTTGCGGTAATTAACTATCTGATGGATAAAGTAATCAGCCGTCTTATCATGAAAAATTTCTGCCGTTATATGGTACAGTTTAATATGTTTTAACCATTCCTGGCATTGTTTTTGATTTAGTTATTGTTTGGAGTACAATGTTGCCACACTTGGTTCATTATAATCTTAATATAGGTAACAATTGAATCACCGTTTTTACTGGTTGATTAAAAACAGGTCTATTGTTTTATCCAACATTAAGATCGTATCAATCTCTTGAAAAGTATACTGAGTTTGACATATCTAGAATGTTATAGTTCATGGAAAATGTCACATATAAGACAGCGAGATGTTAAGTAATTTAAACTGATATCCAAATTGATTTTCTTTCCGTTTTCTAACTTTCATCTTTAATTTAACATCTTCTAATTTTTTATATTCTACTCTGATAATAATAATAATAATAATAAAAGTAATTGTTAAATTTTACCAAATTAAATTAAATTAAACTTGAAAAGATGGAATCTAGTTCTGCTATTAACGTAGGGTCTAGCTCCTTCGAAAATAACAAAGAAAAAGGGCATATCATCACAGATGTCGAACAAAAGGATACATATTCAATTGACATTGATACCAATATAGGTACGGATTCTATCTCACAGGGGAAACAAGAAAGTCGCGGTAGATTTAGAGATTTTATGGATTCCTTTAAGCCTATGCCAGAAATTGTTGTAGATCCAAATTGGACAGATGAACAAAAGCTAGCTTATAGAACTGCACACTCCCCGTTGAAACAAGAGCTGAAAGGTCGTCATTTAACTTTCTTAGCTATTGGGGGTGCTATTGGTACTGGTCTATTCATTGGTAGTGGTACAGCTTTAAGAACTGGTGGTGCAGCTGGTTTGGTCATCGGTTGGTGTATTATGGGTACTATGATTTACAGTATGGTTATGGCATTAGGTGAAATGGCAGTCGTGTTTCCAGTGGCTGGTAGTTTCAACACTTACGCATCTAGATTTATCGATGAATCCTTTGGTTTTGCTACGAATATCAATTACATGTTACAAAATTTAGTTGTGTTACCTTTAGAAATTGTCGGTGCTTCTTTAACAGTAAATTATTGGGGTACTGCACATAAATATAATGATGGGTTTGTTGCATTATTCTGGGTGGTTATCGTTATTATAAATTTCTTCGGTGTCAGAGGTTATGCGGAAGCTGAATTTGTTTTCTCATTTATTAAGATTATTACAGTTCTTGGGTTCATTATTCTAGGGATTGTATTAGTCTGTGGTGGTGGTCCAGTTGGTGGTTACATTGGTGGTAAGTATTGGCATAATCCTGGTGCCTTTGTTGGTGAAACAACAGGTCAACAATTTAAAGGTGTTTGTTCTGTGTTTGTTACAGCCGCATTTTCTTTTTCAGGTTCTGAATTAATTGGGTTAGCCTCTGCAGAATCTGCAGAACCAAGAAAATCTGTTCCAACTGCTGCAAAGCAAGTCTTTTGGAGAATCACTTTATTCTATATTATTTCGTTAACATTGATCGGCTGTTTGATTCCTCATAATGATTCACGTTTAATTGGTAGTAGTTCTGACGATGCCACTGCATCTCCTTTTGTTATTGCTTTAGTCACACATGGTATTAAAGGTTTACCAAGTGTTGTCAATGTCGTCATTTTAATTGCAGTTTTATCTGTTGGTAATTCTGCTATTTATATGTGTTCTAGAACTCTTTCCTCTTTATCGGAACAAGGTTCATTACCAAAGATCTTTGGTTATATTGATCGTAACGGTAGACCATTATTCAGTATTATCTTTGTATCTCTATTTGGTTTAATTGCCTTTGTTGCAGATTCTGATAAAGAAGGTGCTGTTTTCAATTGGTTAATGGCATTATCAGGTTTATCCTCTTTATTTACATGGGGTGGTATCTGTATTTCTCATATTCAATTCAGAAGAGCCTTAACTGCTCAAGGCAGAGGTACCGACGAGTTAGCCTTTGCTTCTCCAATGGGTATCGGGGGTTCCATTTGGGGTTTATCGATCATTATCCTAGTGTTTATTGCGCAATTCTACGTTGCTGTAGCACCTATTGGAGCTAAACCGAATGCGTCAGATTTCTTTCAAGCTTACTTATCTTTCCCAATTGTATTAGTGTTCTATATTGGACATAAGATTTGGAAAAAAAATTGGAAATTAATTAAAAATCCAAAGAATCTTGATATTGATACCGGTAGAAGAGATACTGATTTGGAACTTTTGAAGCAAGAAATTGCTGAAGAAAAGGCAATCATTGCTGGTAAGCCATGGTTTATGAGAGTATATCATTTCTGGTGTTGAAAATCAGAACATAATAATAATAGATATACAACTACTTAATTCGTATAAAAAAATAAAGAAACATTCTACTATTTAATTACAAATTTAATATTTTCACTTTTCAAATAATTGTTTATATTTGTACTAAACTTAAAAAGGATAAAAAATGATTGAAATATTGAAAATTGAAAATTGATATATATTTTTACCGTTAGTATTAGTTGTCCAACATACAAACAAGCTGTATCAAGTAAACAAAAAGGAAAAGAAAAAAAAGAGAGACCCTTCCACGTTGACAATAGTGATAATGCCCGATGGTTATATCAAAGGATGAAGACGATGAAAAGAGTTCTGACTACTTATCAAACAACCTGGATGAAGAACAAGAACAAGAAGATCACTACTTCTACTATTATCATAAGATAAGACTACAAAACAGCAATGAGGCCCACAACAAGGACGTTAGTGATACTAAAATCAAGGGACCCAGACCCGTTGAATCAACCCCAAATATTACTGTAAAGGGTAAAAAAACGTATAAAATGAAATATGTCAATTCTGCATTGCCAAGTTTAGACAACAGCAATACGAAACTTGATGAAACAGTGACGTCAAGTACAGACAAGAAGGATTCAAAATATTACTATGAAGTTGGAGAGCCAGTCTCCGGGTATAAATTTATATCCAGTGAGCCACCTGTGAAAAAACAGAAGAAACCAAAGAACAAACAATTTCAGGATAATGGGGATTATGAAGAACCGGAAATTGATATATTTCAATTTGATCGTAACAATGGGAAAACGTGGTCTCCATCTGGGGTTTTGAATGGAGATAACAACAACATCACTGATAATAAGATCAATATCTTAATTCGTAAATATTGGAGTAAAACTGACACTGTAATGACTCCAATTCCAATAATTTCTATCAAGGATAAAGTCCTAACATTATTATCATTGGATGATTACGAAGATGTTGAACATATCAAGAGAGAGACAGTATTAGAATTTTATGTAAAAAGTGAAGAACTTATGAAATTTGATATGATCCAAATGTTGAAACAAGAGAGAACAAGATGGCATCCTGATAAATTTGTGAATACCGAAACCATCACTGATAATAGTAATAGTAATAGTAAAAATCACTCACAAAGGGTCTTACTTGCTACACATTTGTTTCAAATCATAAATGGGCTATGGGAAAGTTATCATTGAGATAGAGAGAGAAAGAAAAAATTGCATGACTATAATCTAACGTAATTATAGTTTCAGTTACGGAAGAACGGACCAGACAGTCGCCACCGACCCCACCCCGTACCCATCTCATGTCATTGCATGTCATCTCTCCTGCCGATGCCCTATTCAATTACTTTTTTTTTTTGAGTAACAGGAGGAGTGCTGTCTTGTTTTAGTTTAAGAACCAAGAACCGGATAAACATAAACATAGTAACACAATAAGAAAAAGGTCTAGAACGAACTACATTTTGGTTCATTACACATAATTATGATATTAAAATATTAATACCGGAGAAAACAGAAAAGCTCATCTCTCTCCAACTCAAGAAGAAAAAGAAAAGACGATCGCAAGAGGGTATATATACATTCTCTATCCTAATACGGTAATACAATTAACATTAAGATAAAGAAAAATGAATCTTGGTAGATTTGCTATGCTCTTTTCTCTTAAGCTAATGTATATATTATAAGTAATGTTGTACCCTATCTTTAGTTCTGTGTAGAGAGTTAAAAAGAAAAAGAAAAGAAAAACAATACAATAACAACAAACAATCACCGAGTGGTTTGAGTCCTTTCAAGTAGACAAACAACGAAGAGCAACGTCTTTTCATCTTTCAATGACAGGGTTTTTCTGTCTCAATGTAAGAAGATAACCTCGTAGCTGACAAGACAACTTTTTATTTGTTTATCGTTTGCTTTGAACAATAAAAAACAAAGAAAATTGGTTGACAGAGAGAGAGAGAGAGAAAGAAAGAGATAGTTTATCCAATTACTATTCCCGTTTCGGGATTATAATTGGCCAGAGAGAACAAAACATACATGAAATGATAAATATAACGGGGATTATTTGTCTCACCTCCTATCTATAACTGCAGGGCATCGCAATTTAACTCGAGAGAAACAAATACATCTTTTTTTATTTCCCACTCTTTATTCCTAAAAAGGTATAAATTGCACCCGAACCATAAAACTTAAATTAAAGCTATTGTAAAAACAACAACAATGTAATAAATCACCAGTAATAACCAGTAACACAATGTAACACCACATAGTAATTACTATCACTATAGACGTTGTGCAGTGACAGTGCCGTACAAATCTCTTCTTTTTGCTTCATCACTGTATCAAATTAGCACGAATAACTTTTCTCGACGAGTTCTATTTGAAATGCTTTTATACATGCGATAGATATTGTGTAGCGACTGCATTCTCCCAGCAAACATATCTCATCTCGTTTCATTTCTCATCTCGTCTCCACTGCAAATATTCACAGAGAGAGAGATATATTGTGTGTGAAACACCACAAAATGCCGTACAACACCATTTTACTCTCTTTATACCAACAAATGACATCCTCTCCGCTTTTCCCTATACGGTAAATTGATATGCACCGTGCACAGTGACAATCCGAGTGCCAAAATTCATCGCTCTTTTCTCGCTTTGACCGCAAAGCTTTTTTATATAAATAGAAAATTAGTTTGCTCTTTTTCTTCCACCACATCTTTCCGTCTTTCCCGCAACATACAATATATTCTGTTTAGTTCCGCTCGTGTTTCATGATGTGGGAGGAACCTCCTTTTGTTTACCTCTAAATCTCATTTTTACTCTTCTTGTACATACATTAATTTTTCACTTCTTTTTTTTTAATTTATTATGTGCTCTCTCTCTTTCTTTATTCCTCATGTTTTTCCATTAAAAATAGAATTCTTACACTATTATTTTTAACCCTTATTCTTATTTTTATTTTTATATATATATATACACCATAATAGATCAAGAAACTAATTTTTTTCATTAAGCTAGAATATTTTACAAATATCTACTAAATAAAACAAACAAAAACAAAAAACCTCAAACAAAACGAAATAACTAATTTCAATAATACTTCATTATTAATTTAATTTATTTTAACACTTAACCTTAGTCATTCCTTCTACTATTTTCAATCCAACTAATTAGTCTTTCCTTACCTTTATTTGATTTGATTTAATTTTAATTTTATTACACTCTTTTATTATTAATTAAAAAATTTAAATCCTTTTTACTATCTCTCCCACTCTTTTTGTTATTATTATTATAATATCCTTTTTTATTTTATTTCTATTTTACAATGAAATTATCTAACATCCTTTTATTATCAACCTCTTCAATCGCTCTAGCTGCTCCAGCTGTCCATCACGATCACAATGAAAAACGTGCTCTAGTTACCGTCACTGAATTTGTTGACGAAAACGGTAACGCTATCGTAGGTGCTACTGCTGCTACTGCCACTGCCGCCGCTGCCGCTGTTAAAAACCAAGATGTAGTTGCTAACAACGTCGCTACTTCCTCTAAAGCTACTACTACTTTGGAAGGTACTTCTACCACTGCTGCTACTACCAAAGCTGCTGCCACTGCCACTGGTTCTTCTTCCTCTTCAGGTTACGGTGATCTATCTGCTTTCTCCGGTCCAAACCAAGAATTCCAAGATGGTACTATCTCTTGTTCCGATTTCCCATCTGGTCAAGGTGTCGTCTCTGTCGATTGGGATGGCTTATCCGGTTGGTCTACTATCATGGACATGAATGGTAACACTGCCACTTCTTGTCAAGATGGTTACTACTGTAGTTACGCTTGTCAAGCTGGTATGTCCAAGACTCAATGGCCAAGTGAACAACCTTCCAACGGTATGTCCGTCGGTGGTCTATACTGTAAGAACGGTCTATTATACAGATCTAACACCGACTCCAACTACTTATGTGAATGGGGTCAAAACTCTGCCGTTGCCGTTAACAACGCCGACCAATCCATCTCTATGTGTAGAACCGATTATCCAGGTTCTGAAAACATGGTTATCCCAACTTTGATCGAAGCCGGCTCCTCTCAACCTGTCTCCGTTGTCAATGAAGACAGCTACTACCAATGGCAAGGTAAGAAGACCTCCACTCAATACTACGTTAACAACGCTGGTGTCTCCGTCGAAGACGGTTGTGTTTGGGGTTCTTCCGGTTCTGGTGTAGGTAACTGGGCTCCTGTTGTTCTAGGTGCCGGTTACACTAACGGTATCACTTACTTATCTATCATTCCAAACCCAAACAACAAGACTCCACCAAACTTTAACATTAAGATCGTCGCCTCTGAAGGTTCTTCCGTCAACGGTGATTGTTCTTATGTCGATGGTGTCTACACTGGTTCCGGTTCTGATGGTTGTACCGTCTCTGTTACCTCTGGTACTGCTCAATTCGTCTTTTACTAGATGCATTTTGAGTTTTTTTTAAAACTTTCTCATACAAAGCTAGTTAGACTATATGTTTAATAGCTTTTTTCTTTGTTTTCTTTTCTGCTTAACACATTATTGTTTTTTTTTTCTTATTAATAAGGAGAAAATACCAACCGTATGCTAAAAATGAATTCATTTGTTCGTAAAAATAAAAAATAAAAAATAAAATTTAATTAAATATAATACATCTTCATTATAAGAGAGAATGAAAAAGAAAATAATTAAAAATATCAAATTGAAAATTTTTAAATTATATTCTTTTTGCATAACACAATTTTCCTCATTTTTTTTTTGGTTTGTATTATATTTGCTAGTGAATATTGAACTATCTCAATTATCGATACCAAAAATATACGTAGTCTTGAAATACTACTTTATCAGTCCACATTATTATAGTTAGAATTATATATGTATATATACATAAATATATTCTTATCTGTTCTGCTAAAACTATTTTAATATAATCTCGTTTGATTTATAAGGCTGATAATTATAATAAATATATATTTTCTTTAAAAAATCATAGTGACAATAAAATATTATAAATTTGTATATCTATAAAATACGAAACAAATCAAGAGATTCAGATCCAATTTTTAAGTTCCGTTTATTTTTGAACTTCTTCATGTTGAGATTGTTCTTCCGGTGGTGGAACAAATGCACCAGCTAATGCTAAAGCAGGTTCATCAATACTATTATGAGCATAAGACAACACACCAATACCACCAGCATCTAATAAGAAGAATGGATTGTCGTTCAAATATCTATAGGTCTCCAATTGAACATATGGAACAGTGTCATCCTTATAAGAACTTGGATTAACTCTTTCCCATTCATCATTACATTTTTGTTCTACAGATAATTTTCTAAACCACAAAGCAGCAAAATAACGCAAAACATGACCATGAGCAAATACCATAATATCGGAACATTTCTTCTTATCTTGAGAGGCCTTATGTAAGTTTTGAATTCTAGCAATGGCCCTCGATAATCTTAAACCAACTTGTTTGGTATTTTCACCGTTCTCACAACCATCTCTCCAGATATTCCATGGAACGGTCTTATCTAGACCTCTAGATTTTCTTAGGGCAACGATTTCGTGAGTTAAAAGACCTTCGTAGTCACCGTATTCCCATTCTCTTAGATCTTCATCAACCACAATACGAATGTTAGCTCTTTGCTCAGCTGTCAATGTCTCTAATACCAAATCGATGGTTTGTCTAGCACGTAATCTTGGAGAAGTAAAGATATAAGTAACGTGTTCAGGATTAACAAATGAGTTATCGCGGAAGATGGATCTACCGGTTCTTTGCATCTGTTTGACACCAAAGTCAGTCAATGGTAAGTCAGTTAAACCGGTGTACTGACCACTTTTAGACCATTCAGTCTGGCCATGTCTAACAATAATACACCTTTGAGTCATCTCTATTGATGTTTTTTTGAACAAAATTACAACGATATATCAATTAATATATTATATAGCCGTTGATCTTACTGTAAAGTTAAGATGGTTATTGAAACTGTTCGAGGTATATTATGTTGTCAATTCTTCTGTTTATATAATAATATGTTTTTCTTTTTTTTCTTTTTTCTCTCCTCTGCCTCAATTCGAATCTTTTCCCGTGCCTTTTTGCTTTAACTCCGCTCAATCACAACTTATTTTCTAATTTCCGAGGAACTTTTGTTACTGATAATATGCAGTGAACAAGGAGATAACCGTTGTAGAATACGTAGACATTTTCCTTTAATTGATAGCGATTCGGCTATCCCCCCCTTGACATGTCCTGTTATTCCTAAAAAATTACTGACGCATGTCTTACTTGTATGCCTGTAAGTGAAGTCCTCAATAAAACCATGGAAAACCTCCTCCAACCTGAACCCTTCCACAAGGAGATTGAAAGGGTTCTCCTAATTTACAAATTCAAGGTCAATCGACCATCTGCTACATATTCATTCATTTACTTCCCTCCGCCAAGCAATAAAGCAAGCAAGCAAGCAAGCAAGCAATCACTGTCTTGCCTCATCGCTTGCAACTGAAAAATAATTTCACCAACAAAACGAGAAAGGGCGGGGGTCCAAGAAGCGCGCCAAAAAAACACGTATAGCAACAACAACACAGCTAAAATAAAACAGTAAAAGCGCGATTCTCAGGATTTTTATATAGTATCACCGATTTGGTGAAATATTTAGTTTAAATTTGATCTTTACACGTAAATGACAAATCTTTTTATAGATAAACCCTTTATTTTTAAAGTATTCGATTAGAATTATGAAATAATATATCATAGAAAGTTCTATTTATTCAGACTCAATTATATATTTGTGATAAATTATTACAGATCGAAGAAAAACACGGAAGATTCATTAGAGAAGGATCGTGATCAAATTCTGACACACACACACACACACACACACATACATATATGGTGCAGCGTCACAATTTTTTTATATAATGGAATACAACGATGAACGACGCAATAAGTTTGGAATAGCGGTGATAATATCATTATTATTTTTCATATTTCATACGCATAATAACACAAATGAGTATAATGGTATACATATTCCTACACTTCGACAAAATTTAGGTAAGCCGAATTTTGCTAGATCTTATAATAGTCTAATAAGAGTACGTAATACTGATGTAACATTATCTGCACCATATCTGGATAAAATTAATAAGAATTGGCACGTTGGTGGTTCTACGATGATACGAAACAATGGATTCATACAATTGACGAGATCAGGTGAGACAAATCGTGCAGGTTCATTATTGTCTAATGGGGTCGGTGATAATAAAATTAATAATTATGAAACAGTTTATGATTTTAAATTACAGGATAGTCATGGAGATGGGATGGCATTTGTTATGACTTCGGAGAATGGATTTATTTGGAGAGATTTAACTTCATCCTACGCATTAAGACAATATATGACAAATACAAATGGGATTTTGCCGAATGATATCACTATGATGGGATTCCCCAAAAATTTACCAGGTCTAGCAATCATTTTACAAACAAATACAGTGACTGGTATACCTGAATGTGATATATATTTGAATTTAGACCCATCACAACATTCATATGATTTTGAAAGTTTTGGGAGAGATAGTAGTTCAATTAAATTAAATCAATATTCTATTCGATTAAATGAAAATATCTTGAATGGACAACGAACAAGATTAAGAATAATATATTTGGAAAGTATACGGTTTTTAAAGATTGATATATCATATACTCAAGGACGAAATTGGGAAGAACTATATATCAATCAGGATTTACCATGGGATTTACCAAAAAACCGTAGATCTGGTGAAAGATATATAGGTGTCTCGAGTCTTGCTAAACATAATAGTCAAAGTGTCTCTTTGTTTAGCATATGGACTAATGAATTCCATTGGTCAAATAATCGTGATGAGACAATGGAAATTGCAAATGATGAATTTAAGAAAGATGCATTAAATTTTATTCAAAGGGAATATGGAGTGGTAGTCACTACAAATACAAAAAACATTCAAAAACAAGTACCGACAAAACAACAATCACCTTGGTTTCAATCTTTTGGATGGATATGGTTGAAAATTATTGCAATAATCATCATTTTAATGATAATATATCTGATGTCGATTTACCTCAGAGTAATCACGAAACATGTTCATAAATTAAAGAAAAAACGATTACGTAGATTGCGTAAAAAAAATAACAAGGACGACATGTTACTACCGATTTAAAGTAGCATACATACTAATACATAGATAGAGAGTAAAAGAGGTAAAACGGTTTCCCTTCTTTTACAGATTCAACTTTTGGCATAGATAATATTTTATTTTATAAGAGAATATTCAATATTATATAGATATACATACATATATATGAAACGAACGAGCATATGATCGATAAGAAAAATATTTTTTTTTAATTATGATTTTATTGTAACAATACTATTAACTGTATGTGAACTATTGTGTCTTTGTAACGAAAAATGTTTGGAACTTGACGGTCTAGATGATATTATAGAAGGTGTAGCAGAAGTATGAGCCAAACTAGAGGATGCCCTTGCCCTATCCAGAATACTTGCTGGAGGAATTGCCATTGTACTAGAATTTGTTTCTACTGTACGAGCTGACATCACTGTAGGTCGTGTAGATTGCATAGAATGCATATCTGAAAACGTTGACGATTTAACTGAGGATGAACAAAATGAGAATAAAGGAGCCATACTTGCATTATCAGAATCCTCAGAATCTTCAGAGGCTAGTGATGTATCTGTTATCGTAGATATAGTATCATCATCCTGTTGTGCAGCACTTGTCCGTATCATCTTAGGCTTTTGTGGTTCTTGATCCCATTGCACTTTTGTCTGTTTAACTTTTTTGACAGTTGGAGCTACGTGTGTTGTGGATGTTTGTTGTTTTTGTTGTTGTTGTGAAAACTGCTGTGGTGATGATAGCGATGGTGGTGTCTCCCTTGCAGGTTGGATGATTCTCTTAACCCATTTAGATAACTTCTTTTTTCCTTTACTTGAAGTTGATGTATTCGATACACGTGGATTATTCCTTACTACAGCATCTGACATTTCTCAACTCACGTCTTATGTGAATATATCTATATATATTTATGGCTTCTTCTTTATTATTTTTGTTTTTGTTTCCTTACTTTTAAAGTATCTTTATATTTTTTTTTGTTATGTAAATAATCTATATTTATAAAGCGTATATATTTTTAAATACAAATTTAGATGTATATTTTTTAATAAGAGAATGAATGACAGCGATTAATAAGATGTGATGAGTAATTGTAAAAAGCAAAAAATGGATAAAATAAAATGTTTTTGAAAGACTGTATGCAAAATATAGGTCTCTTTAAAAAATTTAATGACTAGCTAAGGGTGGTGGTGTGTACATTGCAGAAAACGTACAACAAAAAAAAGCAAAAAAAAGATTGATCGAAACGATAGACTGTTCTTATAGATGTGTATCTTTCATTGTAAACATCAGTTTGTCTTTAGTTGATCAACTTCTTCTTTAGATGGAGATTGTACCAAGACATTAAATCTTTTTAAAGTGGTATTACCAATTTCTCTACCAGTAGAATACAAAGCCTTTGGAACGTTATTGTTTTGTTTATTCAAATGAGTCCCATAAGTCTCTGAGACAGATTTGTAAGCATTTTGAGTTGGCTCCAAGATCAGTTTATTAGCTTTTTCTTTTGTAGGTTGAATATAATCATTTTGTACCTTTGCATGTAGATCCTGAGTCAAAGACTTTGTAGTAGAGGATAATTCATCCAAATGAGGCAAATTACCACTTTCCACAGTATCAGAAGAGTTAGTTGCTGAAGTTTCAGAGACTCCCGAGGTGTTATTATTGCTGCTATTACTTGAATCACTCACAGAACCAAGGTTTAATGGCACTACGACTAATCTTTGTAATAATACATTGAAACAATTAGCAATGTAATCCAAAGTGAAATATAGACACCATACGCCTGGAACACCACCTTGTTTATCCCATGATTTCTTGAATGAACCGACACCTTCATCCAAGACCAAATAGTTTAACAAACCATCCAAAGCCATTGCTTTAGACAACAATTTGTTAAATAGTGTCTTGAAACTATGAGGGACATAGTTGGATTCAAACCCAGTGGAGATCACTCTGTTCACGGCGGATTGTGTAGAAGTAACTAGTAATGCCAACCAGGTTAGAATCACTTGAGGAACATACTTGTCTGCATAGACATACAGAGCATCGTATTTCTTCAAATGGTCGTATGTAGCAGATTCGTAGTGTAATGGTTGAATTACGGTAGAGGTTTGAGCATCTGTGCTGGTAGTAGTATCTTTCTTTTGAATATCGGTAGGCATACTAGTATATTCGTGTTGTTGTTGTTGTTGATGATGATGTGGCTTAGGTTTATTACTCTTAGAATGGTTTCTGCGGGCAGTCATATCAAATATAGGAAAGTAAATGAATAAAAATATATATATATATGTATGTATATATATATATTGTAAAATAAGAATAAATAAAAAGAGAGAAACAGAATAAGAAACTAAAATAGGCACACCTCCTCAAAAGACAAAACTTTCCAAAAAATAATTCCCATCAATTTAACTCGTCAACTTCTTATCTTCGCAACTTCTTATCCTCTTTATATAACAATGCAACACGGCCAATGGCAGCCACTTCACTTCATTTCACAGCATGAGAAGTCTGTCAGTCACCCAGTCACCTCTCCCAGCGACGAGGAAAGCAAGAAAAAAATTCTGCAGTCACAGAGAGCTTGCGGGGCTGCGCGGGCTTCTCTGGGAGCGACATGCTCATGGGATATGCAAGGGATGTTGCTGAGATGCTGACGGGAGAGCGTTATTGGGGCCTCCTCACTCCTCACGGTGGATGCGAGAAGGGGTTATACTTGGTGGATCAATGGATCAAGGATTAGGTTAAACAGTATTATACATTACATAGTTTTCAGGATTGCTTACACTCTGGTGCTTGCTCGGTACCTGCGAAGTCGTCCTGGTCGTCATTGTCACCTTCACCTTCACCTTCGCCATCGTCGTACTCTTCTTCATCCTCTTCTTCACCTTCATCGTATTCGTCTTGATCTTCGACAAACTCGAACTCTAAAGCTGCACCGGTGAACCAATCCACGGCACGAGGGATTAGTTTGTCCTTTAGCTGTTCACCAATGGAGTAATCCAAAGCCAAACGGGACTCTAATTCCTCATCAACATCCTCTTCATCTTCTTCATCCTCTTCTGCCTCGGTTTCTTCATTCTTTTCAGTTGGAGCCACCGGAGGTTCAAAGAAGTTGAAAAACGATTCTACGGGAGTCATTCTCTCAACTGTACGTACTTGTTTTGTAGCTTTATTACGTTGCTTACGTTGTTCAACATCAACAGTGACATTATGTGCATGGTCCTTCCATGTAATGGTCTCACCTTCAGCATGATCGTATACGAAATCACCACTGTAACCCAATTCACTTTGATAATAATATGTTTTGGTTAATGTCTTGTTTGTGAAGTATGGGTTTTCAGCATCATCAAACATAAATACCAATTTGAAACCAGGTTGGCCCTCAGAGATATATTCCATAGACACATCTGTCAAGTATTCTAATACTTCAGCATCACGATCTGTGATTGTTTCACTGACAATTGGTAAGTTCTCAAGAGCAGTTAACCAGAATGATGGAATACCTTCTATTTTCTCTTCATCTTCAGCGCCAGCCTCGCCTTCTTCTTCTTCTTCATCTTCTTCACCGGCAAGTTCACGACCTTTAGCAATTTCTTCTGAAGTTGGTTCGACAGAACCGCTGCTGATTGCGTGTCTACGTTCCATCAATGGACGGTATAATTTGTTATATTTATCTTCCAATTCAAACATCTCGACTTGGAAGTTTTTCTCCAAATCAAACAGTTCTGTTTGTAAAGAACTCAACGAATAAACACGATTCTTCACATCAATAGGCAATGATTCCACATATCCACTGTCTGCACCAATCAAATCGTCCAATTTATCCTGGATCGACGCCAAAAGTAATGGCTTTTGAGCTAGCAAAGCACTGGCTACTTGGGCAGCTTGACTGTTATCTTCTTCAGCAATAGTTTGAGGAATATTCTTGCTGGCGACAGGGTTCCCATTCTTCAGATAACTGTTGTTCAATACACTAGCTGGGGTGTTGTGAGGTGTAGGAGCATTGTCGATCTGCATCGACGACTTTGGTTTACCGTTAGCTCTAATAGGGTTCGACATTGCTTTTTGTAGTGGAGAGTTAATAGTGGAGGTTTCTCTTTTCTTGATTCTATTATTTTGTAATGAAGCGTACAATCAATCCTTCTTATCAAAAGGTACAAACAATCTGATGAAGCTGATGCAATCTTGTTCAACCTTCTTCTTCTTCTTCTCTTTGGAAAATTCTTTTCTTTCCAAAATAATTCTTTTCCGCGTTGAGGCAAACTTCGCCAATAATTAAAAATTTGGCTCTCTGTCACGTGGGGGAACAGCATTAAACGACATTTATGGTTCATTGAATAAGTTATAATAATATTTAGGAATATATATATGTATATATGTTTATGTCTATTTTAAATGAGATTCGATGGATCGTAGAGTATTACCCATCTTCTGTTTCTCCCAGTCTACCCATAGTGCGCCGTTGTTCCAGACACCAGCAGTGGCGGCATCAGCTAATGACTGTCCAAACGGTGGCTGAGGTGGTGCTGTTTTTAGTAGATTACCGAGTCCATTAACTTCATGACTCAATAGTTTTGAATCAGTTCTATACATATATTGAAGTTGGTCTCTTGTAGGAAATTGATCATGTACTTCAACATCGATTACTTTTCCATTTTGTTTATCACGTAAATAATTTAAGATGTTGGTAGCTGTACGATTACGACTCATATCACCACAGAAAAGGGTGATGATACGTGGTTGCGATTGTAATGAGCGAAACATCTGTGTTGTATTTTGTGTATTTGTTATATGCTTGTTAATTTCTATTACTGGTGGTAAGTGTATATACTTATATCTCTCTCTATATACATACCCCTTTAGTTATTCTTCCCGGCAGCTACTTTATATTTTGTCCCGAGAATACTCAACGTTAACACCATTAACCCCGGTACAAAACAAGAGTTAAAGGTACCATGACGTATCATTCAAAGAGATCAATACTAGAGGATAAATTAGTGTGACAGACAGTTTATTATTCGGTTTGAGAAGGAGTGGACGGTGTCCGTATTTTATGTTTGCTATGATTGATATCTTGTGCCCCCCGCGACGTTCTTTTCAATGGGGAAGATAAGTGATGAGCCATATTATTAATAAGAGAAACAAATAATTCAACTTGTTTAGGTTTAATGAAATGAAATAACATAGCAAAAAGTCGAAAGAGTATTTGCGTATATGTTGGTTAATGAAATGAGGTTACCCCTATGGTGGGAGTTACCTTGTTACTTGACTTGCATTCTAGCAATCATTATCTCCTTGTATGGAATATTTAGACAATTGATAAACTATAGACGTCCCGTTGAACAACGCTTAGTGGTAAGAATTTTGTTATTAGTACCTCTCTTTAGTATAACCTGTGGTGTTGCTATCAATTGGCCAAATGTTGCACAAGTTTATTTTGATCCTTTACGTGAGTTTTACGAGGCCTTTGTCATATATACTTTTTTTTCTTTATTGACAGTACTATTAGGAGGAGAAAGAAATATCATTATAAATCTCACTGTGGATCACTCACCTACTAAACATACGTTCAGTTGGTTAGGTTCGTTAGATCTTTCAGATCCGGGAGATTTTTTATCCTTGAAACGAGGTGTGTTACAATATGTTTGGTTTAAGCCATTCTATTGCTTCATGTTATTAATATGTGAAACAAAAAAATGGGATACAATTCAATTGTGGCTACTAGTGCTATATAACGTCTCGGTATCATGGTCACTTTACAATCTCGCAATGTTTTGGAAATGCCTTCATATAGAACTTTCACCATTTAATCCATGGTCGAAATTCTTATGTGTGAAATTAATTATTTTTGCATCATATTGGCAGGGCTTAATAATTCATACCTTGGGCGTTCTAGGAGTGTTTGGTGCAGATCCACATCTTAGAGGTTACCTGTACCAGAATGGAATCCTCTGTATTGAGATGTTAGCATTTGCCATGCTTCATCAACAAGCGTTTCCTTGGATACCATATTCACGTATGGAGATTCCCAGTGGTGCTAGAATGCAATTAATATATGCAATTAGAGATTGTTTTGGTGGTGGTGATCTCCTATGGGATTTTAAACACACATTATTAATTGGTAATACTTATTACAACTATAGAAATTTTGATACCCCTAAACAGAATATACTGAATCAAAGAAAAGGGATACGAAATACTATGAATAAACTTAACCAGGGCTATAGGTATAGCTCGCAGAATGAGAATACTTATTGGGTAAATTATGGTAGTATACCAACTAATCAACCTAATCGTTCAGTCCCTGTAATGACTCCAGAGATTAATGAAGAGGAATATGATACTAGTTTATGTGAGGTATCAAGACAAACACTTCACGATGACCCTAATTATCCTGTAATATGGGACCCAGAAGGTTATAGATACATTATAAATATTTCAAATCTTAAACAAGATATACAAAACCGTCATCCAGTTATTGTATAAACAACAAAACAAAACGAGACATAATATCTCATTATGTACTTATCAACACCTACGTTCATGTGTAGAATTGCTTCTTATGTGAAATAACAATAATGATAACATAAATATATAATATTTTTTATGAATTTACTATGTACAGCATGCTCATAATAATGAAATCTCCTATATACATATGTTAAATATATAGGCGATTATGCAAATGACAATATGTCTCTATTCATTTTCTGATGAATTCATTTACCTTAACAGACATTTTGATTATTATATCCGCAAGAATAATGACGGTTTTCTCCAAATCACAATTTAACAATATTCTAATGGTAATAATCTTAACAATGATGATTTTAGATTTCTATCACCTTGGAACGTACTTGGAAAATCTTCATTTTTGCTTGTTCAATTTATGAATGTGACCACAAAATGACTATTTAATTAAGAAATGCTTAGCACACTCATAAGCAGTCCAAGAGATTGCAGTAGCAGGCATGTTAGCAATGACTCTTGGTTTCAAACCTCTCCAAAACCCTTTCCAACCATAAGTTGAATACAAAGCAGCTGATGCCTTTCCAAACGTGTCTGCCGTCTTCATCACATTCAATTGTACACTCTTACTACCCTTCACTTGTAAGACAGTCTTTATACAATCCAAAGGAGTAGTGATTGCGGCACATGCAGCACCACTAATACCACCACATAAACAATGAATCAACGGGTTATAATTATTACCAGGATTGAAAAATTTGGTAGCAGATTCATATATCATAAAGTTGAATGCGGCAAATGGTATATTCATCGCTAAAGTAGTTGGATAGGAGACATAGAATGCCGATATCCCTTCTGCGCTATATATATTTTTAGTTAGGTTCCATACTGAGGAATTAGTATTCAATTGTATTCTTTGTTTGATGGTATCGAATGGATTCATCAATGCATCTGCAGCAATAGTTGCCAAAGCACCACTTGCAGCAGTCTTCAAAGGTTGATGTGTGTTGATATCCTTTGGATCGATCAAATGTGATTTGGAATATTCATAAGTTGCAAAATATACAGCGTGAGCCGGACCTGCGCCTAGAATCACAGACTGTACACCCTTCCATAATGCTAAAGAACCTTCTGTTGTGGAGATACGTGAGATTTGTCTCAATATATTATCTGATCCATTAGACAAAGTGGCAGATTGTATTCTTGTCTTAATCGCATCTATCGGATACAATACACTATGTTCCATAATACCAGCGAATGCACCCGCTAATAATTGATGGGATAATGGGGCATTTGACGGTAGTGCTTCATAGTCAACTTCTTCTTCTTCTCCTCCTGCCATGATAATATCTGGTCTACTTATTTCCTTAAGTGACATAATATTATTTTGTTTTGTATCTTAAAACTGCTAGTAATTAATATCAGTAGCTAATAACCAATTAAAAAAAAAAGAAGTTTAAATTGGTGAAATTTTATTCGATTATTTTATGTGCGAATATTTACAATATAATAGAATTAGAAATCTATAGGGGGAGACAGAGAAAGAGAAAAGCTAGATCTACATAACATCGAGAAATATAAAGACATAATAGAAGAACCATCTATCATCAAGTCATATACTTATATATATCTATATAAACCTACAAAGTCTAGTTCCTGTAAAAAACAATTTACATCTGAGTAAGCAATAAATTAACTATAAGAATAAGTCATTTAAAATTCGTTTTTCTTTGTCGGTCGCTAAGAAAATTCCGTAGCATGTATCGATCATCTTCATCATCGCTCTCTTCACCCTCACTATAAACATAGAACAGTAGCTTATTCAGTAGTATAGCCAGCGACTTGGTTCTTTCTCGTAATGTTCGCTTCTTAGTCCACAAGACACATTCCATTATCAGTCACCTATCCATTAAAACAAAACCTGCTCTTGAACAACATTGTTCCACCAGATACAACTCCGTTCCTTTACCATTTATCAAATTGCACCTTCTAAATAAAATCTCATTCTTAGCAATGATTTGCTGGCTGATAGTGCTCACCCTCTCCTCCCCATTCTGCTCGCCGCGGGAAAAGGGACCGGTTCCGCCAAATTGGCCAAACAAGAACGGTGCAAAGTGAGGGAGAACAAAATTCCATTCCGATCAGCATATCAGAAATGGGGTGTTTAACGACACAATATGCACACCCTCAAATGGATACACTAGAAGGAATATGAAAAAACGATCGAAAACATGTTAACGGTATTGCTATCAATGAATAAACATATGTATGTATGTATTGCATAAATAAATAATAATAAATATATATATATTTATATATACCTAGATGTATGTAACGCAAAAGAGTTGTTTTTCTTCTTCTTTTGAGAGGGGATAATATATATTATAATCCGATCAAAGTGAAAGCAAATGGACATGCCACAGTGACCGTGATGGGAATACCCATATATATGATGTATCTTGCTACAATGTCAATGTTAGCCTCACCTATATGTGCGACACATTCATTGTTCTCTTCTTTGAATTTCTTGGATTTGGTACGTAATGCAGATATTTCAGCTCTATCATCCTTTAGATGAATAACCTTAATTAAAGTATTATAGACTAATGGTTTTGAAATGACAGATTTCCATACTAGGACCATTGGCACTGCGACAAAAGGTCTCAAAAATACTTTATAACCATCTGTAGTCATATTACCACATTTCATTAATGGTGCGACATGTTGTAAAAACCAATCACCACATTCATAACCTGAGGCGACCCCTATAAATGCAACACTATCACCAAAACAAGGACATTCATCAATGGGTCTAACATGTTTGAATAGGATGAATAACCCCCACGAGAAACTAATTATTGGGAACCACCATAGGGCACCACTTTCAAAATCGATAAAATAATTTCTTAACGACATACGCACTGCATATGTAAATATACCACATAATGAACCCGTCACAACATCTAATAGACCATGCATACCACAGTACAATCTACCTAGAACTAAAGTAGCATAATAGAAAACTATCAATGATGCGAAACCACATTTAGCTAGCATTGATAAAGAAGAATTGGACTGGTAAAGGTGTACTAAGAAATATAATGATACAGCAGTAGCATTTGCTGAATGAGAACTTGGTGCACCATATTCTTCTGTAGTGTAGGGACTCAACGATACACGTTCCACCGGAGGTGATTGGGGACGAGGTAAACACCAATAATCCTTTAAGAACCCAGAAAGATAGATCGAATAACCTAGAATATACACCAGATCCCTAGTAGTTTCAAAATAACCAAACCATACAGGCATCGGTAAGAACAACACATAAAAAGTATGAGATCCTAATAATGCTGTATATAGGAAATATAAATCACGAAATTTAGTTGAATAATTATTTTGCCAACGTGATAAATATATTGATTGCTCATCTGTGAATTGCGTTAAATATTTTCTAATGGCAAATCTCATAGGAGACATTTTTGATTTGAAATGCTCATCCTCATGATTACCAGGGTCTAAAAGCAATGATTTACTTGCGGCTAATACATGAGAACCATGTGAACTTGAATGCAATGGTGTTGCTGACGAACCATCTTTCGTCATTGTAGATTCAACCGTCACACTTGCAACCATATCTTTAATAGCTTTAATTAAAAAACGTTCTGGAAATATGTAAATATGTATATCAATATTTAAGGTCAGATATCTTCAGTAAACTTGATGAAACACACTATAATATACTAAGCGTACAATGAAATATCCCATACATAAGATATATACGTCCATAGATATATAAAAATATATATATATATATATAAGTCAATACGTATTTACAGCAAAAGGTCCGAAGGTGCTAATTCATGAAACATTTTCGTATTCTCCTAATTGTTTGAAATGATGCGGTTGCACGAAATGTTTCTCGAGAAATGAAATTAGTATTATGAAGAGAAGATGATAACGGAATATCATAGGCACGATTAAAATTTTAAGAGATGAATGAATGAATTAATGAATAAATACAGAAAACTTCAGTAGCTACGCCTATTTTACCTTCCTTTTGCATAATCCAACATGAAATTTCACCCAAAAACCACATAGAAAATGAAAATTTTCAAAGGTAAAGAGAGAAGTAAAGAACGCTTTCTGTTTTACCCATTTTTCGCTCTTTCGTCGCAGTGTACATTTTTCGCGACTTTTTATTTATAATTAACAATCAATTATTCCATTGTTAATTCTCCTATTATTAAAAACCTCACGAAGTGTTAGATGTATATATAGTTGACTATCGACTTAAACAATATATTGTTTAATATTTGAAATTATTCGTAACTTAGAAGAAGGATGAAAATAAGGATTATCTCTGGGTGCATCTTCTGTTTTTGTAGATATTATATGATGAGAAGAATTAAGGGAATTTCCTCTTGGTCAACTGTAGCTGTTTCACAGAAAATACTACTTATTAAGGGCAGAGCGTATTGCTTGTCAGTGCAAGTACTTCTTCTTCTTCGTCTTGAGCTATATAAGTATATATATGCACCCCTTGCTTCTTAGATATTGCTTCTAGTGGGTGTCCAAACCAAAAAGAAATGGCCTTGGGTTTACTTTAAGATATATGCGAAAGATATCAAATGGTGAATAATTCATTAACTATTTATTGTACTTTAACCATGGAAAGAGAAACACGAAACGTAATCAAGATGCACTCGGAACGTGCATGATTGCAGCGGAACCGATAAATATTGACAAATATATATATATATAAATAGTATTAGTAGTAATACTATTTATTATAAGAGAGAGTCAGATGCTACCAAATATATTGTTAGATATTACATCATTTGTGACTTTATATAAGGTGATGCATGGCGATGTTTAAGTCGATTTATTAAATGTCCCCTCCATGGGAATCTCTCTCTGCCTCTACGTCTTATCCGCTGATTCGATGATTCACGTTACCGAGTTTTTTTTAATTTTTCAATATTTCAGAAAACGTTCCTCCGGTTTCTCTCTCTCTCTCTTTTATTATCCTTCATCAGTACTTATTCAACATGATATTTCTTTATTTCTTGAAATGATCAGACTTGATGATCATCTCTTTTTAACTGCTTCCAAGTATCTTCTTCTTTATACTTACTATATATATATAATTTCTACCTGTCAATAGGATTAAGTAACGAGGCATCGTCATCATTTATACAGAACCATTTTACATGCCATCTGTGTCAAGTTTACATAAAGTTGTATCATTAACATCAGCAGGTTCGGATTTACATCTACATCATGCATACAGTAGACAACTGTCACGAGTAGTAAGCTATGCACAGATGAAAGAAGCTAATGCAATCCCTGATGATAGCTTTAAATTATTGATAGTGGGAGACACGGGAATTGGTAAGACTCAATTATGGCATGCTTACGTAGATCATCATAAAACCAACCATGATAAAGAGGAAGATGAGGAGGAAAGCCACATTATTATGATCGATGATAAAGTATCAGGGAAATATATTCAATTGGCTTTATGGGATACCGTCGGTGGAGAAGTAGCAGATAGATTGAGACCATTGTCATATAGTAATGCTGATATTGTGATTTTGGCATACAATGTTAATGATCGAATTAGTTTTGAGAATATTAGGAAGAAATGGGCAAGAGAAGCAAAACATTTTGCTTCAAAGAGTCAAAAGTTATTATTGGGGACTCAAGCTGATTATAATAATAATAATTCTGCAAACACAAGAATTACTGAAGAAGAAGCAAATGAGATGGCTGAGAGAATAGGAGCATTTAGTCACTTGCAATGTTCAGTAAATGATAAAATTAATATTACAAAAATTATGGATGTGATATTGGATCAATTATTGCAAGATGGATATAATAGAGACACCTTAGGCGTTCCATTACCGACAGATATGTCAAAACTCTTAGAACAAAAATTAGAAAAATTGACAGCACAAGATCATAACGAAATCGATTCAAAGCTACATACGAATCAAACAAAATCCGTTCCAAAGAAGAAAAGACAAGGACATTCAAATATAAAGAAAAAAATTAAACAAAAGGATTCTTGTATTATCGCCTGAGCATAACTAAAACAACAACACACATTTTTGCATGTATGTAAATATATCTAACCTATATACATATGTACGAATTATTAATGAATAACGAACCAACATTGAAAGAAAACGATTCTGTTTAAATTAAACATACACTTTATTGTTACTGGTAATGCGCTTAGTACGTAATAGCCGCATAATATTCGCATCGCCGTCACTTCGCACGCCAATTGAAATTTTTCATCTGATGGGATCGATGATTAAACTTTGTTCGATTCGATAATCCTGAAACTGCAAACATCATCGAAACAATCAAGTATATAATTGCTATAAATTGTTAAGCGGTGAACATAAATATATATATTCAGCATATTGTATTTGTGCTTGAACATATCTGTTAATGAACAACTTGATCAAAAGTTCATTGTTTAGGTATATTAAACCATTAACCGTATTAGTGCCTCAACCCACGACCAGACGTTGCTTATCCATAATGTCAACCATTAATAATGACAATATAATTGCCACTACCCCAATAAACAAGAGAGTACAGGAAACAAATACTGTTACGAAAGTTAAAAAGCAAAAATTGAAAAAATACAAAGCTAAGAAGGCTGACCCAACCTCACCTTCTGGTGTTTTACAATTCGAAATCGATGACCTTTTGAAGACTCATAATTTAACAAGAGATGAGGTTTCAAATGATGTTTCCACTATATTGAACGATTTTTCGAAAGAGGATGAAAATTCCATTACAAAGAAATACCATCGTATTGTAAATGATGTTGAAATTTTAGTACTGACCTCTAGCGGTGATGGTCTTGCGCTAATAGACCATCCAGTTGATTCAACTAAGAAACAAATAGCTATTGTCCCATTTGGTTTGCCTGGTGATATTACAAATATCAGAGTCTTCAAGACTCACCCATATTATGTCGAAACAGATTTATTGGATGTAAACAAAAAATCACCTATCAGAAGAGATGATTTGATTAGGGATAAGTATTTCGGTAAAGCCTCTGGAAGTCAATTTGAATTCCTTACTTACGAAAAACAATTAGAAATTAAAATGAACACTATTTCTAATGCGTATAAATACTTTGCACCTCGTCTGGTTGAAGAATGTATATTACCAGCCACCGGTACTACAATTCCATCCCCACTCCCATATTACTATAGAACCAAAATTACTCCACATTTTGATATGCCAAGAAGAGCTAAAGTACTAGAGGAGAGACCTCCTTTAGGTTTTGGTCAAAAAGGTAGACCAACCTGGAGAAAGGAAACTTTAGAAGTTGGAGGTCATGCCTCCACACTAGATATTGACGAATGTGCATTAGCAACAGATATTCTAAATATAGGTCTAACTAATGAAAGAAGAAGGTTTGATAAGGAATTTAAAAACTATAAGAAAGGTGCTACTATTTTATTGAGAGAAAATACAATTGTTTTTGACGAAACAAAGACTATTAAAGAACAACTGGGAGAAGGGTCAAGAGATGAGAATGGTGAAGTTAGTTACGTTGAGGTAGAAGACAAGGAACGCGGCGTTAAGTTAATCAAGACATGTGTTACCAATCAAAAACAAATTGTTTCAGAGTATGTTGACGGTTATACATTTAACTTTACAGCTGGTGAATTTTTCCAAAATAACAATTCTATTTTGTCTACTGTCACCAAATATGTTAGAGAAAACTTACAAATTCCGAATTCGAAGATTGATGAACCAAATTACTTAGTAGATGCTTACTGTGGTTCTGGTCTATTCAGCGTATGTAGTTCGAAAGGTGTCGAAAAAGTCACAGGTGTCGAAATTTCCGCAGACAGTGTTTCATTTGCTGAAAAGAATGCAAAGCTTAATGGAATTGAAAATTGTGATTTTATTGTAGGTAAAGCTGAAAAATTGTTCGAATCCATTAGTACACCAAATGATAGAACATCTGTGATTTTAGATCCACCAAGAAAAGGTTGTGACGAAGTATTCATGAAACAATTAGCCGAATATTACCCCGCTAGAATTGTATATATTTCTTGTAATGTTCATTCTCAAGCTAGAGACATTGAATATTTTATTAAAGAGACAGAAAAGGGTAGTCATTACAAGATTGAGAGTTTGAGAGGGTTCGATTTCTTTCCTCAAACCCACCATGTAGAAAGTGTATGTGTTTTATCTAGAGTATGATAATCTAACATCTAACTGGATGAAAGGAATTATTAAATAAAATTGAATCATTAACAAACAGCATTGTATATCCTTTATTAATTATGATCACTCGTCATTTATATTTGAGACTCGTATTGATGTGACGATAAAACACCCAGACCTCCCTTAAACATCCAAACACCCATTATGTTTTCTGATATATTTTTACTTTATATCTGAAATTATTTTAATTTTCGAATTCAAAGAAAAAGAAACCTCGCGTGAAGATAACGCACATAATTTCTCGGTCTTGTGTAAAGATTTCCATGACGTATGCAATGATATTGGTTTGTCCAACACTTTATTCCTGAAAAATTATACGGAACTAACTTGGAGTAACCTTGATGCTATTACAAGAAATAGATTTATCTGCTATTACTTAAATATATGTAAATTTATTACTACTAATAATTCATTTAGAATACAAAAAGTTACAAAACCAACAGCAAATAAATATATCACAATGGAAAACGATAAAGGTCAACTAGTATGTTAAGATATAAGACGTGAGAAGAAAATAAATGGTTTAATTTGAAGACAATTTAAAAATGATAGGATGTCAGTGTTGATGTCTGAAAATGATTGTGTAATAAAGAAGAAGGTTTATAAGGAACCCAACAGGTTATTAGAATGTGTTATAAGTTGTTATTATTTTAGAGGAATTTACGACTGGGTTTTTTGAATATTTAAAAATGTATTGGGATTGTAATAGCTTTATGGAATTTGCTGAGACATTAGATAATATGATTTTGAAAGGGTATTAGATTAATATTCTTAGTATAGTATTGGAACACCATTATAGTTCTACCCACATATATGAGTAGGTTAATATGTATTCCTCTACGGTACATGAACCACGAATAATAGAGCTGCAATAAATAATCTATCAATTTCTTCATTTCACCATTTACCACTACCAAATTATTTTATAAAAACAAGTTTTACTAACGATTTTAAATTTATTATATTTAACGACTTTTTAAATGCAAAGAAAGAATGAATTCAAGAGTCAAAAGTTGCATAATATGATTACTATAAGAATTGCTTGTACTTGATAATGTAAAGGAGATAATCTTCCTATCAAATCAAACGAACGACCTAATAGTTTTCATGTATTGTACAAGTTCTGTTTTCTATATTTTTTGTTTTTGTTTCAATTTCATTGAAAGAGTTTTTGAACATATTACTTTTTAATTACAGGTTGAATTATACGTCCCAAGAAAGTGTTCTGCCACCAACAGAATCATCAAGGCTGACGACCACGCTTCTGTTCAAATCAACATTGCTAAGGTTGATGAAGAAGGTAGAGCTATTCCAGGTGAATTCATCACCTATGCTCTAGCCGGTACTGTCAGAGCCAGAGGTGAATCCGATGACTCTCTAAACAGACTAGCTCAACAAGACGGTCTACTAAAGAACGTCTGGTCTTACTCCCGTTAAGCTCTGATATAGCTGTATAGTACATATATAAATCTATCAATTTTTTAACAATTTATTAAGAAATAATTCAATACAAAACATATATCATTATTGATTTTACTTTGTTCTATTGGGACAACCTATCTTAGACAAATAGTTACATATATTTAGCTTGTTCATAATAAATATTTATATATGGATGTAAGTAATACGGGTTATCAATTACTATAACCGGGATAGGCCACATGTAATTGTTATTCTAGATTTAGAAGCATACGACACTTTCTAACTTAGTGTTTCTTACTAACTTTAACAAAATGAACATGCAAAATAATGTCTCTAAATTATTGCCCCACTAAGCGGACAACCCCTTCTTTGAAGTAACCCCCACTATCACTAGCCAAGTTGTTGTTGTTGTCATTCCAATCTGCAAAAGAGGCTTTTTACTCCGTATAAACTGTATTAATTACATATTCACTATTATTTGTACGGACTATTCTGTGGTAACTGCATATTCAACTGTTGCTCAAATTTTCATGCAACCTGCGTGAACCTTTTTAAAAAACCAGTTTCAGATACCAAGGAAAAACAATAAACAACAAGAGAAGTAGTAGGTTATATAATATTACAATACTACCTAGATTATTCTTGACTTGCCCCACTCTTTGTAATATTTTTACTATTACCTAGTTCCTTTAGTTTCCCCTTGCTCTTACCCTTTCTGTTCACTTCTTTAAGAGAACAACAGACAGAATGTCAAATTTTTGTTCCGAAAGCTTATGTAAAGACGTAGTGAAATACAACTGAAGTTTAGGATTCAATAAGAGAAGCAAATGGTTGTTTTACATCTTACGAAAACACCTGATTTGGGAATAAGGTTATTGATGGTAGTAGAAAGATCATTAGACCTATATAATGGTTCTTACGTCCTTTTATTTAAGTTTATATTACTTTGGTTTAAAGTTTTCTTTTAAGGAGGTCCTCTTATATAAATAATAAACCTGGTTTAATTTACCATATATATATGGAACTTGTTTCCTTATTTAATAAACTTATAAATTTGCCTTCTTGTTGATTCACTTTATTTTTAGTTGATAAGGTAAACTAACAATTACAGCATACATATATATCCGAGAACATTTATAGACAACCGAATAGTTTACAAATATTATTTTTGTATCTGTTTAACCCAATTACAACTCTTTTTAAGGATCATTGAAGTATACATTAACCCAAATCCTTATTCATATATATATAGATCCACTGGTTCTCATTCCATTCACTGTCCAATAGAAAGTGCATTGTTTATTTCTTTTCTTTTCTTTTCCTGCATTTGTCAGTTTTAGCGCCTTTCATTTCCACCCCTTGAAATATTAAACTACTACAACAACAATAAACATATAAGAAGAGTAGTAAATACCACATTCACAGCTGCAAATAGATAACAAATACGTACCTAGCTCCAAAAAAAATATATATATAACATTATGTCGAAAAGACTGGCAGTTGCTACATTGCTTTATTCCCTGGATTATTTGCCCGGTGTATTTACTTTAGGTCATCAAATTAATAAATTATTACGAGTCAGACCTGATTCTGGCAATATTGACACTTGTTTATTGGTGACAGAATCATTATATAATGATGAATTGACGGTAGACTCCAAAAATGCTTTGCACACTCTATATCGTAGAGTGATCTTAATCAATCCGTTGATGGAAAATGATATCATCATGGAAAGGAATAATGGGAACCTCGACATGTTAAAGAGACCTGAATTGGCATTCACATTAATCAAAATTAAACTTTGGAACCAAGTCATGTACGACCAGATTTTATACTTGGATGCAGATACTCTTCCGATGACTGGAGATTTGTTCAATTTGTTTGAACAGCATCAAGACCAAAGTTGTCTACAGGTAGCTGCTGCACCAGATATTGGATGGCCCGATATGTTTAATAGTGGTGTTATGTTATTGACCCCAAATGAAGAGTTATACCACCAATTGCATATTTATACAATTGACCATGTTTCAATCGATGGTGCAGACCAAGGTATACTAAACCAATTCTTTAATCAGAATTGTAGAGATCAAACTTCAAACGTTAATAGAGAATGGCAAGTTTTATCGTTTTTATATAACGTTACTACTCCAAACACTGGTTATCAATGTCCTCCTGCCATGAAATATTTTAATAAAGATATTAAATTGATTCATTTTATTGGTAATAATAAACCTTGGAGAATTAATCTACATGTTGATTCGGAGAACAGTAATTACGCCAAAGAATGGTATAATGTCTACGAGGAATATATATGCGATCGCATTTTAGATCAAGGTCTTGTGAATTTACGTATCAAAGAAGTGCAACCTTATCACGATGAAGTCGAACCTGAAGTCAATTATGACAATAACGATCAAGGGTGTTGTTATGATGAAGAGGAGCAACATCATGAAAATCAACAACCAGAACAACAACATCAGTCATTTGAAGAACAAAAGCATGAAGTAGAAATAAAAAATCAGGATGTTGAAGAGGATCATGCACCAGCTGAACCGGAAAAAATTGACTTACCATTACAGTTTAAGGATTGGTTAACCACATTTATTACGAAAGAAGATGAGCCAGTACGTATACGACAAGATGATAACAACGACTTTGTTAACGACGCATCAAACGATACCAGTACTCCCTCTAAAGAAATAAAAGAAGAACAACCAATAAGTCGCGAGCCTCGAGTTTATGAAAGACAATCTGAATACGTTGAACGTCAATTCACAGAAACAGGGTTCTTCAATAACTCCGAGCAGCAAGATCAAGAGTCAATTATTTCGGAAGACGAACAGTCCCCAGATCAACCAAAAGAGAAACAAACACAAGATTTTACTTCAAAAGAGTCTGTTTCTTCGCCACCACCAGAACCTGAATATGTACCAAACTATAAATTTGGTTGGGAAGATACAGGATATCAAAAAACTGTTCAAAGAATATTCCCTACTGATATTTTCGAGTATGAAGTCGGAGAGAAACAAAATGAAGAAGGTGAAATTGATGATATCGCCATTGATAGAGAAATACAGACGGCTAAACTAAGAAGAGTAATTGCAGAAAAGGAGGAAGCTGAAGAAGAGGAAGAGGAAGAAGACATACAGGAACGTTCTTTGATAAACGAAGAAAAGGAAGATGAGGAAGAAGAAGATGAAGAATTATCTGATTTAGAAGACAAAGAAGAAAAAAATGATAAATTTATGCATATAAAGGAAATATTATCCAACGGCTCTGATGATATTAAAAAGTATAGTTATCCACCAGCCAGCAGGCAATTCCCTGACGACAACACTCCGCTGATTCATCAGACAATTCCTGAGGAACCATCTGATTACAACGAGGACTATGGTGATGAGTGATGCATTAGCCATTTCGTCACACCTTCTAACACTATAAATAAACACTAAAACTCACACATATGCCAATTGTGTCTTGCACTTGTAACATAGCAAACATCCAAAAACACATCTACACATTTATATAACATTTATATAACATTTATAAAATTGCACTTTACCTTAATCAAATATTAGAAATAAAATTATCATGCAATTATCATTCCATTAAGTTCAAATGTGTATGATTGAAACCCTAACTGAATTTTGTTGATATAAAATTAGGTCTTTATTTTACGTTGCTGTTGATATCATTTTAGACGCAGATTGTTACCCTCCTTGTCAGTGAAAATTTTTTCACTTCAACTTCTTCTGCTGGTTACTGGAACCTTTTTTTGTTCGGTAGGGACGACGGAAAATGATGCGACCAAACAATTCTTACTTCACCTCCTTCATATGCTATCCCTCCTCTAATCGAAATTGTTGAAAACTTTTCACCATCTTTATACACATCATTTAAGTAATTAATATAAGAAATAGGACCTTTTAACTATCAAACCTCTTTTGTTATTAATTTTATCACCGAAATATCAATCCTAATCAACAACACAAAAAATGTCTGAAGGTATTACTGAAGTTGAAGAATCTCAAATTGAAACTAACTATGACAAGGTCGTCTACAAGTTCGATGACATGAACCTAGAATCCACTCTATTGAGAGGTGTCTACGGTTACGGTTTTGAAGAACCATCTGCCATTCAACAACGTGCCATTGTTCCAATTATTGAAGGTCACGATGTTCTAGCACAAGCTCAATCTGGTACTGGTAAGACCGGTACTTTCTCCATTGCTGCTTTGCAAAGAATTGACCCAACCATCAAGCACCCTCAAGCTTTGATGTTGGCTCCAACTAGAGAATTGGCCCTACAAATCCAAAAGGTTGTCATGGCTCTTTCTTTCCACATGGATATCAAAGTCCACGCCTGTATTGGTGGTACTTCCTTCGTTGAAGATGCTGAAGGTCTAAAGGACGCTCAAATCGTCGTTGGTACTCCAGGTAGAGTTTTCGACAACATCCAAAGACGTAGATTCAGAACTGACCACATCAAGATGTTCATTCTAGATGAAGCCGATGAAATGTTGTCCTCTGGTTTCAAGGAACAAATCTACCAAATTTTCACCCTTTTGCCACCAACTACTCAAGTTGTTCTATTGTCTGCTACCATGCCAAAGGATGTCCTAGAAGTCACCACTAAGTTCATGAGAGACCCAATCAGAATCTTGGTTAAGAAGGATGAATTAACTCTAGAAGGTATCAAACAATTCTACGTCAACGTCGAAGAAGAACAATTCAAGTACGATTGTTTGACTGATTTGTACGATTCCATCTCTGTTACTCAAGCTGTTATCTTCTGTAACACCAGACGTAAGGTTGAAGAATTGACTCAAAAGTTGACTGCTGACAACTTCACTGTCTCTGCTATCTACTCTGACTTACCACAACAAGAAAGAGACACCATTATGAAGGAATTCAGATCTGGTTCTTCCAGAATTTTGATCTCCACCGATTTGTTGGCTAGAGGTATCGATGTTCAACAAGTTTCTCTAGTTATCAACTACGATCTACCAACCAACAAGGAAAACTACATTCACAGAATCGGTAGAGGTGGTCGTTTCGGTAGAAAGGGTGTTGCTATCAACTTCGTCGTCAACGACGATGTTGGTGCTATGAGAGAAATTGAAAAGTTCTACTCTACCCAAATCCAAGAACTGCCAGGTGACATTGGTACCCTATTCGCTTAAGGAAATCATCTCCTATAAGTTGCGTATATATATAGATTACTTTATAAGGTGTATAATCGATGATGGTTCTCTCCCCTGTTATATTAGTTGTTTTAACAAATTACATATGATCTTCTCAAAACCTTCTTTTAATTCTCAGATAAGAATAACTGAGTGGTATATGTCAAATATTTGCATTTCTTTTCATCTATGTATATATCAAGTTCATCTCTTGTATCGTTTCTCCTTCTTTTCTTCGGAGGAAGTAATATTATTGAATTTAAAAAAAAAATCGATGAGCTTATTAGCACATCTTAATATTTTTTTTTTGTAATCTTGAAATTTTTTTTCACTTTTATAAACTAATGAAGAAAAAGATGTAGTAAAGTCAACGAAATAGTCTAATTTAAAATATCAAAGGATAATAGTTTGGTTTACTTTACATTTGTTATTTATATTATTAACGAAATTACATATAATTGTTAAAAATGTCATCTCAAGTTAGCCTAAAAGAGGAAGATTTATCCAGGAAGGCACTGGAATCGTTGATTGAAGTGTGTAAGCAAGATCCAAAGTTAGCAGAAGACAAAGATGTACAGATTGTCATAAATACTACTAGAAAGATGGGTGTTCCAAAGGATTACATCCCTAGGATTATTCCATTGCAATATTGTAAGCTCAACAAACCAAGAGACTTGAGAACTCTCCTGATTACAAAGGATCCCTCTACCATATATCGAGACGCCATCACCAAGGATGAACCAGTTAATGACTTGATCAAAGAAATTATCACAGTGAAAAACTTGAAACGTCGTTTCAGAGGGTCGAAACTTAATGAGTTGTATTCGGAATTCGATATAGTCGTCGCTGATTATAGAGTTCACCATCTATTACCAAAAGTGTTAGGAACAAGATTTTTTCATGGGAGTAAGAAATTACCATTCATGATTAGAATGTCTAAGAATTTAAAAGTCAAACGTCAACAGATGGTTGAAACATGCGACACTTCATATATACGAGCTCAATTGAAAAGTATCTATAAAAATGCACACTACATTCCAAATGAGGACAATTGTTTGAATATTAAAATTGGACAGATTGGTAAACAAAATGTTGATGAAATGATATATAATGTATTGGATATTGTGACATTCTTAACCGATAGCAGTAAGAAACCTCAAGGAGGTGTTATCAAAGGTGGAATTGAATCTATATATGTCAAAACTAGTAATAGTTCAAGTTTACCGCTATATAGTAAGAGTGAGCAACCTGTTGCAGATGATGACGATGACAGTGAATTGGAATTATAGTGTTATTTTTTATATATAAAAAAGCATGTACAATATATCATATCGCATAGCATAGTATTTAATGGAATAATAGATACACTTGTAAAGCTACACAGTTCAACAGGATAGAAGAAGTTGGTGATATTTAGAGGCTCAGCAAGGTGTTACTCCAGGCAAAAAAAGGTATAATTCCAATGGTGGAAACAATTTATTGATAAAAAATATATATTTTCTTACATAATTGGGCAGAATGAATTGTAAAACATCAAAGAAGAAACAGGAATGTTGGTAAAATTATGATTATTTGACTGGGTCATCTCTATATTTGGCTGTGTCTTTGTCCTTCCGTGGTTCGGTAGTATCCCAATTGTGACACCTCTAGTCGTAGCTCGTGTGGCCTTCAGGAAGTCTGAGGAGACGCCATCCTTAACTTCAGCTGTACGCGCAACAAAAAAATTTTCACTGCGAATGCTGACTTGAACAATGTATATAATTATGAACAGTAACAATGGCAGTAGCTCTTCCTATTATATTCAGAGAAATTGGGATTACGACATTATCGTTTGGGTAGAGCCTTTCTAAAAGTTTCCTGAATCTCTCATACATCATCTGAGTTGAGGGAAATATACGTCGTCATTAAGATTTCTTGAGATATAAATATCTGTGTGTGTATTTAAGGACGTCTGCGCAGGGTATCTCACCGTATAGGTATAAAGCAAGCATATATCTAGCACTCTTAGTATTAACTATTTATAAGTTGGTAATGTTTCTTTGTTTGTTTAATATCAGGTTGAACTGGATAGTAAATCAAATATAATAGTTGTATATCAACGGTAGTAACCTTTACAATCGTTTACTGATCATTTAATGTTTGACAAGATATATAGATTCAACTAAGGAAAATCTGCTTAAATACCAAATTTTTAAAGTTCTTCAAGCTTGTGATATTGTTTTACTTTATTTTATCTCTTTCGATATTTGTTTCGCTAATCAAATATATATATAAGTTGTTGTGTTTTTTTGTTTAAAATATAGGAATTCATTTTATATGCTGTCTATTTCATGGTTGCCATATCAAGACGTTTAAGAAAAGTATTAAAATATCTACTACTAATTTCGTGTGCGACACTTAGCATCAGATACATACACTTCTGTGTTCTGAATTATTGTATTACGTACGAGGAGTATAATTTAGAGAAGAAGTATTACAATGTGTCAAATGATATATTACATAAATACGATGAGCTACGAAGACGAAATTTACGCCACGGATTGAAGATATCTTCAAGTTCATATCATGATAACATTCTGGATGAAGAATATGATGAAGTACGTGAATCTAGTAATAAAGAAAATGCCGTATTACTGATGTTAGTAAGAAATTGGGAATTATCATACGCTTTAAAATCCATGAGATCCCTTGAAGATAGGTTTAATCGCAATTATAACTATGATTGGGTCTTTTTGAATGATGTACCCTTCGATGCAGCATTTATAGAGGCTACTACTTTAATGGCCAGTGGGGAAACAAAATACGCATTGATCCCATCGAGCGATTGGGATAGACCCGATTGGATTGAAGATGATATTTTCGAACAAAGTTTAAACGACATGGAGAAACAAAATATAATATATGGTAATTCGAAATCATATCGTAATATGTGTCGATTTAATTCAGGGTTTTTCTTCAGACAAAAAATATTAGACCAATATGACTATTATTTCAGGGTAGAACCAGATGTAGAATATTTTTGTGATTTCCCATATGATCCATTTCAAGTAATGCGTCAACAGAATAAGAAATATGGGTTTGTAATATCTTTGGTAGAATATGAGAGTACTATACCAACATTATGGAAAACTGTTCGTGAATATATTGAATTAAATAATGATCAAACGATTGATACAAGTAGTGATCTTTATCAATTTATTACAGATTGGAATGACATTCGAACACCAAGATCCAGAGTTGAACCTACCGATAGATATAATATGTGTCATTTTTGGTCGAATTTTGAAATAGGCGATTTGAATTTTTTTAGAAGTAAAGAGTATATAAGATTTTTTGATTATCTTGATTCAAGTGGTGGGTTTTATTATGAGAGGTGGGGTGACGCACCAGTGCATAGTATTGCAGCCGTTTTATTGTTAAGGGAAAATGAAATTATTCATTTCGATGAGATCGGATATATGCATGCTCCTTATTTTACAATACCTCAATCAGAATACTTTCAATTGAAACAAAAGTGCATTTGTGATCAGACGGAAGAAGCTAGAATTGATTTTTCTGGGATCAGTTGTCTTACCAGATGGTGGAAACATGGTTCCGGGAAGAAATTTATGAGAGAAACATATCAATCATAGTCTAATTATCTCTTTTTAACACTAGAAAAGAATTGTAACTTTTCTAATTTTCAAGTTATATATTAGTACTTAAATATCCATATATTTATATTAATTGCATTTACAAACAAAACTCACATCTACAACTTCATTGTTTAGTTATTGTTTCTTGCGTTTGAGCTTAATGTTAAATAGTTTAAGTTCACAGTTTTATCGCTGTTAGATATATATTTGTGCGGCCAAATGATAAAGTTCGTCATATTATAAATCTTCCGTTATTAGAAAAAAATTAAGTAAATGAAATTAAGATAATTAATATATCAATGAAAGTTCGAATTACCATTCTTATTAACATACAGAAAAGGAAACAAATATTGATCTTTACAGCTCTCCATTAATAATATTGATTAATATTTGCTATATTGTACTAATTTATCTATAAATTAATCCTTGCTCATACCCTATAACGCAGTTTATTCTAGTTGGTTTACTCGTTCTTTGCATACACCCAAATATATTTATTATTGATCCCACATTTAACACATTATCTGCTGTAATTCATTTGAATAATGAGTAATAATCGAAAGGTAAATGACCCCCTATTGGCCAACTTAAATGCGTTTAAAAATAAGGTAAAATCAGCTCCTGTGATTGGAGTAAAACGTTCGGTTAGCCCCCAAAAGAAGAGAACGATAGCACAAGTTAAGAAGGAAGATGACGACGACGATATTGAAGTTATAAAAGAAGAGAAGGTTGAAAGTGGAAATTCAGGTTTAAATTCGATGGAGGCTCTAGAGATCCCATCAGATGACGACTATGAAAGTTCCCCCTCTAAGAAAGTAAGACCTGGATCCCTTGCTGCAGCGGCACTGCAAGCCTCCCAGACTAGTATTTCACAAAGTCACGACTCTTCGAAATTACTGTGGGCTACAGAATACATTCAAAAGAAAGGTAAAGCAATTCCTTTAAATGAGTTGATGGATTACTTGTCTTTGACTCCTAATGATAAAGTTATCGAACTATTAAAGAAATTGGAAAAGATTGGATTTGATTCTAAGAAGAACACCTTCAAGTATTTATCGACATATGATGTTCATTCTGCATCTGAACTACTAAATCTTTTAAAATCCCAAGTAACATTTAAAGGTATCTCTTGCAAAGAATTAAAGGATGGTTGGCCGCAATGTGATGCAACTATCAATGAACTAGAAGAAGAAAGTAAAATACTGGTTCTTAGAACTAAGAAAGATAGAACACCAAGATATGTTTGGTATAATAACGGTGGTGATCTTCATAGAGTGGATGAAGAGTTTGTGAAAACGTGGGAAAACATACAATTACCTCAATTCTCAGAATTACCAAGGAAATTGCAAGATCTTGGTTTGAAGCCTGCGAGTGTTGATCCTGCAACAATTAAAAGACAATCCTCAAGAGTTGAAGTTAAGAAGAAGAAACAGAGAAGAGGTAAGGTCACTAATACGCATATGGCTGGTATCCTAAAGGATTATTCACATAGGGTCTGAATACCACGTTTGTTAAGCAAAAAATAGTTAATTCGTTTGTCTTGGAACGGTTATGTATAACCTTCAATTAGGATTCCAAAGGGATTTGTGATTGATATGGTCGCCAACGTTGATTCCTGAAGTCGTGAATACGACAATTGCATATTGTTGTTTAAATTGTTTACTTTTTTTTTTATTTTTTCTATATGTTATCATTAGATAGATCAATGTACATAGATATGTTAAAGAGAATGAGGTATATATATTTGTATAAGTATATTTGAAAATGACTGTGTTTTTTAAAATAATGGGAAAATATACATAATTTTTTATCTTATAATGACTGAGTATGTATGATAAAGGCTTATTTGTGTTCCTTTTTCTTGTCTTTCTTGTGTTTTTTATCTTTCTTTTCCTTCTTCTTCTTCTTTGATGGAGCTTCATCGCCTTCTTCCTTGTGGTGATGATGACGTTTTTTAGAGTGTTCGTAATTTTCAGTTTCATTATTTCCTGCAACTACATTATTTGTAGTTTCCCTCTTTTTCATATTACTTGTTTCACTTATACCAAAATCTGCAGCGTTATAACCAGTAGCAAAATGTCTCGTTATTAAACCCTCTACTACAGGAACATTTTCACGTTCTGTTCTGACCCTTTCGTAGTTTATATCTGGAATATCTGTAGATTCACTAATAGTGAAGATCTTATCAAATTGGAGAGGTTTATCTTGTTTAGTTAATATTTTCAAAGAATCCCTTTTGCTTTCAGGAACCATTATAACTAAGTTACTGTTGTCTTTATTTTTCTCTTGTTCAATTTCGTAAGTTTGTTTGTCGACAGTGACAGAACTTGTTCTTTTAAAGTCAATTGGTAGAGTTTCCAATTTTGAGATATCTAGATGTCCTGGAATGTTAATTAACCATACTTCTTCCTCGGACTTCTTTGTTAGTTTATCCAATGGGAATTTCTTTAGATGGTCACATTTCTTGAAATCTGATGGAACTTTGAATGTTTGTTCCATTTCATTGTCAGATTCAGAATCTGAGATAAACTCGTTAGACATAATATCAGTTCTTGCCATTTTGGAACTTATCTTTGGTTGTTTATACCTTGTTAAAAAATTCAGCCTTTGACTAGTTTTTGAGTGGATGGTAACACAAAAATGCACACTTTTCTTTACTGGAAAATCTATAATAACAGAGATTCTTCGATAATATCTTCGAACTTGTTTACTTAGAAGCCAACTCCAATTATATAATTACTATTTTTTGTCGTGATATTCACGTTTTAATGACCTCATCGCCAATAAACCTAGTTCCAAAATGTTATCCAAAATGAAAAATTTCTCTTGATGGTTATTGGAATATACACCCAAGCACCGCACGCTAAGCCCTAACTAAAATATTGGCAGAGCTGAAAAAATTTTTTTTTTGAGAAAGAAGAAACATCATCGCTTCATCGCTAGGAAAGAAAAGTGAAAATTTTTCTTTCTAGAGAAGTATAAAAAGGATGATATTCATTATCAATTTATCTTTTTATTATTGGAAGAATAACTAGGTTTTAAGAACAATATTTAATAGATAAGATAAATAAATAAACAAATATCAAGAAGTTTGTGTGACACAATTAGTTTCAAAGTAACATTATATGTGTCTCTGATAAATTGTGAAGTCATTTCAAGGTTGAAATGTCCTTTATGAAATTTTAGTTTTAATAAATGAGATTACTCATTTATTAAAACTACCATTTCTTCATACATTCTTTTTGAATATGGTTCAATTATATTTTTAATTTTGTTTTGTTTTTGTTTGATATTGGCTTTGATGAAAACGGTGTTTCTTCTTTCCCAGTCCGATTCGACCATGACGATACGGGGATCTATCATGTCTCGATTGCACTTGTGTGATCACTTAAGAGACTTTTCTTGCCATGTTATATTCAACATTCAATATCTGAGCCTCTTTCAAACAAAAATATTCAAATTTAAAAAAAAATGGTTCCTTATATGAAGGTTCATATTACCTTTTTTTTCTTTTTCTATTTCAATGAGTTTAATGATTCTGCAAATTACTTTCAGTTTCAATATTTTATATATATTAATCACGGTGATGAAAACTGGTCCTTACATTCGCAGTTTCCACGGTAGAGGTACGCCTAAGAACCCATCTTTTAGTACCACCAGTGACCGCTCTCATTTGAGACCTTCCTAGGATGTCTGAGTGATTAATTTTTATAATAATTATTTTTCTTGTTAAATATCATTTTGAATTTTCTTCCAAAAAAGTCTTGTATTTTAAAATGTATGTATTTATTATGCATGCTAATTATGAACTACTTATAATTATAGTACACCAAAGGGCTTAGGCATCCATGTTTCAATAGGTTCCCAAAGTATTATTTTTTGGTTCTTAACTTCTGTTCTTTCCGTTGCTCCATGGGATTTGTTATTCGTCTTTTGCAGTCTTTTCTTTAGATTTGCTAGATCATTGAAGATATCCTCAGTTGATAGATCGTGTTTCTTATCACTTTTTATTGAAGTTGTTTCGTGGGTCTTGAGGATTAAAAATGAATGTTCATATGTGTCCTTTTCGGATATATCATATCTTAATTCAAACTCCTTCAATAGCTCCTTTGCTGAATTCATAATTTCTTGTTCATTAGATATTTGTTTCTTCTTCTTTTTCTTTCTCCATTCATTATTGTCACCGCTACCATTATTCATTTCATTAATTCTTTTGATGAGCTGTTTTACTATTACGACAGATAGATAAGATGGATCCTCATTCAGAGCATCCTTCCAAAGATTCCATCTCGGTATTACTGATTTGACATTAAGATGATTAATAACTCTCTTAATCAATTTTTGTTCAATATCCATCCAATTACGGAAATGTTTGTCCAGCAACGAATGTTTCTTTACTGGTTCCTTTTCATTGTTATTTTGAAGTTGTCTAGAATATTCCTTTAGAAGCCATTTAAAATAATATATTTCAAAATCTGTTAATTTAATTACTAACAAATGTAGTAGAAGGGAATTGTATTTTTCCATAATAGTATCGACAAACTGTTCACGGTCACGATAGCTCTTCCATATTACTTTCCAATCGTTAATATAGTTATTGATCTTTGTCTCTGGCAATTTCTGGTTTTTTTTAGTCTTTTCAGATACTGTGAAATTGATACTACTAATTAATGAATTATTTTCATTTTGCCAAATATATTTATTGTGTGAAAATTCATACAACAGACCTGGCCACAAAATTAGAACTCTTTGTAATTCTTTTTCTTCTTCGGTAACGATGTTCTCCGCAATGTTACCTTCATCATCACTGGTCATTTCTTCTAATGTGCTATCATTCCAATAATGATCCCATAACCATGTAAGTGCCTCCTTCGCCGTAATTCTAAGCATCTCAATACTAGGCAAATCTCTCTCATGTGTACCCCAGTGTCTTAATTCGACAAACCAACTCCCCAGACCAACATTTTGGGCTAATCTATGTAATGGTATGGCATATTGTGCTTGTTGATTTGGATCTAATATACCATTAACAAATCTAATTAAAGCCATCGTGTATGCCATTCTTATTGCGTTCATTCCAACCTTATTGTTCGTTTCATCAAGTAGTACAGCACTACTTAGTTGTGATGTTGAATCAATTACATGTGGTAAGTACTGGGAACCTCGACTTTGGTAACTTTTCACTTTGGCAATCGCCTTTGCCCTATCATCATTATTGCTATAAAACCAGTTCTTTAAATCATCCAACTCCTTAGGATCACCCCATGGTACAACCCTAAAGTGATACATAATTGAGCTATGTATGTAATTTATTTCCCCAAATAATTTGACCTCTTGGCATTTTATGAAGCTCATCTTACTTTCAAATGCATCCCAGTTTTATATAGATTGGCATTAGTTAAGCTAAATTTTTCACTCTCGCTCGCCAACTGAATAAACAGTTCCTATTTTCGCCGAATCTCTCCATATTTTCCCCCGCAAAGAAACAGGAACCTTGTATTGAAAAATATAAACATACATAATACAGATATTTTATAATCATAATAGAAGTTATGAACCGCAGAGATCATTACTCTAAAAGTAATCTAAATTACAATTGGTAACATATATAAGTGGATAATATATTATGTCACCAGATTCAACAGAAAACCATGTACGTAAGAGACGTAATCGTCGCACAGTTGTCTGCTCAAATTGTAGAAAGAGGAAGAGTAAATGTGACAAAAAAAATCCATGTAATACCTGTACCAAATATGGTGATACCGCTACATGTACATATGTAACTCCTACGGTTACTGCGGTTGGGAAGACAGGGATTACCAAAAATAAGATTAAAGATCGTCAACTTAAAAAGGAAAGATCATCATCTTACATAGCGCTAGGTTCTTCGATGCCTATTAATATATTAGAATCATCATCAGCGACTCACAATTCTTCCCAAAGGACAACATCTAATGAAACCCGTGTTCCAAATTTAATTCAAGATCAAATGTCAGAAATTACACCAACTAATGTGATACCCATTGCACTTGACGGTCATAGTGTTGATTTTGTTGATTTCATTCCCTCAGGTCATTATCTAGAAACTAAGAGATCTGCTACAACTATATTCTCATTATTTACCGATATATCAATGGAACATCGTGATCCATACTTAACAAATATGATTAGGTTCAGAAGTATAGCAATTAAGAAAACGATGAATAAATTTCAAGAGACTACGAAAATAAAAGGTATTAATCCAAATTTGCCAAATTCCTTTATTCCATTATCAACATTTGATAGAGACGATATAGAAACAAATAAAAGGAATGATCCAACATCGGGTAATTTCTCTAGATATCATAAACAACTTTTTGAAAAATTTGCCAAATATAGAAAGGATTCTAAGATGAAACGTCCAGACGAAGAATATCTAACCGATATCATCTTACCAGATAAAGAATTATTTAAAAATGAAATTATACCCATATTTACAACTCATATTTTACACATGATGCCATTTATTAATATTGAGGTTCTGCAACGTGAAATTGATACATTGTACGAAGATGTTGAACAAAACAAGAAGCTTGATATTAAGAAATTCGATCATATGGTTTATTCCATCGTACTTCTAATTACAATTCTTGTTCAATTATCACTAAAATTCCAGAAAACCTCCTTAACTTTGTTTACTAATGTGCTTGCGTTGGATACAACCAGATATATTGCAATTATAAGTCATTTCCTGTTTCAAATGAAAGTACTTCGAAAATGTACCCTATTACAATTATACTGTTTAATGCTACTTCGTTTCTATTTTTGGTGTGCTCCTGAGGATGGAGATGGGACGGAAGCTCAACATAATAGAGTGTTAATGGGTACCATTATATCAAGTGCCAAAGAAATGGGTATAAATTGGAGTTGTTTCTCTAATGAGAAGTATTTTTTTAAGATAGCTGATGGAACACGACCTTCTCTAGAATATATGAAACCAGATGATTACAAAGAGGTCTTTAGATCAATGTGGGCTGTCATTCTGTTTTGGGATAGAAAGATGGGTCTTATTAATGGTCAAGAATGTTTTATTGGGAAGACTTTCCCTGTTGATTTAGGTAAATTAGAACATCTTCCTTCGTGGTACACGAGAGTTGTCTACATTGATTCATTGCTCTTAAAGATTAATGATATAATTAATGGCAATCCGTCTCACATAAATATCAATATGCTCGAAACATACTATAATCAGGTATCCAATGAGCACATGAATTTGAAAGCTTCAGACAATAAAGGTCCCTTCCAATTTACGAATGCTCTCGATTTTGAATTTGAATGGATGTTAGATTTATTTAAATTATCTATAACCCATGCAAAGATGATTTCTTATGAATATAGTATAAATGTTGTGAAATATCATGAATCAGCTCAACAATTATGGGATCAATTGGTTATTATTGCTCAAAAATGTTATATTTACTTCTATGAGTCCCATAAATTGAACATAAACCCTTTCAATCAATTTTACAGTAATAGAATTGTTGAAATTATTTCTAACAAACTATGTGTTTTGATTCCTGCTTTTATTTTGCGTTTTAGTAGAATGAGTGAATCATTCGAAACTAGGAAATTACTTTGTAAATTCTTTTTCGCTGTGGCATCCATGTATTTCAATGAATTTTCTGCCGACTATTATAGATGTTTCAGGAAGATGTTTACTGCAAAAATTGTGTATAAGATTTTGGATCGACCAGAGGATAGAGATCCTTGGGAAATTATATTGAGATTTCTTGTCGGTGAACTAAATTCTTCTAAACAACATGGTGAAGAAGGTGATAGCAAGAGATGTACTTCGCTAAAGGATTTAGTTCCTCTTGTTAGCGAAATGTCTACATTTTATGAAAATGATCCTGATTTAAAAAGTAGAACTGATTTTGTTGAAAAATGGAACAATGAAATTTATCCCATTGGTAAATTTGACACAAATTTTTCAATGAATTTTCGTGAAGAAATTTTGACATTATTTTTAGATGATCGTTATCCCAAAGGGTTTAATCTTTTTGCCTCATTTTATGATAATACAAGTTGCAAATTATCAGAAGATGTAGATAGTAGTTTAAAACCGAAGACTGATGATCAAAAAATTGTTAGAACACCTGGTGCATTGTTTTCTATTGGTAATACTGAGTCCCCACTCTTCGATTCCACATCTATATCCACAAGGAGTGGAAATTCTACTAGTGGTGTAGGGTCATCTACAGCATGTTCGCCAGGTTTAGGTAGTCTAAACACTGAAGAATATAATCAACTAATGGATAGACAATTTAGTAATTTAGATTTATTGGATGATATATTTGATCCTTTAGATTTTATTTCTTATTTTAATTGATTTAAATGGAGTGAATCTTACTAAAAGAACATTTCAGAATTTTAATTCTTTATATTTCAAAGTATTAGATAGATATAGATAGATATATGTACAGAGTATATTCGCTATTAATGGTATTTCACTTCTATTCTTCAAAAGAAAAATATTATTTGTTAATATATAGATATATATATTTTTCCAAGAATAATTAAATGAGCAAAGAGATTATTTTCATGTTTGGTAATGAGAAGTAATCAACCATTTTAGGACAGATATTTCATTTTTATTTTATGTTTTTCAAAGAGTTTATAAAAATTCTTTGGCTTTTCTTGCATAAGAATGACAGTCTCTTAACCATTGTCTATATTCTTTCATTGAACCTATCTTTTCACCATAATAATCTGGTACGGGATTACTAAAACTTTGAGATGAAGCATCCACTCTATTTTTAATAATATGTTCCAAAAATTCTTTATTTTTCAAACCAAAATCAGTCAATGTCTTATGATTCTTCAAATTAAAGACTTGAGTACCAATCAAAGGACCAAACAAATAGCCCAATGCACCAGAAGCCATCAACCCGGCTGAAACAACCACCAATGGATCAAACCCCATAATCATTTGAGTTGGATCTATCTCCATGTTTGATAAATAAGCCCAAGATATATTACAACCTACCAACGCTGTGAACCCAGAAGAAACGACATTGATTCTTCTTTGTTGTTTTCTTAATTGGAAGAAGTCCTTCCACGTTAGACTACTTTGAGCAGCATCTGGTGTATTAGTAGTGGAGGTGGAGCTTGCAAATCTGGAGATGACAGAAGATGATGCAATTGTTGAAGATTTAACTGATAGGAGACCTGCTCTACGAGTTGCGATGGATAAGATAGACATTTTTTTTTCTTTCAGTGTTTTAAAATGAATTGTACGTCCGTTTGTTTTGTTTGTCTGAACGGCAATAGTTTATTGGCTGTAATTAGAAGGGTAGAAAAAGATACTATTCGTTAACTTTCGAATCTCTTTTATTGAAGGGATACCTAGTTATATATTAATTACCTAAAAATATAAGCATCCTCTTTCGCGGATGAGAGAGCAACGAAGCCCAAAAAATTAAAATAAATAAAAATGAAAATATTGAAAATTTGTGATGCGAAAATTGTCAAACTTTTCAACGCGGAGACTTTGACAAGGATTGAAATACTGATGATGATGATGAGAGAGAGTATCTTCTGGTTATTAAAACCCTATAAATATTTAAAATAGTTCAGAATTCCGATAGAAGAGGATTACTTCAATAATACATAAGCTAGACTAAGAAAATATATATGTATTTTAATAAATAGATAGAGAGTATTAATTAAATAATAAATAATAAATTGAATAAATAAAAAAGGGAAGAAGTAATAAGGATAACTATAAAAAGTACTACTAGTTATAGTTATTGTTATTTTTGCACTTTTTTGTAATGTATAATATTAATAATAATAGTAATTAAAATCAATTTAATTACATGTCTTGATCATCAAGAGTCTTAAAGACATATTCTGGAGCTCCCTTTGGGTAATCAATACCATTTTCCAATAATTTTTGGAAAGAAGAAGCGAAATCTTTAAAGAATGAAGCTTCATTATTAGCGTATTCTTTAACGATCTTTAAATAGATTGGATCTTGAACCAAAGCATAATCTGTTTCTAACATCATATAACCTTTTGGAGAATCGTATTGTTTGTTACCTGCAGCATTTTTTTCTAATTTCCATTGTTCATTTAATAGATTCACAAAGAATTCATTAGTGAAACTACTACTTGCGGCACCCCAAGGACCATCAAATCCAGAATTTTTCAAATGAGTTCTACCTAGGCAATGAGCACCAGTTAAAGCGACGGCTTCTCTATCGTTCATCTTTAATCTAGCATAAAAATTTCTAACGTAATCAGCACCATTAACAGCGTCAGGTAATCTACCATTTTCTGGGGTAGCACTTTCTGGTAAATCCACTCTACCTGGTCTCCATTTAATCTTTGGACCTTGAGCTTCTTGAACTGCACATACAGCACCTAAAGTGTATAAATCACCATGAGAAATCCAATTAAATTCTTTATAGATTGGATCTAAGAAATGAGCGGCATTTTGTAGACCATTATTTGAAGGGTCTGTGTTTTCCAATTTAAAACGATAAGTACCACCATAAGAACCACCAGAATTATTTTCTTTATTGTAAGTACCAGATGAATGCCATCCTAAACGAACCAATATAGGTCCATAACCAATGTATCCATCATATTCGTCATCTTCCCTAATCTTTTCAGCAATTTTGTTATAAATACGTTGATAATCGTCAATGGTTCTTTCTTTATTCACAGCAGCAATGTGAACAATTGGAACGGCAGCAGCGGCAGCAGTGGCAGTACCAAACATACCCCAACCACTCTTGTTGTTGTTGTTGTTGTTGTTACGATTACCATAGTTGTATTGTTTCTTATTATCGAATGCAGCGGCGGTAGTCACTGTAGCAGCAGCGCCTGCTAAAGTGGCAGCGGAGAATAAATATAAGGATCTTCTAGAGATTGTTCTAGAAAATAGAGGCAAAGCTTTATTAGCATACATCGTGGTTGTGTAATGTACTGTAATATCTTTTTTATTATATTTCTACTGTAAGGCTAATAAATTATATATACGTAAATAGAAAATTGTACTAAGAATCAAAATGCATACCTGTATATATATATATTCTTCTCACTTTATATATAAATTTTAGTAAATGTAGTTGCATTACATAAGAAAAGAAGGATTGCATCTCGACCTCACCTTCTGCTGCTTATTATAATTACAAACTGAAAAATATCAAGTGGCCCACTACCACCACCACTAAATGATAAATCCGTAGGAAAATAGATGATTAAATAATTGCATAGTAGCACTACCACTACTAGCACTACTACAGTTAGTATCATTGTTGGTAACGGAGAAAGTATTCATCTCTCTCGGTATGCGGGAGTGCGGTGTGTGGGTGTATGGTCTGATCTCTCCCCCCTCCTCTCCTTCTTCGCTGCCGTGCCGCGTGATGTGGAGAACTCTCTGGTTTTAATATTTAATATTTTCTCAATTGAGTTAATTAGTCAGCGGTGTGCAAGGCGATCTCGGCTGGTCGCCACTAAACTCCGATATTCCCTATTCCAGCGTTGCCAGTCTGATAGGTAAGTGATATTTGAAATAAGAAAAGATCGCAAATTGCACTTATTGATTTGTCACCAGGAAATATGAACAGCGTAGCATGCACGTATATACACATGTGTGCAGGTGTGCACATTGTAAGGTTTATCATATCGGTAACCTATATTAAGGCTTTACCTATTACTTAAACCATCGGGAGTAGGGTTGTAGGGTAGTAGGGTTGTTAATGCTATTTTTGAAGTATTAAAGTTAGGGCTTTGAACAAATGAAAAATGATCACATTGATGAAGTGCGAACTTCTTCTTCCCTTTCCTAAGAGTAACATTTTGCCATTGGCTGAAGGGAATAGTGAAATTGATATAGAGTCTAAGATATAGTGAAATATGATTTAATCAATAGTGACACCGTCTATATGGAATATATATGTATGTATTGGATCCTTGAACTAACCAAGTATCTTTGTTTGGGTTTTACAGTTACACCTTCACTTGCTGTGTATTACCCTGAAGGTACCTTTTTTTTTTTTTGCTGTTTGATCCGTCATTTTCCATTAGACCCGAAAAGGGATTTCTTAATATTAAAGGATTAAAGGTGGAAATTCTCGATTGAGGCTTTTGGGTAGCGTAATTGGCAAGTAATGCAAACCCACATCTCATTCTAAGATAGAAAGCGAGAGGATAGATTATCAAAAGATATTAATATAAGGATAAAGCTACAGTTGTAATCGCAATAATAAGGATTGCTTTCTGCGTACACTAAGGGAAAAAGGTTGATAGAACTATAAAACAAACAAACAGACAAAAAATAAAGTAATATCAAGATGTCATATTCCGAATCAGTAGAACAAGCTATCTCTAACATTAAACAACAGACGGTGTTGATGCAACGTAGTTTGAATAATAGAAAATTGATGGATGCATTGAAATTCACATCGGCAATGCTAACTGAGTTACGTAATCCTAGATTGCAACCAAAACAATATTATGAATTGTATATACAAATTTTTGATTCATTGACAATCTTATCTGCTTACCTTGTGGAAAACCATTCAAATGGTCACCATTTAGCAGATTTATATGAATTGGTTCAATATGCTGGGAATGTTGTCCCTAGATTATATCTGATGATTACAGTAGGGACAAGTTATCTTAAAATACCTGAATCACCAAGGGAAGAAATCTTGAAAGATATGATTGAAATGTGTCGTGGTGTACAAAACCCAATTAGAGGCTTATTTCTAAGATATTATTTATCTCAGCGTACAAAACAACTACTGTTACCTGGAGATGATAAAGACGCCATCGAATTTAATTCTCAATTTATAATTACAAATTTCATTGAAATGAATAAATTATGGGTTAGATTACAGCATCAAGGTCAACTACGTGAAAGAGATCAAAGGACAAAAGAACGTAAAGAATTACAAATTCTAGTAGGTTCTCAATTAGTTAGACTTTCTCAAGTAGTTGATGATAATTTGGAATTGTATAAAGTTGAAATTTTACCAATATTGTTGGAACAAATTGTTCAGTGTAGAGATGTTGTCTGTCAAGAATATCTTTATGATGTCATATGTCAAGTTTTCCCAGATGAATTCCATTTAAAAACGTTGGATTCGTTACTTGATACCTCATTACAATTGAATACTGAAGTATCAGTGACAAAAATCATCCTAACTTTAATAAACAGATTAAATGGTTATATCGAAAGAATACAACAAAATAATGAAAATAAGGAGACGAATGGTGATGAGTCAAAATCAGAAAATGTCCCAAAGGATACATTCGAACGATTTTGGAAACATTTATTAAAATTAAACGAGGAGAGACCAGATTTATCTGTTCAGGAATTGAGTGGTATAATTCTAAGTATTATGAATTTATCATTGACTTGGTACCCTAATAATATTGAAAATTTGGATCAATTATTTGATTTAGTATCACAAAAATGTAAAGATTTTGGTGAAGAAAAAATTGACGATTCAGAATCGTTTATGGTGGATTTATTAACTGCACAAAATCTTGAAATTGTTAAAGATTTCTCAGTTTATTACTTTAATTTAATTACGCAATGCGGATCATTCCAAACTCTATTGTCATTGCAAAGCTCACAATCTCAAATGGAAGTTTTGACCACAATTATAAATTCCTTCTTAGATAGAATAATGAGTGTTAATCTAAAACAAACTGAAGATCATAATGAATCACCTTTATTAATAATTTCCAAGACTCAATTGGAACGATTCTTAGCTATTTTGGAACCAATGATTACTCTTAAAAATACGATAAAAGGTAACGATGAAGGAGATGAGACAATAAAACGTGAATTTACTTTATCGAGATATCAAGAAAAATTGGCCAAAATATGTCATTTCTTAATTCAACGTTTGGATAAATCTGTCTTTAAGACTATTGAATCAGAAATCGAACTGTTATTGATGATTAAAAATGCATTTCATAAAGGTGGTAAAAATATTAGGTATACATATCCCGCTATTATAGCAAATTTTTGGAGAATGATTAGAAAATGTAGTATTTACAAAAAAAGGATAATCAAAAAGGAAACTTACTATGATAATTTAATGAAACAAATCTTTAAATATATTTCACGTTGTATTAGTGATATGTTTAATAACTGTGGGAATAGTAGTATGGATATAATCTACAAATTGAACCTTCAAAATGCCGCCCTAGCAGATCAATTATCATTAGTCGATATATCGTATGATTTCTTCTCTGAAGCGTTTGGTGTCTTTGAGGAATCCTTAAGTGATTCAAAGACTCAATTCCAGGCCTTGATTTATATGGCGCAAACATTACAAAAGACAAGATCCTTATATAAAGAAAATTATTATAATTCTTTGATTGTAAGAACAACATTACATGGTTCTAAATTATTAAAGAAACAAGATCAATGTCGTGCAGTTTATGTCTGTTCTCATTTATGGTGGGCAACAGAAATATCATCGATTGGCGAGGAAGAAGGAGAGACTACAGATTTCTTCCGTGAGGGGAAACGCGTTCTTGAATGTTTGCAACGTTCACTGAGGGCTGCTGATTCTCGTATGGATAATGTTGAAAGTTGTGAATTGATGGTAGAAATTCTAAATGTTTGTTTATATTATTTTGTGCATGGTGATGAACAAAATACACACGTAGGTGTTAGTTACATCAATGGATTGATTGAATTAATTAAAAACAATCTGAAATCGCTACGTCTTGAGGAAGAACAAAGATTGTCTGAGATTGATGCTACTAATAAGGATTCAAATGATGGAACATTAGGGCAAACTTACAATAAGAATCAATATGTTATGGGATTGGATGGGACATATATTAAATTAGGTAATGTTAATAACAGTTCATCCGCAAATACTGATTTTATGATTAAAGATATGAAGATTAATGACATGATACAAGTTCCTATTATGCATTTTAATAGAACTTGTGAATATATATTGAACCAAAGAGATATAGATAATAGGTTCAAGACTGTAGTGTTGTAGTTAATATATATATACATTGTATTTACTGTTTATTCAGATTCGAACCAAAAAACAAGATGTGGTACTTTTTTTTTAAGTTTAGTTCAAAATAATGCTATTTAATTTATTTTTTTACAATTATACCTTGATGAGGTAGGTTTGAAGATGGGCGACATTGTAAACAAATATTGAAAAAATTTACCACAATTTTTCAGAAAATAGGTTTTTGCAAATGTCAAGATATCCCCTTCCTCACTTAAATAATATATAAAACATTATATCTAATATTATATATGTTTGCTATGTTGATTTTAACTTATCTGGTCTATCAATTGATATTCAATCTATATTAATTATTCTCATACACGTATAATAACAAATAGACCAATAAATAGTTATCAGATTGCTTGAATGTAAATAATTAAACAGATATAACGAAAATAAAAATATAATATCAACTCTTTATTCTTTCCAGTTTAGTAAACACATTAACTTCCGATTACAATAAATTGTGTCATTTTTTCTTTTGCCTAGATCCAGAATTATATCTTTGGGAATCCAGCAATAATAAATTGTTGGGCCCAACTTGTTCAGCCATCTTCATGACCTCTCCTTTCTCTATAATCTGCAAATACGAATTACATATGGTATGTGATTGTTTCCAAATTAGAGGGATGATCGTTAACTTTGCAAGTATTGTAAAAAGTCCATTATCGATTGCTCGGTGATTGACCCAAAGAAGAAATTAATCGCAATTTGAGAAATGAAATTGACCAAACCAACGGAGAAAAAAAAATACGTAATATTGCTTGGGGTAGTTAGCGGAATAGCTATGGAGTTAGGCGTTTAAGAATTCTATTAATTTTACGGACAACAAAAAAAACAACCAAATAGAAACAGAGGCCAGCCGCATCATTTTTTTGCTCGAAATGAAAATACATAAAAAAAAAGAGGGGTAAATAATCTCAGATACTGTAATATCAAACAGAAAAATACAACATGTAGTTCTCTGGCACGTGCTAGAAACTAACTCTCTAAATAACAACGTAGAGTAATATCTTACTATGTTTTGTTTTCCTCATTTTGCCGCTGTCCACTTCGTATCAGATGATGTTGAACGAGACGTTTCCAATTCGTCACGCGTATGTGTCCCTTTTAGTTCTCTGGAGTTTTGAGTGGAATGTTAAAGTTACTTCTTTCTTTCTCCTGTTGGCTGGACCCTCCCAGCCGTGACGCTCCATATATAAGAAACTGCTGGACAACGCGAAAAATAACGGCAGTGGGAGACACAGGCGAGGCCGTGTGTATCAAGAGGAGAAAAACGATATACAGTAGCACAGAGAGAAACATATATTTGTGCGGTTATATTCCGTAGGAGACGGACTAGTGTGAGATTTATTTTGTCCGCGTCGAGAAAGAAAAAAAAAGAATAAAAAAACAACGAGAGAAATTCTTGAGAGAGAGAGAGCACCGATATGAACATTTCGCGTTTAAATTCTCAACTCTATGGATTTTTTCCCTGATAAATAACCGTAGAAACTGTGATTCATACCTCTAATAAGGGCTCCCTTTATTTACAAGAATTAACTTTTATATAACTCTTTCATTTACAAGAGATCATCAATAAACAAACAAACAAACAAATTAGAAAACTATGGAGTTTGTATCCATCACATTCACATTAAATGATGTGTGGTCTTTGATAAAAGAAACGCACTAGCAAGTAACTGCATATCACAATATACATATCATATTTATGAGGGTGGATTAAAAAGAGAGAAGTTCGAATACCCTGGCGGTCCATCAAACTGGCTTAGCTCAGGAATTTTGGTGGAACCATTATTCTCTCCCTTAACTTTTCTATTGGTTTAACGTTGCTGAACTGGTTGAATGTTTAAGCATTTAACTGGAGAATCAACAACAACAACCAGGTCAAATGTCTTACTGTTAAACAATCAATTCAAGAGAAGTTTCTTCGTGCATGTTCTCTTCTTGTAAACTGATCTTATGTACAAACTTAAAATAAAAAACATAATCAAATAAACGAAATACATTACCAACCTTTCCATTTTTTTCTTCATTTCTTTTTCCTAACTACAAAGAGGTGTTTGTTGATTCAATACCTTCTATTCTCATTCTTAGATTTACAAATCTATTATTATTTCTTTTGTTCGAATAAACAAAACAAACAAACATTTAAATGTATCCTGCAAAGCTTGTAATTATGCATGAATATATATATATAAGTAAACAAATAATATCTATTACTCTTTTATATTTGTTAACTTCTTCCTTTCCTACATATTTATATATATATATATATATTTTATTTGTATTTCACAGTTCAAAAAAAAAATTCAACAACTAACTACAAGTTCTTCACCATAAAATAAACAAATAATCTAGATTATCCTACCTGAAATTCCATAATTTCTTTTAAGACTATTATTATTTAATTACACTCGCTATATTACATAACTCATCACTTTAAACAAAAATGCAATTCAAGAACACTGCTCTAGCCACTGTCGCCATCGCTGCCACAGCCTCCGCTGCCTCTTCTTCCATCAAGGGTTACACTCCAGGTGAACCATGGTCTACTTTAACCCCATCTGCTACTTTGAAGTGCGGTTTCTCTCAATACACTTCTTCCTTCGGTATTGCCGTTCAAGAAATTACTTCCGCCTCTGCTTCCGCCTCCGCTTCCAAGGCTAAGAGAAACGCCATCTCTCAAATTGGTGATGGTCAAATTCAAGCTACTACTGCTAAAAACACCAAGGCTACTACAACTTTGGCTCCAACCACCAAGCCTTCTTCTGCCATCACTTCCAAGAGTGTGGTTTCTTCTTCTGCTAACTCCACCAAGACCTCTTCCACTTGTAACGCTTCTGCTACTGTCTCTCTACAAGATACTTCTTGTAAGAACTCCGGTACTCTAGCTTTGACTCTAAAGGACGGTGTCTTAACTGACAACAAGGGTAGAGTTGGTGCCATTGTCTCCAACAGACAATTCCAATTCGATGGTCCACCACCACAAGCTGGTTCCATCTACGCTGCCGGCTGGTCCATCACTGAAGATGGTAACCTAGCTCTAGGTGACTCCGATGTCTTTTACCAATGTCTATCTGGTGACTTCTACAACTTGTACGATCAATCTATTGCTGAACAATGTTCTCCAATCCATTTGGAAGTTGTTGAATTGATTGACTGTTAAAGAATGAACAAAGTTTTTAAATTATGATATTTCTTCGTTAATTTAATTTATCTTTTTCAAAATTTCATATCCATAAATATTCATCTCATTCTTTTATAAAATAATCAAACTTCACTTAGTTATCAAAGTTCTTCAATCATAAATAATTTTACTCAATTTATGAGTGTGATATTACTTCATTATACATATGTATATTTTTATAATATATTATTATAACCTACATTTAATTAAAAATGACATCTGTGACGGTTAACTTTAAAATGTAATTTCACTTGATAAAAACAAGTATGTTTTGATATGTAGCACCGTTATATTGACGAGTTTATAGTCTGTATACTCAGGGCAACCTAAAAACGCAACTGAAAATTTTCACTAACCGATGTCCATATAAGGCACTAATATATGCTAACTGCCTATAATATCATTACTTTAAAGTTATTCATTTTTTTATCTACTCATATTTAGATCTATAACTCAATTAATGTTGAGACCTAGGGAATATATTTTATTATATTGAATATTGTTTCTGCAACTAATTATAAACTCTAGCTAATTTCTTTATATTATTAGTCAAGCTTAACTTACGCGCTGCCTGATATATATACGTTCATAAGAACGTGGTTAAGATTATGTTTATTACCAATCGCGTAGATTAACTATCAAAAATTCCGTCAAGAAAGAAAACAAATAGTTACAAATAAGCTTGGTCTGGTTTAAGTTTAGGAAATAGTTGTCGATATTTCATACCATATGTTGTTCATTACAAAATTAGCAATCAATGAGATCAACAGCTTGTAGATGAACTGGACCACATTGAGAGGCAATGGACTGATCATATAAGTTGTAAAAATTACCAGAAAGACATTGATAAAAAACATCTTGACTACCTAGAGCCAGATTTCCTTCTGGTGTGATTGACCAACCACCAGCATAAATGGCACCTGCTTGTGGTGGTGGACCGTCAAATTGAAATTGTCTGTTTGATACGATGGACCCAATTCTTCCCTTTGCGTCTGTTAAAATTCCATTTTTAATTGTCATAGCTAATGTACCTGTAGATTTACAAGCAATATTATGCACAGGGTTAGATGAACCATATATACTCCCTGTTGGAGCACCCTGGTCAGCATGAACAACTTTAGTTGCTATCTGAACTTGGCCATCATGAATTTGCGAGACCACGGGTTTCGTAGTGACTGGAACAGGAATATGAGTTGGCACTTGAATTTGACCATCACCAATTTGTGAGATTGCTCTGACAGATTTAGGCACTTGAGCTTGACCATCATTAATTTGAGACACTATTGCGACAGTATGTTTTGGTGCTTGGGCTTGGCCATCATTTATTTGTGATATGATACCTACTTTTGGAACTCGTGGTGCCTGAGCTTGACCATCATTTATTTGAGAAATAATATTTCTTTTGTGTAAGGCATTAGGGACAACAGCCGCATTGACAGAAGCAATAGCAATACCAAATGAAGTAGTATAGTATGATAGTCCGCCTGGATGTGTTGAAGTTGGAGTCAAAGTAGACCATGGTTCAGATGGGACATAGGCAGCCAGAACTGTACTTACTAGAATAGTAATTGTGAGATAAAACTTATATTGCATTAGTGGATACTTGCGATAACAAAACATTGAATTTGATTAAATTATTTTAGAGTTGATTGTGTATGCTTTAAATGATATTTATCGGTTTAAAATATAAATTGTGAAGTACAAATTAAGAGTTCTTGTAAATTAAATAATTACTGACGTTTTTAGAAATACACTAAAAAAAGTAAAATGATTGCAAGGCAAACAAAAACAAAAACGAAAATAACATCTAAGGGAGCTCCATGACACGCAATTTTTTGATATATGTAAAGTTTGTGATAAAGGAAGACCTCGAAGTTATTTATTTAGTTGTTAGTTTTCCATGAGTTCACTGGCTATAAGAGCCATAAAAGATTTAATGGTTTAAAGTAAGTATAGTTAAGAGTAATAATTCTGAATCTTTCCGCATAAAAACAAAACAAGAAGAGGTGATGTGACATTCCTCGAGGTACCATAACCGACACTATGGGAACTTTAGAAAAATACTGTTGATTCTACAACAATTCATTCATGCGTGTAATAACTTGACTTAGTTAAAAACTCATTTAAAAGAATAAAGAAAAGGGACGATTCCATTGCCGCGCATAGTTCAAAAGGTCTCATCAACTTGTCCATTTTATATATAGAAGAACTGAAATATATAGCATGACTTGAATTTGGTCAAGGTAATTGTATCTATATACACTCCCAGTTTACTCCATACATAAACATTTTTAATCAAGGATATATTATCCTTCCCAAGACAAAAATATTTATAATATTATAACGGAGATATCTTTCAAAATCATAAGAAAAAGAATACCTTCCTATTTACGACTGATTACCTAAACATAATACATTGTAAATATATCTATTATCTTCTTATAATCGTGCCCTAACAAGGTAACAACAATGATCTACGTCTAATTACTCTTTTGGTACAAAGCTTACATAAATATATATGTATATTTGAATTTTACTGTATTTAGCATAAAATCGAATTTTCTTTTTTAAAATAAATAAGAATGAACTAATTCTAACTAAAAGGATCTCCTAATCACATCATTACAACAACAAGAGAAAAAGAGACACATTGTATCGTTTACACATCATAATGAGGTGATAAAATAGCAAAAGCCCTTATTGAAATTAACAACTAACAATGAGGATAATAGAATCATACATACCTATATCCGAAATATCGAGTTTTAACAATAGGTACCGGTTCTTAAACGTAATTAATTATAAGAGACCCCGCAAAGTTGACATAGAGTCTCTCTCTCTTTCTATGTCTCGTATGAATGACATCTTAATACAGTATATATCAACATAATGTAATGTAACATCTTTTAAAGACACCAGATCAAACTATTAATAGCGAAATACGTAATTATTAGACAATTGCATAAAATAAATTATGAAATATATCTCTCTCTCCATTCGTAATGAATCTCACTCAATTGGATAGCAATCAAATCAATTACAGACAAGTACAAGTACAAGACCCAACTAAAATCCATTCAATTCGATACCTTGAACCTACGTATTATGTATTCTATCACTCCCCCTTGTTAAGGTTAATTCCCTCTTTTTCTTTTTCTGTCTCCCTCTGTCTTTGATATCTTTACCTAAAACGGCAAAACCGAAAATACGAGTTGCTGGACTGCACACTAAAAATAGATAATTTTTGCATTTGTCCTCTTTATATTTCATTATTATTGCCCGCCTTCTTATTTAATTTTTTCTATATCCTCTTTTTGCAAAGCTTCCACACAGAGCACACCGCACCAACAGGCCAGACAATCCCGAGCTGACAAAAATAATTGCAATGTCTTATTCCTTCTTCCCACCATCCCACCCATTTTTTACTGAAACAGAACTGGAGAAACGGACACATTTTCTATTAATAATTTGAACAATAACAGACAATTGAGGGACAAATCTTCTTCTTCTTTTTTCATTATTAGCTGAGCTGTCCCTTTCCTAAAACAGAAGTCTAAGTGATCCAACTCTTTCCTGATATGGAGAAGATTTCCGAATTATCTAAGTATTCAAGCTCAAAACCAACCAAGCAATAATAATATACTCATAACTAAATTAAAATGGCAATGCTATTTTTAAATCAAACAGTTTCTTAACTATGTATCTCACACATTATCTCCCCCGATTACCGAATCAATATCTTTACTACTCTTGGTAAAAAATTACCATTTTGACTTTTCTTGTTTCTATCCTTTCTGGGAGGGTGGAGATGAAGGCATGTACTAGGTAGTTCAGTAGTAAAGGGCTTTCCTCTATGCGGGTTAAATGAACACTTTCAATCAAATTAAACCAAATTAATTTTAAATTAGAATGATTAATACAGCTCAAGGATCACCTAAAAATCTTTCAATTACCAGCCTTTTTTTAACTTGATCCATTAATAATTTTCTTTTTACTAAACAGGGAAGTAGACAATATCTTTTTTTATCTTCTTTTCTTCAAGTGCTGCTTGTATAATTATAGTATGCTCAATTTAATAATAATCAACTTTTTTTTTGTATATAAGGAACCTATTATATTTCAATTGTATTCTTATCTTCCATTAATTTCTTTCTCTATATATATTTTCCCTTTTATTATAATTTATAATACACCATCAAATAAAAACCAATCAAACAGTTTTATATTTAATAAAAACAAACAAACCTCCCCTTTTTCATATAATGCAATACAAGAAGACTCTAGCCACTGCCGCTCTAGCAACCTCTGCTCTAGCTGCTTACGTTCCATCTGAACCATGGTCCACTTTAACTCCTTCTGCCACTTACAAAGGTGGTCTAACTAACTACGCTTCTACTTTTGGTATTGCCGTTGAACCAGTTGCTTCTGCCGCTGCTTCCTCCAAGGCCAAGAGAGATGCTATTTCTCAAATCGGTGATGGTCAAATTCAAGCTGCTACTACCACCAAGACTACTAAGGCTGCTGTCTCTCAAATCAATGACGGTCAAATCCAAGCCGCTACTACTACTGCTAAGGCTACCAAGGCTGCCGTTTCTCAAATCAATGACGGTCAAATCCAAGCTGCTACCAAGGCTACCAAGGCTGCCGTTTCTCAAATTAACGATGGTCAAATCCAAGCCGCTACCAAGGCTCCAGTCTCTCAAATCGGTGACGGTCAAATCCAAGCTGCTACCAAGGCTGCTGTCTCTCAAATCGGTGATGGTCAAATCCAAGCCGCTACTAAGACTGCCGCTGCCGTTTCTCAAATCGGTGATGGTCAAATTCAAGCTGCCACCAAGGCTGCTGTCTCTCAAATCGGTGATGGTCAAATCCAAGCCGCTACTAAGACTGCCGCTGCTGTCTCTCAAATAAATGACGGTCAAATCCAAGCTGCCACCAAGGCTGCTGTCTCTCAAATCGGTGACGGTCAAGCTCAAGCCGCTACTAAGACTGCTACTGCTGGTGCATCTCAAGACACTGACGGTCAAGTTCAAAACAAGGATTCTTCTAATCCAGTCACTAACGTCTCCTGTAAGGTCGACGGTACTCTAGAAATGTCTATCAAGGATGGTATCTTAACTGATGGTAAGGGTAGAGTTGGTTCTATCGTTTCTAACAGACAATTCCAATTCGATGGTCCACCACCACAAGCCGGTGCTCTATACGCTGCTGGTTGGTCTATTACCCCAGAAGGTAACCTGGCTCTAGGTGACCAAGATGTTTTCTACCAATGTCTATCTGGCGACTTCTACAACTTGTACGATGAATCCATTGCCTCTCAATGTCACCCAGTTTACCTACAAGCCATTGACTTGGTTGCTTGTTAAGATAATAAAAAAAAGAATTATAAAGAATCTTTTTTTTAATGATAAACATTCATCTTTTAGCACTTTTTTTTTGAAAGTTTTTTTCTTTAACTAAAAAACTCACTCATCCATTCCTTGCATTTTTTCAACCTTTTTTGCACTAGCATTTCGTTCTGTGCCACTTCACGTTTTTAGTTCTTCACTGCTACTTTGTTGCATTTCCATTCTCTTTCTAAAATAAAAAAGTTAAATGGTTTAACTACATTTGTCAGTATTTTACATCTCTTTTCAGTATATAATTTCTTCTCTAAAAATTGTATATTCTCAATTACTTTAAAATTATAATCAATTAATTAATCTTTAATAATCTCAAACTGTTACTTACATATCATTGTATACCTTACTTTATTAACTCAACTTCTGAGTTCTTTGATTATCTCAGATTGCTTAGATAAGGATCTAGTTCCTCTTTCTTTACTATTGACAGACAGTAAAATTTCATCATAACCTTTTTTTCCAACCTCTATCTTCTATTCTCTTTCTCTACTGCTCTTTATTCGTAATTTACTAAATCTTTAGCATATCTTCCCCAGTTACGCGGTCTTCGAAGAATTAACATACAAAAGTAATAAAAACACGAAAGCCGTTCTGAAGCGAAAAAATAAATTATGAAAAAGTTATTGAAGGAATCACATAGGAAGATGGCCTATATTGGAAAAACATCTTGCATTTGAAGTAACTAATCACATCATATAATTCTATTTGTCAACTAATATTATATAAACTGTTAAATATCTTAAATCTAGTTTTTATTTTTGTCTTAGTTCAATCGATCTACCCTATAGAAAAAATTAAGCTAACACAACTAACAGGCGAAAGCACCAATCTAATTATATTATAGTGATGGTAGCCTGGAACAGACCTAGAATAACATTACTTTCAGTGGGTATTCTCTTCCACCTTTTCTACTTATGGTCCATCTTTGATATTTATTTTGTTTCACCATTAGTACATGGTATGACTCTCTTTAAGAGTACTGAGACTCCGCCAGCCAAGAGATTATTCCTTATAGTTGGTGATGGTTTACGTGCCGACACCACATTTGACAATATTACACATCCGATAACTGGTGAAAGTGGTTACCTTGCACCATTTATTCGTTCAATTGTTCAAGAGAAAGGTACTTATGGTGTGTCTCATACAAGAATGCCTACAGAATCTAGACCAGGTCATGTTGCCATGATTGCCGGTTTCTATGAAGATGTTAGTGCTGTGACAAAAGGTTGGAAAGAAAATCCTGTTGATTTTGATAGTTTTTTCAATCAATCTACACATACATATTCGTTTGGTTCCCCTGATATCTTACCTATGTTCAAAGAAGGTGCTACTGATCCTAATAAAGTAGATGCATGGATGTATGGTCACGAATACGAAGACTTCACGCAATCTTCAATTGAATTGGATGCATACGTCTTTAGACACCTTTATCAACTGTTTGATAACACTACAACAGATTCAAAATTAGATTTTCAGATTAGACAAGATGGGAATGTATTTTTCTTACATTTATTGGGTTGTGATACAGCAGGCCATTCATATAGACCTTATTCTGCTGAATATTATGATAACGTTAAATATATAGATGAACAAGTCTCTATTTTGGTGGATAAAGTTGAAAAGTTTTTCGGCGATGATGAAACTGCATTTATTTTCACTGCTGATCATGGTATGAGTGCATTTGGTTCTCATGGTGATGGTCATCCAAACAATACTCGTACTCCTCTTGTTGCATGGGGTGCTGGTATCAACACTCCAATAAAGAACAAAATCCCGATATTTGATAATTATACCGAATCTTGGAATTTAGGTGATATTCAGAGAAATGATGTCAAACAAGCCGATATTACTCCGTTGATGTCTTATTTAATAGGTACTAACTACCCAGCTAACTCGGTGGGTGAATTACCATTGGCTTTCATTAATACCAAAGATGGTGAGAAATTTCAAGCTTTATACAATAATGCAAGAAGTATCTTGGAGCAATATTTAGTGAAAGAACAAGAAGTCATCGAATCACAATTTATTTATACGGAATATTACAAATTTGAAGAGAAATCTCACGAATCATACTTGAACGAAATTCATACTTTAATTGATAAAATCTCAAAGGGTGATACTTCTTTAGAGCCTCAAGTAATTAAATTGACGGAGGAACTAATGAGTATTACTTTGGAAGGGTTACAATATCTGACTACATATAACTGGAGATTGATTCGAACCATTGTTACATTTGGATTTATTGGATGGATTGTCTTTTCCTTCGGAATCTTCTTAAAAGTTTTCATATTAGGCAAAGAAAATGAACACAATTCGCCATCATTGTTGAATATGATCCTATTTGGCAGCATGTATTGTATTTTGAATTATGTTCTCTATTACCAACGTTCACCATTCAATTTTTATATGTACCTTTTGTTCCCAATATACATGTGGAGCCACATTTTTACCGAAAAGACTGTTCTTGTTCATGGTGTTAAAAAATTCTTCAAATCTATTTCCAATACCGAAAGAGCGTTTATTGCCATCTGTATTGTTGCAATCTATGAAAGTATAGTGTATGGTTTCTTCCATCGTTGGATTTTTACATTAATATTTGTAATCTTAGCATTTTACCCATTAATTTGTGGCAACTGGAGTATACTGACAAATATTGCATGGATATTAACAAGTTTTTACATTTCGACTTTCACATTATATGATGCTGTCAAAGTTGAAAGTTTGACTCAAATCAATTTAGCTGGTACATTTATTATCCTGGGGTCATTGCATTCTATCGGAAAAATTGTCAAGGCTAAACAAGTTAGTTACTATTCACTATCTATTTTATTAACACAAGTCTGTCTTGTACCACTAATGCTTTTTACCACAAACAAATCCGTCGTTTCTTTACAAAACAGAACTGGTTTACCAAGAGGTGCACAAATTTCCGGATGGGCTATCATGATATTATCATTATTCGTCATGCCATTTTTACATTATTTGAAACCAAGTAATCATTACAGAGTCAGATTATTAATTATCTTTTTGACCTTTGCACCAACTTTCATAATTTTAACCATATCTTTTGAATCTATTTTTTACTTTTTATTCACCGGATACGTTGTTCAATGGATAGAGATTGAAACACAAATTAAGAGACTTAAATTAAAGGATCAAGAAGAAAGTTATGCTCAGTTGATTAGAATCTCATTAATTGGGTTTTTCTTATTACAAGTTGCATTTTTCGGTACTGGTAACGTTGCATCAATTTCATCATTTTCACTAGATTCTGTGTATAGATTAATACCAATTTTTGATCCTTTCCCAATGGGTGCATTATTAATGTTAAAATTAATCATTCCATATATTATCTTATCGACAGGTCTAGGTGTTTTGAATTTGAAGTTAAATATCAAGGATTATACCATTTCTACATTAATCATCTCTACAAGTGATATATTATCATTAAATTTCTTTTACTTGCTAAAGACTGAAGGGTCATGGCTTGATATTGGTGTTACTATCTCAAACTATTGTCTAGCTATCTTATCTTCGTTGTTTATGCTAACAATAGAAATGGTAGGACATATTTTGTTAAAGAACGTTATCGTAGAACAAGAAGTAGAACAGATGAAAAAGAAACAGTAAACAGTGACATATATATGTACTATTTACCAGCACTACATAGAGAACAAATATATAAACACTAATGCAATATAACGATAGACATACACTAGTTAAACAGTAAATGACATGAATATTTCAAGTAAATATAGCCCCTACCTATTTTTTTAATCATTTAATCAATAATTTACCAAAAGTAGTGTGTTAAGAGCCTGTCATTCAGGTAGTCAATCACACCATACTATTAGGTAAACTTACGACGTTTCCTTGTTCGTTAATTAATAGTTGTTTTAGTATGTTATAATCGGAAAACCACAGCCACCATCCAATACAAATTATTTTACACTGGGGCACAGTAAATGCAAAAAGAAAATACGGAGACAGTGAAACACAAGGGCAGGCAGAGAGTCAACACGAGAACGAAATTTTTATAGTGGCTGAAAGAAAGATTTTCAAGGGCGGGCAATAAGAATACCCCATTTGTAATTTACCCATACTATTCAACAGTCATATCTAACGGAAGAGTAAGCGACTTTCTTATCTAATAGCAACCAATGGAAACATTGATGTCTTTTTTTTGACTTCCTGATTATTTAATTTAGATATAAAAATATTGATATTTACTTATTTTGAGATAGGGGACAATAAAGAAGAATGCATTGACATCATTTTTTGTCTTTTCAAATTTTTGGTTGATTCTAATTTAATCTTATCTCATCAAATTTGCTTGAATTACGTTAAGGGAAAGTCTTCCATTCAATATTTAACAAAATAATTTTAGTTGCTATATTTTAAATTTTTTTTTCCATTTTTATTAACTTACTAAAGTTCTTCTCTCTTTTTGCTTTTACAAAAGATGGAAGAAGTAAACGATTTTGAAATGGTTAATCCTGAGAGTGATCATATATTAGGATCTGGATCCCATGATCTAGAGTCATCTTCCGAAAGTCCTTACCCAGGGATACCAACTACCAGTGAACCTCCATTGTCAAAAAGATTTAGAGAGGAAATCAGACAACATCATGCGCATCTGCAGGTCTGGCAAAGACCAAGTCTTCTAGTGATCTGCACGATTATTGGCTTATACTGTTTATCCGAGATGCTATTTATTACACCAATGATTTCGCTTTCATTGAACAAAGTCTGTGAGGGTTTAGAACAGGATACGGACCCAAAGACATCCTCATTGTGTGATATGAGTCAAGTTCAAACAACATTGTCATTTATTACCTGCTTTAAAATGATTTTATGTAACTTAATTAGTCTTGTTGTTGCAGGAAAGATTGGTCCATTATCGGATAGAATAGGTAGAACTAAAATATTCGTATATATGGGTCTCGTAACAATTATTGGTAATACAATTAGTGCTTTCTCCGTATCTTCCTATATAGGGACACATATCTACTTCATCATATTTGCAGGATCAATGACATCATTTACTGGGGGTACTTTTGCAGTAGCAGCTAATATCAACAGTTATATTACTGACGTTATTGAACCAGATGACCGAACTGTCAGTATGGGTACTATTGGTAGTATAATGCATGCTACAGCAGGGTTAGCACCATTATTCAGTTCCTTTTTAATTAAAGCTAATAATGGGAATGATATGGTATCAATATATTGTTCAATGTTTGCAATAATATTATTTACCTTGGTTTGTGTGTTTTTCATGAAGGAACCAAGACATCCTGAAGCCATGGAAATTTCGCAAGCTTCATATAAAAAGAGACAAGAATCTATGGAAAGTACACATTCTATCAAATTAGGCGGATCAAATACAATTATATCTAAATTAAAACAAACTATCCATTTCAAAATGGTTCAATTCTTTGATGTATTTTCACCATTGAAAGAATTATGGTTACCACCAACAAGCCAAGGTTCTTTAATACCAAGATACAATGTATTACTATTAGTTGTTGTGGATTCGTTAGTCGTATTAATTAGAGTAGCTATCATGCCTGCATTAATTCTTTTCACTACATATGAATATGGTTGGAAATCTGTTGAAATTGGCTATTTTATATCATTCTCTGGAATAAGTAATGCTATCATTCTAGCTGTATCATCATGGTGTGTCAAGAGATGGTTCCAAAAGAAACATAAGAAATTGAATTATTCTGTAGATCGCATTGATATTACAATTTTTCAATTTGGTTTTATATGCTTCTTTATTGGCACCCTAGTATTTATGACAAATGCTTCAAACTATAAGTATTTACTAATAGACGTGATTATTAAATGTATCGGCAGTGTAATAGATCCATCTCTGCAATCAGCAATAGCGAAATATTACGGTACAAATACAGGTCAATTATTTGGAGCACTTGCATTATTACATATTATGGGTATGCTAGTCTTACCAGCTATCATGTTAGGAATGTACGGTGCAACTGTGTCATTTAAACCAGAAGCATTCTTATATTTACCACTAATAGCATCCATTATAGGTTTTACATTGACATTTTTCTTAAGGGTGATTTACATTGAGGAGCCCCTTTTTAAGGAAACGGAGATTGACCATGATGGTGACATCATGAATGACAACGACTCACAGGTTGAGAATTTAACATAATAATAATACATCATTTATACATATATAAAACAAGAACTACTACTACTACTACTACTACTAGATCTTCCTTTTTATTCATTAGCTGGTGCCAGAACTAGCTTCATATGAATATTCTTCCTCGTTTAGGTTGTTACCTTATTATATTTCTAGTAACTTAGCTTTGATCCGGTTCAACAGTTTTCCCTCATTGCTTCTGGTTGTAGTTCCTCGTGGGGAATGTCGGCCTAATCCCAGCCGAAATAGAAATAAACCGCCCTGTGCCCGTCTGTCAGGTCCGTCTTGCTAATCCACCCCCGCTTTCATTTTGGCGGGTCCTTGTCACTATGAGTTTTTACACAGTTCCATCCGCGTAGGCAAGAGACAGGAAGGGACGCATTAACCGCAAGCTCAGTTTAGCTCAGCTCGCGTTCAGCTCAAAATTTTTGCATTCAGAGAATTTCCAAGGAGGGGAGAATTTGGTTTCTTTTTTTTCTGTCAAAAAGAAAAGAGAGATGACCAGTACATACTTCAACCAGAATCAATGAGTGGGAACTATTTAAGTGGATATAACGAAACAGCAAAGTTTATAGTTATTGTTACTATATACAGGGACTCTGGGGATGGGCAAACTGGTAGAAAGAAATAAGGCATATTCATATAGGATGTAGTCGTTTTTTGACGTATTTCTTGGTAAAATTTTCTTTCTTTTGCAACCTGCAGAGATGCACTGTTTTTGAGACACACTGTAGATATATATGATACGTTCTTTCTGCATGTATTAGTAGAAAGAAGCAAAGAGAAACGTCAATCTAACATTTTATTATTCTGTACTGCCAGTAAATGATAAAAATTATTATCAGATAGAATAATAAGAACAAGAACCTGAATAGGCAAAGTATTTCACAAACAGAGTGAGTGAGAGAGAGAGAAACAAAGAAAAGCCTTTACTTTGCTTTCTGTTGCTTTGTTCAGCCCAGTAGTACATTTTAACATTTTTGAAATTTTCATCTCTCTTTTCTTTTTGTTTCTCTCTCTCTGTTGTTTTTGGGCCATTAAATTGATGTATTTTTTTAAATTCCTCGCTGAGTTTTTTATGTCGAGAGAACGAAGGACCTGGCACCAGATATATAGCAACATGTAGATTCTATAAACATTTTTCATTTCTAGAGGTTATTTAATCTTTTTAAATTATGTATTTCTTTCACAAAAGGTTTTTTAAGAATATTTTCCCACATTTTCTTTCTACATATTTTGCTACGTTGTGTTCTTGAGATTTCTAAAACACATTTTTCATCTTTTTCGTTTCTTCTTCTTCACTTTCAATTATCGCTTAAAGTGAATAAAGTTTGTCGTTATTTATATTGTAATTCAATAAACAGAAAACATTCAAGAGACGATCAATTACTTTTTACATATATGCTTAACTTATAGTTTTTAACCAAGTTCATATTAAATCAAGACAAAAGCAAGCCAATCAAACCAATATATATATATTCGTTTTTTCTAAAATCCATCTCTTCATTATAATTATTTTTTCATAAGGTGGATAGTAAAGTTTTTATCTGGGTACGGAAAAGAAAAGAAAGGAAAGGAAACGTTCCAAATTGTCATTATTGCAGTCATTCATTACTGATCAGTTTTTGATTATTTTCATCTCATATATAAAACCTTACACCAGAATAACATTTGATTTTGCCTGTTTATCCTCTTATATTGTGCAATTATCACGTTATCTATTTTTCATAAGACGTTTATGAAATTGAATACCGTTTACCGTTTACTGAAGAAACTAAATTATAAGAAAAACACTTTGAATTAGAAATATATCATATTCGTGGAAATTACTTTTCAAAGAACCCAAACAAGAAAAAAATAAACTAGTACTATATTTTATATTTTTCCCATTTTTATATTATTAATTTTTTTTTGAATTTCTTTATTCCTATTTCATATAGTGTTTGAACCTGCTGAGGTAATATTATGTACGTCGACCCACAAAGGAATAACGAGGTCAGAAAATTGAACCTACCGAATATGCAAAAAGTAGAAGTACCCATCACTGAGGAACATACAGATAAAATGGATATCGATCAAAATTTACAAGAACATAATCAGGAAAGTGCTGAAAACTCTGTCTCGTCACGAGACTCCCAACAACAAAATAATAATAATAGTAGTAATAATAGCAGCTCTACAACCATCAATAAACAACCACCTGCAGTTAGTACCAAATTATTAATACTAGGGAAGAAAACATCAGGAAAATATAATTTAACAGATTTTCAAATACTAAGAACACTGGGGACAGGATCCTTTGGACGTGTTCATTTAATACGTTCGAACCATAATGGAAGATTTTATGCTTTAAAAGTGTTGAAAAAACAAACTATTGTTAAATTGAAACAAGTAGAACATACGAATGATGAACGTAGAATGTTATCCGTTGTATCACATCCATTTATAATTAGGATGTGGGGGACATTTCAGGACTCCAAACAAATTTTTATGGTTATGGACTATATAGAAGGTGGTGAAATATTTACTCTATTAAGAAAATCAAAAAGATTCCCCAATCCTGTAGCGAAATTCTATGCTGCTGAAATTTGTTTAGCTTTGGAATACTTACATTCTTTAAATATTATTTACAGAGATTTGAAACCTGAAAATATTTTACTGGATAAAAACGGGCACGTAAAACTGACAGATTTTGGATTTGCTAAATTTGTACCAGATGTAACTTATACATTATGTGGTACTCCAGATTATATTGCACCTGAAGTGGTAAGTACAAAACCATACAATAAATCTGTCGATTGGTGGAGTTTTGGTATTTTAATATACGAAATGTTAGCTGGCCATACGCCATTTTATGATTCAAATACTTTAAAAACCTACGAGAAGATATTGAATGCACCACTGAAATTCCCTTCATTTTTCCATGAAGACGCAAAGGACATTTTAACAAAATTAATAAACAGAGATCTAACGAAGAGATTAGGTAATTTACAAGATGGTAGTCAGGACGTTAAAAACCATCCTTGGTTTAGCGAAGTCATTTGGGATAAAGTTCTGGCAAGATACATAGAAACTCCTTACGAACCACCAATTCACCAAGGGCAAGGTGATACATCCCAGTACGAAAGATATCCTGAAGAAGAAATTGATTATGGTATTCAATGTGAAGATGCGTACGGTTTCTTATTTAAAGAATTCTAAGGACATCAAATTAAAGGTCTTACCTACTTACCTTCATCTCTCTCTTCTGCTTCACATATACATTCATTCTAGTCATTTTTAACATGTTTTACTATTCTTTATTTTCGGCTCTAACTGATATAACTCAAACATATCTTCCATCAAACTCATACACTCTCATACGTACGCGTATACATACAATGCATTCATACACATTTCTGTAGTATAAAGAAATACAACTTTTATAGAATATAATAATTTAACTTTAATCATATCGATTTCTCTTCGTTTGAACTTGTCCAAAGATCCATTCGTACTTGGATTTGGATATTGTTCCTTTCTAGGTTGTCTTTGAAGATAATTTTTTGATTTCAAAATAAGAACGCAAAGCGAAGAGAACTCACCAAACAATGCACAACTCCCGAGAACACAGTTAGAACAGAGCCCAATAAAAGAAGGGAAGGAGAACCATCGTCTTAACGAACCGTTAGTAAAATACCCTAACTTCAATATTCAGATACTACAGAGGTATATAGAAATTCGATTCCAAAATATTAGTTATTCCAATACCAAATTATCCATATAACATTAGTTCAATCCTCCAATGTCCAAAATTATCAGACAAAAGAACTTTCTAAATGTTATTTCATACACAACAAAGAAGCCACAGGTACTTATCGATGCTAGTAAGTACCAAGGTATCAGATTAACCTTTCAAGTAGAGAACCATAGCGGCCACATGGGTCCTCGTATGTTATGGAGAAAATATTTACCAACTTTGCAATTCTATAACCCAAACCTCAAGATTGATATTATAAGGGTTTATAATAAGAATAAAGCCAAAAACGTTCCTTGTATATTAGAAGTTCTCGATAAGACTGGAAACACAGTAGAGACAATCGATATGAAGAACAGAATGTACGACACTATTATGGATGAATTCTTAAATAAAGTAGAACATAAGGTAATTCCAGAAGAAGAATTAATCCATGTTTAATTAATATGTTGTGCAAAAACGTTTATTACATCATATATTCACGAATAATAAAAGAAGTATGAAACTTCATATATCCTATTTTCTATACGTTAAGTGTGATTTTGGCAAGGTTATCTGTAAATAAAATAATTATACATCCTACTTATATATAAATTGTATATTATTCGAACATTGTAAGCACTTAAAATGATATTCAAAATTAAATAAAAATCTACTCTCTTTCACAATTCTCATGAATTCCTATTCATGTCCCAATGTAAACGAGTTGTGAGTGTAGTTCGATTATATAATTATTTAACTAGAATTACGTTTAATTATATTAATTAAATTATATACATGATCACTTATAATTGTTTTTTATATAAAAAATAAGTAGGAAAATGGGGATTGCAAGTGTCTTTAAATAGCATACATTTCAAACCCATATTTGTATCGTAATGAATATGTTTATTTTAGGAGAATACACCGAGTATTCATACAATTTTACTAGCTAATGAACATATTTTGTTATAACCTTTATCCATCAGCTCCCTACCCACAACACCATCGTTAACCATAATTCTGGTACCCAATGGTTCACCAGTATTCTTATTGATCAGAACACATGCATTATCATCGAAATGAACGTTAAAACCATTGGAGCGGTAGATATTTGATTGCTTTGTACGCACAATAATAGCATGTACGATATCACCCTTCTTAACTCTATTAGTGTTTACAGTACCTGTGATAGCTTGATTCAGAGGTTTAGACTTCTGGATAACACATACTATTCTGTCACCGATGGTACCAGGAGATTTAGGAGATCCCTTTCTTATAACTTTAATACATTCTGCCAGTTGAGCACCAGAGTTATCTATCACTTTTAGCATACTCTTTAGGTAAATCATTTTATAATAATAGTTATCTGTTTAAACGTATGTAAAAAAGAGTGTTCGTCTTTTTGCTAATCTTATTTGTCGTTAGGATACCACTTTTATGTTATATCTTGTCTCTTTACCTTATACTATTCTAAATTATTTCTTATATTTCGAAGTTTCCAATACTCCTGGACGCTCGGTAGTAAAAACAAAAAAAAAAATATAATAACGAGGGAAACTACAAGAGCACAATTAAAACGCATGGACTACTCCTTATTTAAAGAGAAAATTATTTATAATTACTGTTTCAAATGCAAATATTATTTATTTAACTTTTGTATGCTATTTACCGTTATATGATTTATTTTAGTTTTAGTTTTATTTTAGGCTTAGCATGCTTCATAAAATATGATAATAAATACGTCTTGACTTTTAGTCAATACCCTACAATCCCTTCAAGGCTTGTTGGATTTGCGATACACTCCATCTCTTGGAGATATCGACTTCCAAACAACCACATATAATATCCTTCAATGGTAGATAATATTTGTAATTATCTAGGAAATGAAGTGCCTCAACATCGAAATGCCCCGATTTAATCAGCTCTCTTAATTTTGATTCGCTGCCATGCTTAAATGGCAATTTTCCTAGTAACATAGTATACAACATGACACCAAATGCCCAAACATCTGATTTGTAACTGATTTTATTATCAATTAGTAATTCGGGTGAAGCGTATGGTAAAGAGCCAATATTCGATGTGGAACTTCCTTTGTTTGGATTATCCTTTATTACGTCATGACTCATTCCAAAATCACAAATGTACAGATTCCATCTACATTTCTCACTTTGAGAATCTTCTAAAAGACAATTTTCTAACTTAATATCACCATGAACTATATTTAATGAATGCATGTATTGAAGTGCCTCGATTACTTCCCGAGCCAGATCTACAGTATACCGACAACGTTTTTGACATGATATTTTTGTATTTGTAATAGCATCCCATGATATTATTAAGTCATACAATGTTCCATCATCAATTTTTTTAGTTAGAGAATACATGGTACCTTCATCGTCTATTTTAGATTCAAGTAATGGCAGAATATATGGATGATTCAATTTTTTCCAATTCGATACCTCTCTTTCTACTTGATTCTTCATTCTATCATTATTTTTAAATCTAACAATCTTAATTGCTCTCGATTGTCCTGTTTCGTTATTAAAACATTCACGGATTGTACCCCATGCTCCAAACCCAATTATCTTACCCATTGTATGATTAAATATCTGACCACCTTTTTCTTCTGGTTTAACTGGTAAAGTTGTAGTACTTACGCAACTACCCAAATGGGTATCATATGGTGCGGCTTCACCTGCAACGAAATTAGTAGGGGTTACAAAACTCGGTGAAAATGTACTCAAATATTGCGACGCAATTGAATTATGTCTTACGTGATGATGGTTTTGATGAGGTGCACTATAATTATTGTTATCATAGTCGGTCATTGTATCATTCGTTTGAGATATGACGCTATTATTATTGTTGTTAGTATCTCCAATGTAGCTATTATTCGGAACACTACTATTGACCAATGATATGTTACTTCTTGAAGATGATAACATATATTTTTTGATCAACGACATTATAACTTTATAATTATCAACTTGATCTGGAGGTAATAATTTTAGTATCATTTTTTTCCTTTGCGAGTATGGTTGTGAAATGAAATTATCAGGTAATAAGTCAATTATTTCCATAATAGTTTCTCTTTTCAATGGTGGGATATTATCAAATGATCTTGGTATATTTGTCAGCGAAGAAGATACAGACGATTGATCAATGGATGTTTTATGTTGTTGTGGCAATTGTAATGAACCTTTTCTTCTTAAGGATGACAGTTGGTTTGTTAGAGCAGAACTACTTGGTAAAGTGCGTAATTTTAAAGGTGAAAATGGAAGTCTATTAGTTAATTGTGGACTTTCTGTGATGCTATTATTATTTGTATTATTCGACATGGTATCATTATTGTTGTTATTAAACATTGTTGGGTATGATATTCTTCTTTTCATTTCTAATTCTGAGGGAGGTGTCATTAATGTTCTTAAACTTGGCAAAGGAATAGGATCTACTTTAGAATGATTTGATCGATAAAGACTAACATTAGAATCCACTGGAATCGTGATTCCTGTATTTTTTGTTGCAGCTGAATCAAATCCGTATGCATCATTATTTGTAAAACAATTAATTTCGTTATCCTCATCAGCACTTTCCCAAGTTGGAAATTTTGTTAGAGCTAATGATGAATTTTTATTTTGTTTATGCATCTTTTTGAATAAAGTACTGTATGAACTATTTTTATAAGAATTTGAATTACTACCTGCAGTGTTTCCAAATTTTGTATTTTGAAGTGATTTTCTATGATCATTATCAGTTGGATCTTGTTGTTGCCATTTATCTAGGATCTCATTGTAATTTAAACCTGGAATGTATTCTCCTTCGATTTCTAAATACTTATTATTATCCTTTTCATTTATTTTTCTTAAAGAAGAAGGAGATAATACTAAATTATATGACGATGATTGTCTTGTTGATGGATCTTGTGATAAACTTATATTATCGTTTCCGGTGCCTTCAGAATCATCGCCAAGTAAATACTTACCAGAAGTAAATTCTTGAGAGGTTGGTTTTGTTAACATTAAATCTGAATATGAATAAGACAAGGATTCATTGTCATTGTCATTGTCATTGTCATTGTCATTGTTATTAACGTCATTGTTATCGTTGGTATTCAGTGTTGTTGTTTTTTGACTTGTTTCTTTAATTTGTAATGGATCAATTAAGTTAGTCTCTGTCAAATTATTAGAATGTGGTTGATTAAAAGATGTTAGTGTATAATTATTCATCAATCTATCTGTTAAAGAATATGGACTAAAATTAGTTTCCTTATCGACTAGATCAATATCAATAGTTGATATATTATTGTTATTATTATTATTTGTAGAGGTAAGCTTCCTACAACTGGGACTCCTAGACAGTTTATTGTCTGGCGATCGTATTGACCTGTTACTTTTGTTTCGTTGTTTGTATACTCTTGAAAATGGATCCATCTTTATTGCAGTGGATATATATATGTGTGTGTATATGTGTGTATTTTAATGGGATGAATATTAACAGATCAGTTTCAATAAGACCAAAATTATTTTGTGGTTAAATATCGATGAAAATCAAATAAAAAATCACTTTTTTATGTGTATAATAATCTTCAGGTATGATAAATAAATACTTTTTGTGTTATATTGTATCGTTATTCTTATGTTTTAGCGATAACGGAATACCAATACAGTTTTACACTTTTATTTTGTTTATCCACCTATTTGAAAACCTTATCCATATAAACAAATATAATTAAATATCGAATACCTCTCAACTAACACAGGTATTCTTATACTACGATCAAAATAAAGAAAACAAACCAAGAAAAAACCCTTTCAGTTCCTGATTATCAGATAAGATTTACTCCTCTTCACCCATTCACAACGTTTACCGTCAAAAACAAATACCCTTCACGAAATGCTTCATATATAGAAAGATGGGCTCTATTAAATTGTGGTTTGATCCTTCCACCTCCTTTCTCCCCACGCCATTTTTTTACACTGCTACTATCATCGTGTGGCGCTCGCATTGTCTATTTCTCTGTTTTAAGTCCGTTACGTTCTGCGGGATATTTTTATTGCCGTTTGCGGAAGGTCTTTCCTGATTGGGCGGTGTAGTCGTTCAACGTGATGAGTATATGAGAGTTCCTGTAGTTGAAAAGATGAAGAAGATGGTTCTGAGGAATAGTTATTCATGTTGATACAAATATATATATATATATGTTTATGTATAGTGGGTTAACTATTTACTTCTCTTGTACACCTTCTTGAAGAAAGCAGTAAGGACATCCTTCTTGAAGCCACGGCTTTCATCGACCAATTCAATCTTGGATTGGATTTTCTTAGCGATGTTTTCTTCATAATCCTTATAGTATGATTCCAACTCAATGTCATTGTAAATCTTCTTAACGATAGCTTCCGATTTAGCATTCTTCTTACCATAGTTTTCATCAAGAACCTTTCTTTGTTCTGGTGTGACAATTTCCAAGGCTTTATTAATTAACCAGGAACATTTGTTATCTTGGATATCGGTACCAATTTTACCAATTTGTTCAGGGGTACCAAAACAATCTAAGTAATCATCTTGGATTTGGAAATATTCACCTAATGGAATCAATACATCTTGAGCTTGTTTTAAATCCTTTTCATCATGAATACCCGCAACATACATGGCTAAAGCGACTGGTAAATAGAAAGAATAATAAGCTGTCTTGAAGATAACAATGAAAGAATGTTTATCTAAGGAAAATTTGTTTAAATCAACAGAATCCTCTGGGGCAGTAATTAAATCCAATAATTGACCTAATTCAGTTTGTAAAGTAACTTCATGAAACAATTCAATCAAATCGACATAATAACTATCTTGTTTGAAATGACTCTTCAATAGAGAATAAATTGCAGCCTCTAACATAAAGGCATCATTAATGGCAATATCGCCAACACCGGCAACTTTATACCAACATGGTTGACCTCTTCTAGTGATACTTTGATCCATAATATCGTCAGCAACTAGGAAATAGGCTTGTAGCAATTCAATGCACCAGCCAAGAATAGCAAGTTTCTTATATTCTTCAGCACTCAGTTCATCAACAGATGAATGGCCCTTCAGGATGGTGTATGTGTCGACAACAGAAAGGCCCCTATTCAACTTACCCCCTGGAGTGTTATGTTGCAAAGAACGTTCATACCATTGGATGGCCTCAGCAGGCATACCATAGTTAACTAGGATAGACTTTAGTTCATCGACTAAAGATGGGAAGATATCTAAAAACTTTTCTCTTGGAGTGACAGACATTATTGTGAAAAAACAAATTATTGGAAGGCTTTAACAGTATTCTTCTACAGAAAATAATATAACTATCTATTACTTAGTATGAATTGAAGATCAAAAATTTAGCAATACCGAAGATAACTTAGGTATACTCTAAAACTATTCTGAAATACTTGCAAGTAGTAGCTTATATATATATAATTAGAGAAAGATAGACGCATCCCTTCAGACTCTCGAGTAAAGAAATTCAGTTAATTCACTGTAATCATTACGAAAACGTTGTTTTTTCTTTCTTTATTGCCGAATTTCCCGTGAAATTTTCACCTTTCCGCTGCGATAGTCACTACAGAGAAAACATTTTTAACATACGACAGATGGTAATTAAACGAATAAACTGAATTATGCACAATAGGGCAGGTAACGACGTAGTCAGACAACTAATGCCAAGTAGCACTCGACATATATATGTGTATGTGCATGTGTAAGTGCAATGGCTTATATCAATATCTATCGCATTACAGGTAGTTATTACGTCAAAATATGTTGAAATCATCTTCGCTATGTTACAGTTTGCTTTCGCAATTCGATCACGAACGTCTATATACTTAAATATACATTCATTATTGAGTTTTCAGAAAAAGAAGAGAGAATTGGAAGAAGAAAAACAGATGCTTGATACGTTTAATAATGCTTTTGCTAGTTATATGTTTGTTTGTTTGTTTTCCTTTTGTTTATTAGTTGATCAATGTCTTCTACTACGTCTGCTCTTACCTGGTCTGGCTGGCTTACCCTTCATTCTTCTTTGTGAGAATCCTGATATGTCAGCAGAAGATTCAGCATCATTCTTTCTCTTGAATCTCTTTAGACCACCTTGACCATACTTGGAGTTCTTAGCAGATCTCTTAGAATTTGGTCTACCATACTTTTCAGCACGCGATTCAGTTTCTTCTTCCACAGCAACATTAAAGTCATCACCAGTTATTTCATTTTGTTTTCTTTTCTTCTTTAGATTCTTGATCTTATCTAGAGAATCTTTCTTCTCCAGTTGACGCTTCTGTAAAGTGGCAACTTGTACTTGCTTACCAAATTTCTTTAGATCTCTTTGTCTTCTAGCTTCTTGACGGGCCTTCTTCTCACTGGCATCTCTAACTAATTCGCTCTTGATCTTATCCATATGTTCATCATTCTTAACCATCTCAGCAAAATAATCTAAAGGTCTCAAGAATGGGACCTTTAATCTCTTCAATTCATCACGAGCATGTACAACAGCACCTAAGGATTGTTTGTAAAAAGCTAATTCTCTCTCAGTATCGTCATAAATATCCTTGATCTTTGCATCAGTATTTTCCTCAGAGATAACACTTTGATGTTCTTGGAACGAATGCTTACCCCAAGGTAATTGAACATTATCAAGGGCTTGGTTCAAAGCTTTGACGTTATTGATAGTAACCTTTTGGTATGGTACGATATCCGCATCTGAATCGAATTCAACATCGGATAATGGAACATCTTCTTCTTCTTCTTCTTCTTTTTCACTTTCAACATCATTCTCGATTTCGGATTCAGATTCACTTTCAGCTAGTCTTTCAATCTCTAGACGGGATTCTTGTTTCTTAGCTTGTTTCTTAGCTTTTCTTTGATCCTTCTTGGAAAGAGCTTCACTCTTGTATTCTTCACCTTCTTCATCCTTAGAAGCCTTCTCAGCTGCGGCAGAAGCAGCAGCAGCAGCATCAGCGGCTTCTTTTTCATTAGCCTCTTCTAGATCTTTACTTGAGATGACTTTAACAGTAGCATTCTTTTCGGCCTCCTTCTGTTTAGAAAGTTTGATAGCGTCTTCCTTATCGATCTTTTGTTGTTCCTTTTCGTGAGACAACAGCTCCTTCAACTTAAAACCCTTGGCCATTTTTAATCAATATTCAATTCTATATAAGCTTTGGATGCTGGCTTGTTCTGTGTAATTATTAATTTATAAGAAAGACTTCTTATGTCAGTTATTTGTATACTAAAATGCATATATACGTACTTCATACATTGCACAGAAAATTTTCAATTAATTTTTCATCTCATCTCATCGCTTGTCAACTATGGGTATTACAAAATTTTCGCCATTGAGAACAGAAGAAAACTTGAAAAAAAAAAAACTTCTAAGGAGACGTGTATAGCGATAATAACCCGAATTTTGATTCCAAGAGGTAGCAACGAAATTAATATACTTATAGAACTTATTGGCAGTGGGACTATTAATATACTTGAATTTTTGCTTCGTTAAAATCCATGAAAATTATGTATTATTTATATACATAATTAAATAATAATAAATATTATGTACCCACGTAATCTCATATTAAATCATTAAGTTTTAATTGTTCGAATAATTCTGGATCAATGTACTTACTCAATGAAGGACCATCATTCGACATAAATCCATCATTGGAGATACCTTTTCTACGTCTTGTTTTCATAACAAAATCACGACTTAGACTTTCATATGGAGCGGGTTTTAATTTTGGTATAATAGCGTCTTCATCTAAGACATCCCCTGGGACACGTCTCCAATTATTATTCCAGAATTGTAACTGGCATTCTGCACCACCTTGTGTGCTTAATCTCAAATCGGTCTCTATACCGATAGATTCTATCACAGGTATCCTACCAATTAATTCACTTAAAGGTGAACCTCCAATCTTTCTTGAACTAAATATTTTGGCCCCTCTTCTTTTATTGAGTAACTCTTTAGCAATTGGGATTAATTGTGTCTTAATGATAATACTAATCTCATATATTGGTTCCATAATAATGGGTTTTGCTGTCATCATAGCAATATAACATGCTTTTCTAACCATCGGGATTAATTGACTTCCTAAGTTTTTGACTTCTTCGGTGTCATTTATTTTAAAGTTTAATAAGTTAAATTGGATACCGTACATGTATTCCTCACACAATGGCCCTTCTTTAACGGCCCAGTAAAACCCCTGTTTAATCTGTTGTCGATGTTGCATTAACACTTCTTTATCTGTTTCATCCGGTAAAGTATCATCAACAAATATATTACTATGGTGGAAGGTCCACACATTTCTTGCCGTCAAGGAATCCCAGTCGTATTCATTTCTTAACATTTTACTTAATTTTCTAACGTTACCTGTTAAGATATCTTTTTCTAAATCCATTTCACTTTTTTTATTTTGACTTATATCATTTAGTAATTTGTAATCCAATGGCTTAGCACTAATACTCATGGAAATATTCTTATTGGTAGATTCTACAGGGATTGCGGTAAAAGACTCCTTATCGACACCCTCTGAGAATATTGTAACTGGGTTAGATATCTTGATTTCAATATGTGCATATGTGTTTCTTAGATCATACAATAAACAATCCAAATAAAGCTCACCAAATCCTAATATAACATGTTCACCAGATTCTTCAATCTTAGTCACAAGACCTGGGTAGTACTTCGAGACTTTAACTAAGGCGTCCAACAACTTTGGCAGTTCCTTTGGTATTACTGGTTCAATAATAACTTTGAAACATGCTCTATTAATGTAGTCAATAGGACCAAAAATTGGTAATTCTGATCTCTTAATGCCAGAATACAGAGTAGCCGATTTATCAAAATATTTTGAAATATTCTTAACAAGTACAATTTGACCAGGTCCGGCACAACTAACATCAATAGTGTATCTACCTTCCATTAATGCAATTTCTGTAATTCGTGCACTTATGGAATCGTTATCGGTATCATCTTCATCAACCTCGTTACCTGAATCAATTATATGTACATTAGTATTGACAAATAATTCGCCTGATAATATTTTTACAAGAGAAAATTCTTCTCCTCCATAATCTAATGTCTTTAATGCTCTGGCTACCAATCCCTTATTTGACTTGGTGTAAGTAAAATAGTTTGTGGGTTCCATATTATTAATGGAATGATATAGACCAGTCTGTTTCTCACGGAAAATCAATTTACAGATATATCTTAGAAGTGGGTATGGATCCATTTTTAAAAGATCTTGAGGACTTTCAATAACTATGCCAAATTGATTCTGTAACGTCAATACAAAATCGTTCAAAGTCTTTTCCTCTAAAGCAATGGTGGAGCTCATTATTTTGTATAATGGAAGAATGAAAAGATCATGAAAAGTTGGTTTCTGCAAAGCAGGATTTACAATTTTTTGGAACTTCCCTTTGTTCAAAGTAACATGTTCATATGATTTCTTAATGAATAATTCTATTTTATCATTTGGAATGCTTCTTGAATAATAGTATTTCACAAATTCCCTCACTGTGAAAGTGAATCCCAGTTTTGTTGATGCAAATACAATATTATCAAGTTCTGGAGAATAATTCCCAGTGGTAAGTTCATTGATCTCTTCGATTGTATGTTTTATCTTCAAATATGTATCCATAGGCGGTATTTTCATTTCAAGAATAAGCCTATCAAGTTTGTTAATCAAAAAGATAAATTGTTTTCCCTTTTTCTCACATATATCGATCAGTTTTTTAACTACAGATGTAATACCTTCGACAATATCTATAGAAATAATTGCAATATCGGCTGCTTCTAAAGCTACGGCACATTCATCTATTAAGTTGACATGACCTGGGGCATCGAGTACATTTAACACCATTGATTTATCGTTCAAATCGGTACCCATAAAGGTTAGTCCATTCAATTTTATACTTATACCCCTTGCGATTTCTTGTTTGAAACTATCCATATACCTCAAGGCCGTCCAACCTTGTTTTATGTTATTACTCATATGAGGGAGTTTATCATGTGCATCCTGTACAAATAAATCAACAAGAGCAGTTTTCCCCGAATGTAACGGTCCTATTACAGCTACATTTCTTATTCTTTCAGGTAATCTCAATAATTCGATCATATAATCTTTATCATATGATATTCTAGGTATATCTTTCTTTGTTGACGGGAATAATGAATATTCTTCACCTCTAGTTTTATATATCTGTGATTTGACTAGTGGTTCATTTATAGCCTGGGTATTATTAGTTTCTACTAGCACTTCTACTTCATTTTCGTCAATATTTTCATTGTGTATTATAAGTTCTTCCATTTCTACGTCTCCTTCATCTTCTACTGTTTCAACAAATGGGGGTACTGATATATCTTCTTCATCAATATTTAAATCATCTGTTTCAGAATTGCTATCACTAGTACTTTCTATATCTGAATAATTGTTTAGATTCCCAATAGGGTTACCAAACTCGTCATATTGGCCTTCGTCGTCCATATTGTGAATTTTATATTAAAATCCTTGGTGATTTCTAATAAGCTGGATAAAGCTTCGCACTATAAAATACAACGATACACCAAAGGTTCGAGCTGTTCACCACAATATGCTATGCTGATGATGTGTCGAATAACGAATATAGTGTTCAATTATACATTGTTTAAATGTTTGCTAGTGTAACCTTTTGTCTATCTCATCAGATATATTGTTTTCATATCATAACATCATTGAAATTTTTTTGAATGTAAAATTTCCCTACGGCGCCTTAACTAAACTTACCGAAAACCCTGCAATATTAAGCAATATCTGTATAACATTTTCACAACGAAGAATCGAAGTTATCGTTATTCAATTGCATTTAATTTTTCGTTTATTAGAGGCATGAAGATGTTCAAACTTATTTAAAATGTATGTAATTCTATTGTTTAACAATATATATATATATATATTTGAAACAGTACTACTGGTTCTATTTTGCACGTGATATGTAGAATAATTACCTGAATAGGAAAGTATTTCCGTATTCTACAAATAAAACTGCAGTTAACGGGCTGCAAGTAATTTCCTTTTTGGGTCGCCATTATAATAATAATAATATAATATGTGATGGACAATAAGAATTTTAAGAAGAATCAAGCTAAGCCTGAACAAGTTAAAACGTTAAATATAACATAGGATAGGTAGGATACACAGATAATAAATAAGGAGGATTCTTATCGATAAGGATCATATTAAACTTTTGTTAAATCTTAAATATTCAAGTGAAATACTTTAAAAGAACTAACATCTGGAAGGGAATACATTAAGAAATATCAGAAGCATAGGGTTCGTTCATAAACTACATACACTTTTTCAGTAATGCGTGATTATAATATAATAACAAACAACGTGAGGAATAGTTTGAATGTTGCAAGACATACCTTCAATCCGGATGAGTTGTTTGAGAACTTGCATACAATATTACACGAAGAATCTGACGAAAATGAGGTGGAGGAGGTTGAACATTTCAAATACGAGCAACAACTAGATAAATCTTTCCTTTCAAGAAGTTCTGTAATAGGTCTAGGGTTTGGTCTGATGAGTCCTGTTTTGGGTATGTGTACAAGTATGGCAATTGGCTTGAAAAATGGTGGACCGCTAACTATTATATTAGGTTTCATTGTTAGTGGGATCTGTATTTGGTTTTGTTCTCTTTCCTTAGGGGAAATTGTGTCAAAGTTTCCAATGGAAATCCATGTTGGTAGTGCTATGTTAGCACCTGAATCTTTCAAATTGGCTGCATCATGGTATACCGGATGGCTGATGTTAATAGGAAATTGGACAATGAGTACTAGTATCACTTTTGCAGGTGCTCAACTAACAATTTCTTTAATTCTAATGACTAATAAAGATTTAATATCAGAAACGTATTTAATATGGTATACAGTCATAGTATTCTATTTGGTGGTTACAATTGTAGGAGTTATAAATTTAAAGTTTGCAAGATTCATCGAGATAATAAATAAAGTCTGTGTGATTTGGATCATATATGCCATCATTTTTATTGATATTTTATTACTGATTTTCCATAGGGAAAAATATAGATCCCTTAAATATGCATTATTCCATTTCGATAATTCACTCTCTGGATATTCCAGTGCGTTTATTTCATTCATTATTGGTTTCCAACAATCAAATTTCACTCTTCAAGGGTTTAGTATGCTTCCAGCGTTAGCAGATGAAGTTAATGCTCCAGAAAAAGATATTCCAAGGGCTATGTCAAATTCTGTATTGATATCTGCCTTTTCAGGGGTTATATTTTTAATTCCAATTATGATTATTTTACCTGATGTTGAAAATTTATTTAATGAAAATAATTATAACATTCTCCCAATAGTTAATATATTCGTGAAATCTACCGATTCTATGATCGTTTCGTTTTTCTTAGTTTTGATGATACTAGGTAATTTATTCTTTTCTGGTATCGGTTCTATCACAACCTCTTCTCGTGCAGTATACAGTTTCAGTCGTGATCATGCAATTCCGAGACATGATTTATGGACATTTGTGGATCCAGAATCTCAATCAAAGGTTCCAGCAAACTCAGTTTTGTTAAGTATGGCAATTTCATATATCCTTGGATTATTGGCATTATTCTCAACTGCAGCTTTCAATGCATTTATAGGTGCAGCTGTTCTTTGTCTTTGCTCTGGGACATGCATCCCATTAATCCTTGTTTTGTTCAGAAGAAGAAGAGTCCTAAAGAATGCACCTGTTAAGATTAGATACAAATTAGGTTGGACTATCAATATTGTATCTATTCTATGGTTATTATTATCGATGTTTTCTGTTTGTTTGCCTGTTAGTGTCCCAGTAACAGTACGGTCCATGAATTATGCAATCATAGTTTATATTTTATGCCTAATCTGTATTACGGGCTTATATTATAAATGGGGTAAGTACAACTTCAATTTACCACTTGCAGATGAAATGAGAGGAACCACAAATATCGAATTTTCTTCCATTCCTGAAAATGTAGATGCTGAACTAAGTAAAAAAGGGGATGATGATAACGAAGAGAATGACGGTGAAACAGTTGATGGTACAACTTTGACTAACTCTAAAATCGACGACACGATTAACGAAGAAAATCCCTTCACTGAAACTGCATCTAATATATTGAACTGAACCAATAATTACATATATACAATAATTAATTACCTAGACAATTGTGAGGATAGTATACTGACATTGTTTTTAAATATGTTATTGTTCTATAGTATATATCGAATTAATATAGATCTGCATTTATGAAATAAAAATTAGAAATAGAAACGAGAAGGTACAGCAAGATCCTTTTATATAATATTCCGACTTTTTGTATATGTGTGTGTGTGTATGTGAATATTTCGTGAGAGTAATCTTCATAAGATGTCTATTAAACAAAAATTGAGCTTGCTAATATCAGTAAAACACCAGCACAGCACCATTTTAGACATGTAGTACCTAAACTGTGAGTTTGACGAATTTCGGTAGAATCATCATCTTCGTGGTGATGATGACCATCACTGAAACCGATACCAGTTTGGAACATCTGCAATGCAATTACTAGTAAAAACCCTGAGGTGATGCTTAGCAATAAATCCATGTTTGGTTCGCCATCGCTACCATTTGGATTGTTATTATCCTTATTTTTAAAGATCATATAACCGATTAACGCACCTAACGGTTGTGAACCACCACCTAATACAGTTGTGATTAAAATAGATAACCACTTATTCTCAAAGATTGAGTAAAATGGTAACGTCATTGCAAAACCTTCGACAAAATTATGAATGGCGAGACTTATGAAGATTGAAAATCCGATTGTCTTTGAATCACTTTTAGACTTGTTTGTGTAAAATATAATGAAACCTTCAGGGAATTTATGTAATGTCAGAACAAGGCATGTTTGCATACCAATAGACAATAATTTGGAGAAAGGTGTTTCCACATGATGATAGTGGAATGGTACTGAAGCCAATGAATGTGCTGTCGCACTAGAGGACATTGCTAGGTCATGTTCCAAGTCATGAATATGATGATGATGGTGAAGGTGTGAGTGAGATGATCGGTGAGAGTTATGATCCGAATGTATATCGTTAGTATTATCGGGAATATGTATCGATGAAGTATTTGATGAAGTTGAGCTATTATCATGGATTGAAATCTTGTCATTACCAGAAAAATATTTTTTACGATACACTGATAAATTTTCTAAATCATAACCAATGGTGTTTTCCATACATGCCATCTTACATTGTCCTGGGTAGAAACTTTCATCATCAGTTGGAGCATAACTTTCATTACCTAACCCGAGATATTCTTGTGTTTGTCCCTCGTTACCATTATTATTATTGTAGTTATTGTTACGATCATCTTCTGTTTCTTCTTGAATATTGTCGATATTAGAAGATATCACTTGTGATCTTGTACTTTTTGTTCCATGAGTCGAAGATGTTTTATTTTGATCTGTACCATTAGATTCTGTGCGATCCAATTTTTTAGAGCTAGCCTGAGATATTTGACCAATACAAGTATCTTTATCTGCTTTTAACAAAGGAGTACAATCTGTACCAGAGTTTGTCTTGGTTAACGGATTGGCTTTATTTAACAAATCTATGATACTTGTTCTACGATTTAGATTATCTGGACGTGTAGAGGATGATATACTAGGAATAGTTCTGGATGAATGTTGAACTGAATTTGAACGAGCATTATCATGTTGTTTAACCTTATTGTTGTTATTTATCGAACCATAAGGAGTAGCACTGTGTACAATAATATCATCATTGTGATGGTGGTGGTGATGTTCATTATGTTCTCCATCATCATCTTCATGATGAGCGCAATGGATCAATGATTGACTAGCGAAAGAATGTACGATATAATTCAAAAATAATGATAGAGAAATACCGAACAGTACCCCGAAGAATACTATGAATCTATTTTCATGATTAATTACAGGTAACATCTTATATAGTGCGGTAGTCACCATAGATCCAGCACTCAATGAAAGACCATAATTGACCAATTTTGTATTGTGACTAGAGTTTGAATCTCGACCCGATATAATAGATATTAATGGAACACAAAACGCACCCAGGATACAAAGAATCGAGTTTACCGCAGAATAAGTCACCCATTTGGGGACATTCTCAGTGAAATTCATATCCATACTAATATTGGGATTGTTTCAGCAGGAGAGAAATGAGTTATATTTCAGATGATTTAGTGGGTAATTCAGGTTTTCTTTCTCTTTACCTCTGATATCTTGAATTAACGAAAAAAGAAAGAGAGTATCACTTTAATATGGAAGAAAGAAAGAAACAGAGATCGATGGATCCTATTTTAGTACTGGGTGGTAATAATTTTTGAAGAGCTATTGGAGAACTAAAGAGTCAAAGAGTAAAAACTCGGTTCCATTATATAATAGATTATCCTTAGATTGTCAATGGTTTATAAAATCCCTTCACCTCTTTTCGCACCTGCTGAAATTTGGCCCGTTTCATCCATAGTAATGAGGCGGATCTTATTGAGCGCAGCACACAGCACAGCACGGAGAAAAGAAGCGGGAAATTTTTGAGGAAATTTGAAATTCCACGATTTTCCCTGATGCAAGTTGATGATGATGATGATGCTGATGATGAACAACTCTTGTGACCCTTTTGATGATGATGGAAGAGGGCGATTATAGTTTCAGTTAAAGGTTACGGAATCTTGGATGTTGCTGCAGAATTAGTGGTTGTTTGATTGAAACCATACACAGTGAACTTGGGAAGTGTATATATTGTTACAATTAAAGGTTTGCATAGTGAGTTGTGGCAAAGAGTAAATCACAAATTTATTAATAACTGGGGAATTATATCCTAGTTTATTATTAAAATAACGCCAGTGATCTTAAAGTGACCTTTTTTTGACACATATTAGGGAAATTTGTCATACTATTATTATTATTATTTGCTGAGTTTGGGCTATTTCAATGGGATTCGAGCTTGTAAGTTTATGATTATATACAAGTTTGGATTTATTTATTTTTTTGCCTAGTGTTATAATTTGGAGTTTGCGTTAGTGAACCTCGTTATTTTAAAGAGCATTATTTCCTTAGGGTTAATTTAGTTTAGTTTAGATTTGTTTGGTTGCTGTAGGCTGGATGGTTTGATTTCAATATATGTTACCATAAAGAAATTTAGTTTATTGTGTTATTATTTGTTTGCATTTCATTTAGATTATTATTACTAATAAAGAGGTGCATTCGTTCCTATATCCAAGTAAAATTTAAAAATAAGAAAAAATGTTAGGGAATTTACTGAAAAATAATGGGACTTCCACTGTTAATTCTAGTTCTAGTCCCAGTCCTCGACCACCTAGTGTAAAGAGTACCGTTACAAGGCAGTCTTCAATGAAATATGTAGATAATTTCGAAACTAATTCAAATTATTCAATAGAGAATAAAAATATGATTGATAGTTTAAGAGAGGATTCAAATGGTAATAATTCTGATAGAAAGACTATCTCTAATGATGTATCGCCTAGTATTTCTGCTGTAACTTTGAATAACGATAATAATACTAATAATAATAATAATATATCGTCACAATCTGCATCTATGTTTTTAAGATCTTTGCTAGAAAGTTCCAAGAGTAATAATAGTGTTTCTCCTGTGAATACCACAGATAATTCGTTAGGGAAGGATGAAGAAAGTGATATTAATAACGAAGAGGAAGAGGACACACCAACTGTTCCAAATCGTAAGGATAGTATACGAAATTATCCAAAGATTTTAAGTCAAATTGCAGATGATTCAAAATTAGAACTCTTTGGTTGCAAGATGATGCCTATATCGAAAAACATGGAGAATGAATCCTTTATTTCTTTGAATCCTACGTATCCATTTAGAATCCTTGTCGCTGAAGAGACTGAACAGATGGCATGTAGAAGTAACTTTAAACTTTTCTTAGATCATAGTTATCCAAGACATTCCGATATTAGTAAAATTAGACCAAATGAATTGAGGCAATATATGTTTTGTTCCCTATTTAGAGTGATGAATTCAAAGAAATATAATAAAAATGAAAAATTTAGAGTCATTCCAAATTCAGATTATATGATATTGACAAGAATATTTTATCTTAATTCTCCTTATAATAGAATAGCCATTAATTTATGTTTACCAAAGTTTCTATTACCGGTTATAACAGAAATATGGTGTTTTATTCAAAATTGGTGGGATGAATCCCAAAGAATATTGACAAAAATTATACTGGAACACAAGAGGAATCCTAGTGGGCTGAAAGGTAAGAAATCTTTGCATGATATTCAAGATAATCATGTTTTTAATAATAAAAATATGCTTGGAAATTCCGCTCCTACTTTGCAAAATATTTTCCTTCAAACGTATTCCATGGAATTTGAAAGAATTATTTCTATATTGAAAAATTATTTGTTACCTTGTTTTAAATCAACATTCGAAATCCCAAGATTGTTCCTTTTCCCACCTGATGATATAAAATTTGTGGAAACTTGGTTCAGAGGTTGTTTTAAATGGATAGAGTTAAAAGATGGGCCTAAGTTGAATTTGTTACAAACTTCTCTAGCGACAGTCATAGTTAATTATAAACGTATGCTGTTGGCGTCTGATGATGGTAACTCTAAAGAAAATTCAAGGATAATAGTTTTGTCCGGGAATGTTACAGTTGCGAATAAGTTAATATTTTTATTATGTGGACTGTTAAATAGAAAAATACGGCAGAATTTAAATTTGATAAATCAACCACGTAGTAGAGAAAAGATAACTACGCCTGTAAAGAAAGTTGAAGGAATAGCTATGCAGTCACGATCATCTCTTAACAAGGGTTCTATCGAATCCTCGCCATCTTCAGTTTCTTCCTTCACATCAATGACATCCACCATGTCGAATTCTTCTAGATATAATTATTCAAGAAATGGTTGGGAAATTCCACAACGCATGGGTTCTTCATCAGCTTCAATTGCAATATCGCCAGCTGATTCAACCACTGCAGATGTAATTCAACCTTCCTCGTTTAAATCTGGACATAATTCTGTTCGATACTTATCATCTTCTTTATCAAGTCAACAAAACTCATATGGTTCGTGGTTTGCCTCTAGACCATCAATTACAAGGATGCTTTCTAAAAGTCCCTCAGTCACAGAATCGGAGTCTCCTTTATTCAGAGCTCCACCTAATGGAATGAAAGCAACAAATAATTTTCATAAAACATCAAGTAGTACATCATTACATCAGATGGGATTAGTTCGGAACAATCCAGTTCCATATCACGCATCTCAAGAATCTATATCTATGATGGACTTTGAAGAATCTCTTTGGGATGGAACCCCAGAATCTATGAACAGTATTGATCTATATTATGCGCCAACTAATAGAACATTGACACCTAATGTTTATAGTACTTCCGAGGTTGCTAATGATGGAACGTCCTTTCCATCACCGCTGAAGGATCTTAATATCCAGAGAGATTGTCAAAGGATCGATGAGTCCACAATGCTTGATAATGCATTTGATGTAATTTGCGCCCCTGAATCAGATGATATTTTAACCGCTGATCACCCTAGTAACTTTAGAATAATTACACCACATGAAAAATCATCAAAGGCATCTGTTATTGACATTGATATCAATCTTAATGAAGAAATACAAGAGTCTGTCAAATTTAATGAATTATTACCAAGATATGCTGCATATCTTCCAAATTTGAATAGATTTTATCAAATACAGGCTAATCCGTATGGCAATGAGACAGATAGTCATATTTTGACAACTATGAGAAAGGATTTGCGTTTGAATCCAAATATTTCGGTGGTCAAGACATTGGTAATATCCCTTCAGACAAGAGAAATATATGAAATGATGGTTAAACAACATGAAATAGAGGATAAAGGATCTCAAAGAATGAGGAGGATATTTAAGAACGGGAAATTCTTATTAAAGCATTCATCATCTTCTAAAAATGTTGTAGATTGTACGAGATTTATTGATTCTTCATTTGAACGAGTGAGAACTATATATAGAGAGATAGATTCCGATTCCAGTAGTTCCGATGATCTCGGGGATAGTTATACTAGTGAAATTTTGAATATTTTCAATTCCATTGTAAATTATTCGAATAATCTTTGAATTATTTGCTTAAATGAATCTTTATAGATTTTTATAATTATGTTTACAAAAGTTAGTCATTTATTTAATAAGATATCTTATATTTTATTTTTTTTGTGTATATTTCTTGAAAAAATATTATAAATTGTGATATTTGAACAAAATATTAATTTTGGTTATTATTCAAAAACACCCAACTTTGTCTCCAGATGTAAACGAATTTTAATATTGATTTTAGGAACAGAGTTTACATATTAATTAAATAATATTAGATATTGCAAACTTGAGGAGTATATTACAAAACATTGAAGGAAATATTTCACCAGAAAATTGTAGTGTCACCTTCTAATAGAATTTATTGTAGAATCATCAATTTTATTTAAAAACCTTGCTTCATCATGTGCTTCCTTTTCGATTTCTTCGTCATCAAGTTCATACCCCTGTTTTAAATAATACGCATTATTTACATCTTCTCGTTTGGTTTTTGTATCGAATTCGTCCTCATTAACATTAAATTCATTAAATTTCTCCATCAGTCCTTTGAAAAATCTATTAGTTTGTCCTGCGTTTATCGTCCCATTGTTTCCTTGAGTGGGTTGACTACCCTCAGTATTAGTTGGTGCCGTGAACGAACTAATTGTATTGTTGAATCTTGATTTTAGTCCGTCAAATGTTTCTTGAAATTGGACTTGCCTTTGAATCATTTGAGATTGAGCCATCTGAGGTTGGGACTTCCGAAACTCTACTTCCAACTCATGTAATTCCATCTTTAAAAATTTCAACTTTTCTTCTAATTCATTTATTTCTCTTTTCTTAGAAGCTAATTTGTAGATAGTACTATTTTCATCCTCTGGTTTTTCTTTCATCATAGGTTTCTTTACTGGTGTGACAGGCGCAATCAAATTCTTCTTTGGAGTCACAGGAGGAAATTTTTCATTAGAACTACCTACTTGACGTGACAAAGGGGATCGATTATCTTGGCGTTGCTGTTGCTGTTCTCCTGATCTATTTCTTGCTGGTAATGCAGGGACATTTTGTTTGGTTACAAGATTAAGTTCATGCAATTCCAGTGGAGTACTAACATTTCGTTGTGGACTGGACATGTTTCTCTCTTGAACTACCTTTTTGAGGATACTTAAAGGTTACTGGGATAAGCAATTGATCTACTGTTTGATATATATATATATATATTGGCCATTATGAAGGGAGATAGATAGGAATCACATTTTAAAATCCTGATTTGAAAAATAATGTTGCGGGTTTAGATCACAGCAAACAAAAACCAATGAAAAAAAATATTTGATTAATTAAACAATCATAAAATGAATTAGGAAGATGAGATAAGAATTATAAATGTACGCAAGCTAGGAAGGCATACAAACTCTGATTATCATTACAAATCCATCATTACCGTCCCCTATATAATACTTCTTTAAAAATGACTGAAATGAAGTCAATTGTTGACTTTGGAGACTATTTCCAGGAAAAGTATTTTGATAACTATATGATTCGATATTTTCAATATAATGTGAGGGAACCAAGTAAAATATTATACATGCTAAACAATGAACATCAAGATGAGAAAGTTGAAGAAGTGTATTGTTTAAGCAAGAAGATTTGGCAGAACATTGTGGAGTTCGACAATCGGTCAAATAAACGTCGAGCTCTGCGTGTTTCACATTACAAATTCTTATTTGAATCCATTGATCAACAATTACTATTAATGAATCGTATTGCTGAAAGAGAGACTAATTGGATTATATACCCATTATTTGTATTGGCCCGAGAACTTGTGAAAGTAACTTCCCATGTGACTAAGATTTTAAAAATGTCCCCATCCTATATTGAACGGTGTGCTCGTAGTGTTCATCGTTCATTTACTTTATGTTTAAATGATAGAAACCCTATAAAGGATGAGAATCGTCGTGGGGGCGTCTATATGTTTATCAACTTAGAATTCAAGCTATATCATTGGCTTGAAAACAGAGATATGATTAAGAACCTTGTGAAAGTTGTCAAATCAAGACAAGAGGATCGATTTGAACCCTTAATGCCGTGCGACCAATCATTATGTTCTAAATATAATGGTCAGGAAGTGACGTACAATTATTATATGGGACAATATTATGGTTGTATAGAGAATGATTATGAAAGTGCCTTCACATATTTGAATCAAGCATTATTTGGTTGTGATACAACATATTTAAAACAAATGAATCAAATCCTTATATTATTGATACCCTTTGGACTTCTTTCACATCGAATATTTGTTGGTAATCAATTACTGTTGCAGATACAAAATGAACATTTAAAGAGAGATAAAGATAAGAAAGAAAGTCATGGAACTCACCAATGGATGTGTCAAAAATATTATCATTCCGTTATTAAATGTTTTCAGACTGGGAATTTAAAGAAATTTGACAATATTCTTTTCAATAGAGAATATGAAATATTTTTTTTAAAGAATGGTGTTTATGTTGCTATGCAATTATTAAGAGAGCGTGTATTGTTACGATTAGTCGAACAAATTTATGAAATGAATGATAAGACAAGTATATTACCCTTTGAATTGATCTTAGTCGGAATGAAAGTTCAACCAAGTGATGACATGGAATCAATGAATGAATTAGAATGTGAATTAGCATGTTTAATTAGTAAAAAATTAATCAAAGGGTATTTATCACATGGCAATAAATGTATGGTTGTTAGTAGGACTAATCCATTCCCTAAACATACATTAACATCCTTAAAATAGAAAAATAAAACTTTTGAATATTTAATATATATATATATATAGTGCATGTGTGAATGTATATACAGGATTGATGATGGTCATAACAAAACTATTGATATTGTTACACTGATATCAGTTTGATGTGAACATACAAAAGAAAAAATACAGAAGGAAAAGAGATAAACGAAGTCTCGTTTATTTATGGATAAAATTCCTTATATTTTTTATAGTAGTAAAAAGTTCCTAAACCACCAAGTAAAGTCAAAGAACAAGGCACAATCTTCTTAAAACGGACAGGGATACCTCTAGCAATACCACCACCTAGTAATAAAACAGACGTCCCCAAAGCAATCTCTAGACCGTAGTCCTTATTACCATGTAATAAGTACGCTGAGACACCGTAGAGACCACCGACTGTAAGACCAGCCACTAGAGAGACCATCGACTTCTTACGATAGAAGCCCATCATACCACCGGCTGTAGAAAGAATACAAAGACTAATAGCAGGATGTTCCATTGTATATGTATGTGTGTAGTTATGAATATATATGTATGTGTGTATATATGCCGTATTTATGAATAGTGGTAGGAATAAAAAAATACTTAAGCTCTTTCATTTATTATTATGTATATCTATCTCTATCTTTATATATGCCAAACAAGGGCGATCATTGGGAAACGAGTTCAAAAAGAGAAAGAGAGCACCCAAATTGCGTAATGCGAGCTCAATCCGCGGAGATGAACACTCCCCTCCCCCCGCTCAAACGTTTATCTCCTCACTACTAGAAACCTGTCTTAGGTTCAACCTCAAATCCACAAAAGTTGCCAAACTTTGACCCTCCACGATCACGATCACCATTATATATATAAATATAAATATAGATTCATCTACCTGGACACGTTCACATTCACACATGTGCAAGAAACAAACGGGAACAATAGTTGTTCCAATCACCAAACAGACGGGTTTCTTCAACAGATTTTAATCGCCGTGTAACTCTGCGGCGATTAGCGAAATGACTGGTTGGTTCGCCGTGCTGTGGGGTGTTTCCACTGTTTTCTCGGACAGGACCAGGGCACACAGATAGAGAGAGCGAGATAGATTCTTCCACCTTTAAAGGGTGGGGAGCAGAATACAAGGGAAACCTCCCATGTGAATGATCCCTTCATTCATATATAAAGGATGAGGACGATGAGGATGATGAAGAAGTAAGGTGAGCTGGTTTTGACATTCTGTAGTTGGAAGTTCTCAATTTTGACAGAATATATTGCGGTGTACATAAAATTTTGAGTAAGATAATACATTAATAATGAGTGAAACTGTTGATTTCAAGGCTGTGCTAGAACAGACAAAAGAGTTATATGGTAATTTGATTCAAGCTGTGGATTTTAATGATCCTTATCTACGTTATTCATTGGTATGGGTTGCATTTAACCCTATCTTTTGGAATATCGTTGCTAGATTGGAATATAATACTCATTTCCTCACTAAGGTCACTGGTTCAGCAAAAGCTGGTTGTTATACATTGGCTGTTATAATTTTCACTCTAGGTTTAGGTCGTGATCATATGTTTAACCTTGCATTAAAAAATCAAGAAACGTCACCTTTCCTTCAAGTAGATTTATTACAAAAAATAGGTTATGCGGCTATAACATTAGGTCAAATCCTGGTATTATCTTCAATGTATCAATTAGGTGTCACAGGTACATATTTAGGTGATTATTTTGGTATATTAATGAAAGATAGAGTAACTTCATTCCCATTTAATGTATCTAATAATCCTATGTATCAAGGCTCTACATTATCATTCTTAGGAATATCTTTAATTAAAGCTAAACCAGCAGGTTTAGCTGTAACTTTAGCTGTACAATTAATGTATGATATTGCTTTACAATTCGAAGAACCTTTCACAACTAAGATTTATGCTAATAGAGATTCCGTTGAAAATCAAAAGAAAAACTTATAAACCAATTGCTTCTCCAATTCAAATATAGTTGTATATATTTCTGTATTAAAGTTATTCTATTTAAATTCATCAATATTATTAAAAAACAATAGACACTACATAAGTTAATAAACTCTTTACTGTCATTAAATATTACATCACTGGGTTTTTAAGTTCATCAGTCACGTGACTGTTTGATTTATAAATCAAAAAAACCAGATTATGCCTCCTGTGGGAATTGAACCCACGATCCCCGCATTACGAGTGCGATGCCTTACCACTTGGCCAAGCAGGCATGAAAAATTTCAACTTTTTCAGATTATAGTTTATCTATTAAGGATGATCAATGTTTTATTTTTTTCAATTTTAGAGGGAGAATATATGTCTTAATTTATTGCTGTTATGTTAAACAGAGTTGCTGTTGTTAAACTGCTCATCTTTTGTGCGTAGTAACGTTGGACTATGTAGCTCCAATAAACCCAATGTAGGGGGAACGAATACTACATTATGCAGTATATATCATGTGTTATTATATATACGACAGTGCAGCACACTCTAAATTCTACTTATATTAGCTACCTTCTCCTTCATATAGGTTAAACTAATGTTAGCCTTTTTAGTGCTGCCGCTATATTTCAGCAAGTATCTTCCCTCTTTTTTGTGCCGACGTAGACATAGTGGAGTTAGACTAGTATTCGTTTATTTGATTTAGTGTTAGGTCGAGAGGTGAAGGTGTAGCTTGAGATTAATGTTAAGAAAACAAAATGTATTGGTTATCATTTTCTTATATTTGTAAGTGGGGCTTTTATTATATAATTTATAGAACCAATAGAATATAATTTAGAATATAAGTCCAGTATTCTCTGTCTTTAATGCAAGAACGTCAAGCCAAAAATGTATTATTATTACTTGCACCCATTAGAAAACATATTCGAGATTCAAATGGAGGCGCTGCACATTGGCATCTAGAATAATTCTGGACTAGGGATTAAATGCAAGGTTTGAATGTATAACTCTGTCCAGATCACATAATTGTCCAATAACTTAGAAGGGATTGAAGTTGTTTTATCAAAGCTAGTTAATTTAGTTGATCATAATCTCAAAGTGTTATAATATGCTCATATTGGTGACTGGTTTAAAAAAACACATATATCTTCATTAAGGTTTCATTTTTGGAATAATTATATCTGATGATATTAATGAACAAATGGGCTCATGTACAGATCAAGTAAAAAGGACAAAAATACTACAACAACAGAAAAATAAAAGTATGTATAATGTGTTCCTTAAACTCTTGTTTTCTAAATATACGAGAATACTACTATTTAACTGAACTGTTAATAATATGTTCCAGGATACCGTCATGATTTCTACCACCATTTTTAGAATTTCTCAAGGTGCATTCGACAGAATACATCCGACAAAGGAACCATATCTACCACGCAATGATGTGAAAAGCAGTACGTGTTCTTGGTTTGAAAATCCAAAAAAAGAGGTACGAAGTTTGCCGATGAATAGGAACCAGTTACGGATTCCAATTTTGTTTTCTGCACAAATTGAAAGTCTTATTGCAACAAAAAATATATATATCAAACATCCTAGTTATAACATTGTACTACTAATCCTACACACATATATATATAGTACATTTATATGTATATACCTTCTTCTAAGGTTGCGGGAACTTCATTAAAGCCATAAACACCTTTCCAAGATATTGGTGTTTTAAAATCTTTAATTTCTGTTATAGATGAATTTTTGGGATTAACAAAATCACTAAAATGGGATGTAAATAATTTTGCATCCAAAGAGTTATCACCTTCATGCACAAAGAATGAACAATACTTCACATTCATCAAACTTCCTAATTGTGAATTAATTAGATGGAAAATTATCTTGAATATCTGTTGATCAGTAGAAATCTCTTGCAATAAACTTCTTTGAGAGAATTCTAATAAAGAATTAGTATAATGCATAGCTGTATTTGGATCCGTCTTCAAGTTTAATACAGAGTCGAACTCATCACTTAAGGAACCAATTCCTTCCAACTTACATACACCGATAGAATAAAACGGATCAACGTTATTTACACCAATATTAGTGTTATTATTAAATTTATGATTTATGATTGATTCATCAAGGGCACCGTAGGAGTCTAAAATTGTCACGTCTGTAATTCGTAGTTCTTCTATCACAGGGATTACTATCTCCTTAATAAAATTGTTGATATAACCTTGTATTATAGGGGTTCTCTGTTGAATTACATATAAATTTTTAGAATCATTGTAAAATAGTTCTAATGCACTAGAAAACTTCTTATCGGGATAGGATTTATAAAGTATTGGCTCACCATCATTAAGGGAGTAATCCAACGCACCAACAAACGGATGTACATATGTAGAATCTAGTGACTTCACAAAACGGAATTCATTTGACAGAGAATGTAAAATCAGATCTGTCGTTAATTGTGGAACATTACCCGTTGAAATCAATGGTAAAATTAATGTTTTCTTAAAGTTGTCAGCCATATCTGGAAGTAATAAAAAGGGGATAAACTTAGATTAAATCAAATATAGTCTTGATTAACCAATAAACCAATTTGTCCAACACTTTCGTCTCCTTTGTCACTTATAATATCCAAATCCCACTGATCCATTTCTTTCTTATTACTAAAATCCTCTTCTCATTAATCTCCCTGCAAGTTCTTTCCCACTCAAACAATTCGAACACCGCCAGAAGTGTTACCCTCGTTTTGTTGTTATTTCGCTCTCATTTTCTTTGACAGAACGAACAAAACCGAAAAGGAAACAGTCAGAGAGAGACCCGAATTACAATGAAAGAAGTTTCTTTTACTCAACGAAACAGCTGGTAGAATAGGGTGAGACAAAGTGGAAACATCTTAGTAACTATCTATCCATTGAATACCGACATCACAGACTCACTTTTCTTCATTAAAAGTTATCACATCCTATAATATTTATTTCCTACTACAAGTAAATTACAAATCTTCTAGACTTACCACAACAAGAGTTATAACACATCAACCTTTCGATTTTAAAACATACAGACGTGTGCTACAGAAAAAATAAATAAATATCCTTAAAGCTAAAGCTAAATACTGAATATTTTTTTTTAAGATAGAACCATCTCACTATAGAATCCTTTACTCCTCTTTTTTCGTTTTATTTTGCATTTTATTGACTTAATTTCTCAAAAATGGAACTAAGTGACCCATCTATTATGTCATCATCATTACGTGTAGCACCAGAGTCTCAATCTGAATCTATTCATACTACGACTAATGTAGTTGTTCCCTCTGGTCAGGAAGCTGATTTACAACAGTTTATCAAGTTTCTAAGGAACAAAAATGATTCTTCAAAGACTAACGGAGATCCATCCTCTGCGAGTGATGAATTCCATGAGAATCATACAGAAACTATCGAGTCCATTGTTGACTATAAACCAGATACATCAACTGGCTCAAAGATATATGTTTACAGTATTAATGAACTATTAAATATCAAAAAAACTATTCCAAAGGAATACACTGAAGAGAAGGCCGAATCTTTACCAAGAAAGAAATTTTGGAGGTTATATCAAAAATTCCCTGATAATGGTAACAATAAATCGAATTACAGAAACAATCAAAATAATAACCCAAACAATAGTAGTAATAATAATAACAATAAGTCCAGAACATATTCTAATGATGTAAACTCTAATGAAAGAAGAAATAACAATAGAAACAAAAATGGAAGAAACATTAACAACCACGCAAATGGACCTGGGAATAAAAAAAATTCTAATAAGTCCATGGCCTTGACCAGTGATGAACTTGAATTCGATGCAAACTTTGAATCTTCAGGAAATGCCATTGCGGATTTCGAAGCTTGGAAATCTCAAATGAAAGAAATGGAACGCCAGAAGAAATTTGGAGGTGCCAATTCCACTACTTCCTCGTCTTCATCTACAGCTCCTAATATGACTGGAAACTCTAACAAAAATGACAGTTCATCAACAGGTAGTAGTAAACCAACAATTGCTCAATCAAGTATAATATCTGATTTCTTAAATCTATCAAAGAACGACAACAATAATACATCTTCTCAAATGAATACTGGGAATATCATTGCTAACGAAGATACTAATGCAACTAATCTATCCTCTCAATACAAGGCATTAGAAGTCACCACTTCGGAACAAGGACAAAAAACTACCGGCTCAGAAGACAATAAAACCGAAATGCCTCAAGCTGATCGTTCGGACAATAAATTGCCAACTGATTTATCAAGGAGTTCTTCTTCGAGGTTTACCTCTTTCTTTTCGAATGCTTCTTCATCGTCTTCGTCAAAACCTTTAGAGACTCAATTGAAGAACTCGAATACTAACGAACAACAAGATATGCATGATACTGAACAGATAAAGACTTCACAGCAGCCGGCCATACAGCAACAGAACAAACCGGCAAGTAGCTCAAGATTAATGGGATTTTTCAACAAACCTTCTGCACCAGACCAAAATGTATCACCACAGGGTCAACAAGGAAACTTACAGACTTCCAATAGATTGCTACCATCTCAACAGCCGCAACAACAACAGCATTCGCAGCCTCAAATGGCTATGAACCTGCAAATGAAGCAGCCATTACAACCAATGGGCATGCAACCAGGAAATAATGTATTTTTCCAAAACTTATTAAACAAAAATAAAAAAGCTGAAGAAAACAACCAGATTCAACAAAATAATGGTAACCCTAAGAATGGACAATTTAATCAAATGCAAATACCCCCTCCAGGTATGGTAGGTCCACCAATGGGTCATCCAGTGCAAGTATTACCCCCTGGTTTAAATAATTTCAATAATAAGGATAAGAAAAGCAAGAATGACAATGCTCAGAATTTGCCTATGCAAATGCCTCCTCACATGGGAATGCCACCATCACATATGATGCAAGGAAATTTCAACATGCCTCCACCTCCAGGTTTCGCTGGATTCACACCTCAAGGTCCAAATTTCCAGATGCCTATCTCCGATAATGGTAAGGGTCGTAAAAATTCTAACAAAGACGACTCTCATAAATCCAAGGGGAATACAGGCCAACTTCCTCCACAACAGTTCATGCAAATGATGGGTCCACCTCCTCCAGGGTTTTTGCCCATGCAAGGCATGCCACCAAATATGCCATACCCTCCAAATGGAATGATGCTTCCATCTTATCCTCCTCAACCGAAACAAAATGGCAAGGATAATAAAGACATCCAAATGAATCATCAACAAGGATTTTTTCCACAACAAATGCCTCAAAATCTCAATTTCCCAATGAATCCAAACATGCCTCGTCCCTCAAACCAACAGAGATCAGGTCCTGTTCTAAATCAAAATAAGAAATAGTGCGAGATCATACTTCACATATCTCGACGTTAAGTTGAATTATCTATAGAAAACGAACTGATCATCAATATGCTATGTAAAAACGATCAAATAATGTAGTTTCAAAGTCTAAAAAATACGGTATATATTTACTTCATTATGTATAGATAATAACGTGTTCATTACTATAATTCTTTTTTATATTACGTGCAATTCAATATAAGGTAAATAAATTTATATCAAAATCGGGTTTACAATTTCCTTTATTTAAAATCACTCGGACTCTCCAGGTGAACTGAAAAAATGACCATATTAAGCGTAAATTTATATTACTAATTAAAAAATGAGCACCGATGACCTTGCTCTCCTACTCAAGAATTTTCTGGAAACCGAACACAAAGTAATATATAGAGTAATGGCAAACCAAGATGATATATTAGATGACGTTTGGGGTTCAGATTCCGACTCTGAGATGTTATCAAACGAAAATGCTGGTTATTCTCGTGATCTCCAAAAACTTAGGGAACAACACAATAAACGAGGGTACTTGGATGGAATTGTAAGTTCAAAAGAAACCAACCTGCAACAAGGGTTCAATGCTGGATTTCCTACGGGGGCAACAATAGGATTTGAGATTGGAAGATTGCTAGGTAGGTTGCAAACTTTAAACTATAAATATGGACAGGAAAATGAACAGCTGAAAAAAGATTACAGTCAAGCTCTAAATGACTTAAAGATAGGTAATATGCTAAGTAAACATGTATTCGATACAGATTACCAATTACCTGAGGATGGAAAGCACCCAATATTAGAAGAATGGAAGATAAAGGTCTCATCGTATAGTGCCCAATACAATATCATCAGGAAGTAAAAATATGTTTCCTCGACAAATGCACCACTTTAGAAAACAATTATTAAATAATAAGCGTTTTATCTTCATATATAAATATGTAATTGCGTATGTAATATAATATTTATCACTATTATTCACCAAAATGGACACCAACCAACATAATGTTGACATAAATTCTCAATGGAAGTAGCTTCCATGATTAATTTATCGACCTGATCCACTACATCTAGTTCACGATGCTTTAAGATATCACTACCAGTTAGTTTATTTGTTATACGTCTAAGAACTAACACAGCTCTAGCATTCCTGATTTCTGTTTGTTGTTCAATTTCCATCTTAGCAGCGTCTGATGCTGTGATGGCACCCTTTCTTAACAATTCACTCGGATTTGTTGTTGGTATTTGAATGCCGGTTTCTTCTCTAATCTTATCGGTTGGTAAATCAAACCCCCAATGGATCAAAGGATCAAAAGCAAAAGCTTCCAAAATGGCCATCAGAGACTCTTTATTATTTCTTAAGACTCTCATTACGTTTTCGCTTGTAATTCTAAAGCTTCCTTCTATTCCACTCACTTCCATTGCATTTACAAGCATTCTTGTTAACCTAAAAGGTACTTTTTCTGGGAATTTTTCTCTTAGAATAGCTGCTTCAAAACAATCACCAAAATCGATGTGGATAACTTTACCGGTAATTCTGTCCAACATTAAATTACTTGGATGACGATCACCTAAACCAAGAATATATCCAACCATGGACATAACGGAAAGAGATCTTGTATATACTGTTCTCCGTTCAAGCCATGATTCGGATGATCTACTCTTCAACCATAACACTTGCGCCAAATCTTGACCTTTTGTGTTTTCCATAGCATACTGGAATACTTCAATTTTTTCCAACCAAGTCAAGTTATCATAATCTGGAGCCATTTGGAGCATTACCCAATGTTCAATATTCAAAGGAACTTTATTAGCGTCACGATGCTCCCTAATAAGAACATGAAATGTATCGCTATTGGGAACCCATCCCAATAAACCTGATTTTGGCGATAATGGAATGGCTGGGTATCGTTGAATATCCAAATGTCTCTGGAAACATTCTGGGTCATTATCTAAAAGTGTGTTAACCAGCCCAAATAATTGCATGACTAAACTATCTTGTCTAATATCCTCGTGGCCCTTTAGAAGATATTGGTATGATCTACCATCGCTACCCTTTACAGAAAATTTTCTAGGTCTTTGTTTCGATGAAATTACAACGAATACAGGATCGAAATACACAATTCTCACAATTGGCTTACCAACAACATATGTACCAAAAACAGCAATATCAAGGTTTCGTGCTGCTTGCAATTTAGGTGAGACATGTTGTAATTCTAGTGTCTGTAGTTGAGGTAATTGCCTACTAATTCTTCTAAACACATTGTAATAAATATCCCATGCTTGATTAAGATTAGTAATATCTTTTGTACGTTTATAGTTCAGGACCCATTCATAAGCATCGTTCAAATCTCTTCCAAATGAATTTTGGAAACTTACTTCCCGTAGTGTCTCAGGGTCACGTTTCAAAAGATCATGCAAAGGATCCAAAGTTGCAAACATCTTTTCGGTATTATGTTCACCAAAAAATTGTCGACTGGCATCTTCAAGACCCTCGTACCACAATTCATGCCATAAAACTGCAACCCTAATTAGTTCATCACTAACTAATTCGGCTTGGTCTACTAAAGTAGGACTATGGATTTTCATTTTTTCAATTATTGACATAGCAGCTAATCTTCTCGATTCAGATTCAGATTTAATAGCAACAATCAATGGGTTTAAAAGAACTTGAGGATGCGCCTTTCCCAAATCGGATAACAAAGATAATAGAGACTTACTGACAGTCTGGTCCGGCTGATGAATTCGTGATATTAATTGAGGTAAAACCTCTAACCAATTATCTATTTTGATCATGGAGAATCCATCATTTATAGCATGTGCAGCTTCTACTGAACCTCCAAATGTGAACCACAAGGTTAATAACCTTAGAGTATCCTGTAGAGAGCTTGACAGTGAGATAGAATGGAAAAACCCTTTTATTGCTGGTACCACATGGCGTTGTAGCATTTCTTCAGAGTTCATTATAGTGCTGTCGATATCTGTAACTTGGGTACCATCGTCACCCGTACGTCTCCTTCTATTCAATAAAGCTTGTTCCGCTGCCTTTCTCTTAGCTGATATTGCAGAAATAACCTCGAAATTTGCCAGGGCCCAGTTGTGCCAAGCTTTATACCAATTACCGTCAAAGTGTGTCGCTAAAAGATACGAACCAAGAATAGCATCAGGATTATCAGTTCTCCAATTTGGTTGTAACGCTATTCTCCATTCACCTTGTTTTAGGAAACATCTCGCTAGGAGTTTTGTATAATCCTCAATATATACATTTGAAACAGTAGCATTTTTATTGACTGTTTGTGCGATCATGTTACTTGGGTCTAAGCCTAAATCATGAGCCATCCGAGATGTAAACCCAATTAAATAACGTAGAGCTTCCTGTTTAGATCCACATGCCCACAAATATTTCAGTTGTGCATATACGACAGATGGTGTAGCCTTGGAAGGAATAACTTGCGCACCCATTGTCTCATCTGATAAAGAATTTAATGCTTTCTCTGCTAAATTTAATTTATTATTTTTTCTACAGAGATTAGCAAACTTAATCCATATTTGCATATCTTGTTTTGGCTTGATTACAAGGGATCTCACTTTTAATACCCTCTGCCATACATCTACGTTTCTCTGACAACCTAACAATCTCTTGTTCCAAGTATTTTTTAAGAAAACTCTCTTTTCAGAATTTTGCGGAGACTTTTTGTAGGTAATTATTTCTTCCAATTCAGTTATCAATTGACTTCTAACTACTACATTGTATGCACGGTTGTAACTCTCACTGATCAATGCAGACATTTCTGTAACTAATAAATCTCTGGCATTGAAAATATGACTTTCAGCCTCTTCAAAATTATTATTGTGTACAGATAAAACCGCACTAAAAAATTCCCTGTCTGGGGTCATAGGTTTCATAGCATTGATATATGTTTGAATCTTATCCCATTGTTCTAGGCCCCATGCAGACCCAGCAGCCAATGGTGCCATCATTTTTCTCAAATTTTGACTAGCATTATTCCATTTGCTAGAAGCAAGGGTTGATAAATTATCCCAGTCACTCAAGGCATGATATGACCTCATTTGACCCATAGTAATACTCTCTGTATCCTCGCCTCGCAGAGACTTATTATTATAGGCATCTAACGCATCCTCCCAACGTTCTAGCTTTTCATACCAAGTTTCCTGTAACTGCAGATTATGATGTTTTTGGACGTATTTCAGAATACCAACAGCCGCATCATTCTGGTGTAATTGATTATTGATACTAATAAGAGACTCTACGATAGAATTGTCAATTGGTTCCTGAATGAATTTCGCTTCTTTAAAGTGCAATGCCTTTGCATAGGCATGAGACCGTTCCGCATACTCTCCCAGTATCTGCAGGGGAATAGGTAACGATTTCTCATCATGTTCCATGAATTCAACTAAATTTAGTAATGCCTGATGAATTTCGGGAGGATTTTGGGGTGAGCTTAGTGCGACACAAAATGACTTTATAAAATCTTCCTGATATTGGGTATATAATTCTGTCCATATACTCACAAATGATACATTGAAAAGATCTCTAGCTAAAGGATAATATACACTTGCCAAACCGGCACAGGCCCTCAACGCATGGGAAGGTGACTCTTTGAGTAATTGAATTGCCAATCTCCTTATCCATTCCTGCCAATCTTCCTTTGTTCGTTGCTGGCTACAATCCCATGTAGCTTTTAAAACTTCTTGGTTAATAGGTAATTTTTCTGGTGGGGGTGGTTTAGCGTTACTAATTTGAAGTTCTTGAGGAGTATCACTATTCCAGATTAATGTTTTGGGGAAATCTTCTTTGCCCATTAATTTATCTACTAATTGGTCATACGTTTTATGAATAATAGTATTTTTCACGAGAACTTGGTTGATACTAGGTACATATACCATAAACCCAGTTCGCATTTGCAATAATAACAGACAAAGCATGTTCATAGTTGCTTCAATGATGACTGGGTCTCTAGAATTCAATAGACGTAATGAGGTTTGTACCAATCTCGTAGATATATCAGATAGTTCAATATGTCTAGATAATTGTCCGATGGTAACAATAGCTTCTTTTTTTAAATCTGAAGAAGAAAATTCAGAAGTTCTAATAAGAGTTGGCAAAATCAGGTAAAAATTATCTTCCAGTGTAGGTCCAAACGTGATTAGGCACTGTAAAATCTTCTTTGAAACCCTCCTTTTTTGGGATTTGTCAGTCTCCAATATATTCAAGAAACAAGTCAAGGTTTCTGGAATAAATATTTTGAAATCACCTTCCAGCGCTGTACAGAATGATTCAATAACAGAAATGATAGTAAACTGTAATTTTGGATTTGGTAAAAAATCTAGCACCACCCTATATATATCTTCTGAATAAGGACGAATATGTTGCTTTACGATTGATATCAAAACACCTAACTGTTGAAAGTAATAATCTAAAAGTGATTGTTGACAATTTACTATAGCGTATAAGAATGCAGGTACAATATGGGGTAAAAATCCAATGCAAGCCAATCCTAATGTCTGATATATGTGTATTATAGTCTGTATTACTGCTGTGTGATGGGCAACTAATGAACTATCCTTCAAAATTTTCAGTAGAGTTGTAATTACAACAGTTGGGAAGTAATCATCAGACGATGGCAAACTATTCTGCATCAGCAAAGATATGTCGATGGGTGGTGCATTTTGTTCTAATGTAATATGGGAGTCTGATGTTTCTTCAGCTTCTTGATGTCTATAAGGATCCAGAGCGCCAATAACACCCATTAAATGTACCGTCTCTCTTTTTACATTTTGGGTTGAATCTGATTTAAGTATATTTATTAACACACTCAATAAAGTAGGATAATCAAGTAATGGATCAATTACATAACCAGACGCACTCGTAATTTGAGAAAATGATTTCAAGGCTGCATTCCTTTTGAAAGAATTTGATTGATCCTGAAATGTTTCAATAATTAATGGTACAACTTCAGACAGATGATCTTTAATATCTTCTCCTGTGACAACTGCCAGTTCACCAATTGCTTTTAATGCTATGGAGGAAACAGCACCTGATTTATCCTTTGCCTTTACAAGTAAAATTTGTAATATTGGCTCCAAATATGGTTTACATGTACCTCTAGTAGAACTTATCAATGAACATAAAAGAGTGAGACTCTCTTCATTTCTCCTTGCCATCGTCAAATATTTTAATTCCGTAAGTAGCTCCAATAAAATTTTTCTTAATGAGGGTATCACATACGCAGGATTTACACTAGTTAGTCTGCCAAGTATTTTAATTACTTGCACACGAATTGAGAATATTTCGTCATTTAAAACTGTAAAAAGTAGTCGTATATTTTCTGGCTGTGCTAATTGGAAATCTGTATTCTGATCAAGGTGTTTCAATATTTCTAACCTTATGTTGGGAACAACATCTGTAATAGCCACTGTGAGCAGTTTAGATAGAATTTCTGAAACAGTATTTAGAGCATTAACTGACATTTGCTTACAGATTCCATCATGTACCAATAAATCGCAGCATGTAATAGATGCCAGTTCCCTAACCTTGTAGTTGTCATGCTCAATATAGTAGATAATACAGTTCTGAACAAATTCAATTAATGAATACTGACTCTTAGTAGATTGAAGCATAGTCAAAGCTTGAATTACTATATTACAATCATTACTCTCCGTGTTGACCCTACCATTTCGATTGTATTCGTTATTATCTCTCCATGTACGGGCCTTCCTCTTAGAAAATTTGTCTTCCTGAGTGGGAGAACCTGGAATTCTGAAATCTTTCCCAGATAGCGCAAGTGATATCAGGTTAAGTAATCTGGCATTTATTGTGAAATCCAGACCTGGTATGGCCTCAATTATTGTATTTAACGTTTTTTTCATATAAGTACTCAATGGACATGCCAGCATTAAATCTAACAACCCATTATTTAGATGTGGTGCCATATTTTCACCAATAGTTTCTGTTAGTTTAACAATACCATAGAATAACTCTTTTTCATATTTCTGTCTTTCTTGATATTTAGTTTTCAACTCGTCAGAAAATACGTCAATAAGAGATAAAACATATGGATATATATCTGATTCTACTTCTACTGATATGTCCCCAATAGATTTAAGAATATAAGGTCTATCAACATCATAGATCGAATTTTTAGTAGTTTTGATTTCTTGAAGCTTTGATAGATAATCTAAAATCACTTGATTAAGATAAATTGATGAAAACAATTGAGGATCATAAGCAGCGAACATTGAAGTAATTTCATAAATTTCTTGTCTTGTAAATTCTAGTTTATTGTTTCTAAAATTCCATATGGTTTGAAATATTTCGTCGTAAGAATCTATCAGGAAATTATTATCAAGTGACAATAACTCTTTGTATATAAGCATTGCTGAATGAATGGACTCATTTGTACCGATATTAATCTCTGTCGCACATATATCAAGTAGTTTTTGATACCATTCGACCAAAAGAGTTCTATCTCTCTTCTGTATTATTTTCAAACAGTACTGAATTAATAGTGCTGTATCCTTTCGTAAGGAAGCCTTATGATCGTTTAAAGTTTTTCGAACACTTTTAAGAATATTAGTAACATAAGGATATATGATATAAGGACAATGCTTCGATAAAGATGAAAGTACTAAAATGGCTGCAATTTTTTTATTTTCTTGTTTTGATTTAAAAGATGTTTGCTCAGGGATATTAGTTAACCAATCTAAACATATTTTAACTTGAGTTTCAACAAAATCTGATGAAAGTGTACCACTAGGGCTAGTTAATTTACCTAATGTATCAGCAGCTAACCTCATAACACTTTCTTCATCAGACGGTATAAGCAATCTTAAATAATTTGTAAGACGTAATGTTTGGTTGGGAAGTTCTTCTATCTGAGTATAGAGACTTACTAATTTATCTATGGTCAAAATCCCTGCGATCTTTTCATTAGCTTTATTACTATTAATCAATTCTAATACTTTATTATTAATATGATTACTAAAATTTTGAAATTCTTCAATTGAAACTTCACGAAGTAAAGAGAACAGGAAAGTCTCTAAATATACTGATGTGGTATCTGCTTCCTTTGGATCATCGACTTTTAATTTATTAAATATAGAATCCAAAGTTATCATTGCTGAATTGACTGCTGATTCATCCTTATTAAACTTCTCTAAATACGAAACAGGATCAGCACCTAATCCGCGACTTGTTACTACCAATTCATTATCGTCGCTATTACCGTTTACAATCGAGGACAGTGGCATCGATGTCGAGGGCAGCATAAAATTAGGGTGACTATTTTCCAAGATTTGAGAACTGTCTTCCAGTATTGTCATTATATAATTTTCTTGAATTTTCTGTAATGGTATGAATACGATCTAATATAACAATAAAATATGAATATGTTAATAATTATTTGGAAGTATAAGTAATAAAAGTGGTAATTGAGTATATTGAGAGGTATAATTTGGTAATTCCACAAAATTACTGTTACAACGTCGTTTCACTCTTATTTCTGTTAGAAATATATAAATATATATGAAGATATATGTTGATATATCTAGAGATCTAAACTACAAGTTAAAAATCAAAATAACCAATAATTTATCTGATTTGCAAGTTCCCATTTAACCCACTATATCGTCTTCACCGTTATTATTGTCATTTATTTCTTGAGCGGGTGGATTTCAATTTCAATTTTTGTTTTCCTTGATAGTAAAAGTAGGGTTTATTGATTTAGTGGATCAAACCCTGATATTCGGGTAACACCCCAAATGTGATATAATTCTGACAAAAAATTAAATGGAGTTCTTTCCCAAGCGAGAGGATTCGGCCCCTTTCTGGGATTTCTTTGAGCTTTGTATACAGATTAAAGAACTGGAAGGGCAGATAGACAGACAACTTGAATATAACTTGGTGATTTTAAGTAGAAACGAGATACTTTAAACCATCAATTAACAATTCGATATCTCAATTTAAGGTCATAGGATTGGTATACTTTGATTAGTGTTTGAAATATAAGAATAAATACTACCGCGTCTATAATAACTTTCTCAATTACCAATTTACATCAACCAATATGTCATATCTTAATAATCCTGCCGTTGTTATGGATAACGGTACTGGTTTGACCAAATTAGGTTTTGCTGGGAACGATTCTCCATCCTGGATCTTTCCAACTGCAATTGCTACCTCGCAAGGTAATTCTACTGCCTCAAAGAAGATGACAAGTAATTCTACCTCGGGATCAAATGCCACCGGTAATGGTAATCCATATTTTGGTAACTCTACTTCAGCAACCTCCTTTAACAATTTGAACTCTAGTATGTTATTATCCAATAATCTTGCAGGTAAGAGGGGTACCGAAGATTTGGATTTTTATATTGGTAATGAAGCTTTGATTGCCTCTCAAGGTCCATCTTATTCTCTAAGTTACCCAATAAAACATGGTCAGGTAGAAAATTGGGATCATATGGAAAGATTCTGGGAAAATTCCATCTTCAAATATTTAAGAACTGAACCAGAAGATCATTATTTCTTATTAACCGAACCACCATTAAACCCGCCAGAAAACAGAGAACAAGTGGCGGAGATTTTCTTTGAATCCTTTAACTGTGCTGGTCTATATATCGCTGTTCAAGCTGTGCTTGCATTGGCAGCTTCTTGGACTTCCTCCAAAGTCACTGATAGATCATTGACTGGTACTGTTATAGATTCTGGTGATGGTGTTACACATGTTATCCCTGTGGCAGAAGGTTTTGTTATCGGTTCTGCAATTAAAAATATCCCAATTGCTGGTAGGGATATTACACTATTTATCCAACAATTGCTAAGAGAACGTGGTGAAGCTGATACTTCATTGAGAACTGCTGAACGTATTAAACAAGAACACTGTTACGTTTGTCCAGATATCGTAAAAGAATTCAATAAATTCGATAAAAACCCGGATAAGTTTGCTCAATTCATCGTTGAAAACCAAGAAAAGACTCAAAAGAAAGTAGTTGATGTTGGTTATGAAAGATTCTTGGCCCCTGAAATTTTCTTCAACCCAGAAATCGCATCTTCCGATTTCTTAACACCATTACCAACTACCGTGGATCATACCATCCAAGCTTGTCCAATTGATGTGCGTAAGGCATTATACAACAATATCGTTTTATCAGGTGGTTCCACAATGTTTAAGGATTTTGGTCGTCGTCTACAGAGAGATATAAAGTCTATAGTTAACAACAGAATTGCCCAGAGTGAATTGTTGAGTGGTACAAAATCTACAGGTGTCGATGTATCTGTTATATCTCACAGAAAACAAAGAAATGCCGTTTGGTTTGGTGGTTCTTTATTGGCTCAAACAGCTGAATTCAAGAGTTACTGTCATACTAAACAAGATTATGATGAATATGGTCCAGAGATAGTTAGAAATTTCAGTCTTTTCAATATGGTATAGATTTTTTAATTTATAATGCCGAATATATCATATATTTATAAAATAATGAGACGCCTCGTTGTGATATGTATAAAATGAAATGAAAATATGTAAACAAATAAAAAATGAACCCTTATAAACTACTATATCTATTACGAGGCTCTATATACCCCTGTATAAGATATTACAATCACATATTGTGGTAATCAAAATTCTAAATAATATATCACTTACAGTGATACGAATGGATAATAATGCTATTTTAAAGTTTTTTATTTATTTATTTATTACTTATTTATGATTAATATTCGTCTTTACCACTAATAATAACGTTGTCGATCTTTAGAATCATTCTACAAAGTTGGGTGGCAAGTGAAATCTGTTGCTTCTTACCAATAAATGGATCAACAACAAACAAATCTATCATATTATTAGTGTCATTTCCTAGGCAGTCTACACCGAAATAAGATACATTTTCTTTAATTTGTTTACTCTTAATAGAGGATAAAGTCTTGATAGGGTCCAAACCAGAATTCTCAGCCAAAGTCATAGGAATTGTATCTAGTGCTTGTGCAAAACCACGGAAAGCATATTGATCGATGCCACGCTGTCTATCAGCTTCCTCCGATACAGCTCTAGACATAGTAACTTCAGCAGCACCACCCCCGTATACAACACGAGAGTCTCTTACTAGATTACGTACAACACATAAAGAATCATGCAGGGCACGTTGAGCTTCATCTACAATCATTTTGTTAGAACCACGGATCAAACAGGTAACAGTTTTAGATTTAATGGCTTGTTCGTTTTGTTCAATAGCTAGCATACGATCCTTTGTAGTACCAAACTCCATTTCATATATCTTTGAACAAGAACCTAGTTTGTCTGCAGTTAAATCTTGGAAACGAGGAACAATACGACCATTAGTGGCAATAGCAATTTGTTCTAGTTCTTGACCACCGACCCATCTAACAGCAGGTAAATCGTTTTGCAAAAGAAGATGGTTAGCTTCATCATCAAAACCCCATTGACAAATAACAACATCGGCACCGGCTTCTTTAACGTAGTTAATCATTTCTTTAAATTTATCTTGCTCATATGTTTGTAACTTTTGGTATTCTTCAACGGAAGAAATATCTAATTTATGTTTAGTCTTTGGTTTAGGTGGTTCAAAGGGACAAGTTAGAATTGCCAATTTTACATCTGTTTTCCCTTCTTTTGGAAGAACTACTTTTGGCATTTGTGGATGTGAAAAATCTTTATCTAGAATAACACCATTTATTAGGGAGGAATCATCTATTGAACCACCAACCCTACCTTGCAACTTAATTAAATCGAAATCAACATCTTTTTTATCTGCGACCAATACGGAGGTAACTGCATCAACAGCCATGTTTGCAAATTTATCATGATCCTTAGAGACGATCTTGGAACCAAGAGATGTTCTTGCTGCCTTGAATATATGTTCTTGGAATTGTACTTTATCGGTTGCAACGTCGGTAGCAGTGGCTTCTAGTGTTGAAATAGCTAGTTTGGCAGCTTCATCAAAACCATTTGCTACTTTAATTGGGTGGATACCTTTTTCAATTAATTCGAGAGCTTGATCAAGTAATGCACTAGCTAATACAACAACACCTGTAGTACCATCACCGATTTCATCATCTTGAGACTTTGACAATTGAACTAACAGTTTTGCTATTTCATTATCAAGTTCCATTTGAGAAAGAATTGTGGCACCATCATTGGTGATGGTAATATCACCATCTGGTGAAATTAAAATTTTATCCAAACCACGAGGACCTAATGAACTCTTAATGATTGAAGCAACAGATCTTGCCGCCAGGATATGCGATTTCTTAGCCTCAATACCGTGTTGTCTTTTCTTATTACCTTGATCCTTCACGATGATAAATGGTCTACCCATTTCATCTTGTGCAACGATGGCGTTGGAAAGGTCTGGCATCTCCATTGTTTGAGGACGAGCTTGAGCCATTATGTAATCGATTAGTTATTAGAAGTTTGTTGTAATTTTAACACTGCTCAGTTATGGCAAAAGGTCACGACACTATTTCAATAAATGCAAACAGATCACCTCTGTTGGTACTCTTATAGGTATATTTTTGTATGTAGAGATATTGTTATTCGCCACACCGTTTTCCAAAAAATTTTCGCTTCTTAGAAAAGTCGTCTTGAAAGATCGTGTACCACGAAACAACTAGTTTGCTATGACAAGAACAAACCGTCACTTAGCTATTTCCGTGAAAGGTGTGGCTAGAGTCAGGCAAATGAGGAGTTAAAAATATTATAAAATATTTAATATATATATATATTTATATATATATTTGATGGAGAATGGGTTTCTAAGAAATCCTATATAACGAAGGATTATCGGGCCGATTTATGAGGATATATGCAATAATATATGGTATGTAGGAAAGAAAAGTTGATTAAGGAAAGATAAATTAAATATACGTTTAGGTTTATATTATCTTTTGCAAATGAGAGCCAACCTCAATTATTTGTTCTAAATTTGTAACCACAGGATGTACATGTATAAAAGACAGTAGCACCTTCATCAGCGGATCTTAATTGTAAAGTATGGTAATGCATTTCATCGTTACCACATTTAGGACACTTTTCGTTAATAATGGCACCATCTGTAAGTTCATCCTTCTTCAATGTAGTCTTAACAACAGATCTTTTAGATCTCAAGGTAGATGGGAATGCATCCTCTGCAGTGGAGGTGATAACCTTCAAATTAGAGAATTCCGCCTTAGGGTATGTAGCCTGGCATTGTGAACATTCAATATTTGCAGTTTGAACAGTACTGGGGTTATCTAATAGATTACCACAATCTAGACAAAATATAAGAGAACCAACCACAGACATATCTATTTTTTTCTTTTAGTAAATCAAATAAAACGAGAAAGGTTACCAGAATCTTAGCCCCTAGAGTAACAGTCAACAATATAAAAGAAGTATTCAACAAAGTAACCACAACTCACTTTGAAAACTACAAACTAATAACCTTTATTGAGTTTGCAAAGTATCTCATCGCCTTATAGAATGCTATTACACTTTTCAATGTTTTGGATGTGAAAGCATCGCAAAATTTTTCAAGCGAAAAAATTAGAAACTGAAAAATTTATGCCGCCTCGTTCAGGGTGATGTTCGATGGATTGAAAATTAGAAACACTTGAATATATAATAATTGCCCTTTAATCTACCAGCCATATCTGCTACGTGATTGCTTTTTAGCATTCTTGATTCTGTTGTTACGTTCATTTAAGGAATCCATATTCTTTTTAGCATTACTTACTAATGAGCTTAATTGATTCTTCGGATCACGTACTCCGGAAATCACTAGCGATTCTTGAACCTGAGGAATAAATTTGGTTGATTCTTGCATACAATGGAGCTTTTTCTTGGGTATTTCATTTTTGTTTTTGTGATTAATCTTTGTTTTATTTTCAGTTCTATCACTACTTTTCGATGTAGTTGATTTAGGTTTGATATATCCAGTTCGGGTCAATGTAAGTGGTTTAAAGGATCTTTTATGCATATCTGTTTTACGACGATTATATCCAGTTGAAAATACCATTGCTATAATTAATGTATTATTGTTCCTAAATATAACGATATTATATTAAAAATATACTTTCTTGACAGTGTTTACTATTTTTGTTGTCTTCAAAATGGTTTCAAACTATTTTCTAATGAACTTGTACTATATATGTATGTATATCTTGGGAAATTATTAATTCTCAGTTTTTAACCGCACGGCAATAATTTCGATGGTGCCCGTCATACTAAGTCCACCAATATAAGACAGATTTTATTTCGAAACCTAAAAGGAGACGTTACCTCAAGTTCAAGTTGGACTAATTTATTTGTTAAACGTATATGTATTCTAAATTTATTCGATGATTGTTTTTGAAATATAATAAATTTAAATGAAATTTAATGAAACCCGCTAATAAAATTTTGGTAGATTTGTCTATTGCTGCTGTTCAATTGAACCCACAAATAGGTAAGGTAAATGAAACTATATCCAGGGCTAAGATGCTCTTGAATCAGTTCAAAGCCAAGTTAGAAACGAGAGATGGAAATAAAAATGTGGATATGATTGTGTTTCCGGAATTTGCTCTTACTGGTTATAATTTTATGTCAAGAGATCATATTCTTCCTTATACACATACTACTAAAGAAAGTCCATCTTTTAAGTTTGCGCAGAATGTTTCGAAGATGTTTAATTGTTATACAATAATCGGCTACCCTGAAAGTGAAACAGAATCAAAAAAAATATTGTTTAACTCAGCTGCAGTCGTTTCACCTCAAGGTGAACTAATATTTAATTATAGAAAATCGTTTCTGTATTTTACAGAAGATAATTGGGGATGTTCAGAAAATCCAAAACAATTCCAAAATTTTCCTCTTATTTTCAAGAAAAAGGGTAGAAGAGTAGGAAATATGAATAATGAACCTATTGATGTCGAGTTGAATACCTCCATTGGTATATGCATGGATCTTAGCCCTTACAAATTTGAAGCACCATTTAATGATTGTGAATTTGCTTCATTTAATTTAGATAAAAGAGTGGAACTTATTATATGTCCAATGGCATGGTTACATAGTTCATCCGTAACAAAGCAAGATTATGAATTAGATAATGATTCTAATAATGATATACCTAAAAAATTGAAGAATATTGAAAATGTTTTGGAATCACAAGGATTACCAATAATAGGCTCACAATCTGATTTTCAATTGGATTTAGATAATAACAATAAAACAGCTCGCATCCCTACCGGGTCATCGGATATTGGACACACTTACAATGAGTTGTCGAAACCTGATATGACCAATGTAAATTACTGGTTGCTTAGATTTCTACCATTCTTGCAATTAAATGTAAGAAAAAATTGGGCTGCAAGAAAAAGCTTGTCTAATATATTTGAAGAACTAAATCGCCCATCTTATATGGGTACCTCAAAGAATAAATACTGGGAATTTGCTAATAGAAATACAATTATGGTAAACGCTAATAGATGTGGTGTAGAAGGTGGAGACACTCTCTTTGCTGGTAGTTCAGGTATTTATAAATTCAATGGTCGCGAAGATTTTGACATGGAGGAGTTAACAAAGGATGATAATAAAAGGCTTGATTCAACAAACCCTAGTGTTGAATTATATGGGAATTTAGGAAAGGGAAAAGAAGGTATAATTGTAAGAGATATTCAGTTTGAAATAGAGAGATAACTTTAAAAAACGGTGCAATTAAATAATAATTTGTGAATCTATGTATGATAAGAATGTGTATTTATGTTGTAAATCTATATTATTTAAATGATGAAATCATGATAATTATTTAAATATATATGCTTTGATGGTGATATTAGGTGTCGATCTGTATTAGAACTTTCTAATCTAAGGAAGCATCCCCTTGAAATATTTTCCCCCCTTCCTCTTTTGAATTTTCAAACAATTCTAATCCAATATTATCCAGATATTGATCATCAATCTTGAAATATGTTCTTTCATAAAGCATACTATATGCCTTCCATCTCTGTTTTAATATTTTCTCATTGATTGTATTAACTAATGTATCTATCTCAATAACATCTGCGTTTTTTTCGTATCTATCCCATAAGGATTGTTCATACTGTAACAGCATTGGATCCTTAGCAGGAGAGTTCATATTCTTAGAAAATTCTGTCCTTAATTGTTGTAGATATTTCTTTTTATCCTCAACACTCATTTTATTGTCATATTCTATCTCTATTTCTTTTTGACGATATGTTACAGTATCAAAGGCATTGTGTATCACAGTAAAGGTATCAAACTCCCTAGAAATTAGCATATTTTTAAATACACTAAGTAAATCATTGAACCTAAATGTCTTTAGATTGGAATGTACTGGAAACAAGGAGTTATCATTAACAACATTTCTAATGATATTCATAATTGAATTAGGGACCCAGTGATTTAATTTGGCGGTGAATGTATGCATTTCATAAGCATTATAACCATATATAGGAGAAACCGTATACTCTATCTTCATAGATGATATCACTTTGTGTGGTACTAAGACAGGTACACCGTGAAACATACTTGGTTTTAAGGGAGATAACATTTCCAAAGTGTTAAAATGGTTATTTCTACAATTGACCATAGTTAATTTTTCATTAAAAATATAACGTTGAACTTCTGTAAGGTTCCTTGATACGGTGTCCGCAGTAGGTAAGTTTTTAATTTCATCGTTATAAATCTTCATTATTTGATCAACACTGTTTATATCAAAATCTCTTTGATGTTCGGCGACATAATCTCTTAGTTGAGCAATGGATAATTTTGCTAGACCAGTGTAGGCATCATAGTAATTGTCTATCACTTCCTTTGTTGGATTTTGAACTTCATCTGACAGTTTTATATCTTTGGCTTTTTCCATATCATAGAAATCAAATTTTCTTATTGGAATAACATCGGCGGTGACTGCTAAAGCTGTGATGTCAATATACAGACCAGAATTGATATCGATAAATCTTGCATCAATATTGTTAAAACCATTACCATGTCTACGCACAGTAATAGACGTACCAACATCAAGTAAAAACCTCCCATTACCTTCTCTAGGGTCCTCCATGATTATACTTTGATTAAAGTATTGGGCCATATAATGCAAATGTTTTAATGGCATTTGTAAATCAAAATCATTGTCCCATGGGAATGCTAAACCATTATATAATTGACCATATAACGTACCATGAGATAACCAAGAGATAAGGCCATTCGCTTTAATGAATTTTTGAAAAGTACGAATCATTGAATTCAGCTTTGCAGAATATTCGACTTGCTCATATATTAATGCTCCATGAAAAAATCTCTGATCCCTGTGGTGTCCCATAGATTTGAATTGAACAATCCCACCAGGTTCTTTGAAATATTTTGAAGCCATTGATGGATGAGTGTTAATCGAAACCTCTAAACTCTCAAGATAATGCTTATCATGAGCTGTTAAATTCGATATACCTTTTCCCTTCAGTTCCGTTATCTTACCTTTGGCATCAAATTTAAAATCTTCAAGTTCGAGATTCACAGAATCTTCATCATAAACATTTTTATTTAATCCTGGAATCGTAACTTTAAATTTTTCTGATATGTCACTTGATATGAAATTGGAATACATTGCATCATGATCGAATTTTATATCTTGATTAATTTTGTCACGAGGTTGTTGTTCGATATATTCATGTAACATTCTATTTTCGGCCATATTGGAACGATCTTCTTGTTTAACATCGATTTGATAGACATAATCATCACTTTGCAGTAATGTTATTGATAATGGGTTATGAACTGTGTTTAAAAGATAGTGTCTTGCTTGTAGATCAAATACTTCTGGTCTCACACGTTCCATAGATGCCGTTAAATTTAATGGTAAATTGAAATGAGTATTATTCGTTGGTAATAATTCACAATAATTCGATGGAACATTAACAGCGACATTAGTAAAACTTTTTGAGGATCTGTACCAAAAGGGATCATCGTATTTAAATCTCTCCGAATGGAATAATTCTTCGCCTATATCTTTTTCCCATCTTTCTAAATTAGTTTTATCGAATGAGGGATGTAATAGAATAGAGCATTGTATAGTACTTGAATGTTTCTCCTTTATTGAGATTAATCTGTTATACATAGTAAAATCTGCAAAATCATACCATGAGAAAGGCATAATATAATCATTTGTGACTCCATAATTCATAACATTATTCAAATATACTGACCAAACTAATCTTGGATCACTGTTATAAAATTGTAAGTCATCAACAGAATTCAATATTTTACCTTTATCAGTACCTATCGTTACAGTCAATAGATTTGATTTTAAATAGTATTCATCAATCCATCTTCCTGATGTATCATATCTTAGTTTTTCATATAATTCTGTTGCTTCGGTTAAATTGGTTGGATATGTTAATATTTTAGTATTGGTGCCTGTACTTAAGGATAAAGGTATTATAACAAAAAGAGGTTTAAAGAATGAATTAAATGAATCTTCTTCACCATATAATGCTACACGGTAGACATATATAATGGATATAACTGAATAAATTCCCAAACTAATCAATAAATTTTGACGAAATGTTTTTTGATTTATTCGAATTAATATAGTGTGTAATATACGTCTAAAAATGTGTATCTTCATTATGTTCAAAATATATGTCAAATGTAATAAATAGATAAACTTGAAGTTAATAAGATATAGCAATGATTTGAATTGTTGTGTTGTGTCAATAAAAGAAAACGATAATAATTGATCAGTTCAAAAATATAGAGAAAACAAAACGAAATGGATTGTCAAAGTTTCATAGAAATGTATTTTATATAAAAAATTGTGTGCTTGTGATAATCAATATTCAAATAAATTTTCACTCAGCCCAATAACAATCAATAGTTAATAATAAACTTAATTTAATCAAATTTCACAATATTATATAACCAGTATAACAATTCTATTCTATTCCACAATTGAATAACTTTAGGTTCAGACTTCCTTAAATGAGAAGAAAAGTGCGTAGCAATTAGTGAGATTTTTCGGAAGATTCCTGACAGCTCTTGGCAAAAAACAAACAAACAGGCAAATATAATTAATTAGCAAATTGGTGTTTAAAACACAAACAGATACATGAATCACTTAAGCCTCCAATTTGTATATGTCGTTGTAATGATACTTATACGTTTTGGATAAATTCTCACTTTTGGTGATAATGCCAAGGGAAAATAAAAATAAGAAAAATAAAGAAAAAGATAATGTACATAATATAATGTTGTAAATAATTCAATGCTAACTGAACAAAGATTTTTAAGAATTTCCACTGGCTGACTCAGTACAAAAAAGGGCACATAGAGGTAGCTATCATGTTTGTATCTGTAGAAATTTAAAGAGATAACAGAAGTACTGAAACCCCAATAAAGACAGCAGCAAATCAGTCAATAGAGAGCCAAATGGCAATAAGCTACCTTAATAAATAAATAAAAAAGGTCCTGCCCGCCTCATCCATTGTTGCATTTGAGGGACTTTGTAAAAATTACAAGATTTTCTTCTTAAAAAACAGCGAAACTCATTATTCGTTTAATGTCCTGTTCGATCTCCGTGGAGATTCGCGCATTCAGCAATCGCAAAAAAGAGAGACAAACAGAAAGGCAGACAGATAGCGTACCTAAGCAACTACACATATGCATATATAATTGAACTTGAAACCGGGGAGCTCAACTCATAAATATTATATAGCGATGTTGACCTTTACAGGTTAGGGTTTCTTTTTGGAGATCTAGCCGAAGCTATTGAGGTAAACTTTTCTTTGACTTATACAAAGAAAATCATAATGGGCAGCTCTATAATATGATAATTTTCTGACCCTTCTGTGCGTTGCCGATAAGATATTGTAGTTTACTGTATTATTTAATCTACAGTATCCATATATCAATATGAAGAGAATGTCGAACATACTGAACTCTTGATGTTATAAACTATATTGTGAAGATATGATTATCAATGAATATTTACCTAAGGTAGAAATGGTAAAAGATTTCAGACCTGCCATGTCTTAGGGTGTTTGAACATTCGAATTAAAGAGTTCTATGGAATTTAGCGGCTGAAAGTTGCATCAACAATACTTAATTCAACTTCGCTGAAGAGTAATCATAATCACTTTTCGCGTTGTACGAATAGTCCCTATTATCAAATATTTTTCTGGCCAACTTTAGTTTGAGATGATTTCTGTAGCTTCTTTTTTCTTGAAAGCCTCCATTCACTCGGCTAAAGATTAAAAATGCGTTGACGTATTAAGGCTTGGCATTTTCACTATTTTAGTAATTAATAAGAAGAAGAAAAGAAAAGAGGCGCATCCGTTGTGGAGTTTGACATCTTGTGATTTATTGCTCTGATAAAATAATAAGTAGAAATTTTAATATTTGACATTTAATTATTTCAGGCTATTCTTCCCTCAACAGTTTGGGCTGCAATAAATTCGTTGAGGACCGAATTTTAGTATCATCCATATTTGATTAAAATACTAAAAGATTTTCAAAATTTGTAAAAGGACATGTAAATTTTTTTATTAATGCAGTCTTTTCTTTTTTTAAACACAATGAAGATTCTAGTCCATTTGTTTAACGAATTTGTTATTATCATTAACAATTTTATATTATATATTTAGATTTGACGATAGTTTGGTAATATCATTTCTTTAAGAAATAAAGATGAATGTATATGTATACATATGTAATGATTATTTAATTATACAACCTTTGATTTTTATGTTTGATTGGAAGATAACCTTTCGAGATGAATAATCAATCGTCCTTCTTTGATTGATGATTCTTGTTATCATGCAACATATCATCTGGCAATTCTATGTGGTTTTCTTCTAATAACCTTTTCAAATAATCTATTTCTTTGAAAGCATGACCAAGTTCTTCTTCTAGTTTTTCTTTTGCTGTAGCCAGCTGAGAAGCAGTTTGTTCACTTAATAATTTTTGTAAGGTCCATTTTTCAATATTAGCATTCTCAGTCTCCTTTAATTTTTCAATATATTCAGATGCACGAGCTAAAATGGCAGCTTTGCTAGTTTCTTTTACGGGTAACAATAAACTTAAATTATTAATGTGATGATTAATACTCTCTCTACGACGTCTCTCCACTTCTTTATGAGAATCTCTACGTTGTTTCTTCCATTCATCGGTGCCAGTGATTGGTGCAGGTTTACGGCCTCTCTTTGCAAGCCTTTTACGTGCTTCGTCGATATCTCTCGCTATAGCGATTGAAGTATTGTCATCACCAGTGGTAACACCGGACAGAGAGTTAGAATTATCGTTATCCGCAACGGCTTCTTCAGTCATTTTCATCTCCTCGTTATCATTTCCAGCCATGTCAATTTTAGATTCAGGAATATCTAATTTATCATGAGAAGGAAGGGCAGTCTCCGCCTCTTGTAATGATACATCAACATTATTATGATTAGCATTCTCATTTTGCAATAGATCATCATATGTAGCGGATACAGCAGCACTAGCTACATCCTCAACATCATGGTGAGCATTATTGACATCTTCAGCATGTTGTAAGCTGACATCGTGGTCTCCGTCATCATCATGTTGATTTTCACCTAGAAGCTCAGAATCAATATTGGAGTCTTCGCTGTGTGCTACAGTACTAGCGGCGACAGCTGCTGCATCGTCGTTGTCATCATCAGCATTACCACCATTATGATTTACATTTTCTTCGCTTAATTTCTGTTTCTTAAGATTACCATGAGCCTCTTCGATATCGTCGTAATTATCACGCAATCTCTTATCGATATCTTCCTCAGTTGGTTCATCGTTTCTATTACTTATGGAATTCATCTTATAACTATCAAATTTTATTATATACAATGATGTGAATATGTCTAGTCCTTTGTATGTTTGGAAGATCAATATAAGAATAGTAGTAGACCCTTTAAAAAAACAGTAAACAAAGGTCGATTAGATTGTAAACAACGTGATATCCACGTGTGAGAAAATGAAACTTTTTTCCTTCCCTTTCAGTTTAAATACTTTTCCTTTTAAGGGCTCAAATATTCCATCACAATTTAGATCTTTGTTTTTTTGGATTTGGTTTATTTACTTTCGGCAAATGGGAGAGGAGTACAACTGTGTTCTGTGGATTTTTCTGTAGGAGTGCGTTTCCAAAATACCTAAAAAGGTGGGAAGAGCACGTGATTTCTACACGTGCCAACATCATTATGCACGTGAATAGCATTTCCTATATCAAACAATTACGCTTGAGTAATGTTATAGACATTTCAATACAATGTAGCTATCTGTTTACTGTCTGAAGGTTAAGTTATTAACTTAGTGGTTTAAGTTACTTCTAAGCTAGATTTATAAAGTATCTCATTTTTTAATTTCTTGAAAATGTATCTCGTGTGAAAATTGCAGGAGTATTACTTATTAGTTATATAATAATATTATTCTATATGGAATTATACGGGGTGGAAGGTTGGTAGTTCAATCAAATATGAATTGCACTACTACCTTGAAACTACGTTACTAAATGACATTGGAGACACTACGCTGTTTGTTATATCCAGGTGGTGGTGAATAACCAACTTCTTTGTTGCCGGTGTTGTAATGTTAGCAGTAGTCCTATTTGGAGATGCAACGGAGGCATTGCTGCTTATAGAAGCCGAAGTTAGTTTCTTAGATAATGCAGCTATGTCAGGTTTATTTTCTGTTGCAACGTTCTTTCCCCCATCTTTTGTTATTTCTTGATCAGATGGTGTGGAAGGTATTACCTTGTCCAAAATATTATCGACGGATTCTTGGGCATCTTCAATATCCATTTTATTTAATCTGCTCTTCAAGGCTGGATCGAGTGTAGAGATATTATCACTAGGTTTACTCAAATCCTTTACTTTCTTGCTTGTCTTTGGTTTTATAGGTGCTTGAGCTATTTCTACCATAGATCTTGGTTTTACAGAGCTAGTAACAGATTTATCGTCAACACTAGACTCATGTGGATTAGCACTAGGTTGAGGAGAGCCTGAAACTAAAGATGTTACGCTTGCAACTTCGCTACCTGGAGTGGCGTCTGGTATTGGAGACTGAGCACCAGGGACTGAGGAAACTTTGATCATTGGTCTCTTGGTGATATAACTGTGGTCATCAGGGTCTACGCAAGTTTGAATACTTTGGAACCAAGGATCTTCAAATAGGTCTTCCATAGTATATCTCGTTTCATAATCCGGGTCTGCTAGTCTCCATGCTACACGAGATGCATCACCATTTTGGAAATTTCTTGCCATACTATATTCTGCACCTGGACCTGCCTTATGCGAACCCTTGACTCTAAAGGTCTTGTTTTGATATTGAATGAAATTATTATAGGATTGATCATAGTCTCTGAATCTAGCATCTGTATTACAGGATTCGATAAATGGAATCACATTATTCACCAATGTGTACAGCATTATCCCCAGTGCATATGTGTCCATGCTTAATGGATTAAATGGTTTTTGGAATTTTTCTGGGTAATGTTTCTTAGAATCGAAATACATTACTTCAGGTGGAGTGAAAGGTGGAGAGCCTAGCATACCTTCGCATAATTTAATTGGAGATGTGAAATCATCTGGGATTTCATGAGACCAACAAGAAATTCCAAAATCTGTTAACTTACATACACCATCGGGTGATAATAATACATTTTCTGGCTTGATATCTCTATGAGCAACACCATTATCATGACAGAATTTAATACCGTTGGCAATTTGTTTAAAGATACAGTATTTTTCATTGACTGGGACACTTTTCCAACCTGTCTTCTCGATCAATTGGAATAAATCACATTTACCAAGTTCCATAACAAACCCCCAACCTCTGGTAGTATACGTAGTAGTAGGAACCTTAACAAGTTCAAATGTACAAGTAATATGAATACTGTGACTTAGTTGTTTTGCAATAACAAATTCTTTCGAACATCTCTTGTAAAATTTATCTGGAGTTTCATGGTATATCATATTCAGTTTCTTTAAAGCATATACATCCTTCTTTTGGAATGATGATCTAACTTTTCTCACTTCGCTGGAACCACCCGAACCTATAGGCTTATTATTTGGGTCAAATACAAAATTGTCTGATAATGTAATACTATATTGATGTAAATTTTCAGGTAACCAATCATTTGGATTAGCAATCGGTAAAGGCAGCATACGAATCTTTTCATTACCATCATGTAAATAAAAACTCAAATCGTTACCATCTTGGGCAGCCGTTTCTGCAAAAGCTGTTCCTGGTCTACTTGGAGCGTTGGGATTTAAACCGTATGGGTTATAGATTAAATTAGTTTGACTACTATTTCTTGAAGAAGAAGAATCTAGGTTAGACAAAGCGAGTTCACCTGAAAGACTATGAGTAGCAAAACTCTTGGATCTATGAGGTAGTCTCTTATGATGTTCTTCTGTAGAAAGAGAAGCATCAGTTGAAGGCTTATTCAATTTTTTACTAACAGAAACGTGATGAGGACGTGCCTTTGACGTTGTATTGGTAGTCTTGGCAGTCTCTGTCTCTGTTGATTCAATTTTCTTATCGATAGCATTTATGTGAGGTAAGGCATTTGAAGATGATTCGTTAGTTCCTAGTGTAACCGAGGAGGAATTCTCAATATTATCAATATTATCAATATTGTTATGTTGTTGGTGATGATGGTGATGATGATGATGATGGTGATGACCATGTTCACTGGTGATATCGCTATTTTCTTCTGCAGAATCTTCATTATCATGATGATGACGATGATGATGATGGTGAGGATGCTGATGGTCAACAACACTAGGAGATTTTTCTTTATGGTGATGATGTTGTTGTTCAGTAGAGTTAATGGTATGAACTGCATCATCGGGATTGATTTTTACAAGTTCATTATCATTTGCATCCATATCTTTACTTTTCAAATTTTCTGTTTCCTTATCCGAATCAGTATCAGATTCAGATTCAGACTCAGACTCTCCATTTTCATCTTCATCTTCATCACTTCTTACAGCTGTTTTTTTAACGAATGGATTACTACTATGAGCCATCAGGTTCACAATAGCGGCACTTGATTTCACAGGACGAATTGTAGTTGGAGATCCATTCCCTGAGGGACTCCCGTTATTATTCAATCTCGAAAAGATGGAACTTGATCTATGTCTAGTGTCATGGTCTGTTACGACATTTTCAGTAGCAGTTTTAGAACTATTCGGTTTAGAACTTGTTGGTTTTCTCCTCAAAGGAGTTATACCATTAGTTGAGCTATTATCTAAATATTGTGCATTATCATGAGATTTTGTATTTAATAATTTTTGCCCTAATAATTTCAAAGTACTAACAGATTGACTTCTCTGTAAATTCTTTGAATCAGACCCCATTTAAATGTAGTATATGTCTGTTGTATGTCTGTCTATCTTAAATATTAGGAACCTTGGCAAGACTTTTCGTCAATAAAAAGCTATATGCGTTTGTGTGTATATAAATTAATAAAGAACGAGAGTATAAACCGATTTAGATAATTTCAATCCCTAATTTATCTATCTGTTTTTCAATCAATTTATTAGGAAATTTTGTTCGATATATTCCTTTTCACTGCTATATGTTTTATTATATATGATGATTATATAATTGATTGTTATATATTCCACTGGAGCATGAGAGGGGGGCGTTCTGGAAACGGGGGAAATGAAAGTTATTGAGAGAAAGGACTACCCAAGCAATGTGCAAACCCATGATTAGACAGATATATTACGCATTGATCACAGAGACACCTTCTGTCTCCCGTCCCGTCTCGTCTCGTCTCGTCCGCGTACCGAATTTTTCAGTTTCTTTTGCGAAATTCTTAACGGAAACAACAAGAGAAAGTCAGTCAGCGAACGTGAATTCCATCAGTTTTACGGTAGTGAGAGAGTTGGGACGAGGAATGGAATGGTGTTGTGAGTGCACACCCAAGGCAATGACTATGTAAGTTTGGGATGGAGAGATGGTGTAAGTGTTTGGTGAGTACTGGAATGTTTCAGTTTCTATGAATAGATAGAGAAATCAGTTGTTGCTTGAATATGCTATCTCTATTGGGATGTGTTGGTGAGTGTGTTTTTAAAGGACTTCTTTTTTGTTCTCAGATAGTGATGCAGGGGAGGATAGGGGAGAATGGAAGGGATGCGCTGTTGTGTCACAGTTCACGGAAACGAGTCTTTGCGTGGGGGGGTGAAGTGTGAAATGCGAAGTGTGAATTGGGTAGCTCTCTGTTTCTGTTTACTTAAATGTATGGGTTTGGGCATGGGGGACCCACATCAGTGAAATAGACATAGATATATATATTTTAAACTAAATCTGGCAGGTAAAGCGTGGGGGTTGTTGGGCACCAAGATGACGTTGACAACAATAGTAGCAACAAGTACCTGGTGAAGATGACGTCAAGTGAACATGAAACTACTAAAGGTGAAAGGTTATTCAGTTGCTATTTATTATTAATGTGATAAAAGAACTATGAAAATGTTTGTGTTTATGTATAATAATTGATGCTATATGGTATTTGTTGGAAAGATACTAAAGACGTTAAAATAAGTTGGATTATTCAAATAATTTGAAAGTAGTGGATGGGATCTGTTTGGTATCTTGTACGATGGTCCATATCTTTTTGGAGACTTGATCAATAGTACAGCCAGTCACATCTACGATGACCAAATCATTTTGACTATCAAGTTTCTCAAATAATTTGTAAAATTGCTCACGTACTTTCTCTTGGAAAGAATTATTCTCATAACGTTCTTCACCAAACCCTTCACGTGTATCGTTACTTTCATGATTGACAAGGAATAATGTCAAATCTGGTCGCACTAGACCACGATCACAAGAATAACACCATTCAAGGTCCATTCCTTCAATTCCTTTAGCTGCACTATACGCTACTCCTGAGTACACATATCTGTCCATTATAACATTATCTCCCATTAGCAATTTGTTTCTAATGTAATCATTACGTTCCCATCGATTTGCACTAAATAGCAAATGAACAGCTTGATCTGGTAATTTATATGACGGATCAGTAAGATATTGGTTTATCTGTTGACCAATCGCTGTACTACGATCAGGAAACTTCAGTAAAGTTGTGGATTCGCCAAATTGTTGACGTAATAATTCGCATTGTGTACTTTTACCCGTGCGATCTAAACCCTCGATTAATATTAGTTTACCACGATTCTTTGACATTTGTTTGATTGTTTGATACTTTGGAATACCTGTATTTTCATACTCTAGAAACAAATTTATTTTGTTTTGATATCCTGCTAGTGAAAATTATCATCTCATACATATCCTGGAACCTTGCTTGTTTTTAATTTATTGCTCAATCATTGAAAAATAAATAAAATCGGTAGGTTTCGCGACTATTGCAAAAAAAAAAAATATACATGACGAGTTTGCTAGATATAGAAGAAAGTAATATACTGTAGATCAATGTTCCTATCTGTCTATTCTTGCCTAGTGTTCTACTTCTTCAGCTACATACACCCATCCTCATACCAAACTGATAACGTAGTGTTGATTAACACTACGTTATCAGTTTGGTATGAGGATGGATGCAGCAAGGCTGTTGTTATTATTTTTGATTGTATATTTGAAGTGATATTCATTCAAATATTTAATATATATATATTATGAAATTCCACACTTGAAGGCTTTATTATAAATGTTTTAAAATAATTACTCTATGATATTTAAGTTAGTAGCGAGATGTTAAATCATATTTCCAATGATTCAGTAAACTTCACGGTGTCATCGAACATGCTTTATACCAAGAAAATGAGTATAACAACGAAAGAATAATTGCTACAGAATTATTCTCAATTTACTATGATTGTAAGCCGGATCACTTCTTCTTTCAAAAAGAACTAGAAACCTTTCGTAAGAAAAGTGTAAAAGTTGGAATTACTACTACCGACAACGTTCTATGTGATAGAATTGTCCAACATTTGACAAGGCTATTCAAACAAATCGGTGATGATTACAACCGTAATTATCCATCCATTACATTACTTGACCTGTTAAATAAAATCACCCTTGTCTATACCAGATATGTCAAAAACGGTAAAAAATTATTCGCCAACGAAAACTCAAACTCAGCTCCTAAGGACACTGGAATAAAAATAAAATCCTATGTCAAACCTGCTACTCCCAAATCCAATCATAAGGATAAGACCAAAGGTAAAGGAAAGAGCTTATTCCATATCCAACAATTTGATCCCTCATATAATGATCTTAGGCAACCACAGTTATAACCTCGACAAATTATTAATTGTGGATTCAGATGCTTAAATTTCCGTTGTACGTGATACTTCCTTATTAACAAACCTAAACTTCAACTCCTCAGACTAACTTCTTGGTGCAGGGGATGAAGAATCACTGTTGACGCTGCTAGTACATTATGTTTAAAATTTGGAAAAACGACTATTCGTGTTAAGGCATTGGCCTCCCCAGATACATCATGTAATTTAATCTCTCTACACGATCTAGAAAGAACTGGTTTAATTATAGACCCCCAACATCTTTCTGCAATTTTAAATAAAAATGAAGAAAAAATTTAGGACATCATCGATTGTGGATGCTATATCTGTCTCCCACTTAGCCTGATCCAAAACACATCGAAGAAACATAAAGTCCACCATGTCTCACATAAACTTTCTATGGCTTTTCTACACCAACTCTTTAGCCATATCAATATAAAAATGATTAAAGACACGACTAAAAACAAACTTATCAAAAACATTCAGTTATCTGATGTCGACTGGTCAAACATTGACAAATTCCAGTGCACCGATTGTATGAAAGGTAAGGCAACCAAACACAAATATATTGTTGGTTCCCGTTTAAAATGCCAAAACAACTGCGGTCCATTTGAATATCTCACTCTGATCTGTTCGGCCCAGTTACTGATGTCTCTGCTGTTTCTCCCAATTATTTCATTTCTTTTACAGATGAAGCTACTCGCATTCAATGGGTATATCCCTTAAAAACAAGTCAGCTAATTCAATCTACAATATTTTTGACCACTTAGTAAGACAAATTCACACCCAGTTCCAAACAAATGTTTTATCTTTCCATATGAACCATGGGTCTGAATACACTAACTCGGATATGATAAAATTCTTCCAAGAACATGGTATCATCCCGATCTATAGTTCCACAAGTGATTCATCATACAATGGTGTTGCTGAAAGAAGTAACCTCACCTTTCTAAATGATTGTCGTACGCTACTAATTGCTAGTCATCTTCCAAACAGTTTATGGTTTAATGCTGTAGAATTTGAAACCCTTATGAGAAATGCTTTTATAAATCCAGCCTAAAAAATCTTACCCAGCGCTAAAACGAGACTTGCTGGTTTAGATGCTGCTATTATGCTACCATTTGGTTAAGAAGTAGTCGTTCACAGCCACAAGGTCGAAAACAAATTATATTTCAATATAATAACACATAATGCTTTATCTCCTTCAAAGGTATCCCATGGTTACTTAATTTATATTCCTGCCAATAAACAGATAATTGATACGGCTAATTATTCGTTCGTAAAAACATTCTACCAATGACCAAACACCTGAACAACAATCGACTCTTGTTCATTTAATTATTATCCCCTGGAGGTCAATATATATCAGATCCCAGAGGATGCGTGATTATACTTGGAAAGTATCGTTAATGGTAACCATGTCACAGTTCACTGAGGTATGTTGAAATGTAGCGGCAACGCTAAAAAGGCTAACATTAGCTTAACCTATCTGAAGGTGAAGGTAGCTAATATAAGTAGACTTACTTTATATAACATAAAATAAACAACAAGATTATACATTTGAATATCTATAACTATGTCCGATAATTTCAACTCGAATACTAATCGTATATTCTCGATTTCAAACTTACGTTTATATAAAATGTCCGAATTAAATAAAGTAAAGCTTGAAGACACTAATAGAGGCAAACACTTTATCTCAGATTCTCTACAGTTTTAGTGTTGCTGCTACATTTCAACATTTACCACCATTTGTACATATTCTCACCAAATTTCATAATTTTGTGTATCTTAAAACGGCTCACAGAAATCTGGTTATTTAAATTTCCTATTCCATTGGCGTAATGGTAACGCGTCTCCCTCCTAAGGAGAAGACTGCGGGTTCGAGTCCCGTATGGAATGTTGTTTTTATATTTTTAATATATAGTCACGTGACTTCTAACAAATTTATCACTTACTTATGACACAATAGGCTAAACAATGTCGTTCTATTTAAATTACAGTTCTACTATTTCCTAATATATCGCATTATGATACAAAACTATTGTGGAATCGAAATTTTTTATCCTTATTAATCTTGTTGAATATCACTATTAACTTTTTTTTTCGTCTAATAAAATATGAAAATTTCTTGCTTTTTTTTTGAATATCTTTTGAAATTGTACCATTGAGAAATTGCCATTTCGAACGTTTTTTCTTAGCGCATATAATGTAATATGAATACAAAACAAAAATCGATGACCTCACTTACATTGAGCTTAATGATAGTACATTTAATATATTATTGAGGGTTATTCATTAAATATATACTTGTCGTATCTAAATTTGTTAGAAGAACTTTTTTGTATAAAAACAATCATAATTAGCTCAATGGGTCAAGTAATGAAGTGTGAAATTTGTCAGGAACAAGAAGCAAAGTATAAATGTCCCAATTGTGGCATTAGATATTGTTCTCTAAAATGTTACAAGGATCCTCAAAAACATAATCATTCGAATGCAAACAATACAGATAATTCAGATGAAAATAAAGAAACTCAAAAAATTGAAAGCAATGACTCTATTCTACAGGTAACTTCTGTCACCAAAGAAGACCAGTTGCAACTTCAAACTCCAGAATTAAACGCGATTTACCAAAATACACCCGTACTTAAGGATTTATTAAAATATAATACAGTTAAGTTTCATTTAGATAAAGTATATAAGATACTGGGAAGTAATGTCAATGGTGGTGGTCAGGATAATATTAATATGAGTAAAGACATGCAAAGACAATTAGCTATAGATTACTTAAACACATTAAGGTATGGGGGTGTTCATTATAATGAGGCAATTGAAGAATTTTGTCAAATATTTTTACAATTATTAGAAGGACATTAGTCTTCACAGACTGATATAGATGAAGTATAATGTGTTCACCGGTGAAGTATGATGTTGAGTATTTGTTGTTGTTATTATTATTTGAACTATAAGAATGAGTATTTAATATGATTATATTTATGGGTATTGGTTTATATTACTCACGTTTAGAGTTGAACCTACAGCGTTACTTTTGTAAACGTTTTCGACTAATCTATATAATGCTAATGCGTCTAACAGGGTTGGAAATCCATCCATTTGTAATCCCTGGATGAGGAGTAATTCATCGGTTTGTTGTTTTTGTGAAATTTCTAAAGGTGATACATCTTGGAATCTACCAAGTTTTCTATCATTAAAGTCGGCAATAGATTGGTACAGTTTCGCCATGTTTCCTACTAAAGCATTATAATTTCTATAATGAAAGAACTCCAATACTTCATCATCAGTGTTATATATCACTTGTCCTTCAGGAGGTATATCTTGAACGGAAGCATTGACATCTACTTTGATACCACTATGATATAGCACTAGGTTTGAAATCTCTATAAAGCCTGCATCCCCTTCGATTTTTAAATCACCTTTCGTACCATGGATATCGATAACTAAATTTTTAGTGAATTTTTTGGTTGGTTTTCCACCTTTAATACTACAGGACACAGGTACATTTCCTCTGATTAATTTTCCTTGGAATAACAAATGATCTGGCACATTTTTCTGTACGTTTCTACCAAGGGAATTCCCCATGTCATCTACTAGAGTTTGTTCTGGGATATTATTAAAGATCATCGAACTTATGGTGCTGAAGTACGAACCTGTAATATATTCCAATGCATCGATTGTGTGGCCAAAACAGTAGCTTACAAGATCTCTCCTAGCGCCCATTTCATATAGAAATTGTGGCGACTTTTCTAACCTTTCATAACCAAACCAATTCCCATTACCAGCTACCTCTATGGAATTAATTTTACCTATTGAACCATCTTCTATTAATTCTTTCGCTCTGATTATATAAGGTGACTTTCTACTTTGTAATGTTATTATTGTTTGTATATCTAATTCAATAGTTTGATTGACAAGAAACTCAGTTTGTGTAAGACTAAAATTTAAAGACCACTCGAATAGTAAATATTTAATTTGATTTTCTTCTTCCCTAATATTATCCAATGTAGACATTATATTATCATATATTTGTTCACCATTTGATGTGAAAACAATCATATCTATGCCAGAGTTGGAAACTAATTGTTTTAATGATGGATATGCGACAGCATCTTGGAGGCTGAGTCGATCTATTATATCAAGTGATTTTTGAATATTATCATTGTATATAGCTGATATTTCGAAAAAAGATGAAACCTGTAATATAGCCTGGCAATGTGTCTTTATTGCTAGTGTATTCGCACAATTTAACCCAACAAAACCAACTTTTATTGCTGAATTTTGGGTCATATTTTTAATGACTAAAGTTTATGTAATGACAATCCCTAGTATCAAGTTAAGGTCAAATAAATGGAAACTTAAATGATAACTTTTCGATGAAAATCTCGTAACTTTCTTATTGCTTTTTTTTGTCAATTTTGACACATCAGACTGGCGAAAATAATTGCCAGAAGAAAAATAAGATATTGTAAATCAAAAAGAGTGAGGCTAATGGAGATTTTAGATAAATAAAGAAAAACAAAAGCTAAATAACGTTAGTCAATTATTAAATTATTTTGAAAGTTTTATAAATATGTAAACAAAAATAGTGTTTTCTTATATAATGGATACCTGGCTATAGTATTTCATTTGGTGGTTCTTGTTCTTGTCTTTGCGCAGGAAACATTCAAGGAGCGGACGGCTGTCGGCCGATGGCACTCCGAAGCCACAGGATGCGAGGAGATAAATAATGTCGGTTTGCCTGCTTTGATATTGTAATTGGGATGACTGCCTACGTTAAGGAGTTAACAGATCAGGTCTGGAATCCTGGTGGTGATAGATAGTTCATAACTTCAAATTAACAGTAAATTATATCAAGCTCTAGCCATCTTACACCATATTTAGATATATATCCTGATGCTCAAAATTATGATTCCATTTTTTAGAATGAGATTGAACAAAATGAATTTTGTAATGGTTCCCAAATATTTTGGTAAGGAATTTTTGATGCTGGAAATATACACGTGCAGTTTTAGGTTGTCATATTTTGTTATTGTTATCTAATTTTATCTTCTTGAGAGTCCTAGCTTGGGAATCTGGTGGGGATATCATGTGGGAAAGATTAAAGCGAGATAACTGTTGTGACTTTATATTTGAATTCACATTATCGTAATCTAGAATATTGGAATCCATTTGGGTTGGATTTGATATGTTCGTATCATTTTTATTGATGTCAACATGGTTTTTTAACCTTGTTTTGTAACGGCCGTGATTTTCCGATGGTTGCGAGTGCTCTACACTGAGTGGTGGCATTGATAGTCGAAATTTAGGAGAATTAATATTTTTCTTTTCCTCAAATTTAAAATTATATGGATTTATTTCATTTTTAGATTCAACCTTACTCGTTCCTTTTGTCCCTATTCGGTCACTCTTCTGTCTTGAACACCATAATCGTAAATCTTCGAGTGAATTGAATGTGGAGTTCTCCACACAGTTTAAAATATCATCAAGGCACTCAATATAACCTTGATGTTTTACCAGTGAGTTTTTTTCATTGGCTACTCTATATAATCTAGTGACTGCATTAGCAGCTACTTTGAATTCTTGTGACAGTTCATTATTAAGTGAATCTATAGCTTGTTTGGTTGGAGGTTGTTCCGGCGGAAGGCTTGTTTCTAATGAGTGCAGCTTTTCCATTCCTCAGATAAAGTAAACAAAGTATACTACTTCTATATCACTAGCTAATAAATATGGTTATCTTGGGTGATGATATTCTTTATTCTTAAGCTATTTTTTGTATGGCAAAAGTTGATTAGAAGTATTATTTTTGATGGCCATCTCAAGTTTATATTTTCATTATAATTTATAGCGTCCCGAACTAATCGCCTGAAAATTGATTTATGATAGAGGAATGTAAAAAAAGGATGAAGGATGTCACAAATTAGGGTATAGCATATCGTTAACAACAAGAAAATAAAATCACATAAAACACAGTATAATATGCTCAAAAACAATTTTATTGATTCCTATAATAATATTTTACTGTATTTAAATATTTCTTAAATGAACTGTGTTATGGGGACATGTATTTATTTAATTCTATCGATATATATTTCATTTATAGATGTTATAACTATTCCATACTTTCAAGAAGTTTTTTATAATTGTATTTAATCAAATTTATAAATATATGCATTGACATTTAAAAAAAATTTAAAAGTTAGGTGGTTTGATCTTTAAGAATAATCAAAATTGTTCGATTGTCGTGTTGTCAACTAATTACATAGAAAATTTATTTTATGTTCTGAGAAATAGTTAATTTCGAATTAATTAAAAAAGGTAGTAATATCAAAAATATAATACACCTTTTTGTAAAACTAGGTTGAAGAAACAATAAAAAAGGATAATTGTCTTCTTTTCCCCCATTATCAGTTCCAGCTATCTTCGCATTTTCAAAATTTCGTTTCAGAACAAGCCAATATCACAGCACATAAATATATATATATATATATAATGAATACTATAGAAATATAGTTTTTTGTTTCTTTTAAAACTTAATAAAAAAAATTTAAAGAAATCAATTAACTACCAAATCACAGATTAAATGGCAAAAAAATTCTCCAGGGGGCGAGTCGAACGCCCGATCTCAAGATTTCTTGTAAAATTACAGTCTTGCGCCTTAAACCAACTTGGCTACCTAGAGATAATTGACAAATGTTATATCTGAAACTGTTATGATGTAGAAAGTACCAATACGTAGTTATTACAATTTAATGTTTAGTACGAAATTAGTAATAACAGTTCAATATTGGTTCTAGAATATTCTTTGAGAATGGTCAATTAAGTAAGTATTACTAATCGTTTCAGAAGTGTCTAGTGTTATAATATAGAAAGTAGCAATACTTGGTTATTACAATTTTATGTTTAGAAAGAAATTATTACTAACTGTTCAATATGATTCTAGAACATTCTTTAAGAATGATTAGTAAGCAAGTATTACTAATTGTTTCATAAGTGTCTAGAACATGTTTCTAGAATGTTTAGTAAGAATACTATCAATATTTGGTAGACTGTTTTCCTTTTCCAAAAGTATAAAAGGACCACATATGCTAACTTAAATATATAATCTTCCTTATATAAACTTACTTTATAAAACATAAAAAAACAACGATTATTGAAATAAGTTCTAATAAGTTAACAACATAGTAATAGTAATTAAATATAACCGTCTGTTATATTTTTTGTCTTCAACCATCCGAGATCCCAATACAACATCAAAGCTTGATATATTTTATATATATGCCTTTTTGATAAATATATTTTTAATATTAAATTTTATCATCTTTTTAAATCAAATAGACATGTTAAACAGAGTTGCAGTTGTTAAACTGCTCATACTTTGTGCATAGTAATATTGGACAATGTAGCTCCAATAAACCCAATGTAGGGGGAACGAATACTACATTATGCAGTATATATCATGTGTTATTATATATATGGTAGTGCAGCACACTCTAAATTCTACTTATATTAGCTACCTTCACCTTCAGATAGGTTAAGCTAATGTAAGCCTTTTTAGTGCCGCCGCTATATTTTACGAGACATAATTGTAAACGTAAGTTTGAACTCGAGAAGTGACAGAAATTATGTGAAATCAAGATATCTAAGATGTTCTAATAAGAACTAAACATTTTATTAGGTAATAGTCGTTTAGGCCATAATCGTTTAGAAAATAAGTTCATTACTTATCGATCGTTTAACCAACAATCGTTTAGGTAACAAATCAATTACTTGAAAATCGTTTAGGTAATCAGTTTACTACTTAACAATCGTTTAGGTAGCAATCGTTTAGGTAATAAGAAGAAACGAAACTTCGATAAAATATATGATATATAAAGACAAAGAATTCTGAACTTACATTCTAAGTTAGATTCTATTCGTTCTGTAAATTATATACAATATAAAAAATCACTTACAAATATAAGAGAAATATAACAATTATATTTTGCTTACCTAACATTAAAACTTAAGCTACACCATTCACCTCTATACCTAACACCTTTAATAATGAACAAATATAAGTCTAACCATAGTATGTCTGCTTCAGCTCAAGAAGATACGATTAGTATTCCAGTTGAAATTATCGGACAAAGTTATAGATATTCAAATGTGTAGAGAATCTGAGATAGAGTGTTTGCCTCTATTAGTCTCTTCAAGTTTTACTTTATTTAATTCGGACATTTTTTAATACGATAATCGATCACTCTTTTTATATTATATATAATTTATAGAACGAATAGAATCTAACTTCCGATGTAAGTTCAGAATTCTTTGTCTTTATATATCATTTATTTTATCGAAGTTTCGTTTCTTCTTATTACCTAAACGATTGCTACCTAAACGATTGTTAAGTAGTAAACTGATTACCTAAACGATTGTCAAGCTAATACCTATATCTCTCTACCTGTCACTATATAATATGAACGAATATAAGTCTAACCACAGTATGTCTGCTTCAGCACACTGTCAATGCTATATATTAAGTAATGTTATCTAATGATGTATAATCTTGAAGACAGACGTAACACTTAAATAAATTTGATATGACTGTAATGTGTCATTTGGCTCTAAAATATGCTTTGTCTGGTGTGAAAACATGGTTATCTTTGTGTGATTTAGAATCTATCATGTTTGTGTCAATAAATACATCTGGTTTAGGTCGTGATGCTGAATTATTAAATTTGTTTTTTTCTGGAAGAAAGTGATGCATTTGGGAGTTGGTTCCATAGATAATAGACGTTATTCTTTTGGGTTCATCTAATATCAAAGGTTCGCTGTTATTGGAATGATATAGTTTAAACGATGAATTATCATCATCATTCAAAAACATGGCATTAGATAATGAAACAGACGAACTTCTAGAACCAACCTTTTCAATGTCATATTTACCAAATTTTGAAGTTTTCATGATATGGGTTTCTAATTGCGATTCATCGTCATAAAAATTCAATCTTAAAATGCTAGCGCTATCGTATCTATCGTACTTCTCTTTTTGTATTGTGACAATAGAGTCAATGTTAACGCCAATTGAAATGCAACAGAACTCTCTAATACTTGTACAATTACCTCTTTTGATTAATTTATAATACACAAAAGGTGAGAAAATGATGGCGACTATTAGTTTTGCAATAAAAAATAGCCAGATTGCATATGAAAAGAGCATAAACGATAGTAGAACTGCCTCCGCATGATTGTACTTAGCAATATACCTTATTCTTGAGAGTACATCACTAAATGACTGTAGATCGCCCAGATCTAAATCATTTCTATTTGTAGTTATTACGACAGACCACAGTGTTAATGCATTTATCACTTGTCTAGGTGTATCTGTAAATAATATTCCAATACAATCTTTCAACTCAAAAAATATAAAGAAAGTCCATTTTTCAAAAGATGTAGAAGGTGTTATTTTATCCATAATGCAAAATTTCGAGTAGTCAGTAATAGATTGAACCAGTCTTGCAAAGTTGTTCACATAACAAAGGGCTATGTTCCTCGTTCGTAATACACGTATCCCTGAAATAATTTCCCATAGCATCAAAACAAAAGAGGCAAAAATACAGCCACTGAAGAGCCATTTAGAGATATGAAATGGAAGATAGGGTTTTATTACATTATTGGACCACGAATTATATGCTAATAATTTTATGCATGTGTAACAGTCAGAGACAAGGAAAGCTAACTTTAAAATTAGAATGAACCAAACTCCGAATATATAACTGAGTACTGTTTTTATCCTTGTATTTCTGAATTGTGTGAGATTGACATCATCGAATTTTTTAGGGTTAATAGAGTATTTCCATTCATGATAAAACATATTTCACTAGTATTGAACTGTTGCCATTGAATAAATGTCTCTCGCAGCATATTACTCCTTGCCTACTCCTCAGTTAAAAAGAAAATATTTACAGGAGGTAAAAAAATACAACATTAGCTGTCTTTAATATACCAATCGCAGAAATAAATAAAAGAAGAAGAATTTAATCCTGTTTCATTTTTTATGTCATCTAATCTTGTTTATTATTAGATCATAGTAGTTGTTTCACAATCGTATTATGCGGCTTCCTTTTGAATGTTCCCTCTTAACTACGCGTAGTCCGTTTTTCGCGTTTTCAATTGTACATAATTCCGTATCAAAGAAAAGCGGCGAAACTACAAATGTGGCATTACAGTTTTAAAGAAATAGCCATAGGAAAAGTTTATAGTAAGATTACATTCAATTATTGGTAGAATTTAGTACCATTTTCCTTATTTCGTACATATAGTCATTGGTATCCATTGATGCAACGGATACATTGTTGAGGTGATCATCGCCTTCATTTCCAGTTGTATTAAATTTATTATTCAATAGGAACCACGCACCTACCTTCTTGTTCCATCTATTCTCTTCGTGATAACTATGTTCCAGTAACTTGGAACCGATGGTATATGTAGACATAAGTTTATCTGATGTATTTCTATTTTCTTCTGAGGCATAATTACTTTTAGTTTTGTATTTGTTACCAATTCCACCGAATGAGTGATACTTTCTAAGATTTGGATTGACTGCTAGAGACCTAGATAGTATGTCGGATTTTGTTTGGCTTTTTGATCTTAAGAACGGCGATTTAGACATGTCCGTATCTTGTCCCTGGACGATATCATCTATACCCGCAAATGGATCTGGTGGTTCCTCATGGATACTTACCCATCTAAGATTCTTTTCGTCAAACATCATATCACCAACTACTTCAGGAGGTCTAGAAGATTTGCTCCGAATCTTTGAATTTTCAATTTTTTCTAGATCAGTCTTATTCTTTTTTATTAATAATGGGTTTGTAGAGCTAGAATCAATTTCATCAAATTTTTTCAATATGTGTTCATTACCTTCCCATTTCATACTTTGTGGGTTATAATACATATCTCCTTTTTTGACTGGGGTATTATGATCGATTTGTTGTTTAATCGTTCTCATTCTATATGTAGCAGCTCGTTGATTTAAATTCAGATTTCCTGAGGGTATACGGGAACTAGTAGAAGTATTACTTTCTCTGAAATTTTCTAATTGATCAAAATTTGAGCGGTTTCTGTTTGTTCTTTTATGTAACTGAGGGGTCAAAAGATTGTTGTGTTGTTCGATATTGTATATTGATGGTGATAGCTTCATCGGTAAGTTACCCCTAGTATGTTTTGGAACAAAGTTTGGTTGGATCATGCTAGAATCAAATATAAAGTCGTTATCATCTGGATGTTCACGATCCTCCCCAAATTTACTTAAATAATAATCTGATGGATTCCTTCTCTTTATTACTGAATCGTTATTTTCCTCACCAGAATCATGATCTTCTTCTATAATATTAGATACCATATTTGGCATTGATTTTTTAAACCTTACTGATATTGGATTTCTTGATGAATTGCGCAAATTACCATATGATATACTATTTTTTAGTCTAGATTCTCTCGAATTATTTTTCATCTTTTCATATTGAAATCCAATTCTAGGTTTCAGATCCATCATTGATTTTGGCTGTCTTAATGTATTACTTGCATGTTGGCTTTCTTGTGGTTTGCTGGTCGACCCTAAATTTAAATAATTATTAAATTCTTCACTTAAATGGTGTAAATTATCAGGGGAGTGTCTTGAGAATGTCCCAAAGCGTGTCTTTATTGCTTCGTCGAAGTCAGTCTTCTTATTTCGAAATTCCTCGAAATCATCTAAAAACTCTTCATCCTCTTCTTCTTCTTCTTCTTCTTCATCAGTTGTTTCGAATCCTAGTTTACTATTTCGGCGGTCAGTATCATCTAACCACGAAGGTTGGGTTTTTATATCATCTGAAAATGCTGTCTTGCCTGAACTTGCTGTTGACAATGGGGCTGCTAGTAACCCTTGTAAAGTATACGGCCTCGACTGAAGTGCTTCTGGTCTTATCTTATTAGTCTTACTCCTTTTAGGCTCATTATTTTGTGAGAATGGATCGATATGATCAGTTTCCCTTAGAAATGACGGTTCGATTTCTTCAAAGGATGTATCTGTAACGTCCATCTAATCTTTGGCAAAATAGCTACTTCTGTAATTTTTAAGCTAATATTCTCGATGGTAATAAATACACTTCCTGAGTGTAATTTTTATATATTGTAATGAGTAAATGTCTTCTGCAAAACACAGTGTTTGGTTAAGAACTTTGAACTGCAAAAACAACTCTTAATAGTAGTGACTTTCAAACACCTTTCTCTTTATTTTTGTTTTGTTTTTATTTGTTTTTAATTTATTTTCCGATCTGACGAACTTTATTTTGACCTCGCGTTTACAATGAAAGAGGAGGCTGTACCCCAAAAGGAAATAATGTTTATAAAGTATGACAGTGAGTACTCTAAGTAACATTATCAAAAGAAAGTTTCATTGAAACTGGGTCATGAATATGCAACTATGGGTCTAGTGAAACCGTAAATATTTATCTACTTTGAAAATTTTAATTTTTCAGCCAAATGTTTGGTATCGTTATACTATTACTTTTTTTTGTACATAGTGAAACATCTCAAGGTGATATAACATTTTCTCAAAATGTAGATATTTAGGAAACTGTAATAAATAAATGAGGTCTATTTATAAAATTAACCAGTTCTGTATAGTGTTTTGCATCTATATACTGTCACTTTGTCTTCCTAATAATTTAACTCCTTGTCTAATATTAGCATCTTTAGTAATCAGATTATCTCCAAAAACATCCACTAGTTGTAGACTCAGGTTTTGATTACAAATCGTTCCTATAGTGACGTCATCAACACACCTAACAAATCCTAAATCAAGAGTTTCTAACTTATCGCATTTAAAAACTGAAAAGACTTTTGCAGTTAGATTTTTCAATGAATTCAAATTTAATTTAACCAATGAATCTTTTGCGGAATTTAGAAATATTTCTATAATTGCATCATCACCAACTTCTATGCACCTACTTAGACTACATGTCTTTAACGATGGTAGAGATATTTGACTAAAAAAGTATACCAATGAATCAGTAGTCAGTTGATCTACTGCTTCCAAAACTAGTGTCTCTAAGTTATTATTAATGCCATCTGTGCCACCTAAAAATGCACTCATTCCATTTACAACCATTGAGTCTGTCAGTTCATCACATTGTTTTAATACGAGGCATTTCAATGTTGAACCAATTTGGCCCAGAATATTTATCATCACCTCATCTGAGACATCTTCCTCATTGTATGGATATTCGATAACTAGTGTATGGAAATTTTCATTAACTAAATATTGCGGTAATATGGCATAATTAAACAATGAATCTAATCTTGAAAACCCAATTGAGACTAAATCTAGATGACAATTTTCTAGTAAACTGCTCAAACACTTATCAGTGAACCTATGTGTATTCGAAACATGAAATTCCTGTAATTTACCTTTCATGGTTTCAAAAAATTTAATCCAAGTAACTTCGTTAATTAAAAATGGACCATCTAACTTTAAGGATCTCAATTTTGGCAGCTTTTCTGCAATATATAATAAAGCTTCATTATTTAATTGACCGCACATCTGTAAAGAAAGTTCTTCCAGATGAGGTGAAAAGATTACTAATGTCTTGTAACCTTCATAGGATAATTTCGAACAATCATAAAAGGTTAAGCTTTTCAGGTCAGTCTTCAAAAACAATTGCAACGTGTTATCATTCAGTGCCCTATTCTTAGACAATGCATTAGCTAATCGATTTAGGTTTTCTAATGATATACCACCTAAAACATCTCTTAAATGGGTAAATAAAAATTTATCGTTATTGTTATCTGTTTCCCAGGTAGATATATTTTTACTTATAACAGATAGAGCCATCTGTTGTAATGTTGGTATCTCTTCCCCCTTTTGATCAAGTAAATTAGCTGCTCTCTTTCTTCTTTTCTTTCTACCATGAATAAGTTTCTTTGTTCTCTCTCGTTTCTTAGCAACCGTCTCCGGATCTTTTGCATTTCTAAAAAGGGGAACAGTAGGAGATTCAGATGCATGGTATTCTTCTTCATCACTGTCTGCATTATCAATCAGTTTTCTAAGTCTTCGCGTCCTGGATATTCTTGATGCATTTTGGTCATCTTTCGATCCCTCATCTTCATCACTAGATTCCAATAAATCTACAGATGTCTCTAAAGATTTAGATTCCTCGATTATTGCAATATTCTGTTCATTTTCTTCTCCCTCTTTTACATCATCTTGATCTGAAGATTTTTCCTCTTCATTTTCAATTGGATGGGTATCTAACCATCTCTGTTTTATACTATCTGCACTGATACCTTCCTCCTGCAAAAATTGTGTCAACGCAGAATTAGGACCTTTGATGTTATTCCCTCTATTCCTGTTCCTACTTCTATACATAACTAATAATAATGCCAATATATATATATGTCCAGTTGTGTAACTTACTGAAATATAACTTGTATTTATGATAAATTTATCTATGATGTTCTGTACTGACAGTTAATTCAAATAATAAATGAAGTTCCTTTTTCAATAGTTTTCCTGATAAATTTTCCACACCTGGTTTAGGAAGTCCGGCAGTCTGATGTTATCCATTTTTTTTTTCTTTCCTACCTTAGCAAGAGAAACCCATCGCGTAGTTAAGCTAGCTCTAGAATTCGTTCCTGTATTATATATGTCATTGGTTAACTACCGTTACAATGAGTCATCCATCTATAAGTTGCCTCAATTGATTATAATAAAGAGCTGATTCTGAAATTTTCTACTGCGTAAAATGGTATTATATAATTATGTAAAATTATAAAAACTTTTAATATTAAAGTTTACCAGAAAATTTAGCAAGTTGAGTTAATTGACGATAATAAAATATATATATTAACTTATTTATTAATATAGAAATAGCACTAGTTTCTCCTGGAACCGATCTCGTTGGCTGCAATTCTACCAAACACAACACATTCTAATAAACTTGAACCACCTAGTCTATTTGATCCATGGACGCCCCCAGATACTTCACCAGCGGCATACAACCCATCCGCTAAGACGACATTTTCATTATTCATAACTTGTGCTTTTTCATTGATTGTAGCCCCACCCATTGTAAAATGGACAACAGGAGTTATTTCACCAACATATATGTCTGTCTTCGAATTTATATCAGTGCCAAAGGTATTGATAACTAAAGGACGATTAAATTCATCAGATTTTTGGCCATTAGATGAGTATTTAATTAAGTCGTTCACTACCTCTGTAGGACTAATTGGTAGTTTATAATTGTTGACAAATGTTTCGATTGACATTTTCGAAATCAGACCTTTTGACATGTAGAATTTCATGTTACTTTGATAATTCTGATACAAGTCCTCGCTCATCACCAAATAAGCCTTATTGTCTCTTTCGGGACACATCTTTTGGATGGCCTTCGTGACTTTATCTCTAGTGTTCAATTCATTTGTAAATCTTCTCCCTGTAGATGGATTCAATAAGACACCACCAAGACCTCTTAATGCTTCGGCAGCCAAGAACTTCCAATTGTTGGAACGATCAGTTGGGTCGATAAACCCAGTAGGATGAACTTGAATTTGTTCCATATCCAACATATTTGCACCAAGTCTCTCCAATATATTTTGGCCATCACCAGTTGTCTGTTTACCATTTGTGGTAGGCAGGTTAATTAAATCTGGTGCATATCTTTTTAACATTTCTTTAGAGTAACCAAAACCACCAGTGGCAAATATCACACTATCGGTTGCAATTGATTGTGGTACACCATTTTCATCGATATAGTTGACGCTTTGGACGCTACCTTCTGAATTGAATTTAATATCCTGGACTTTTGAATTTAGCATTATCTTTAAACGGTCAACATCATCTTCAGCTTTATTTTGTAGACGTTTCGATAGAGTTGAAATAATCTCATAACCAGGAGGCAAGTTACCTGTAGATCTATGAGTTCTTGGGACAGAATGACCACCTAATTGAGCCAACGCATCCAGTTTGATATTAAACTCAGTTTGTAACCAGCTGACGGCTCCCTTAGATTCTTTCGTTAAAACATCCATTAAAGAATGGACACCTCTGCCTCTTGCAGATTTTACTGTATCTTCTAAAAATAATGAAGGACTATCAGCGATATTCAATTTTGATTGTGTGATGGTGTTGGCACCATTTATACCACTTGAGGCCTTAATGGAATTACCACCCATATTAGCAGCTTTATCCAAGATAACGACAGGTGCGTTGAATTCATTTATCAATTGATTTGCAGCAGATAGACCAGCCAGCCCTGAACCAATAATAACAACGGGGTTGCTATTGATAATCGATTGTTTTGTTGAAAATAATCGTATGCTTTGTCTGAGTATTATCATGGTTACTAATATTCCAAAGAGGTACAAATTTGTTCTTTTGAAAAGCCTTGCCATTACAGGAGAATAACAAAAAGAGATAGTAAGATTCTGAACAAATAACCTTCTTCAAGAGATTTGTTATATTGAATTCACTAAATCTCAGAAAAAAGAATTGAATTTATCAACGTGTTTCCTATTCAATTCAGATAATTAATTTTACAGATTATATCATTGCTTTTGGTAAAAGAAAAATGAATGATTGTAAGCCCACTGGTAGGTCAAAATACTCTAAGAAAATATGAAGTTTAATAATTCGTGTGTCCCTTTCTCGGTCTCTTCCTCACTATTTTCAGGGTGTGTTTTAATATTTGCAGTGAAAAACGCGTATCACTTTCTAATTTCCAAGAATCTCTCGTCAAATCTCTTTTAATAAGATAAACCATTCTCTGCTGATTAATTAATACAGAAGAGGGCCTGTTATTGAGGTTATGACGGTTTATGTATATAAAGAGTAATGGTCATTGATGAATGATTAGGAGGCGTTCATAATATATACCTGTAATATATAACTTGAATATTAAAGTGGACGGACATATCTGTCGTGCAAGCTTTGAGACTGCATGCAGAGGGAGAAAATGAACTATTAAACTGATGTATGTGTTTGCTTCTGCTTATGAGAATTACAATTTCTTAATTTCTTGATATATGTATTTATATGTATGTATATATAAAGGGGATGGGGTATTTATTTTCTTTTACCTTTGTGTTTGTGGAACAATGAATATAAATGAAACTAGTACTTGTAGCCCTTAATGTCGTGGATAGCATTACCTTCGATATCGACCTCAGTGGATTCACTACGGTATATTTGAGTTGGACCATTTTGGTCAAATGGGTGTTCCTTAGCGTATTCAAATGATTCAAAAATGGCCCTCTTGACTCTCTCTAAGGTGTCTTCAGTGACTTGGTAATGGAAAGAGACTCTACCACCCATTAATCTGACATTGTACTTTAGACCCTTCTTGACTAGGACATCTGGGTTTATCTTGGAAGCTCTAAGATCGATGAAGACAAAGTTGGTGTCAGCTGGAGACTCTAGAGGAATACCATGTTCTTTACAGAAGTCAGCTAGTTTGTGAGCCAAACTGTGGGAGTATAGAAGCTTGGACTTCCAGTCGTCATTGACATTACATAGAGCCATACGGGCAATCATACCCGATTGTCTGATACCACCACCTTGTTGTTTTCTTAAGTGGTTAGCCTTCTTGATGAACTTAGTATTACCGACCAAGATGGAACCGATTGGAGCACCCATGGACTTGGATAGACAGATAGAAATAGAGTCAAATAATTCACCGAATTGCTTCAATGGAACATTACTTTCAGCGACAGCATTCCATATTCTTGCACCATCACAGTGTAATTTCATACCGTTTTCCATACACCAAGCCTTGATTCTGACCAGTTCTTCTAGAGGGTAAACAATACCGTGTAGAGTGTTCTCTAGAGAAAGGACTTTAGTTGGAGCACCATGAATATCACCGTCGTCTGGAACGTAGTGGCTCTTGATATCCTCTAGGGTCATATAGTTACCGTTGGATGGGATTACAGGTACAACCATAGCTTGAGACAAAATAGCAAGACCAGCGGCTTCATGAGTGTAAACATGAGCTCTATAGTCACATAGAATGGAAAACGGTGGTTGGTACAAGTGAGTTCTTAATGCAATTTGGTTGGACAAGGTACCGGAAACACAGAATAGACCAGCTTCCTTACCAGCCATCTTAGCAACAGTTTGTTCCAATGTGGCAGTGTCGACATCTTCACCGTAGACAGCATCACCCATGGAGGCATTCAAAGCAGCTTTGATCATGGCTTCTGTTGGAGTGGTGAAAGTGTCGGAACGCAAATCATTGGAAGCGGTTCTGTATTCTTCTGGTAGTTCTAATGCAACGGACATCTTTGTATGTATATTATTTTCAGTGACCTGGGTATGTGGATAGTATTATCCTATATGTAGTGATAATTTTAAAAAGTAAATGTAGTTGTATGCTCTTAAATCAAAGATCAAATTCAAACACATACATACACAAATGAAAAATTCTGCAATAAAAGGTGTCGTGAACAAAAGAAACAAAAAGGAAAACTCTTCATAACCAAAATGGAATCTGCTTTGGTCAGCATATTACGGAAGGAAACAGAGAAATTTTTGGCTCTGAGGAAATAAACAGCTCTAAATTTTTCTTTCTTTCTTTTGCGATGAGCGACAAACGAAAAAATTTTCAGTTTTTTTAGCTTAACACCTCTAAGCGATGATGTAGGGTTGTCGTATATCGTGATTACTGATTAGTTACAACTTAATAGGGTTTCTCTTCCATCAGAAGGTATAGATAGGACTATGATATCATAAGTCCAGTTTCTTAAGAAGATCTTGTTTACGGCGCTCAACTAACCACTTCTCCATATCCAGCTGTGTTGGGATAACAGATGTGAACTGGTGCGTAGATGGTGTGTTATTAATCTTGGAATCGTTTGTTCTTTGTAAAATTGGGGTCCATTGCTTTTCAAAATTATCACGTTTTAGTATATCATCATCGCTAAATGATTGACCATAGTATATTTGTTTCATTTTATTGTTTGATTTATCATTTATTGATGGAATTTTCTTTATATTAACTAATTGTTTTGGTTGACTTAATAACTGTTTTCTTTTCTGTTCCGCTATGTAATCTTTTATCTCTGGTAATTCAATTGCTCTACCGAAATATCTTTTGCCCAGCACTACCTTCCCACCGATTACAAACCGATCATTTGAAACTATACCAGATTTCGAAGAAGAAGATCTTAACTTATTATTAATGTGCCAGTCCCATCTTTTTTTCTCCTGTATCAAAGTATTTAATTGATCGTTCACCTCTCTCAAGTCGCTTTCACTTAGTGAAGGGTCAAATACTCTAGTGTTTAAAACTTTGAATTCGTTGATCAACTGGTTTCTCCATTGGATGGCTTCTTTAACATTAGAGACCGAGGCTACACGCTTTGGTCTCTTGTATCGGGAGTAATCTTTGTATCCGCCATTATCGGCTGCTTGTTGTTCCTGATATTTAACTAGAACAGAGTTCGATTTATCAATATTCCTACTCATAGTTTATCGATAGTACTTTGTATATGTGTATTGCTGACCCTGGGTTTTAGCCTTTCGTTATGGTTCGATATCGTTTGTTTTTATAATATTGAAGACTTCCCAACGTTCCTTTATTTTCAAACTATGAGATTCGATTCGAAATTAGAATATTAAAAAATAAGATAAACACTCAGAAACAGCCGTAGAAAATAGGACCTCAATATTAACCATTTTCCAATATTGAGTTAACCACGACTACAGATAACCTTCATTAACTGTTTGTTTGAATGGTATGTATATATAATAATAAGATGTACAATTTTATGTTGCTGTTTTTTTTAAAAGATATGGGTTGAGTACAGATAGTAGGTTGGCATTTTAAAGTGATGCTCTAAGAATGTGTCATACCAATTTTTTCAAGTTTTCTGGACATATTGGTAAGACCAACGACCTATTTTAGGGTTGGCTAATCTTGTTCCTTTCTTCGAGGCCTAGGAGGTAAACGGGCTAACCACTGCATGTTATTCCATTAGTGTTAGAACGTATTAAATGTCACAGTTAAATAGATACCCTCCTGTAGTCAGGTGGAAGTCGTATATACTTCTAGTGTTGTACGTAACATTAATCAGTTTATTGTTCTGATGAAGCTATAGATTGAGGTAAAAAATATTTCAATTTTAATAGGCCAGAAGAGGTTTCTTCTTTAGTAAATTAGGAAACTGTGTCTTCAGACGTGTCGCCATAGTGGTACGATTATGACTACGACATTGATTTTACGTAAAGTTATTATTATCCAAAAGGTACGTCAGCCAACCTAAATGAAAGTTACACCAGCCAATTAAAAGATGTTGAATCAAGAACATTGTTAATTGAATACGCAACATTCGTCAAATGGAAATACAATGACTCTTTGTTCGCTTATGTTTTTCCAGACACAGATAATTGCTCCGTCGTTGCAGAATAATAGATCTCGAACGAACTCATATATGGCCCAATTCAAGGATGTATATATGCATGTATATCATATGTATGTGAGGTTATGTTAAGCATCCTGAGTTGAATTAGTTTTGAGTACTAGGTGACTCAAAAAAAATAGAAGGTAGCCACACTTCGTTAGTGAAAAAGACGAAGCGATAAAATATTGAGGAGCTTCATTCAAGGAAATTGTATAGTTTGGCACATGCATGCAGCGTAAGAGAACACTTGCAATAAAAGTTAGATAGAGATCGTATTGAAATATTGAGATAAATCAATTACTAATACAAATGAGTCTCAAACAATCAGAAGGGGGAAATGAACCGAATAGCAATTCCAATTCCAAAGAGATGAATGGTGTCAATGACACACAAAATCAAATACAAAACTTTTGTTTGCTGAGAACGCCTAGTATGGGTGTAGATGATGTATGTAATCAACCAGAATATCAGAAAAGTGCATCTAGTTCTTCAGAGACTACTAGGAGTGGCTCGTCTGCACAATTACAATATGTTAAGGCAGCGAACGATGTCCGAAAGATTAATAAGGGCTTACGGAATGCAAAGATTGATTTGGAGGTTAAAAATTTAATGATTGTAACCAAATTGAATGATTTATTTCTTATTTATTTGACAAGGGAATTAGTAGAATGGTTATTAAGAAATTTTCCTTCGTTGAATGTTTATGTTGAGGAGACTTTAAAGGATGATCCAAAATTTAATGCAGAAGGGATATATAAGGATGCAAGATGTATTGAAAATAGGATATTTTATTGGACACCACAATTTGTTAAAGAGCATGATTTATTTTTTGATATGGTAATAACCATGGGTGGTGATGGTACTGTGTTGTACGTTTCGACAATATTTCAACAATCAGTACCGCCTGTATTATCATTTGCATTGGGTTCGTTAGGTTTCTTAACAAATTTCAAATTTGAAAATTTTAAAGAAGATTTACCTGGAATATTGAATCATAAAATTAAATCTAATTTAAGAATGAGATTGCAATGTTCAGTATATAGTAATAAAAAAATAAAAATTTCAAAGGATGTAGTCGTAGATGATTCATCTGTTACGAGTGTCCCTGAAGATCTTCAAAGTTGTCATACAGATCCTTCGTTGTATATATCTTCCGTTCACCATGTATTAAATGAGATTACGATTGATAGAGGTCCCGGGCCATTTTTGACAAATTTGGAAATATATGGAGATGAATTTTTCATGACTAATGCCCAAGGTGATGGTTTGATTGTTGCTACGCCAACTGGTTCAACAGCGTATTCATTAAGTGCGGGTGGATCATTAGTGTGTCCTACGGTTAATGCGATTGCATTAACACCTATTTGCCCACATACTTTGAGTTTCCGTCCCATTATACTTCCCGATAGCGTATGCTTAAAGATTAAAGTTTCTAGTAAATCGAGGGGATCTGCTTGGGCATCATTTGACGGTAAATCAAGAATTGAATTGAGACCTGGTGACTACGTTAAGATTTCATGTAGTTCATTCAGTTTCCCAACTGTAGATTCAACTGATGAACAATTCATTAGAAGTATTAGTCGAACATTAAATTGGAATGTAAGAGAACAACAGAAATCTTTCACTAATTTACTTTCAAGTAAAAATAAGAAAAATTTTGTAAAGGAGGAAAAAGCTAAAAAGGAATTTGACAGCACAGATCAATCATTTTCATCGAGTGAAGTTGATGTTCGTAATGTCAAAGAAACCCCGTAAATAAAAATAAGATAAATATTTGCATGATGATATATTATTATTATAAAATATATACATTTCTAAATAATATAATTAATAAATATGATTGTTTTGAAGAAGAAAACAAAAAACAAAAAAAATATTAAAAAAAAAAAGTAACCAATATAACAAAATATATATATATATTAAACGTCTCTTTCGTTAACAGTAAACTTTTTTTCTTTTTCATTATTATTATTATTATTCTTTCTTTTGTAATAGGGAATATTAACACAGTTTAAATGATCTATTTAGAAGCTTCCTTCATGTAAGTGATCAAATCGTTCTTATCCTTTTGTTTCTTTAGACCACCGAAAGCCATCTTAGTACCTGGAATATATTTCTTTGGGTTAGTCAAATAGTCAGACATATTTTGTTCATCCCATAGAACATGTTTCTTGATGTTAGCATCAGTGTAAGAGAAGCCTTCAACTTGACCAGAATATCTACCAAATATACCACTTAGATTTGGACCGACCTTATTTGGACCACCTTTTTCAATGGTATGACATTGTAGACATCTAGTCTTGAATAGAGTAGACCCTTTCTTGGCACTACCAGCTTCGAATTCAGTTTTACCAGCCATTTTGTTTTATGTGATTTTTGTTATAATTTGTAGGGAATAGAAATAAAATTAAAAAGATTTAATTCTTTTGTTGTTGTTTTATTCTTTTGATTTTCTAGACAGTAAGAAGTAAAAAATACAATTAATACTATTTAAAGAAAAGTACTAAGTGACAGACATGAAAGTAAATAATAACAACAAAAAACTCTTATATATATATGTAAAAGTATAAATATGAACTAATAATATTATTCATTTCAATAAATCCGTTATCTGCCGATCTGGTAACAAGTGACCTCTAAAATCTACCGAATAATGTAACTTCATTAATTCTTCTTTGTTATGTCCCTCATTAATGAGCTCTTTTCCGTTTGTTTGGTTGTATTTCATCGTCCAACAGTTACTGATAGACTGAAATATCAAATAAAAAATGCATAGACAATGCTGTCGGCTCATTTATCCCTGCGTCGGGTTTGTCGGGATTTAGTAGCAAGTTGAGAAAATGAAATTCGTTGGTGTTCACGCACTGGCCCACCGTGGAGTTATCGCGGGGAGCCTCTGGTTTGCGGATGGACGTGCGGATGTATGCCCTAGACAGAGACAGAGACAGAGAACGGCGCGTGCAAATGTAAGGGATATATCTCTATCTATATCTATATACGTTACGTACGGAGAGGGAGATGTGGGAGAGGGCCAGTTGCTGGCTTTGGTGTCGGGTGGGAGCTGTAATATTATTGGACAGTTTATGAGGTGGGGTGGGGGCGCGTGAAGTGCCAGGTGAGGACGTGGCGTGGGTTAGGTTGGGTTGGGTTGGATGTTCAGTTCATCAAGGAATTTTGCTCATATTTCAATTGAAATTCAAAGGATAATTATAGCTTTCGAGGTCGTGTACATCAAATTTAGAATATGGTGTATTCATTACTATATTAGCTCAACTATTTTCAAACGGACAGGTCATTAGTATATGCATGTATCATACTTAACGAAACTACATAGTTGGGATGATTATATTGTTTCGTTAGTGGTAACGTATGTTGATCTATAAACAACGTGAGTGTATGGGTATTCTCGTGAAGAGTGTAGAAGTATATAACTTTCTTGTTTCAGAAAACATTTTGAAATTATTGTTTACTATTAGAAATATAAACGTTGACTCTCTAACGGGGAACACTTCCGAATGTTGTGTTTTGTAAACAAATTGTTAAAAGTGATGAACAATTTCTAACCAAACTCTAAACTATAACAATCACTGAAAAAGATAAATTACCTCCCCAAGCTTCGACTTATCTATATCAATAAGTAATAATTATCATAATTAGAAACACTTCCTACACCGAAGTGGGCCATATATACCACCATTTTTCTTCACTCTTAATCCTATGACTCTAGAAAAATTAATATTACATGTAATTGAATAATGTTTTTTATGTCTCTTTATAAAGGATATATATATACATATATATGTATCAACGACAATATCAACTGCCTGATTATAGGTTTGGATCGAAATCGGGAGCGACTTCCAAACCTGCAGCTTTATGAGCTTGACCTGCGTTGTTATTAGTGTTGGCATCATTGACTTTTTCGTTTTTAGTCTTGTCATTCAATGAACCTTGACCAGAATCAGCAAGAGCTGCATGCGCAAAGTTCATCTTGTCATCATCATCAGACCAATCCACTTCAACTTTACCTTCTGATGCCGAGGTTAAATCAATATTTAATAAGATATCACTCTTTTCGGTCTCCCATTCATCCCTAACATCATCAAACCCAGATATCCAAATCTTATCATAAAACTCTTTGATTCTAGTCTCTTCGACTTTTCTCTTTTCTTCTTCTGCCATCCATGCCATATGCTTCAAATCCTCAGTGGATGGTTCATATATATGCCAAATGACATAATGGGGTAAACCTACAACATTATAATTCATTGCACGAGATAATTTCCCAAAAGCTTCAGTTTCTGCATGCTTTTGGAATGAAAATGCAGGGAAATGAGACCCCGTACGGAAAACTTTGGCCTTAGATAAGATAGACACCCCACCAATACCATCTAATTCCATTTCTTCCTCAGGATCACCATTAGGGTCTCTCATGTATGCTAAATGAGGTCTCCATGTAGCATACTCTGGGTAACCTTCCACAATGACTGCATCTTCATCTAGACTCTCTGCCAATTGAGCACCACCTTCACTTTCTTTCCAAGAGTTCAAATCGTACGGTTGAATGTTACCTAACCAATCAGGCAATGGTCTCCAAACGTTTGGTACTATGACATCTTTATCATGATGCATCAAATCCTCCATGATGGTCTCTGGGATAGTCTCTACATCGACATCTCTCCAATATACCCAGGAATGATATGGTTTGATTGCTACAGAACCTAACCAATTTCTTGCTCTAGCCATTAATTTTCTTCTTGGACCTTGAGCTGCAAAACCATGTCTATCTGAAAAGGATTGACCGATGATTTGACCAAAATCCTTTTCAAAAATTTCAATATTTCCAAACCTTTTACTCTTATCCTTTTGAGATTGAGCATTTTGTAAATTAGATAATAGAACACCCATTGTATCATCAGAGGAATCACTAACTAAAAAGGATAAATCGATTAAATTATGAGGATATGTCATTGTGTTCAAATGATTAAAAAAACGAGGTAAATGTTCAGCCGCATCTCTCAAAGGTACACAGAACAAAATTTTGTCACCACGTTGCCAACCATCTTTATTACCTTGATAATTTCTTAAATCATAAAACTCTACTCCTGGAACATTCTTGAAATTTGGAACGTATGGTTTGAATATAGATGCAGTAAGGCTTAGGGAAGATGGTAATATAAGCCTTAGTAGCAATATTATAGTTATTACTGAACCTAATATACTAATAATGGATGATTTGATCCATTTCGATGTATTACTTGGTTTCATTATTATTGTTCAGTTTACTAAAATGCGAAGAATAATTAAAAAGAAAAGATAAAAAATTAAACAAACAAATCTCACTGATCGACAACCAGTATGCTCGAGGACTGAACTATAATATAGCGTACTTATATTGAAGGCTCTTAACTTCTCCTTTTTAAACTATATTACTTTTAATATTTGATAAGCTTATTAAAAACCTGAACAATGAAAAAAAAATAAAGAAAAATGAAAATTAATGAATGTAAATAAAAATAGAAAATATCTAATCCTTTAAAGAACGAACAGCCCTACTTTAAAAAAAAAAGTTTTGAAGCAGTTGATCTGTTTTAGCGGATTTTCAAAAACTCTAATACAAGTAGTCTTCTAAGCAATCCTGTTATAAAGGAATTTCTTTCCTTTGGTTTGACTCTTTCTTAGTACATATGGGACTAATTATAGCGATTTATTTTTTACTTCCACTATAGTGAAATTGACAGACACGGTCTTGTCTAAACCTACATAGGAAAACAACATTTTGCAGAATTTTTTCGCAATTTTTTTTTCAAAATTCCTGACAAAAGAATTTTGATCCTTTTTGGCATTGACGTTCGTGGCCAGTGATTAGAGTTCGTATTATCATGATGTTGCACGTGATGTGGAAAAAGTGGGTATTTTGTAATTTTATACGGCAACAGTGCCCTAATCCACTAACGCTTAAATATATATATATGCTTATATTGATTTTAGGGGTGCCAGTGTGGTGTACGGATGAATCACGTCTTGCCAATTATTCAAGAAAAAATCACAGAGAAACGAACAAAACAAAAAATTGAAATTTAAATTTAACCGAGGGGAAAAGTGTGCCTGTTTATAGGCACGCTGTCAAGAACAAGAAGTATATCCATTTTTCTCTATTTTCTCTACTTTGTACTGATAAACCTCTGTGGAAAATCGTTTCCCTTTGTACTTTTAACTTTTTTCCTCATCTCTACCCCTCTTTCTTTCCTTGACCACGTATATATATATAGTTTGTTTCGGGAGACACTATACAATATGAGACAGTCATCTCGTTGACGAACCCAGCTGTATGTTTTAAAATTTTTGTCTCAATGATGCAACAAAATAAGGAAGGAATTGCGTAGAGATCGATTTACATCATAATTTTTTTTTATTATTATTGTACCTATATGTTCAAAATTGTATATGTAATATTCCAGATTCTACATCTCAATGAGTTGAAAATATCACAGAATAAAACTTGCCTGTAAATTCAGTTCCTGCACTACTTTCACTACCTTCTCCAAATTTGTTTGCCATGTACTAATTTAAAGAGAAAAAGAAAGGTTTAATTCAATTGAGTATAACTTACATTTGTAGTTGCTGTTGTCGTCCACTAACATAAATTATTGAAAGAAGAGCAAAAAAAAATGCAAAAAAAAATTGTATTTAAATTTTAATACTTATGGACGATTTCCATTCGTCGAAGTTGTTATATTCTTTACATAAAAAGGAGACATCATTATAATCTACCTTCTTTTATATTTTATTTTATTATTTTTTTTGCCACATTTCATTTTAAATTTTTTTAGTTTTATTCTTATTTAATTTTGCATTCCCAAATTTTATTTTATTTTAATTTATTTCTCTTCTAAAATAACAAATCACCACCACATATATATACTTTCACCTCACAATGTCTGACTCTGAACAACAAACTTTTGAAGTTGCCGATGCCGGTTCCTCTGCCACCTACCCAATGCAATGTTCTGCTCTAAGAAAGAACGGTTTCGTTGTCATCAAGGGTAGACCATGTAAGATTGTCGACATGTCCACTTCCAAGACTGGTAAGCATGGTCACGCCAAAGTCCATTTGGTCACTTTGGATATTTTCACTGGTAAGAAGTTAGAAGATCTTTCTCCATCCACTCATAACTTGGAAGTTCCATTCGTTAAGAGAACCGAATTCCAATTGTTGGATATCGATGATGGTTTCTTATCCTTGATGACCCCAGATGGTGAAACTAAGGATGATGTCAGAGCCCCAGAAGGTGAATTAGGTTCTCAAATTCAAGACGCTTTCGATGAAGGTAGAGACTTGAACGTCACCATCATTGCTGCCATGGGTGAAGAAGCTGCTATTTCTTTCAAGGATGCTCCAAACTCTAACTAGTTTTTAGAAATCTTTCTTTCTTTTTATGGATACAAAGACTTTCTACTTAATTTATTGTGCATTATTACATACAAGAAAAATTGTTAAATTGCTATAGTTACTCAATTTAAAAAATAAATTATATTCAATTTAATAAATAACTTCTAAACTAGACCAAAAACAGGGAATAACTTACATATTTAAGATTATATACATTTGTCCCTTTTTAAAAGGTACAATTAATCATTTAGTAATATTTTTTTTAATATATATGTGTTATCCATTTTTGCATTACTCTTTTTATTGAAGAAGAAATTCCTCCAACATCTTGTATCATCGACATCGTCGACATTTTTATTATTTGAAAATAAAATAAAAAAAATAAAAAGTTGAGTCCATCTACAAGGCGTGCGCGTCGTGCCTACGGTTGACATGACAACAACAAAAATATTACGAGGGAAGTTCCCCTTCTTTCTAATATCCATGCTAACGTGTGACGGAAGAAGTAAATTAAACTAGTACCTTATTCTTTTTTTTTAATATTACAATACTATATACCAGGATACAGGTCAATGCTGAATAGGCTATATACAATGGCGGGATATATGCTAATCAGCATGATGATTAAATGATGCTAATGCTATATCGAATTGCTCTTTGTTAAGATTATTCCATCTTAAAACCTTCAAACCCCCGTCCACACTCTTCACACCTATATTTTCACTGAGTAAATCGTGCAATTTCAGTAAAACCTCTTCAGCTTCTTCAGGTCCGATCGGATTATTACTATCTTGTAAAGAATCCACAATGATTGCCTTCAAGTGTGTCATAGTATAAGGTATATTTGGTTGTAAAGAAAAGATGATATTAAAGACTTGTTTCATCTTAACAGTTAGAAATTGTTGATATTTTTGTTGTCTCTCTTGTAACAAAGTTGCAGATCTTCTCTCTTTCTCTTGTAATCTTTTCAATAAATCAGATTGTGAATGGTTTCTAGATTTATTCTTTGATGATATATTAGACGGATCACGATTATTCGATAAATAATTTCTTGAACGGGGTAAATTTGAGTAAGTGTTATTATCAATATCAGAACTATGATTTTCCTTTTTCAACAGATCACCTTGTGATTCAAAGTTATCACTACCACGCCTTTTATTAATCTTAAAAATAGGTACATCCAATGGAACAGTTTCTAATTGACTATTGTTCGCATACCATTGATCTGCAAATTGTATAAAATCCAATTTTCTTGAGTTATTAGTCAATGAGGCTAGTATATCTCTTCGAGGCAACTTCACAGTCAATTCATGATTTGAATCTGAATCCAAAATGTATACTTGAGGCCATAAAGTTATCATTTTCAAAAAATCTTGTTGAGCAATTTTACGTTTCAACAAATTAGTCATTTGTGGTAATAAGTTATCCAATCTAGGTGATACAGTGGATCCTCTAGACATTACATATAATGATAGTACGGTTTCACTTGTGGTAAACAATTTCTTATAGAAATTAATCTTTTCGAATAGTTGTTGTTTTGACCATTGCTTATTGTAAAATTGCTGTGCCACCAATGGGAATTCTTTAATTTGTTGTTCGAGCAATGTAGAGGCCATATTTATATTACTATCATTTCCAAATGAAGTAGTTAAATTTGGGAAGACAGTTAACTCTACAATATTAGATGCTGTGTCTATTTGTAAAGGAGAACTAGTAAACATACCACCTGAGACATGTGCAAGCAACTGTCCTATATGAACCACTAGGGCCGTTGGATCCTTTTGAACAGATACCCATACATTATCATCAGATGAAATCGAAGCTGGCTTATAACGGATTCCATTTGTCGTTGGAAAGATAGATAATAGACCTGCACAATCATGTGTCTCATAATGACCACCCATCACTTCATTGTCTGCACCACCATTGTTATTATCATTAGTAAAACCTGCAGTCAATCCTAATACATCCGCCAGCGGATCTGATAATAATGAATTGACATTATTATTATGAGTAGTTGTAGTAGAAGGATTGATTGTTGCTCTTGATCCATTATAATAACGTGTTAATTTCAAAGCTCCATTTTCTGTAAGTTTTTGTAAAAGTTGTGGTTCTTGAATAATTGCTTTAACTGATAAAGTGGCAAAATAATGCGCCACTTTACTTAGTCTTGATTGTAAACGAGACAAACAGGCATTATTACATTGTCTATCAAATTGCAATGCGTTACCTGTGTTGGAAATGTATTGTTCCAAATAAATATTATGATCCTGATCCAAGGGTAATGTCCCTGTGAAATTAGCATCGAAGCCTTGATTCAAGTCGGGAGGACAATCTTGGAGATCTTGAAGCAAATTGTCCAAAGATTCTTTGTTAGCATAATTTTTTAACAAAAAAGTATCATGGTATAGTAATATAGCTTTAATCAATGGTAGTAATTGTTCTTCATTAGTAATTTTATTTAGATCAATTGCTGGTACAATATATTTCTTTTTCTCATTACTCATATTGCACGAGTTTTGTTCGTTCAATTACTTTTGATGTATAGAGAGTCAAGATGCTACGTGAACTATATATATATATGTGCGTGTGTGTGTGTGTGTGTATGTATCATGTCATGTTACGTAGTAAGATCTATTGGATGTGATGTGATTCAGTGAAATATAGTTAAAGATATTTTTCAACTAGACCTTTCGTGTAAGATGACACATACAAATCACTTACCACGACAAGACATCTCATTTTGTTTTATTTTCTGCAGCCAATGGGAAAGCCGAGTTCGGCAACCGAAGGCCGGCCCAACCACCGCCAAGTACCGTATCAAATGACAAGAAACGTGTATCAAAATAAGATTCCTTTTTTGTTCCATGAAGTTCTATGAGGTTCTGCGCGTGTATTTTCTTTCTCGCTTGCTCGCCGCCCCCGTTGCCGCTCAAGGAAACAGAAAAATTCCTAACGCAAATTGCAATTGTTACTGTAATTGCGATTGTAGCTGTGTGAGTAATTGTGATTGTTTTGAATTCGTGATGGTTGTATCGCACTCAAGACAGCGAGACAGCGGGCGGGAGGGGGAGAGGGGGACTCACTTTCTGGTCCCCCAGCTGAATTCTCGCCGTTCCATAGTAATTATTTACTCACACGGTGTATATATATATGCCGTGTTTTAGGTGGGCGATCGAAGGAAGTTAGGGAGGGAGGTCTTTTATATATTCTGAACTTTAACAACTTTTACACTTTTCTTGGTTTCATTTTACTTTACTTTATACTATTTCTTGAATGCTTTAGTTCTTATTATACTTCTTCTTTCCTTTATTTGTGTTTATAATAAACTATCTCTAATTAAAGACAAAACCTTTATCCTATCATAACCCTCTTTTAGCAGCTATCCCTGTTTAAGAAACTTACTTACTTTTTTTCCTTTATTCTTTAAATTTCGAAGATATAAGAAAACTAGATCAATAAGGTATTACAAAATATTATATTCTTTTTTTTTGTGAGTCTGCATTTTAACAACTAATAATAATAATAACATTAACAACAATATAAAATAATGCTAGCTGCTAAAAACGTTTTGCGCAAGTTTGCTTTGCCTTCTGCTTCAACCACCAGAGTTGCTTCTCGTTTCCAATCCACTAAGGTTCAAGGTTCCGTTATCGGTATCGATTTAGGTACTACTAACTCTGCCGTCGCCTTGATGGAAGGTAAAGTTCCAAAGATTATTGAAAATGCTGAAGGTTCAAGAACTACTCCATCTGTCGTTGCATTCACTAAAGAAGGTGAACGTTTAGTTGGTATTCCAGCTAAACGTCAAGCCGTCGTGAACCCAGAAAACACTTTGTTTGCTACAAAGCGTTTGATTGGTCGTCGTTTCGAAGATATCGAAGTTCAAAGAGATATCAAACAAGTCCCTTACAAGATTGTCAAGCACTCCAACGGTGACGCTTGGGTCGAATCTAGAGGTCATACATACTCTCCTGCTCAAATTGGTGGGTTTGTCTTAAACAAGATGAAGGAAACCGCCGAGGCTTACTTAGGTAAGACCGTTAAGAACGCCGTCGTTACCGTCCCAGCTTATTTCAATGACTCTCAAAGACAAGCTACTAAGGATGCTGGTCAAATTGTTGGTCTAAACGTCCTAAGAGTCGTTAACGAACCAACTGCCGCAGCTTTGGCTTACGGTCTAGAAAAATCTGAATCTAAAGTCGTTGCTGTCTTCGATTTAGGTGGTGGTACTTTCGATATCTCTATTCTAGATATTGATAACGGTGTCTTCGAAGTCAAATCTACCAATGGTGATACCCATTTAGGTGGTGAAGATTTCGATATTTACTTATTGAGAGAAATCGTTTCTCGTTTCAAGACTGAAAGTGGTATTGATTTGGAAAATGACCGTATGGCTATTCAAAGAATTAGAGAAGCTGCAGAAAAGGCTAAGATCGAACTTTCTTCCACTGTCTCTACTGAAATCAACTTACCTTTCATAACAGCAGATGCCTCCGGTCCAAAGCATATCAACATGAAGTTCTCTAGAGCTCAATTCGAAACTTTGACCGAACCTTTGATCAAGAGAACCGTCGACCCTGTCAAGAAGGCCCTTAAGGACGCCAACATGTCAACTTCTGATATATCTGATGTCTTACTAGTTGGTGGTATGTCTAGAATGCCAAAGGTTGTCGAAACCGTCAAGCAATTGTTCGGTAAGGACCCATCCAAGGCCGTTAATCCAGATGAAGCCGTCGCCATTGGTGCTGCTATCCAAGGTGCTGTCTTGTCCGGTGAAGTTACAGATGTTCTATTATTGGATGTTACTCCATTATCTCTAGGTATCGAAACTCTAGGTGGTGTCTTCACTAGATTGATCCCAAGAAATACTACCATCCCAACCAAGAAATCTCAAATCTTCTCTACTGCTGCTGCTGGTCAAACTTCTGTCGAAATCAGAGTCTTCCAAGGTGAAAGAGAATTGGTTAGAGACAACAAATTGATCGGTAACTTCAACTTGGCTGGTATCCCACCTGCTCCAAAGGGTGTTCCACAAATCGAAGTCTCTTTCGACATTGACGCCGATGGTATCATCAACGTCTCTGCTAGAGATAAGGCTTCCAACAAGGATGCTTCCATTACTGTCGCTGGTTCCTCCGGTCTATCTGACTCTGAAATTGAAAAGATGGTTAACGACGCTGAAAAATTCAAGTCTCAAGATGAAGCTAGAAAGCAATCCATTGAAAATGCTAACAAGGCCGACCAATTGGCTAACGATACCGAAAACTCCCTAAAGGAATTCGAAGGTAAGCTAGACAAGGCTGAAGCTCAAAAGGTAAAGGACCAAGTTGCTTCTCTAAAGGAACTTGTTGCTAGAGTCCAAGCTGGTGAAGAAGTCTCTGCTGAAGACCTAAAGACTAAGACTGACGATCTACAAAACGCTTCCATGAAGTTATTCGAACAAATGTACAAGAACAACCAAGGTGGTGAATCGAACGCTAACCCAGGTGAAGGTGAAAAGAAATAATAGAGTCGTTAATACGCTAATTTCTCTATTCCCCCCTCCTTTCATCTTGTTATATCCCTACATATGATCTTTATCGTTTCATGTTAAGCATTAATGTTACACACATTTCCTAACCTGTTGTGTACATAATTACACACTCACAAGTATGACCCATATATTATATATCTCTTGTATTTAGTTCAAAATTTATAGTTATACTTAATAAAACAATAACAACACGTATAGTCATTTAAACGTTCGTAACGATTGTGGTAAATGTATTTGTGATAGTGCTTTTGAAGTATTTAGATGTTGTACAATGATTGGGGGTAATTTTCAAGACTCGTCTTATTTTTTGTTTTCTCGTTTCTCTGACAGCGCCGACCATAAAGAAATAAAAATTGACAATTGCCCCCTCTAAAAGACCCTATTCTACAAATTTAAGAACTAGAATCACAACCATTACTAGATTCAAGGTTATACCAAATTAGAAATCCTTACAAATTAGGAGATTATTTTTCTCATTTTATTTTCGACAAGCTACCAATTTATATATTAAACAATAACATACACATCAATAGAACGCACACGCAATGGAATTTAAAGTTTCACCACTTACGAAAATCATATCATTATCAGGTTTCTTAGCCCTCGGGTTCCTCCTAGTCATTTTAAGTTGCGCATTGTTTCGCAATTATTACCCCTTATATGATATCCTCATTTTCTTACTAGCACCTATTCCAAATTCCTTATTCAGCAAAACATCATATAGTTCCTCTGACTTCATGTCTGAATCTTCGGAGAGTGGAAGTGACTTGGGCCATTTCTTAACAGGTATGTTGGTAACGAGCGGTATAGCCCTACCAGTAGTCTTTTACCATTGTAATCTAATTGGTTCCATAAGTTGCACAATGAGTATGTTGGGTGGTCTGATCATATATTCCAGTGTGGTTATTTTCTCGTGGTTTTTCCATAGTAATTGGGACAATGAAGAAGATACATTATTTACTTAGATGTTTGATAAATTTATAAAACTTTTTTGGTTATATTATGGCACTTTATTGAAATATACGAAATATGAACATATACATCTCATACATATATAAGTACTGAAATAATACATACAAAGTTATTTACGAATCACTTCTTGTAATAATGGTATATCTGTTTAGCTCTAAATGTTGTAAGATGCTCCCCGCTCTGTCGAATTCCAGTTTAGTGTGATGGTTCTTTTAATATAGACACTCTAGGGTGCAGGATTTAAATACTGTTTGCATAATTGGGTAAAAAATCTCACAATGCTAATACATAAATTTAATTAGCTATATTTTTATATCCACCTTTTAATATATTTTATTAAATTTATATATGGGGTTTGCATATTTGATCAGGAAAGGAATAAGAACTTAAAAGACTGACGATCATTTATTTCCACAAAGTTCTAGTAGAGGATGCCTTTGTGTAGCATAATTTATCAACTTTTTTCCCCACACCTAAACTTATCATGAGTTCAGGATTTCTTATTGTTATCACAATATTAGGAACAAAATGATTTAACTCCTACTACATGGCACATATATACTTACAGGACGTTACAAAATCATGCTGGCTAGTCTAAATTCTCAGAAAACTATCAGTTAATATATTTAAAAAATACACCTTGCCCACTGGTGAACTGTATGGATTATACTCATGGTATATTACGTAATGTCAGTACTCATAAAATTACATATGTTTTTTTTTTTATTGTAACTTGTTTTACATATTTTTCTAATGTTAAGCTGTTCATCCCATTTTCATAGTAAAGTTTTACAAGAGAGTTCCATTAAGCCCAATATTGGGGAAGTGTTATTATGCTACATACCAAGATTGGTCTCATATTAATGTCAAATTAAATTTTTGTCCTAGAAGTAGCATATCTTTCAAAAATTTAACTAAACTGATATATATTTATAGCTACAAAAAATGTCTTATGGAAGTTATTTTGTTTGGATTATATATATATATTACTATACTCATATGTCTGAAATATATTATAAGAATGATAACGACCAAGGTTAATCCCTCAATGATCTGACAATAGGTTAATCCCTCAACAACTTACTAATAGATTACTTACGCCACCATTGAGTGAATTTATAATCACGACAACAAGAAATCCAATATATATAAATGGAACAATATTTCATTTATGAATATAATTGTTTCCATAATTTACTTTATATATATTTTATATAAGACATAAAAGATCGGACTTCTATAAGTTGATTTTCTAATATAATAAAATTTGTTCAGTTAAATAGAAGATGTCTAACATTCAATTTTCCTATCAGATATTAGATATCTCAACAGATTAACCTCTGTGTCATTGGTCTTTCAATAAATTATAATCTAAAATATGTATTGCATTTTAATGAAAATAGTATTATCTTAATCAAAGGATTATTTAACAAAGTACTGTAACAGAGCTACCGTTTTAACGAACTCAAACTTGTTAAATTGGGTGTTAGCTAAGTGTTGTCCTCAATTTATTCCATCCTCATTGTGAAGGACATATTAAGAATGAGATATATAACAAAGGATCTTTCAGATGAGTTTTTGGTGTTAAGATGTAGTGGCAACGCTAAAAAGGTTAACATTATCTTAACCTATCTGAAGGAGAAGGTAGCTAATATAAGTAGAATTTTTAGAGTGTACTGCACTACCGTATATATAATAACACATGATATATACTGCATAATGTATTATTCGTTCCCCCTACATTGGGTTTATTGGAGCTGCATTGTCCAACTTTTCTATGCACAAAATATGAGCAGTTTAACAACAGCAACTCCGTTTAACAAATGTTAGCCTTTTTAGTGCTGTTGTTACATTTCAACAAATTTTCTCATGTTCAATTCAATACTTCATTAAGACTCATCATTTTAAATATATTTTAATTATATTCAAATTAATAGGGCGTGTGGTCTAGTGGTATGATTCTCGCTTTGGGTTCTTTACTCGAATATGTGAGAGGCCCTGGGTTCAATTCCCAGTATGCCCCTTTATTTTTTGGACTTTTTACCTCAATTAGCCGCGGAAGCTTTTCTAAGTGTACAGGCGGCTGAAAATTATATTTAATTAAAAAAGATCTTAATTTTTTATATGGTACAATTTTGCGTTGACATGTTAAAATCAATCTGAAATACTGCTCTATTTTGTATTCTTTTCTATTACTTGATTTAATATGAGTTGATATATATAATTGTAAAGTTTTAATATACTTTAGACATGTTTAGTGACACTAAACATAGAACATTTGATATGTATTTAATTATAGGCTTTTGAATAAGCTGTTGTCATTTCTAACAAAATAGAATGGGGTGGTAAAGTATATCTTAGACTGATACTATTTACTTTTTCAATGGTAATAACCACCACACATAAGATATATCAAATTAGTAAGCGAATGCAGCTTAAACTCTTTGAAGCTATTCAAGATATCGATGGGGCTAATTTCCATTTACCTAGAAATAGGTCTCTGATTTCGGTAGCTCATTAACTTCGAAGTTTTATTATGCTTACTACATAACAAGAATAAGTCATACGTTTACCATGAATGCTCATCAATTCCAAAACAACTATATAGACATATCTTAATCCGTAACATTAAAGAGTACATTTACGAGACACCCTGTTTCAGTTTGCTTACGAGACCAAAAGGAAACATGATGATTTCCATTTCAAGGACATGACATTTGTTGTACTTATTCTATTTAGATACGCGCATTTAGTAAGTGATTTTCCACTTTTCACTCGAACGCGTTAAATAAAGGTGAATGTAATATGCAAAAAGTCTGTTATATATAAAATACCATATTCAAGAAGAAAATAACTATATTTAATGTTTATATATACAAATTGCGTGTGCGTGTATGTGAACTAGATTTATTGGAGTGTCAATAATTGGAGAAAGAAAAGAGAAAAGAAAGAAACAAGATATCTTTAATATACTTCCCAATGTCAGATGAAGATTATTCTAAATTTATATCTGAGAAACTTTTCACTAAAGTTAAACCTGTTATTTTTACTGATTTAATCAATGAATTTAAATGTGGTCCAAATAAAGCTAAGAGTCAGATGTATTCGTATTATAAGAATACCAGTAATGTCAAATTTCAATGTGTTCTTGTAGCGTGTTATTCAAATGATAAAATTAAAATCATAAATGATGTTAATAATATAGAGAACCAAGATAAGATGACTGATTGTTTCATATATGCATTTAATCCAATGGATGTGTTCAATCCTGTTAATGATGCTTTAGTAAGAATGGATGATCTACTAATTAAGAATCCAAATAAAATAAGTATAGAGTCAAACAGCATAAACAAAGCACCTGAGCTAACTAGAACCAAGACCGTAGATAATGAAATTAAACCGAAGAAAGTTCTAGATGAAATTAAAAGATCTAACACCCTGCCTGAAGCTAATTATAAAATAAAGAAAGAGGAACACATCAAGGAGAAGAAACAAGAAAGTAAATTGAGACCAACAGAATTATTAGCTAAGATGAGACAGGAGAGAGAGCAAAAGGAGAAAGATAGACAAGAAGAATTGAAGAAAAGGAAAGATGAACAGGCACAACAAAAGATGAAAAGCGATCCAAAGGCTGCTGCTCAAATAAAAGAATTAAATGACATATTTGCAAATGATGATATGTCAGATTACGTTGATGAGGATGATAAAAATATGGCTAAGGCCACAATAGATGATGATATAACGCAATCTTCACCACAAAATACCAATAAGATACAACAGTCTACGATAAATCCTTCTGATCTTGAAGAAATATTGGATACTACAGGTGAGGAATCCCTTTTAATGTTTTCGCAAAATGAGAAAAAACAGGCACCAGCAAAAGGCAAAACAGAGCATAATACAAATAAAGAGGAAGAAGAGGTAACAACATATCTGGATGAAGATGGTTATATGGTCACTAAGAAATCCACAAATAAATGTGAACCTATTGCCAAGGCAGAATCTAGGAAGAGATCATCACCAATTGCATCCTCGTTGAAATCATCAGTTAAGAAGGTAAAGATGGCACCAGCAAAGAGGAAACAAGGATCTCTTGATTTCTTCTTTAAAAAAAATAAATAAACATGTAAAAATAAATAAGATGAACGTTTGATCAAACACACACACATATATATATCTACATCATTAAATATTTAGTCGAACTGTCTGTCTTTGAAAGGTAATGAGACTACCTTACCCAATATTCAGTTTTACCTTTTATTTGTCTTATTTATATCATAAAAATCGGCAACTGCCATTACCCGAAAATCATCAAAAAAAAAAAAGGAAAAAAAAAATTCAAAAGTGCTGCAACATCAAATTAGCAGCAACTCATCTTGAATTTACAGTTTTGCAACCGTTTGTATTTATTGAATTGTTTCATACTTAAAAGAAAGGTTTCACTCTATTTACTCTTACATCTTAAACAGACTTACGTTTTATTAATTACAGAAGTCTTGACTATATAAGAACTATAATATTAAGCATTCTTTTTATTTTATATTTCTCATAAAGCTTTTTACCTTTAAAAAGAATATACCTACAACAACAAAAATAATAACAGTCATGAGTGATCTATGTCCAGTTTACGCTCCATTCTTTGGTGCTATGGGTTGTGCTGCAGCCATCATCTTTACATCTTTCGGTGCTGCTTACGGTACTGCTAAATCTGGTGTTGGTATCTGTGCAACTTGTGTTCTAAGACCAGACCTTTTGTTTAAGAACATTGTTCCAGTTATTATGGCTGGTATTATTGCCATTTATGGTTTAGTTGTCTCCGTTCTAGTCTGTTACTCTCTTGGCCAAAAACAAGCTTTATATACTGGTTTCATCCAATTAGGTGCTGGTTTGTCTGTCGGTTTGAGTGGGTTGGCTGCTGGTTTTGCCATTGGTATTGTCGGTGACGCTGGTGTTAGAGGTACCTCTCAACAACCAAGATTATTCGTTGGTATGATTTTGATTCTAATTTTCGCTGAAGTTTTGGGTCTATATGGTTTGATTGTTGCTCTATTATTGAACTCTAGAGCCACTCAAGATGTTGTCTGTTAATCGGATACATTCTGTTTTCTTTTTAACTTCCTCATTTTAACTTCAACATCACACAATTCTTATATATGAGTAGGCACCGTTAAATCGTATGTGTATTCACATTAGAAGTCATATAATGTCGCTCCTTTCACATATATATACATATATATTTTATACATCTTTATATTGAATAAACATCATCATAAACTACAATTTGAATTAAAAAAAAAGACCTCCAATATAATATGCCTGATGACTTTCTATATATATATACACATATATAAAGTTGTAAAATAATGTTTTATTTTGATTACCTTTTAGACTTTAGTTAGTCCTCGAGTGATACAAATATTCGTATTAACAAAACCTTTCGCATACAACCTCTTATTTACAAGGTCGGTTCGATACCATTTCGAGAAAATACATTGATGATTTTGTTCAATAATGACCAGAATCTGCGATTTAGATCTTCATTATAAATATATGTTGGTCCGAATTTCTCTCTGGATTTTGCTCTTTCGAACCTTTGAATATCTTTCGATGTAATTAAACCTTTTAGTAAACCATCTTCCTCTACCATAATTGCTTTACAACCCATATGTTTAAACGTCTTAAATAGCATTGCTGTACTTACATTTGGTTTCACTGTAGTTGGTTGTAAATTGACAATATCTTTAAAACTAATCTCGTTGCCGTTTTCCAACATTTCTTCACTGATTGTAAAATTTATTATTGTGTTCGACGATTCGGCACTATCAATATTATGCTGTAACACTTTAGCTATCAGATGTCTCTTAAGTACATAACCAACACATCTCATCTCGGATTTTAATCGATAATCATTAGAGATGATAGGAAAACCATTTACCAATTTTTCTTTATTTGGATCATTTAGTAAGACCTCTAAGTCAGATAAATACATCGTTTCACTTAGGGTATACAAGTCGGTAGACATAATTTCCCCTGTTGTGTAAGATATCATAAAATCGTCTTCTTTATCCTCACTTTCATATTCTAGTAATGGGAATCCATTCACCAAAATCATCTGATCCGCAATACCGCCACTAGTTCCCGATGATGTTAAAATAATTCTTGAAATCGCTACAACAATCATGGTCGGGATGATATAAATAAATGCACCTGTCAATTCCAACATAATAACCACAACTGTCAAAGTTAAATTAGTGATACCAGTTAGAGCCGCTGCTGCACCTAAAAATGCATATGCACCAGGTGTAATCACGTTAGCACCTGTAATAAATCTTTCAACAATTAAACTTACAGCACGACCAAATGTGGCTCCAATTGCCATAGATGGTACAAAAATACCAGCTGGAACTTTTGCACCATATGATATAATAACAAAAAGAGATCTAATCAAAGTGGCAAATAATAATGAACTTAATGCCTTAGCGAACTCCCAGAAATGTGTATTTTCATCTAATTGACACAATCTATGGGCAAATACAGAACTATTATCATTCTTGGAACATTCGTGAAACAAAACACCCATACTTTCTGTCATATCAAGTTTTAAAAATTCATTAAAATATGAAATAAATGCAGTGACTAATGCTAAGACTATAACTTCTTGTACGGGCCAATTTTTCAAATATTGTTTTCTAAAATGGACATAACGAATATTCCACCTACTAATATATTTCCCATATAGACCACCAAATATACCTAATACGATAAATATTGGTAATTCCATTACTTTCCAATTTTTGTCATATGTAACATTGAATAAAATAATTTTACCGTTTCTAAATGGATCGATACATTTCAATGTTGTGACAGCGATTAATGCAACATAATAGGATTTCCATAATGTAGAAGGGTAAAAATCAGTGGCAGAAGATATCTCTTCTAAACCAAATAGGACACCACCGATTGGTGCACCAAATGCAACAGCCACACCTGCACCACTAGCAGCAGTCAAATACTCGAATTGATCAGAATAAGTTAAGGAATTCTTTAATAACCATCTTGTTACAATAAACCCACAACACGTAGCATAATGAACAGATGGTCCTTCTTTACCTATACTAAGACCCGATGAAATTGCTAAGGGTAAAGACACACTCTTTACTAAAAGAGTTATACCATTTAGAAATTCAGATTCATATATGAACCCTGACACCCAGACTTTAATCTCCGATATCCCAGAGCCAGTAGCCATAGGAGCTACGTATTTCACTAATAGGGTACTTGCTAGAGCAAAACATAACGACAGAGTAATAAAAATCATAAATGGGAAAAATATACCTGTTCTTTCAATCCATATACCTTGTTCGATACATTCCATCTCCTGACGTTTCAATAACAAGGGGTTTCTCTTTGATACCTCTTCTAGTACTACGTCCGTACAACAAAATGATTTATTTAGTAACCAATTTCTAGAACAATGACCAGTTTTCCAGTTACCCAAAGTCTCTGTAAATATTTGAATAAACCCAGCAAAACAACCGATCAATATTGCTATACATGTTAAAGTTATAAAACTTTTACTCTTTTCCCATAACGTACCCTTATAAGCTTGAAATGTCGAAGAAAAGACCTCTCGTGATTGTTTTATATCTGAAATAGGTCTATCTGCTTCCACTAATTTATCAATTGTAATAAATTTAGCAAAGGATTCTGTCTCAGGAATTAGAGCTAAATTTTTATCGTATGGTTCATTTGTATTTTCTTCATCTAGGGGATTATAATTAGATGGCATTTATTTTATTTCACACTCTGTAATTAAAAGCAAAGCAAAACGAAAAATGAGGTGAACGTGTCAAACAAGTAATGTATATCTATAACAAATTTAATGTTTTGAAACCTTGGCTGAAAGCAACTAGTGAACGTTTTAGCCTTACTTAATTAGTATTCTACTATTAGAAATTATATAAACAGAAAACAAAAACAAAAACATCAATCGTTTTACATTTTTGGCGCATTTACTTCCCGCTTGGTTTTTTTGTCATCTTATAAAATCACGTCTGGTTAATTACATTGGTAGCAAGACGCAAAGATAGGTATAAATGTTCCCTGTATACCAGATTGCGACTCAAATGATTAAGACGTTTTGTTAGTTCGAACGTTAGATAATGCAACTATATTCTTATCAGAAACACTGAAATCCATGAATTGTCTGTCATTAAAATACAACTTTCAGTTGTGTCTTGCAGTGTGTGACACTAAAATCCAAGTCTTTATAATCTCTTTAAGATAAAACGAAGCCTGTGCTTATTTAATACCACACACCTATCCTCTCTTATCTAGATACCGCATAGCTAATTGTTCCCATTGGATGGATGGTGTTAAGTAGTAGCTGCTTCACATAACTTAACAGCTATTTACATTTACCCCTCGTCGTACGACACGATTCTCCATCCAATATTATTTCGCTTTTCTTTTTCTCTCCGAAAACTAAAAGATTGAAAAATTTTGAGCTCATCGCGGAAAATGAAAATTTTTTCCTTTCTTGAATTATATAAATAAAATGCAATAAAGAAATAAGTTATCTATTAAATAAATATTGGTAAAAATTATATTTTATAGTTCTCTTGATTCTATTTTCCTTTTATTACTTAAAAAACTCCCCATTCAAGCGAGCTCTTACTTATCCAGTTGCAAGGAACTTGAAACACAAACCCCGTTTGATACAAATTTAAAAAAGTCAAGAAAATAAAATGTCTGCTCCAAATCCAAAGGCCTTCCCTCTAGCTGATGCTGAATTAACCCAACAAATCCTAGATGTTGTTCAACAAGCCACCAACTTGAGACAACTGAAGAAGGGTGCTAATGAAGCCACCAAGACTTTGAACCGTGGTATCTCCGAGTTCATCATCATGGCTGCTGACTGTGAACCAATCGAAATCTTACTACATTTACCATTGTTATGTGAAGATAAGAACGTTCCATATGTCTTCGTTCCATCTAGAGCTGCTCTAGGTAGAGCTTGTGGTGTTTCTAGACCAGTTATTGCTGCTTCTATTACCACTAACGATGCCTCTGCTATCAAGAACCAAATTTACGCCGTCAAGGATAAGATTGAAACTTTGTTAATCTAAGTTCATCATGTGTCGGTTTTCGGTACTTCTTGGGTCGAATAGTCAATATATATATATATATTTAAATATTGTCTTCTGTATAATTAATTAATATAAAATTCATTATTATTCTCTTTCCTCCTTTGTTCTTGTTTGTTCGTATATTTTTTAGTTATGAATATGATTTACAGTATCGTCACATAGTATTCTATTATCTATTAGTTGAGGATTAAATTGGTGTATATCATCATCATCATCATCATCATCGATTGCACCAATGGATTTTAATTGAAGTGTCATGTTCTTTTTGCTTATTTCATTTTGAAAGATAACTTCAGGTTTCTCCTTTAAAACACCCAATGTATAATGACCCCCAGTTATACTGGTAATTGAAAATAATTCTTCAATTCTACTGTTTTCTATCAATATATTCTTAGTAGGATCGATTTCATTCCCGTCTTTGTAGATTGCACATGCACTTGTTACTTGCGATGGTAAATAAAAGTCGATCAGATTGTATTCCACGTCATTCAAAGACGTCATATATATTTTGACCTTATTTAATCCACAACATACTAGAAAGTAAAAAAAACCCTCGTATTTTGTAAAATGAAATTCTGTAATGATCTTTTCTCTAAAAATATCACTGATTATCGGATGTATTTCTGTCGCTTTAACGGGCTTAAAAGTATATTTTACTGAATCTTCTTTCGCATGACTATTTTCTGTCTCTAAAACACATTCATAAAAACCTCGAAGTATATCAGTACCAACAAAATCTATTTTTTGGTTAACCTGCCTTTTCACTCTTTTTTTATCATGTTTTGTCTCATCAGAGGTGTCATTAATATTTACAATATTTGGAAGAGAATATATCTGTTTCACGTAACCACTCACATATATTTTATTAGAGAATGGAACGATATGGAAAATATTTTCTTGAACAGAATAATCTAACTTAAATAATTGAATGCAATCTCCACAAGCAACAAACAAATTCTTTTCGTAATTATAGAGACAATTTACATTGTAAAATGTATCTATAGTGGTTTGTAGTTCTATTTCTCCACTTTCAGAGTTCAACATGAACAACAGCAACTTCGGACCCTTATCAGTTTCTGCTATTTCATAATTCAAAGAAACAACAAAACATTGATCAAAAATTAGCTGTTTAGCAAATGATATTTTGGTTTCATTCTCCTCGGAACTGTTGGCATCAAATTGGTAAGATGCACTTGAAATATCTGTCGTGATGGCATTGGAAAGATCTTTTGTCGTATCATAAGAACTAACTATTTTACTCTTGTATGCATCATAAACGCAAATACCATTTTTATCAATAATATTCCTATCACCTCCTTTTTTTCCCATGGTTATGTATGAAGCAACTAAAAATCTGTTAGAAGATTCTAACCTCACAAACTTATTAATCAGGATGTCTGTGTAAGTTCTGTGAACGGATTTAAAAGTTTCGTTCAACTTCAAATCAAGATTCATTCGTAAAACAAGGTTATCGGACGTGACAATAATCAGAGAAATAACTCGTTTATTAGAACAGTCACTAACAATGTGTGTTATATTATAAGGAATATCTAATGGGACGTATTCATATCTCAATTTATTTTTAGTATCTGGATATAAAATAGCAAATGCATCATCAGAAAAGATAATCAAATTATTTGAATTATGTAACCCTACAATACTTGACGTATATGAGTTAATATTAAGAAGCCCTGCACTTTGAAATGTTTCACCATCGAGAACCCAAACCTTCCCATGGATATCAGAAACAAGTATATTACAAAAATGGTTAACCTCATGGTAAAATATTGAAGATATTGTTCCCAGAAATTCAGGGCAGTTAATTGTTTTAAAACTTTTACCATAATCGGAAGTAAGCATAATCCTATTTTCATTAGCGCACAATGTAATATTGGTCCCATCCCACTTCATGGAAGAATGAATTATAATTTTGGGTAATTTCTGAACTTCAAGTTCAGGTAATTTAGACGTTAATGTGCCATTTTTAGTCTCCCATTTAATGTCTCCAGAAACGACTACATAACAATGGCAACCTAATTCAGCATTCCAAATATCGACAGCACTAATTACAGAATTATTTGTAACAATTTTGTTATTACAAGTTATATGTATCACATAATCTCCATGATCCACCGACTTACCATTGAAAAAGAGTTCATTAGTGGAATCTAACCAATATAGGTTACCATCAATAGTAGTCCAGACTTTGACAATAGAAGTATCTGGAACGAATAAATTTTCAAAATGATACATATTTTCTAATCCGGTCGATTCTTGATCTATAAAATAATTATTATTTTGTGTAAAGCCGGTTCTTATAATCCTTTTAGAGTGATTTCCAATGGTAGATGAGCATATGAATGATTCTTTCTCATATTTGATGATACTCAAAGGATCAAGGATATTTAGTTTTGCAAGGACTAGTCTATCCGACTTTAGTTCTAACAAGTATTGGTTCAGTTCTTTAAAATAATATAGGTTAACAATATTGTCATCTGAACTACTTGGTATATTTATCATTTTCTGGTTAGTAATGTTAAATTTACCCCAAAGTTTTATAAATTTTTCATCATCTTCCATCATCTTAATTATTCGAATTTTGATTAATTGGAAAGTGTTTGTAAATATAATAAATTCAATAGATGCTGTTTCAAAATTTACATCAATTATTCCGTTAAGTTTTAGATTCCTGTTTTCTTCTAGGTTTATGACATCCATCAAATAAGGCCCCTGTACACTATAAATCTCCTGTGCCTTAATAGATTGGCCTGCAAAAATATTTTCAAACCCATTAGGTAAAGTTATAAACATGATGGTACTTAAAGTAAACAAGAAAAACCCAACGTTCTCTATGGATTTCATTATCACCTTTGGATTTGCATTTATATTTTCCTTGGTTTCGTCATTTAATGGTAGAATCTTTGTTTGTTCGATTAAGGTTCCCCATTTCAATTTATTTTTCATTAGATTACCATTTTTTCTATACAATGCTTGAAAGTAATATTGTCCAGTTGATTCAACTCTAGATAGAATACCAATTGATGTGAATTCTTCATTGGTGTATATATCATATTCCAATGAGATATCCATCGACATTATAGTGGATGTTAATGTTTGAATTAACGTAATTGACTTATCGGTATGCAAAAACCTCAAGACGTCATTTTTCAATTGTAATCGAATCATATGGATACAATCCTTACGTAAGTTAATATATAAGATTCTAGCATATTCTTCAAATATAGTTATTATGGAATGTATATTGTCATAGAATGGGATATCTGTATCAATAGTATCTATCACATCTAATTGTGAATCTCTTATATCAATCCTACCATCTTGCATAACAAGAAATAAATATTGTTTTCTTGTTAATGGTTCCAGGTATAATGTTGCATAACTAACATATCCGATCAGTTGTTTACGCTTTAACGTTTTTAAGTCAAGCTCTTGATTATTGTTAATATATTGGCCATATCTGATACACTCTGTTTCGATAATTAACAAAATGTTATTAATAGTAACAAAACAATTTATAATCTTATTAGCAGTTGTAGGTATTTCATTAAGCACAATTTTCCCATCCCACATTACTTTTTTTACTTTGAATTTTCAAACACACAATTCCATCTGTAGATTGTAAATGACCTCTACACTCCTCTCAGATGCTGTATTGATATAACTACATCAAAACAAATACAAAGACTCCTAAGCATGTGTATGTTTCTATTTCTGTCTCTGTCTGTATATGCGAAGTTGCCTTCTCCCTCGTCATCCCCCTGACCTCCCCCGGGGGTAAATCATCTTCTTCTCATCCAAATCAAAAAGGGTTCCGTCTGTCTGTCTGTCTGTCGTGAACGAAATTTTCGTTCTTCTTTTCCTCTTCGTCGTATGCTTAGTTAATACTTCCAAGACCAAAAAATTAGATTTAAATTTGTGTTCCTCGTTCCTTTTGTACGGAAGTTTTAGTGTTTGCGTCAATCAATTTTCGGTTCCATAATCCCATTGAAATTGAATCACAAACAAAAACAAAATCCGTGAAATTTTCAACTCTTTTTTTTATTGTTTTTGGCTTTATCTTTTGTTTGTGAATGGAGTTTCGAGAATAATAAGGATTCAAGATTACCAAATCTGGAACTAATTTTATTTATTGTATTTTAGACAATTTTTTTATTTACGAACTGAGGTTTCCTTGTTTTTAAAAAAGGTCATAGTTGGAGTGAACGTTCGCAATTGAATTATAGTTTGTTTGAGTCGAAAAATTACTAGTTAGTTCATCTATATATACAAAATATAAGGGTCCAAATACATATATTATTAGATATAGTTTTAGATACAGTTTTCTTTGAAACATTCCAGATTTATACAACATTAAGATATACAAGACGGAGTTACAAAGAAAAAATATTGCTCTAATACTGAGATATAGAAGTAAAATAAGCTTTTAACTCGTTATATTATTAATCTCACATAACTGTGCATGCCTCATTCTATACCTTTAGAGAAAATTTTGTAGAAATGGATATACTTTTTAGGAAGAGCAAGAAAAATAAAAACAGCAATAACTTAAAAGTGATAGTTAAACCCAATAAAGGATTGAAACAGAGAAGAAAAAGTTTAGAAAGTCCGATAGATATCATATATTCAAAATGTTGTTGCTGTGGTACAAATATTCCAGTGAAAGCAAATATTACTAAATTTAAATGTGGAATTTGTCATGTAACTACAATTCTGACACCAGTTGAAATGACAGATAATAATATTATTGACAAGGATCTTGTCTGTTCAGTGACTTATTTGGATAGTATTATAAAGGGATGCTTATCAAAAGTGAAATCACAGAATTCAAATGATAAAAATGAAAAATATAAAGCATTGGAACCAATATCCAGATATGTAACTGATTGTTTCCATAATTATGAAGTATTGGAACGATCATTTTTACCTAAGTCCAAGTATCAGAGTCATACATTGATTGACTATCAAGAGTTAGAAAAATTTTATAAATTACTCATGAAATTACCAACAAGAAGACCATTTTATAGAATGCTATGTGCAAGTAACGATTTGCTGAAAAAACCTGGTAATGCACTTAATTATATTAGATGGTTATTAATAATATGGGAAATTCCTTTCGTGAGATATTGTTTAACATCAAAAGTGTATTCAAAATTTGACTCTCCAGAAATAAGGGCAGTTTCATACGAATTAACTAAGAGATGCATTTGTTATTTATCAAATATTTCAAAAACAGATAAATATGCAGAATATATTTATTGTTTAAAGTATATGGATTCTGACATATTTTTATCAAATGTTGAAAAGATTAATTTATATATTACTTATCAGTTGACGAGAATAATGTATCGTGTAATTAGGAGAAACGTAATGAAGGATAAGAAAAATGATAATTTGTTCAACAGTAACGCAAATAATAATAATTTCGAGACAAATAATGACATAATAAGAAATTCAGACCCAAATATTGGATATAATAACAGAAATAGTGAGCCTGCAGATTTGTCACCTGCATCAGATCCCTTAATAGATGATTTATGGAATATAACACCAGAAGATATTAAAACTATTGAAATAGATAGAGGTGGAAAGACATTGAGACCTAAAGGTTTTAAATTTAAAACTTCTCAATATGAACATAATTGGCACATACGATCAGCTTGTAAGTTGATGCTGATCTTGGATCTAGCAAATTCGAAAAGAGGAGGAAACCCAATTGAAAATTATAATAATGCTTCAATGAGTGCTAGTAAATTTTACAACACGATGCTAGATTTCCTAGATAACAAACAAGATTTCGAAGTGTGGAGAGGATTAGACGTCGGTAATCGACTATCGTTACTATTAACAGAATGGAGTGCCCCACAGAATCAAAATAATAGTACTAGATTTTCTTTTTGTAATTATCCTTTCCTCTTATCACTTGGTGTAAAAATTTCGATTATGGAGTATGAAACAAAACGAATAATGGAATATCAAGCTGAAAAGGCATTTTTGAGTTCACTAGATAAAGGAAAGACGATAGAGGTATATTTTAAAATTAAAATAAGGAGGGACCATATAACGCATGATTCTTTGAAGGCAATTAAAGAACATCAAGGTGATTTGTTGAAATCATTAAGGGTTGAATTTATTAACGAACCAGGTATTGATGCTGGTGGTTTAAGAAAGGAATGGTTTATTTTACTAACAAAATCATTGTTTCATCCAACAACTGGCTTATTTGATCATATTAAAGACAGTCGATTATGTTGGTTCCCAATAAATTCTTCGTCAAAGGCAGATACCAAAATTCACTCTCAGAATGAATACTATTATCTCTTAGGCGTTGTAATTGCACTGGCCATGTTTAATGGTAATATATTAGACTTAAAATTCCCAAAAGCGCTGTATAGAAAGATGTGCAAAGAAACTTTAACATTCGCTGATTATGCAGAATTATACCCTGAAACCGCATCAAATTTAATAAAAATGTTGCAATACACAGGAGAGGATTTTAGTAATATATTCTGTTTGTCGTTTGAGGTCACCTATAATACTAACGAGAAGGACAATAAAGGCAGTAAAAAATCAAAGAAACCTAATGTCATCACTGTTGAACTTTGTGAAAACGGTTCGAATATTCCTGTAACGCAAGAAAATAAGGTTAATTATGTAAAAGCATGGATCGATTTTTATTTAACTCAATCTGTTGCTATATCGTTTGGTCTGTTCATCGATGGGTTTAATAGGGTATTTTCAAATTGCAAATCCATAGGCTTGTTTAGTTCTGAAGAACTAGAACGTTTATTATGCGGAGATGAGGAACATACTAAGTATGATTTTCAAATGTTACGCTCGGTAACAAGATATCAAGGTGGATTTATGAATAATACTCCTGTTATAATCTGGTTTTGGGAGATACTAGAAAAATGGGACTATAAGTTACAAGGTAGAGTATTGCAATTTATTACCAGCTCGAACAGAGTTCCTGCTACCGGAATTTCTACATTAACATTCAAGATAAGCAGATTAGGTGCTAGGGATAGTGAAGATTTACCAATAGCTCATACGTGCTTTAATGAATTATGCTTATGGGAATACGGCTCCAAAGCAAAATTAGAGCAGAAACTAAAAGTGGCTGTGACAGAATCGGAGGGATTCGGTATTCGCTGATTATATAATCCATATATAGATATGAGATGATAGCATTATATTTCTATTCATTGCATGATAGTCCATTTATTATTCTATTACGAAGTATTTATATTAGAACAGAATTCGTTATTTAATTTCCAGACTTTCTTATTCTCATCAAATGTAGCAACGGCCCTCAGTAAAGCTCTGATATTGATAATATCTTTTTTTTCTTTCATGTTAACCCCTAGATGATTAATGATAGATGACGAAGGTAACATATTATCCTTTGCTCCATCTAATGCATTGACAATTTTCATCATTATTTCACGATTTATATCACTATTAATGTTCTCAGTGGATGTATTCTGGGATTCTGATTGTCTTTGTCGAATATTTTTCAAAATATCTGTCGACCCTATAGTATTCTTTCTTATAGATTTTGTTTTCTTTTTCACAATTTTTCCAGCTTTTCCAAACTTCCCAGTCCATGTTGGTGTACCAATATTAAATTTCTGAGTCTTTTTTCTTGATTCACGGATGGCATTAACAGCTTGACCTGCAATTCTATCAGCTTCTTTGCTAATTAAATTGGTAGATTTCTTTGAGGCCATGTGTGAACCAACTACTTGGTCGTGCGTACTGGCATTTTCCAGGTTTCCTTTATCGCCAAGTAGACCCTCTATCAACCGATCGTCCTCCGTTTTCTTCTCATCACTGACTTCTTTGGAAAAGAAACCTTCTAATTTCGAGACTCCCGATATACCCGCCACTTGTTCAAAATCATCGCTCTGTGTAGTTTTAGATTCCTTCAGTGTTTGAGTATGTCGTTGCACTTCATTTGCAAGTTCCTCTGATACCAATCCATCATCTCCACCTAAGCTGAACAAATCTTGGAGTTCATTCATCTTAAAGAACCTTTTCTGTTTCGGATCTGTTAGAATTTTATTTGTCAAAAATTGTTTGAAAATTTGACGGTGGTATATTTTCTCTTCAATTGAACCAGATACCATTAATCTATATATTGAAACTTCTCTCTTTTGGCCAATTCTCCAGGCACGTTCACGAGCTTGTAAATCAGTGGACGGGTTCCAATCCGGATCAAAAATAATTATTCGGTTTGCACCAGTCAAGTTGATACCTAGGCCACCAACTTTTGTCGTTAGTAAAAATACATCAATATTTTCATTATTAAAACGATCAACTAGGGCCTGTCGTTTAGAAATATTTGTTGTACCATCCATACGTAGATAACTGGTATTAGCTAATTCAGGATCTGCACCTGATACAAATTTTTCCAAGATATCGAGCATTTGTCTAGACTGGGTGAAAAGTAAAGTTTTATTACCGTCTTTTTTCCATAATAACAATAGTTGCTTAACTACTTGCATCTTTCCTGACCTTCTGGAGTTTCCATAATCCGCTTCATATTGTTTCTGTTCTCTATCCAGTATATCAGGATGATTGCATATTTTTCGTAGGATATCAATACCGTATAAAACATGTCTCCTACCGCCTTTAATTTGAGTCAATTCGTTGGAGTTTAAAAATTCTAGATATCTATTTCTTTGAAATTGAGTTAATTTACAAAATAAAACCATTTCTTTCTTTTGAGGAAGATCCTTTGCGACGTCACTTTTTACTCTTCTTAGTAAATACGGTGCAATCAAGTCTCTCAGTGCAACGGCACATTTATAACCCGTCTGGACCTGTATATTTGTAGCATTAGCGTAGCCACCTGTATTGATCGGTATAACAAATTGTTGTTGGAATATAGGTAATGTACCTAATCTTCCCGGGTATATAAAGTCAAAAAGTGACCATAACTCATTAAGGTTGTTTTGAATTGGGGTTCCTGATAGAATAATTCTATTTGGAGTTTTCAGTTTTTTTGAAGTCAGAGAAATTTCAGAGTCCGGATTTCTAATTTTATGACCTTCATCGAGTACTGCGTATGCCCAGTTTATTTTCAAAAGTTTGTCTGAATGTATTCTTAATCCTACATACGTAGTAATAAGTATATGGCCATTATCAACTACCCTCTTGATCAAATTATCTATATGCATTGACGATTCAAGTGACGATTTAGCCTTTTTAGAATTCTCAAAATCATCGTATGAAAACTGGTCTGGGTTAGATGACATCATTAATTCCTCAAACTCTTCATCATTTATATTCTTTTTATGAGACATACCAGAACCAATAGAGTGCAGTATTACAGAACGAAATGGTGGCCACCAATGGTGTAGTTCATTCACCCATTGCTTCATGACAGTGGCAGGGCAAACAATTAAAACTGGTCCATTTAGCAAGCCAGAATGGTGTAAAGCAGCCAAAAAAGCAATTACTTGAATTGTTTTTCCCAGACCCATCTCATCTCCAATAATTCCCCCAGCACCCTGTTGATACAGTTCGTAGAGCCATTGAACACAGGTCTTTTGGTAGTTAAATAATAACGGATATATATCACCAGGTATTTTAAAAATGTCGTTTAATCTCGCATCTGGTATTTCAGGATGAGGTTTCTGCCACTCTGGAATAGAAGGATTTGAATCGTTTAGACGATTTTCTGATCTTTGAGATATCCATTTCCTTAGTCTTTTCTGGTATGACAGCTCATCACCATCGTCGTTAGCTTCGTTTACCTTTATTTTGCCTCTGTTAATAACCAAGTCAGTATCACTAAGCTCCTCATCTACAGAGTAGTTGGTTTTCGGGACTGTTGTAACATCATAATCTTCTTCATATTCCAATTCTTGGATATCCTCCTCAGGTCTATAATCGCTCTCTGAGGAGTGATTTGATATATTTTCTACCATTTGTTCATTGGCCATTTCGTAGTCTTTCTTCATTTGTTCCTTCTCACCTTCATCCTCTGATTCTACAGTACCTACATAGTTATCTTGAATGTTGACTTCGTTATCTTCTGTGTCAATTACAAACTCCGATTTAGAGCCAAACGCTGTTAACTGACCGGTTCTTACAAGGAAATCCCTTTCTGATTCGTCCTCTTTTCTTCCATTCTTATCAGTTTCGTTTCTTTCTGAAGTATTAGACCTTTTGAGTTCTTTTATTCTTTTTTTGATATCTTTGATATCTTTCAACGTTTCCACTATATCATTATTTTGTAATAGTTGAATCTCCTTTCGAAGTTTTGCCTTTATTGATATCCTGTTTGTGTTATTCAATCTTCGTCTCAAAGATACCAACTGGCCTCTAAATTTTTCATACAAATTATTAGTTCTCTCTAATCTATTTGTCTCCTGTTCGATAAGTTTCTGTTTCGTAAGTGTCTCGACATTATCCCCGATCTTTTGTTCAAGGCTCTGTTGGGAAACAATGTTTACCACGTTTAAGTTATTTTGTAAATCATTATCATCCATACTGGATTGTGAAGTTATGTTTTTCTTATCGTTTGAAATTATGAACATCTAATATTGTGCCTTGTTTTCGTGATGGGTGAAAGTTTAAAATACCTAAATATAAATAATTTTTCATTACATAAGCAAGGGCTTAAATCCTTCTTCGACATTCTAAAGGACTGGATAAAAGGAAACCCTTAAACTTTTGTTACATAGATATATATATAGAATAGAATAGATTTCTATATAGGAGATAATTTACTCTATTTCAATATTTAATAGTTCTTTTTCCAATATATCACACATAAAACATCTGCAAATAGAAATAAGTTAATATTGGAAGATGGTAAAAAGATAAACACAATATAGTGTATAGTTTTCGTTTTTATTTACTTATTATTTACAGTGATATTAATATATCGAATTAGATATGTTTGAGATCATTACCTTACTCCTAGTATTCTGATTAATTTATAAATCGACGTTCATTAGTTTAAAAATGGGCACGTGTAGTCATCGTTATTTCTATATGTAAATCACTCCTTCTCTTGAGAGTTTAATATTTCTAGCTTATGCATCTCTTCTCTTGGATCAAATTTCCCTTTGCATAAATTATCATACTGTTCGTCATATTTTCCTGTCGATAATGGGGCGTTACCTCTCATTCTTTTGGTCATATCTACCATCCCTCTTCTACAATCTAAAAAGGCCTTCATCTGGGCTATGCATAATTCAGGCAAATCCTTGCTCAAATTAGGATCATCTATACATTTCTGAGGACTATTTCTATCAATCATCACACAAGGTGATCTTTGTAGGCAGATTGCAACAGCTTTTTTCTGATCTTTACAACTGGCACCCATAATTCGTTTTTGCAATAAAGTGACTTGTCAAAATTTTAATAATTGGGCGTCTTCGCTCTTTTAAAGTTTATTGATTATTTTAAACCTTTACGTTATTTTCTTGTATTAATACTCCTTAGTTATCAGCTCTACCTCTGTTGTTCTGTCTTTAATGATCAGAATAAGGGACTCTTGCTTTCCTTTGTATGCACCGAAATTGATTTTATCACTGAAGCCTTTAAACATCCCCGCGAGTTTATGTAATTATTGAAATAAAAGTTACCAATGCAAAGCTTGGGAGATGAGAGAGACAGGATATAAGGGAAGGATATTTAAAGTTATTAGTTGAACATTAAATAAATCCGAACTGTCCAAAATTACACAATTATAAAAATGTCATTGAGTTACCTACCGGGGCGTCCCAATGAAACTCCTCAAACGATGTGCCAGGCCACATGGCAGAAACATACTATATTTGCTTACTGTTCAGGGAATAATCTGATCATAATGACTAACAATTTTACTAGATTACAAACTCTATATCTAGAACAGGATTGTAATGCTGTTGATATTAATTCAAATAATGGATTCATTGCCGTTGGTTACGGAAACAAAGTTAGCATTTACAAACCTCTATATCAAATCATGAAAGATCCTAAATGGATATCCTGTTGTGAAATTTTTCATGATCCATCTATTGTCAATACTCTGAAATGGGGTCTTGATAATGAATTGATAGTTGGATCGGCCTTTCTTTCATTTTGGAAGATAAAAGATAATTTTGGAGAATATGACCCTATACTACTTTGGAACAAAAGACAACCGAAGCCTGTTTATAGTGTCACTATATCGCAGGACTCTCAATTGATTGCAAGTTTCGGTAAATATGACATCACTGTAAAATTATGGAAAAGAATCTCCATAAGTGGCGAACAAGATATATTCAATTTAACATTATTACCTCACCCCGACTATGTGACAGCCATCAGGTGGAAAAGTTCAAAAACAAATCACAAATCACAGGTTTTATACACGTTATGTAGTGATAAAACCCTGAGAATATGGTCATGCTACGAAATTGTTAGTGGTCGGAAGACAGTTCAAAACTGGGGTTCATTACAACTGAGTAAGCAAGAGAGGTTTTGTCTCATTGTTGATAGTTGGATATTAAAGAATGTGTTGACACCAAATAATAATGAAATTGGATATTATAATTCCAAGTCACCAGATTTAGCTATTACAGTTACAAATTCTGGGGACTATACTGTGCATACTCTAGAAAATCTTTCCACTGATCCTCCTAAACCATTAATATTAAAGACTTTATTTTCCGGAGAGCTATCTAGGTCATTTTTCCCCAGAAATCCAAGTTTCCTATATTTTGCTGAAGTTCAGCCTTACAATGACCAATCTCCAGAAATTTCGTTGATGGCTCATTCACTAGGTGGTGTAATTAGACATGCAACAGTAAATCTACAGAATTTGCTAGAGCAAAAGCATAATCAAGCTAGCAATTTTGTACTTCGCCATGTTTTAGCAGGTCATAATAAATCTATTCAACAATTGGTTAGGAGTAGTGATGGTGATGCATTGCTGACGCAATCGAGGTTTTGTGAGAATAGCATTTGGACCCCACAACGCATCTCTAAGGATGAAATGACGTTGTTTTTGAAAAATGTTGTTAACACAGAGGCCCCAATTAAGTTGGCAGTTCTACATGAAAAAGGTAATCTCTTGATATGTTTGTTAGAAAACTCAAAACTTCAGGGATGGGATTGTCCTAGAAATGAAAATCCTAATTTCAAAACAGCAACATTAAAGACTGAGTACATCATACCTTCTCCGCCAGACGGTGTCAAGCCATTATTGATGCTAAATACACCTGAGTTGGTACATAATCACGAACGCCATTTTGTTGCTATAGTATATTCAGATGGCTCAATAAATTCTTATGAGGTTTCCTTAGTCAGGGGTATAACCCCTTTCAAATCAGAATCCTTGGATCTAAATGGACAATCGTCGATATTCAAAATTTCTAAAATAGATCCTGTTCACCCAACATTTATGTGTAATAGACCGTTGATTTCAACTGCAACTAAAAATGGTCTGGTGGTTGAATACAAAGCTACCGTCAACTACGACAAGAAACTAGTTGAATGGTCAAAATGGAAAGAGGTTGTGACGGGGGTGAAAAGCCCACTTTTTATCAGTGGATCATCTACTGGTAAATTATGTGTTGTTAGTGAGGATGGGAAAGTTGTTTCGTTTTGGGATGTTGACGGTAGTGTACTTGAGTATGAGGAAACGTTTACTGAACAAATACAAGATATTGATTGGACCAGTACAGCTTTTGAACAGAGTATTATGTCTATTGGTTTTACTGGATATGCATTATTGTACACACAATTAAGATATGATTACACTAATAATTCCCCTAGCTATTTACCTATAGAAAAAATAGATATAACGGCCCATACTGCTCATAAAATAGGTGATTCTGTATGGTTGAAAGATGCCACATTTGTTGTGGCATCGGGAAATCAACTCTACATAAAAGATAAATCACTCGACATAGACGATCCGTTTACTCATAAATCGATAGGTTCAAGAACAATACTTTCAAATGATATTCTACATCTTAACAGTGTCTTGAATGGGCCCCTTCCTGTTTATCATCCTCAATTTCTCATTCAAGCTATATACGCAAATAAGATTGAGCTTGTTAAAGAGATATTACTAAGACTTTTCTTGAAATTGAGGGATATCGATCTGAATTCAAAAGAAATTACATCCAATCTTCCTTCTGATCTTGATATTGATACGCACAAATTTTTTGTCAAACGAAATAAGGACTATCCTGTTGAAGTCTTCCCTGATCCTTATCCTATTTTTAATGATTCAGTAGCATCAAGTTTGTCACAACAATTGATAAAAATGGTACTACCATATATAACAAGACACCAGCAGGTCACCTTAATGACGGTGGTGGAGGCAACAAAGGATATTATTAAAAATAGCACTGTAATGGATATTAATGGTGTGAGATTTTTATTGGGTGTTAAATTATTCATGTCACATAGACCCCAACAGGCTCACCTTGTGATGAGAGACGTTTCTTGGGCGTTACATTCAGATAATAAGGAATTGTTATTATCCCAGTTAGATTGGAATACAACCTCTTGGGAGAGGGCATGTGAATATAAAATAGCTTTGTGGTCCACGGAACCAGATTTGATAAGTAAAATGGAGGAAATTGCAAAATACGAATTTAATAAAAAAGAAGAAAAGGATCCATCATTATGTTCTATATTCTACCTTGCTCTAAAAAAGAAACAAGTTATTCTAGCTCTTTGGAAAATGAGTTATGGTAATCCTGAACAGCAAAAAATGATTAAATTTCTAAGTAACGACTTTAATGAACCAAGATGGAAAACTGCAGCATTAAAAAATGCGTTTGTGCTTCTAAGTAAGCATCGTTACCTAGATGCAGCAACATTTTTCTTATTAGCGGGGGCATTGAAAGATTGTGCAAATGTGTTATACAAGCAACTGAATGACATGGATCTAGCTATTGGTGTTTGTAGAGTTTATGAGGGTGATAATGGGCCTGTACTAGGTGAATTCTTAACAAGACAAGTTTTGCCAAAGGCAATTCAAGAAAATGATAGATGGACTAGTAGTTACGTTTACTGGAAATTGAGAAAGCAAGATATTTCCATTAAGGCACTGGTTACACCTCCAATAGAATTGGAAAATAACTCGAACTTAGTGAAGCATGACGCACTGGTGAATAAGTCATTTTTGGTGGAAGATCCAGCATTGTTGCACCTATATATTATTTTAAGGGAAAGAAATATTAAATATTTTACGGCATCTTTGGAAATGGGTACTAAGAACGAATACAGGTTACTACTTAGGGTTGTTGATATACTAAATAGAATGGGTTGCGACTATTTATCTGCTTCATTGGTACGAGATTGGGACTTTATCAAACGGCCAAAATACATTAAGAATAAGCGTGAAGTGTTTGAGAACATTCCATATTCTGGTCCGGCACAATCCATCAACAAGATTATAGACGAACCAGTAACAACTGAAAGAGTAAGACCAAGTTTATTCGATATGTTTGATTCCCAAAACTTATCATCAGGTCGTTCAAAACCCGGATATAACTCTAAAGGATCTGAAATTAATATCCTGGATTCTTTCAATACTACAGTTCTATCCGAGTCCAGAAATTTGCTAGATGGTTTTACGTCTTCTTCTCAACCAAAGAGTATGTTAGATAACTTTATGGCTCCTTCTTCTGTTACAGAAGGTTCTCAAAGTACTGTTCCTGGAATGCGTGATAGTATTACAGCACCATCTGAAACTCAATCATCGAGAAATAGCACAGTCACTCCCCCATCAAATAAAAATGTCTCTAAATCATCCCAGGAACCTAGGAGTTTGCTGGACGATTTTATGTAATTAATAAGTTTTTATTTTTTTATAAGTTTTTATATATATTGTAATAATGACATTATAAGGCAAGTTCTAGTAAGAAATTGTTAACTAAAAAATTTAGCAATGTTCTTCTTTGTCCTCTCTTTATTTTGTTCTATAATGTTTTCAACATTTACAATTTTCACATCAATCACCTTATCATCAGGATTGTTTTCTTTGCAAAGGTTATAATTTGTCAAAGCGTCATCATAAGCTTTTTTGTTCAAATATGCGTTTCCTATCCTATAATACGCCTTTGCCTTGTCCTTATTTTCTATTCCAGGAGACTCGAGAGCATATTTGGCATATGTAATACAACCATCTATATTTTTCAAATTGAACGACAGAAGTGACAGGTTCAAATATACCTTGGTCTTTAATTCCAAAAATTTCAAATTATTCTCTTTATCAACTTCTCCTTCTGGTATGAACATATTAATGTAATTCAAAGATTTTTTGTACTTAAAAAATGAATTTTGGAAATCTTTCAATCTGAACAGTTGAGACCCAGATTCTTTAATTGTAAATGCAGCTTCGTATGCTTTATTGAAGTCTTCTGGATCAAAGGTTTTGTCATCATCAGGATATTCTTCATATATATCACCACCGATTAGGTTGTTTGATGCATTATAGAGGGGAATTGGCATTGTATTGTTCCATTCGCCACATTCGGATATTCTTATACGTTTTTCAGGAAACCCATCAGAATCTACATTAGCATGTTCAACAGTTCGAACAACAGACTTACCGTGAATAACTTTTCCAAAGATTGTATGTTTGTTATTTAGATGGGGAGCAGTTCCTGTCATGATAAAAAATTGAGATGTGTTAGAATCGGGTTCCCCAGTAGTAACCATTGCTAGATAAAAAGGTTCTGTGAATTCTCCCAAATTTTCATCCCTAAATTTACCATAACAAGGTAAATCAACAGGTTCTGCTATTTCATCATCTGTTGCATATATAGAACAACCACCTTTACCAATATCGTCAGATTTTTCAAATTTCTCTGAGCCATAGATGATATCACCAGCTTGGATCATAAACGTCTTCACGATACGATGGAAGAAATTATTTTTATATGTTAATTGTTTGGCCTCACCATTTATTGTTTTTGTTAAATCACCTCTACATAAGTGAAGGAAATTCTCAGTTGCAAGTGGTGCTTCAGATTTAAAAAGTTCGAAAACAATACGACCTATATTTTGTTCTTCGATAGAGATGTCAAAGAATACTTGTATTTTTTCAGACATGATGAACACCGCTTATTAGTGATATTTGTAGCGTTAATTTGTATATGATGATCGATGTTTTTTGTGAAGTAATTGTATGTGTAATAGTAGGAGGCATTGTTTTATCCATCGTAGGAAATTTTCAAACTTACTTCACGAACGCAAAAAAATAACATTGAGTACTACGATGAGGTCATCGCCAAAATGATATAAAGAAAATGGTCATTACTTCTTTATGTATGGTATCAGTGTATTTATATTATTTACATGGTCTATATTGAATAGCTAAAACGAAATCTTGTCCTTCATCACTCGGAAGAACGGAATGGCATCTTTGACGTTCTGCAAACCAAATAAGTAAGCAATGAGACGTTCCATTCCAATACCAAACCCACCTCTTGGCAGGGAGCCTAATCTTCTTAAATCGACGTACCAGTCCAGATCTGTTGTTTTGTCCGGGCCAATTGCCTTTTGTAAAGTATCAATATTAACTTCACGGATTGAACCACCCGCAACTTCACCCATACCACCAGGAAAGATCATATCAAAACAATCTACAACTTTATCATTGGCGGGGCATTGTTTCATATAAAAAGGTTTAATAGATGTTGGATATTGAGAAATTAAGACAAATGCACCTTTATCTTTATTAAAGTAAGATTCTGCAAGGAATTTTTCTTGTTCCGATGATAACGATTCACCCCAAGTTGGTGGATTTTGATAATGCTCTTTTAATATATCTACTGCTTCCGTATAAGTAATGTGTTTCCAATTATCAGGATTTGCTACATGGGACCATCTTTCCTTTATTTGATCCTTATTTAGTGTATTTGATGGAAGCAGATTATCATTTGGTAATATGCTATCGATATTCTTGTAAGATAGCAATGATTCTGCTGTGTTAATTATAAGGTACTTAACACAATCTAATAAATCTTCCAATTTGTAAAGGTTTGTTGACTCTAATTCAAGCATCCAAAATTCTGCTAGATGTCTTCCTGTATCACTCATTTCTGCTCTAAAACATGGGCTGATAGTAAAGACGTTCTTTAAACTTTGAGCCAATATTTCCAAATGTAGTTGAGTTGAGACAGTAAGGTTTAAGTTTTTAGGTATTGTTTTAAAGGTTTCGTTGTTTCCCTCTGTATCATTCGAGGTTAAAATAGGAGGGTTGCACATTATAAAATCTTGGCTTGTCAATATTTCGATCAATTGAGACTGAAGTAAAGATCTAAATCTTATCAAAGAAGCAAAATAATTTGACTTATATTTCAACAATGGAATCGAACGTAAATAAGGAACAGTAAGTTTTTGTTTTGATTGTAAAGGGTAGTCCTCTTGGACTTTCCCCAAGATTTCTATACGTGAATCAGAGTTTTGAGATAATTCAAATTGTTGAGTTCTCTTTGGGGTCTCTACTACTGTCCATTTTGAAAGAGATATCGCTTGGCCCATCTTTAATTCATTTAGAATGTCTTTATGAGTCGACATATTGTTATCAATGACTAATTTCAACGGATGTGATGATGTTCCATCAAACAAATCTAAAAAAGTGACATTTTTTAAAGTCTTGATAGACTGTATGTGACAATTCAATTCAGGGATAATATCCTTATCTTTGATTGATTTGTTCGCAACATTATGAAACAATTGATTAATGGTTGGTAATTTTGTTAATGAATGATACCTTGAAGTGAAATTTTTTATAACGATTTTAGGAAACATGATCTATATTGGTAAGGAACCGATTAGTTACCTACCTCTCTTCATGCGTTTCGTATTATAGTTGATTCTTCTTTTTATCATTAAGAAATTGTTTATTATGGTTGAATTTTTCTATCTCAAAATTATGACTTAAATCTGTCTCGTTCCCGTAAAAATACCAATTGATAAATTTTATAAAATATAAGTCATTGAAGATGAAAAAGCAATGCAATTAAATAATATGACGAACTTTTGATAACACAAAACAAAATAATTATTAAAGATTAAAAAGTTTATATATATATATGGAAAGGGTTCATAAATAGAAATATTACATAGAAGTTAATATATGCAACATTGAAATATTGTTGTAGGAAATTAAGATAATCCGAGACTGTTTATTTTATGTTAATCTTTAAAACACACTTTTAAAGAAAAACCAACAGATAATCTCTCAAAATGGAAAAATCTTGATAAAACAATATGCCAAAAAAATGAAACCCTCGACAAACTAAAAGAAAACGAAACAAAGTTAGTCATGTAATTTCATAATGTCGCTAGATGGCATAAAACTGAAACCAAAAACGATAAAGAATGAGACACACAAATTCATTCGTTTATAGTATTCTTGGACAGTCCTCTTCCCTTTAACAAAAAAGAAAGAAACACATTAGCAATAAAAAAAATTAACCATGAAATTTGAATTCGTTTGTTTTGAAAAAACTAAAAAGTTGTTTAAAAATGGGTTGGGTTGGAAAAAGGAGAATCCATGAAAAAGTATCAATCAATCGAAAATCTGCACAAAGACTTTCATCTTAAAAACTAAGGAGTAGTAACTTTAATCAAATTAACTAACCTAATAATAACCGACTAATACTTTCTTGAGAAATTGAGAAATAATAGCAACTATTTCGTTATTGGACCATAAAACAATAGTAAAAATAATAATAACCAAAAATAATGTAGGATTCTAGTAGAACAACGCACACGATAAAAAAAATGTGTTCTAGAAGATAAAATAATTCTTGAATTTAAAATAATAATACTAAAATAAAAGTGGATCCATAGTTGTTAAAAGTAATAAAATCTTTGGGAAAGTAGTCGATAATATTAGGGAAAGTAAAAAAGAAAATTTATATTGTGAATCACACTAGACACAATTAATATTAAAAAAAATGGTAAAGATCACGCATCTTATAAATTTAAAACAGCAGTAAAAAAAATTATATTTGACAGTTAAAATCATTGAAGAAGTGAATAAAAGTTTTATAAGACTTTAATCAACATCTCAATTGTGAAAATATTTTATATTTGTTGTTTGGAGGGGGGTTGAATTTGGTTTGTTTGTAAGATCAATAATAGCAGTATTTGCAATACTAACAAAAAGGGATAAAAATAATGCAAAACTAAAAATAAAAAAGGAAGAATTAAATAATCTTTTTTTCTTCTAATTCTTATTTGTTTTTGTTTCCTTTTCTAATAAAGAATAAAAAAAAAGATATTAGTTATTATTATTAGTTATTATAATTGAATTTGAATATAGAGAAGGAAAAGAAAAAGAAAAAGAAAGAAAACCTGAGTATAATAACCGTAATTTCCTTTAATAAATTTATATGCAAATAAAAAATATATTTTAAATCATCTTGAAATAAGCAGAAAACCAACTAATTAATGAAGCTTCAATTTGTGGGGGTATAAAAAATGTTTGTTCTTTCAAAACTTCTAATTCATTTTAAAATGAAGTAGAAGAAGAAAATGTATGAAATAAAAGAGGTATATCTAAGTTAAATTAAATTAATAAACTTAGAATCTTTGTAGACCTCTTTGTCTTTCTTGCCATTTTCTGTATATGATGGTTAAAATAATAGCGATACAAGCTAGACCGACTAGAATGAAGACTAAAATAACACCACCTGGCAAAGTATTAGTAGTTAGAGTCATTGTTGTGTGAGATTATGTGAGATTGATTGATATTCTTACAGAACTGTTTTTTTGTACTTTATAAAAACAAAGAGAAGAAAATATATCTTTAAATTAAAAGTGAAAATGAAATAGCTTATATAATAAATGAAAGAGTGAAATAGAATAAGAAAAAGAAAATGTTTATGCAGAAGGAAAAAAGGGGGAAGGGACGAAATTGAAAGGAAAAGAAGAGAAATAAGTAATAAATTTAATAAATCATTACAATCAATTATTATTTATACTTCAAGAAAGAAATCCTTATTAAAGAAAAAAAATGATAATAATAACATGATATTACATAGTTTATTGAAGAAACCGAAGTGAGATGATGATTGATAGTGAGAGAAAAAAAATCATTAAAAAAAGGGAAAATAATAACAAATAGCAAATAACAATAACAAAAAACAAATAATCAAGAAGAAGAAAGGAGAGATAGTAAAATAAGTTAGTTATTCCCATTTAAGATACTAAAATAAAATGAAAACAAATAGAGCACATACACCAGAGAGAGCGGATGGATAGATGTTATTATTTTACCCTTTTGCACATAGATATACGTAGATACATTATGTATCAGTTATCCATTAACTGGAAGAGTAATAAAATAAAACCTGATGATACGCACAAAAACATGGTGATGATGATGGTAATTATTATTTATTTATTTTTTTACACAGAAAGGGTAGAAATGAATTGAAAAAAAAAAGAATGAAAAATCTTGTTTAAACGTGATACCAAAGTAGATAGGTAGAAGAGCAAAAGACAATACTAATGTTAATTAATGACAATATATTATTCATCACCTTCTTTCTTCTTACGTTACTTAGACAAAAAAAAAGAAGATTAAAATATCTCGCTAATGAAAGAAAAATGAGAGAGATATTTAGCTTATTGGTTTGAGGGATATTTATCCGAGATTTAATAAGTCAAATTGCATATATACCAGAACAAGATAATACAAAATGTACATACGTAGGTATCTTTCTAAACTTGTTATTCAGATAGAATAGGTACTTTACATATACATAGACACCCTTTGCTACCTCTAATCTCCAAACAACAACAACATCATCATCATCATCGTCAATATAATAATAGTAATATTATAAACAAATTGAGTGGTGAAAGGATTTACTCACTACAGAGCCAATAATTATACGTAAGAAATAAATACATAAATGGGAACAAAATGGATTTGTACGTAAGTCTAACCCAGAAAAATGGACATGGCTTGATGTTGCTGTTAAAATACAACTTTCGTAGAGGGAAAAGGTGGTAGCAATTATTTCACTTTTTTAATATTTTGTTCGTCGATTTCTTGGACAACCCAGTAGAGGTGTGGGTGTTCCAACAGTAAAATTTATCTATTTACTTCTTGCCTCATTCTATAATGCTTTCTGTTATGATTTATTTTACCGACGAATTGCCATTCAAATGTCCTGACAATATTGTCCGCGCCAGAAAAACAAATCACAACAGAAATAAAATAACAAGAAACCGCGCGGGTGCTCTTTTGGCTTTTCTTGTTTTGGTAATGCCATCTAATAGGAAAGCCCGCAGCGCCATTCAATTCCATTTTAGTTAGCGGATTTGTTTTCGTTCAACGTCGTTTGTTTATCTATAACTGAAAGTAGACTTGCCCGTTTCGGCATTCCCCTTTTTCGTATACTGCATTTGTTTGTTTGCTCTGTGTTTATTGAGCAGACCCAACTCATTTCAAATAAAATAAAATATCCGAATTTGGTTAAATATCACGTTGTTCTACGAGGTCTTGTTAGAATAATCAGGGTTCTTATAGTCGTTATTATTTTATTAGCTAATTGCGAAAGTAAAATAAATGAAGGAAACGAATAGTTTTTGATTTTTAAGGATTCAGGTTATGAATTTAGTGCCCATTTCCTAACTGAAATTTTACCCTATGAGGCAATATTGCAATTAAATGTCATATTTATGAAATTTTAAAATTCATTTATTCTATCATATATCCAGGTTTAGTAACATACTAGATTGAGAAATAAGAAACAAGAAATGATTTTTTATAAACGGTAAATATCTGGTTATATGTCTGTCTATTATACAAGGGTTTGTTTGTTTTTGCATGTATTTTAGTAGTTTGGATATCGTTTCTTTTAATTAGTCTCTGTAAGATCGCTAAGACTGTCCTGTAGCCATTGAAAGATTTCATCAATGACTTCCATACCGTCAGATATGATATGGTCTAAACTTGAATCTGATGTACTACTACTACTACTTGTCGTACCTTGTGATGTCTGAGCAGCAAGTGAACCACTAGCAGATGTTGCACTGACGGTTGTCATGGTAACGGATTTTTCAGAAATTGATGAATACATTTCTTCTTCTTCTTCTTCTTCTTCTTCTTCTTGTTCTACATCTTCCTCTTCTTCTTGTTCGTTCTCCGAAAATGTTGTATGTTGAATTGATAAATTTTTATCAAGATCTAGTATTAATGATTCACTATTTCTATCATGCATTGCTAACCCACATATCTCTGTCAAGATTTCATATATGGCTCTATTAGACATATTTTCCATAAATTGAATTGTTCCTCCTCCATTATTGTTATGGTCAGTTACAGAAAATACAGGACCCAATCCAATGAATACAGAAGATCCATCACTATTTTTAATAGTCTCCCCTGTTTCTTTGTCATCATCATCAGTATCACTCTGATTCAATGGATAACCACCTAATATATATTCAGATTCTGAATTTAATTTAAACTTCGTTCCATCATACTTATTACTCATCTTGTCCCCATTCTTCGATTCCTTAAACCCATATCCTATACGTGGCATGATCATGATGTCTCCCATCCTATCTCTAGTGTTCTTGCTGTTACTATCTGTATACCATTCCGACTGTGAATCACCTTTCAAATCAACTTGAATATGGTCTCTATGAGGCCCACTGATCAATTTGTTATATACTTCATTCTTATTCTTATTATCTATATAGATAGATAGCAGATTATCATTGATTTGTGAAGACTTCACTAGTCGATCATTGATCTGCGAACCAATCTTAGAATCCTCATTTAATAATTCATTTAAAGTCAAGATATTGTCATATGGTACTGTATCTATAGTGAATCCAAAATTACTCACCAGGATAACATTTGTAAAAGCCATTAGATTACGTCTGGTTAATTCAATAATCAATTTGGTCACTAATGTATCAATGTTACGTAATTCTTCAGTTTTCCCTGCAGTACCTTCACTATACATCTTGCTAGCATAATTAGTAAATGAGGTTAAAAATAATTGTGGTCGCTGTTGAATCGAATATGTGTCTATCAAACCAATGATCCATTCAATAGTCTCGGAGTCACTACGCTTGGCGTGTTTCTCCTTCAATTCACGATCTAAATAATACGTTGGTGTATGGTTCCCATGATTCCAGACAAAATAACTATCCATGGCAACTTTGAAATTTTGAAACACTTGTTCCATACGAGACCATATCGGCTCGAATTGAGTCTTGTCATGTCTCTGTTTCTTTTTGGACACGAATCCACTTGAAGTAGCCGTACTGTTGTCTCCATCGAAAAGAACACCATGTTGTCCAGGCGTCAACCCTGTCATCATACTCCAAACATTTGCGTCGTTGGACAGTGGAAACACGGGAACCATCCCATCCTTTGCAATCATCACCGAGTTGTTCCTTAGTAAATGACTCTCTGAAAACTCACCGTTATACATTTTGCTAAATAGCGGCATTGCGTCATTTTGAATATCCTCGACATTTAATCCATCTATCTTTAAGACAATGTTGATAGGGTAGAACTCATGTGTACCGTTATTGTATTTGATATTAGGATCGAACTCTGTCTGGAAAGGATGATTACTAGCACCATACTTGGTATGTCTATGATCAGATGCATCGGGATCGGAATCGAATATTTTTATCGTTAAGAACACTAACAATCCGGTCACCATTGATAAAATAGCAATATATTTCAAACGTCTAAGATTGGCTTGGTTCTTCATCGATCTATGATCTAAAAACATAGGAGGCTCAACACCATCAATATCACTATCATTATCATTGTGTATTTCATGACCATCAGCTGTCAAATCGTATAACGGTACACCAATCCTTTCCATTGAATTTCCTACAGTTCCATGCACTATATTCTTTAACCACCAAAATTTCGCACGTTTCCATAGTTGCCGACTTCTATTTTCATGGTTCTCTTGGTTTTCATCTAGAAAATCGTCCTCAAATATATCTTGATCATTCATATTCTTTTCATGAAGATTATTCTATATATTTTACGAATGGGGGATATTTCGTGAGCCTTTTTGTTTTTCTTCCAACTATACTTTTAAGTTATAATACAACACAGAAATACAAGCTTCTTCTTTAGGAACAATTTGATATTACTTTTATTTCTAGTGTTGTGTACTTAGCTCATCTATATTAAAAGAAGGTATAGGTGACTCTCCCTATATAATATTAAGTAATATTTCAGATTATCAAATTTTATTATTTGTACGTCCGACTAACTCCGTTTTCTAGGCTCATCAAAAAAGAAGAAAGAAGGAAAATAATTAGATGTTATAAATATTAGAAAAGTTGTATATATTATATTACAGACATATAAGCTTTATAGCTCATTCTTTAACTTCTCCAATCTATCCTTCATCTCCTTTAGTGTCTCTTGTTTCTTATCTTTGTTGACGAAATATGTATCTAACTCGCTACGGTCTATCAAATTAAACAATTCACACATATTTTCACGTTGTGCAAGCAACTGATAGGCAGTAGCTGTCTTTAGCGTTATGTTGTCATTTCTCTGAGACATCACGGTCAACCAATATACGATTCAACACAAAGCACTTTCCTTGACTTCGTAGTTCAATCTACCCACTTCAAGTCTGTCTTCTTACCAATACTAAGAACACTAACCAAATCTTTATATAAATTAAAACGATATTATTCTAATTTATTGAATTTCGCGGTTTGAGTGAATTGAAGTTTTGTTTGTTCGTTATTCTTTTTTTCGCTGGCGGCCAACTATACGGTTACTTTAACCCGCTGCCAAACTCAACGCAACGTTATATATATTAAGAGAAGAGAAGGTAAACTAGTCGATTCTACCTGTCAGACCTGAACAAGAGCGTAATAGGTTTGCATAGGATCGAATTCCCCCATAACCCAAGATACTTGTATATATACATTCGTTACAGTTATGGATACCCTGACATTGAAGGATATAATTGGATCCACCCTATATATAACAGTCAGTGAAGTCCGTTTACTGAAAGGCACTTTAGTCGCTATTGATGCTCAAGCTAATTTGTTACTCGATGAAGTCGAAGAGTGTTGTCCCGATAATGTGCGTAAGTTGGGATTGGTCAGTGTTCCGTTCCTCACTATACGTGATATACAGATCCAGAAAAGTTATGTGAATAGGTTGGAAGATTACAAAAGACAACTTCAGAAAAATATTATTTAACTATGGAACTCTCTCCCTCTATTGGAATATCCGAGTAAGTTGCTTAACTAGATAACCTTTCATATTTCGTTCATTATGGAAAATATCAATGTATAAGTGGTCATACTAATTATTCACGGCATTCACACACTCTTCCTCAGCCTATTTAGTGGAAATACTCTGTTTTTTGTTTTTTCCCTCTCGATGAAATATGCTGATGACCGGAAGAGACTCCTAAGAGCATTAAGAGCTAAGAATGGCCATAATAAGGTAACGACTGGGCATATACGTAAGGAATCCTGTGACATCTGCAGAATATAAGGTTCAGTGTGTAATGAGATTATCAGACGAAAGCAATTGATAGTTCATTATATATATATATATATATATATATAGTTGTCAGATTGTGAAGCTCTTATTTACTTTTTTAATACAGTTTCTTCAAACTATTATTCGTATTTATTAGTATTTTTAATTATTTTATTGTCTGGAACAATAAGAACTCCATACGGCCTCCCTTAATTATGAATTCTACTACTAGTAGTACCACACAGGCTCTACTTTCGAAATACGCTTCTTTGTATAAGGAGACTACTCAACATCAATTGACTAACGAATTATGTCAAGGGACATTAAACGATCGTACTTTGTATGTTTATTTGGCTCAGGATCTGATCTTCTTCGAGACTAGTCTAAGATTGATTTGCAAAGCTACTTCTTTAGCTCCAGAATCCAGTAGTCTCTTAACATTGGCTAAAAAAATTGGGTTTTTTGCCAATGATGAAAATACCTATTTTAGAGATTGTTTAAAATATTTGGAACCAGCCGTACCATCCGAAAATGAACGTCAAAAATTTTTAGGGATAATGCTACCTGGTGTCGATAAATATATTAAATTCATTAATGAAAGTGTCGTCGATACAAGCATGACTTACGCTCAATATATTACTATCATATGGGCTTGTGAACAAATTTATTTAAGTTGGGCTCATGATTCACCAAAGAAGGAAAATTTACATTGGAAATATCAAACATGGATTGATCTACATGATGGTGAGCATTTCATTTCATGGTGTGATTTCTTAGAAGCAGAAGTAAATAAATTCTCAATTGAAGAAGTTGAAAAACAATTTACTACTGTCTTACAACATGAATACAATTTCTTTGATAATTGTTACAAGGCTTGAAATTTTTGGCCCTCATATCTATTTGTATAATTTAGAATATATATCGTCCACTGAGAGCGGTAGATTGTATAGTTTAATGTAATGTTCGACACGTTCTTTGAATGTCAGCGTATTGTTAATTTTTTTACTAATTGAGTCGAATTGGGCAACGCCAATCTGTTCAATGTTGCAGCCTGCACTTATTGTACCACAAAGATTACTAATTTGAAAGTCCTTAGTCAATGCATAAGCCAAACCAAACCCTCCAAGAAAGGAATTTCCTCCACCTGTGGGATCTACAACTTTATCTGGAGTCAGTAAATGATATGCAGGAAAATGAGACGATTCTCTGGTACCATCGTCAGTCTTTGGGGATAATATCATACTACCCATTTTACCACATCTCAAAACACAACTATTTTCCGGTTTCATATAATCTGTAAATTTGCAAAGTAAGGCCCTGCATTGAACAATATCTCGAGGTTCTTTCATACCAAATAAACGCGCACCTTCTTCACAATTTGGTGATATGATGATATTTTCATGTCTATCCAATATCTGTTTAATAGTGTCATAGTTTTCAACAATCATTGAGTCTGGTAATGGCTCCCATATGAAAGTGGGAACCATCAAATTATCGTTCCTAATCTGAGACAATGCTTCTAGAATCTCTTGAACACGTTCGGGTGAACAAACTAGATGAATGCATTTTATACTGTTTACATTTGTTACTCCATAGCAATTAATCCAATCCAGAACAGTGATTTGTCTTTTGGGTGTCAAATATTTAAATTGTCTTAAATCATTCTCACCATAAAAATTTGCACCCCTAGTGGTCAATCGATTAGTAGAATCACGGAAAATAGCACCAGAATTCCAATGTTCAATCTCTTTTGTAATCTTGTTGGGAAAATCAGAACCTCGATCAACAATCCACCCACTTAAACCATCTCTAACGATGCAGGATCCAAGTATGGCATATGTTCCTGCACCGCCAACAACGTCAGAATAATGTTCCCCAGACGACGTATGTATATCATCCAAGATGATCATTCCATTGGTTGTAAATAACATTGTTTAAATAACTTATACTTCTGTGTAACTTTGTATTGTAATTACATCATCAGTCTTGTGAATAAAATTTGTTTACTGGAACGGTATGACTTATATATTTTTGAATTATTTGAAAGACATTTTTATCTTTAAAAAGTGATAATTTGAGAAAAGTAAACAAAATGTTAAAATACACTATATTATAAAATAAAGAAAATAGTAAATATTGGTAGTACCACACCTACTATTGGTATTATTTGTGTCAATTCTTGGTTGTTTCTTCCCTCAGTTTGCATATGATGTAATAGTTCTGCCCGAATTGATGGGATTGCAAAAATACAGATCCAACGGTCTCATTAATGTTATTACTTTCAAATGGTCTAAACAATATACCAACTAAATATCATTCTGCAAATTATTGTCGAATATATGCCTAGATCTTGTCAAAAAATGCTCCAGAATCATCCTATCTGATTTCATGATTATCTTCACTTTTTTTTCCTTAGTTGCATCCATAGTATCTTCCAAACTATTATATTTGTGTTCTTTTGCCCCCATGAATTTAATTTGTAGATTTTGTTGCAAACCAAAGATGTATTGAACAACCAACCGAGGCCCTGGAATTCTATCATCCTCGATTTGTATTGATGACCAAACAGCAAATTCTTTATTATGATCTTCAATAGATCCTACTTTTCTAAAGTTAAGTAAAGTCCAAGCTGTCAATCCCTTATCGTCGGTAGTAGTAATAATTAGTCATATATTCTAGTAACATTTCGTAATCTGTGTATGCAATCCCCTCAGTAGGAACAAAATCCAAAATTAAAGTCAAACCAGGTTTAGTTAGATTAACTAGGAGAAACTTAATTTTATATTCATCGTCAATACCCCTAAAAACATATATGTTAGTTTCAATTCCTCAATACAAAAGTGAACTTAAGTCAATTATTATGAATAACGAAGTATTAGAAATTAAGGGTTATATATATCAGACTTAATTTTAATGTGCATAAAGAAATACCTTTATGCACATTTACTCATATGTGTCATCTCTAGATATCATCCTGATAGATGATTATGAGAGGTGAAATGGATGAGGTAATACTTTTTACAGAATAACATAAAACAAATCCCCTAATGTAATATGTACAGAACATTAAATATTCCACAGTATGTAAACTATGTATACCATATGCACAAAAGATGAGAAGTTTGATGGGAAAATCGAATATTAGTCATCTTCTCTTTAACTGAACAAATTTTATTGTATTATAAAATCAACTTATAGTCGTCTGATTTTTTTATATCTTATATAAATGTTAAATATGTAGCGGCAGCACTAAAAAGGTTAACATTAGCTTAACCTATCTGAAGGAGAAGGTAGCTAATATAAGTAGAATTTAGAGAGTGCTGCACTACCGTATATATAATAACACATGATATATACTGCATAATGTAGTATTAGTTCCCCCTACATTGGGTTTATTGGAGCTACATAGTCCAACGTTACTATGCACAAATGATGAGCAGTTTAACAACAGCAACTCTGTTTAACATGTCTGCTTCAGCACAAACAACAGCAACTCTGTTTAACAATTAAATATAACAGACGGCTATATTTTTGTCTTCAATCATCTGACATAGCAATACAAAAATTCATAAAATTAGCAGCGCCGTGGCGCAGTGGAAGCGCGCAGGGCTCATAACCCTGATGTCCTCGGATCGAAACCGAGCGGCGCTAATTTTTCCATTATTTTTATTCCAAATTGAATCATTAAATCAGATAGCCAGTTCTTATAGTTGAAAACATCAACATCTTTGGTTTTAATTTTGATAAATGAACTTCCATATGTAATTCAATTCCTTTCTCCCAGTACTGGTAACGCTCTCAAGTTTAGCCTCTCTTTGACAAATTTTTTTTCCTCTTTTGGTATTTATTATTAAATAATCGCGAAACGCTCTCTTTCGTAAAGGCAATAAAAAAATTAAAAAATTAAAAAATTAAAAAGAAAAACAGTGACAGGTATTTAGTTAGATCTACCTTAGGGTGCTCGAGATATAATTCATTATCAAGCATTGAATTGATTCAGGAAGTTATATTTAATATTATAACATATTCCAATTTGGTGGCCTTTAAGTTATTTTTAAAACGCAAAAGTTAAAATATTAGTGCGTTGGTTCATTGACTACTCGAAGGTGAAATGGTAACTGTTAACGGGAAGATCATTCCTTTAACACACACGATATGTGCGTCAGCTGCATTCTTAGTGGCTCTAGCCACTGGTTATAGTCTACATTTTCATAAGATTGTGGAGAATGCCCACTATGGATATCCTGATGAATGGTTTCCAAGTGTCTCAGCCACAATAGGTGATAGATATCCGGAGAGATCCATATTTCAGATCTTAATAGCATTGACAGCATTCCCCAGATTTTTATTGCTATTGGGTCATTATTACATCAACCGTTCTCTTTCAACCCTGATCATAGGGACCATGAGAACAGTATCGTGCGGTGGTTGGGTGTACATCACCAGTACTGACGATCACGACGCTCACGATATTTTCATGATTGTCTATATTGTTCTAACTTTGCCATGGGATATTCTAATCTCTAGATTATCTAAATTTAAGAAAAGTAAGATAATAATGACTGTCACATTTTTTGGTTTGTTAGCCCCAATGCTATATCAGTACTATCAACACCAAGTTATGATTGTACCTGGAGCTTACTCTAGATATGCCTATTTCGAATGGTCATTAATATTTTTAGATATTGGATTTGATGCACTTGCCTATCATGATTTTAAAACTATTAGCATTACTCTGTCACTAGATAGCTTACTACAGTCCAATTTCTTTTCGAGAAATGTGGTAGAGAAGCATGCCAAAGAAGATAATATTAAGATTAAAAAAGAAAATTCTGAAACTGTTCATCTACCTAAAGAAAAGGAGATAGTATCAACAGAAGAAAACGGCAAGTTAGTACCTTATGATTCATGTCTTTACCTTGTCGTTAATACTTTTAATGCATTCATTTTTTGGTCGAATTTAACAGCTTTGGTTTGCAGTATATGGCATTTCCCATTGTGGTACATGGGTATTTCCGGTTATGAAGCAGCCATTCTTGGATATACAGGTCCAATTATTCTTTATCTACCTTTCGTCCAATTCATTATTCGTAAACATGGTTTTATGCTGGGTGCAATAATTGGTGTTGGTTCGTATGCAATCCGTAAACCAGAGTCAAGATTAATTACTGTTTCTATCGGTACTGCAATTACTATGGCCAATTTTGCCTTGAATCTAATTAGAATATCAGATTATCAAATTTTACGTTCTTACGTCTCAAGTTGGGTATACGGTCTTGTCATTTCAGTGGCTATTAAGATGCGCTTCTATTCTAACAATCCAATTTGGCCAATTTTACACGATGAAAACCAAGGCTGGAATAAGGAAGCTATGCTTTTAATTTTGATTTCTAGTATGATGACACCTTATGTGAACGAAATCAACTTTGCTAAATGTACAATAAGCAAGCCAAAGATTGGGTTTTTCTCGAAGTTCTTTATCGCCGTTGGGTTTGGTTCATTAATTTTCAGCATTCACCAAATGTTTGTTGATTCATCAACAATTATTTATTGGTCTTGGGAAGGCTATAGTCAAGAAACTCAAGGTCCATTGCAATGGCCTTGGAGTGCTTTGACTTGTGCGGTAATGCTATTCGCTGCCTCCACTTCTTTTATATTTATGAGAAGACCATTTCTACCTTCCGTCATTTTAACTTTATCTACTGCTGTATTATACTCTAGTGAAGTTAAAGAATGGCCTAAGTTTATTGGTGGTTTATTTTATGTCGTTTCAGTTGTATGGTTAATTCCAAATATTATCGTTGCTACGTCAGATGCTAAAAGTGTTGCTGTTTTCGCATTCGGTTTCTTACTATACGTCTTTCTAGTCTTAGCACATGTGTGGACGGTTGCCTACGCATTTGTGCCATTTGGTTGGTTATTGAGAGAAAGATTACATGTTGTTTTGGCTATTAGTACTGGTGGTATTCTAATTGGGACATTCTTCTCTTCAAGGTCTAAGTCTAAGGTTCCAATTGTTATGAGTAAGAAATTCAAATGGCTAATGACATTATTGACATTAATTATTGCGGGTGCTATCGGTGGTTTCTCCTATCAAATTAAGCCTACTGGAATCCCACAACCTTATCATCCTGATTCAAAGTTGATCACCGCTGGTATCTGGACTATTCACTTCGGTTTAGACAACGACATGTGGGCTTCTGAAGATGGTATGTCTGAATTGTTCAGCGATATGGAGCTTGATGTTGTTGGCTTATTAGAAACAGACACACAGCGTATTACAATGGGTAACAGGGATTTAACTAATAAAATTGCACATGATTTGAATATGTACGCTGACTTCGGGCCTGGTCCAAATAAGAATACTTGGGGTTGCGCTTTATTGTCTAAATTTCCAATTATTAACTCTACTCATTACTTATTACCATCTCCTGTCGGTGAACTAGCTCCGGCCATCCATGCCACCCTTTTGACATATGATGATATCTTAGTCGATGTTTTCGTTTTCCACAGTGGTCAAGAAGAGGATGAAGAAGATAGAAGATTGCAATCTGAAGGTATGGCAAAGATAATGGGAAGCACAGACCGTCCTGCTATCTTATTGAGTTATCTAGTGACTGACCCACTGGTTGACAACTACAACAATTATGTCAGTGAGACATCTGGTATGCATGACATTGACCCTTCAGACGATGATAGATGGTGTGAATATATTTTGTACAAAGATATCAAGAGAAGCGGTTACGCTAGAGTCTCCAGAGGTACCATTACAGACACCGAATTACAAGTGGGTAAATTCCAAGTTTTAAACTCTGATCAATTGCAAGAACAGGGTGATTCTATCTATAACACAGAGTACAATAATGAAAGACAATCAGAAGATATGGAATTCCCAGAGATGTTTTTAGGTGAGGGTGAAAGAGGTCATCACTACCATGTGTTCGATGAACCAAGATACTTCCATTAAGTCACAATTTAAGTAACAATAAAATGTACATACAATAATATATATATATATAGTTAAGATCTTTAAGCCGAATCTATAGCCCTTCAAAAGGGGGCGCTAGGGCTCTCAACGCTAAATTCAAGACCTAACGTATTCTTGTTTGAGCCAGAAAATTTTTCCTGTCTCGGTCAAACGAGAAAATAGTGTTTCGTGGCACTATATAAAGAGAAGAGCAATCGTCTAAGTTATATAATAATACCTTGTCCTTTGTTGTTTGAAGGTTTGTTTTTAGATATTAGTTTTAAAGGAAGTACTAATCAATAATGCCAAATCATGTTTCAAAAGGTGCTGTAATTTTCATTGTGTAGTATCATCTGAATCAGAAGGGGAGGGTACATGTACTCTTCCTGGTGCGTATTTGGCAGAGAATAATTAAAAACACCGTTTGAGCCAACCTTTATGAATTTCTACAAAAGGTGGGTATAGAAGAGTGATTACATATATAAATTCAATCTGACTTATTTAGATTTTCTTACTTATTGTTAACCGTTGATATTAAACTTTCCATATGCTTCTGGATTCCATTCAGTTCTTGATAAATTGATTAAAAGTTGATTCATGTCTTTCAAGTAATAACGCAGGTTTTAAAAGTCAGTAGAAATGTTGGTTATAAGTATTTCCCATTAATAGTCTTTATAACGATATTTCGTTGTTACTAAATAAAAAATCGCCTCAGATGGATTAAGGTTCTTGCAAAAAAAAAAACTGGAAGCATTGATTGAAATTTATACATAAGTAGCCAACATAAGCTTAGAAACAATCAAGTACAATACTTCAGAAAAATTACAACAATGTATCTAATGGCAGTCTCATGTTATTTGACAAGGTGAATTTTTTGTTCCTTCCAAATAATGAAACAGGATCTATAGGTGTAATATCTAAGTCCATCATACAAAATGGCGGTAAAATAATTTCATCTTATAAAGAAATTGACCAAAATACTGTGGTATTAATAAATGACACATATATAGATACTCAAGAGAATAAACTTATACGCCAGGAACTATTTAGAAGAGAGTTTACTCTTGAATATGATAAGTTGATCCAAATAATAGAAGCAAAGGGTCTGAAATGTATACCCACAAGTACTATACCCAAATGTATTGAGGAAGATAAATTAGACCTAAGCCAATATTCAAAAATGTCTCAATTATGTGGAATCATTCATATCTCGGATGAATCGAGACCCTTATCCAGTAATAAATCCTCTGAGGAAAGTACAGATGTGTCCTTTGATTCAACAGATTCAAATAGCCGACCATACGCTCAACTTATAAATGTATCGCCAGCGCAAGAGGAAAAGATTGGTAAATCCAAAATTATGAGAACTCAAAATGACAACAGACTCCTGATTAATGCTATGGGGAAACTGTTCACGAAATACAGTTCTGAAGGTGATGTATTCCGTGCACGTAGTTATAAATTGGCGAAAGCATCAATTGAGAATACTCCCTTTCGAATCAAATCTGGAGATGATGCACGGAGGAACCTTAAACATATAGGACCTAGTATTGCCAGGAAAATACAGCTTATTTTGGATCAAGGGTATTTGGCAGGTTTAAACGAAACTTTGGAGTTATCAAGTCACTTGAATTACTTTATGCATTGTTACGGCGTAGGAGCAAATCTTGCAAAACGTTGGGATATCTTAAATCTTAAAACGTTTGATGATGTTGTAAAAAATTCACCTCATGATATTCTTAAGCAGTGGCCTATTCTTCTAGGATGGGCTTATTATGAGGATTGGGGGAAGATGATACCCCGAAAAGAATGTGAGGAACATCTTAAAATTGTTCGATCAGCATTAAGGCAGATATCCTCAAAATGTGAAGTTGAGATATTAGGCAGTTATATAAGAGGAAAAGAAAATTGTGGTGATATTGATCTATTATTTTACAGTAAAGATTGTAACGATACAGGGGAACTAGGGCCAGTTATGGCAGGTGTCGTTTTAGAATTAGTCAGACAAAGGTATGTTCAATGTACTTTACAGATGGACTCAAATATAGAGGAGTATATGGGACCCATGATTCAAGAATTATTCGAAACATGTAAAATGCAAGTATCAAAAGCCACAACTCACCATTGGAGAGAAGATAAAATTCTAAAGAAGTATTTTCTGGGGGTGAAATTGGATCAAAATAAATACCGCCAGTATTATTCAGATAAATTAAATGAAGAGTGCAAAAAACTGGAAAAGATAGACAGCTATCTGTCAAAAAGCTCAAATAATTCCCCAGATATGCCTGTCTGTCGGCGACTTGATTTCTTTTGTTGTAAGTGGTCTGAATTGGGTGCTGCGAGACTTCATTACACGGGTTCTGGTGAATTTAATAGATGGTTACGGTTACGAGCTATATCGCAAGGTCTCAGTCTTACGCAACATGGTCTTTTCAAAGAAAATAAACTTATTGAAAGTTACGATGAAAAGAATATCTTTAAATGTCTTGGATTGAACTACATTGAACCTCATAATAGAACAGAAGGACAATGGGATCGTTATATATTCAACACAGGGTCTAATATATAGTATAGTTGGCTAAACTAAAGTAAAATAATTCCTACTACAGGAGCTTGTTTATTTTTTAAAGAAGGAAACGTTAATAGTTTCCTCTTTTATTCATTTTAACTTATGAATCATTATTTAAGCGTTATTTTTTATTTAGTTTATACAAAAAAGAAATTGAAGTAAATTTATTTTAAGAAAATACTTATTTCTTTTCAGATAGGAAAGCAACACCTGGTAATTCCTTACCTTCTAACAATTCTAGAGAAGCACCACCACCGGTAGAGACATGAGAGATCTTGTCAGTGACACCGTACTTCTTGGCAACAGTGGCAGTGTCACCACCACCAATGATGACGGTAGCACCAGATTGACAGGATTGGACGACTTCGTCTAATAGAGCCTTGGTACCGTTAGCGAACTTTTCGAATTCGAAAACACCTGGTGGACCGTTCCAGACGATGGTCTTAGCTTTAGCGACAGTGGCAGCGAACAACTTTCTGGACTCTGGACCATTGTCTAGACCTTGCCATCCGGCTGGAATACCTTCCTTGTCGGAGACGATCTTGGTGTTAGCATCAGCGGAGAAAGCATCAGCAATGACGAAATCGACTGGTAGGACAACTTCGACACCCTTGGCCTTGGCCTTTTCCATTAGCTTTGGAACAATTTCGGCACCAGCTTCATCGAAGATGGAGTCACCGATTTCGGCATTTTCAATGACCTTCTTGAAAGTGAAAGCCATACCACCACCGATGATGATGGAGTTGACCTTGTCTAGCAAGTTGTCGATCAATTGGATCTTGTCAGCGACCTTAGCACCACCTAGGATGGCTAAGAATGGTCTTTCTGGGTTTTCTAGAGCCTTACCGAAGTATTCTAGTTCCTTAGTCATTAGGAAACCAGCAGCTCTTTGTGGTAGATCGAAACCAACCATGGAAGAGTGAGCTCTGTGAGCGGTACCGAAAGCATCGTTGATGTAGACGTCAGCTAGAGAGGATAGTTCCTTTCTGAACTTAGAGACAGCTTCTGGAGAAGCCTTTTCCTTCTTACCGTCAACCTTTCTGGAACCTTCTTCTTCAATGTGGTATCTCAAGTTTTCCAAAAGGATAACGGAACCTGGAGCAGAAGCCTTAACAGCAGCATCGACATCAGCACCGACACAGTCGTTCAAGAAAGTGACTGGCTTACCTAGCAAAGTTTGTAGTTCTTCAGCAACTGGAGCTAGAGAGTATTTGTCGTTTCTTTCACCATTTGGTCTACCTAGATGAGAAGCTAGGACAACGTATCTTGGGTTGTGTTCCAAGACGTATTGAATGGTTGGCAAAGCAGCAACGATTCTTTGGTTGGAAGTGATCTTCTTACCGTCTAATGGGACGTTGAAGTCGACTCTGATGAAGACACGTTTGTCGTTCAATTCTAGATCCTTAACAGTTAGCTTGGAAGATAGAGACATTGTTAAATATAAATATTCTTGGTTATTTCAAGGTAAGAACAAGAAGAAAAGATAAAATAAGAAAGAATTGTAAAAAATATCTATTAGAAGGATCAATTGTTTCAAAAAAGTATAAAATTTAGAAGTTCTTTAAAAGTGAAAGTTTCAAAAGAAAAACAGAGAGAGAGACACTTTGAACAATTGACTTTTATTTATATACTTTTAGGAAAGCCAGCAAAGCAACAATAGAAAGAGAGAGAACAAGGCCTGAAAGAAAAGTATTGTTTTGTTCTAATGCGTAGTCTAACTGAAAACAAAACTCAGTTTTTCAATGAGGTCAGAGAAATTCAAAGAAAGTAAATTAAATTAAATGAAATGAAATGAAATTGTCTCACATGAGCAATTGCAGTTATTTAATTAAGAAAAAATGTTTTCTCACAGACACGCTGAACTCTTAACGATTCTGCAACCTTCCATTCTCTTCTTGTTTAGAAATGAAGAAATAATTATTATTTTTATTATCACTTAATAATGTTATTTAAATTTGCCGTCATCGCAAAAAATAAAAAAATTGTTTGTTTCTCTCTCTACTCTTGGGGGGGATCATTCTGTTTATCCAATTTTCTATTATTTTAGCCATATGGGGTCCTCTGTCTGTTTATCTGAGTATCTCTAACTTTCATTATTTCTCGAGGGCGTTTTTCTTGAAATTGTTTATATTTCACAATTTTGTATGAGAGGCATTGGAGGATCATCACTCATTTTCAATTCTCTATCTGTGTTTAAGGGAGATTGTGGGTGGGATTCCTGTCTCCTGGAATATGGGACGGAGGGCCACTAAGTTTGTGTGGCAAGAAAGAGAGAACGAGCTATATGAAGGACGTACTTGTATGTGGCTGCGGTGTTTGTTGTAGGATGTAATTAATGGCCCAGGAAATGAGGACACTTGTAGTAAACGGTTGCAGGCCTTAAATAATTTAAGCTTAGAGGAATCCCGATCTACTGCCAGAGGCTATCTATATGTCTCCATGTGTATAAATTTGAATTTAGTGGATGCCCACTCAAACAGGCGTGGGATAGAGGCAAAGAGCGAAAAACAATTTTTCAAAAGATCACGTGGCTTCGAATTTTCTCGGAGGACGCTACCCGGCTGTAACCGGGTAGCGTCTGTTTGAAGAATTGTTCCCGTCTTTGGCGATGAAAATTGAATTCGCTGGAAAGTCATCGTGGCAGATATTATTACATTACGTATATTATTACTATTAGTATTGCAATACAGTGGAGTAGCGGCAAGAATGGCGGGGGGAGGTTAAATTGGGGAAATGAAAAGCTAGATAAACGTGTAAATGGTGTTGACGGGGTTTCATAGCCTTAGTGACTAAACGTTTAATGATTATACTAAATAACAAAAGAATAGTCATTATAACTTATAGTATTAATTAGTGATTTAATTTCTTGGAAATCTTAGTATTGAATTTATATAGTTAAAGGAGTCTAGTCTAGGCAAAAATTATCAATCGTTTATTTTCATTAGACTCTTCCGGTTTTCGATATCTGACATATTGTTGTTGTTGCGTTTTACGAATTCATTTAAAAATAAACCCTTAATTCAATTAATATTAAAATATTGAATTTTTATTTATTTATTTTTTTCATATTATTGAAGATTAAAGAATTCACAAACCTTATAATGGAAAGATGAGAAATTTTAGTTTCAAAAATTCATGTATATATGATAAATTCGTTCCATATTCAATAATATGTTTAATTTTATCATATCATGTATTGGCCCTTAATGATAATAAAGATATATCTTTAAATAATGCTGGTTTACTTATACCGAAACAGAATTCTGATATTTTGGCAGCAGCTTTGAATCTAGATAGAAATAACAATTATAATAGTTATAATAATAATAATAGAGGTGACAATGATAAATGTCCGCCATGTTTTAATTGTATGTTACCCATCTTTGAATGTAAACAATATTCTCAATGTAATGAATTTAGTGGTAGGTGTGATTGTATCGATGGATTCGGTGGAGATGATTGTTCCATCCCATTATGTGGTTCGTTAGCTGATGATAATAATAATAGACCTCAACGATCCTCAAATGATAGTTCATGTCTTTGTGATGATGGTTGGAGTGGGATCAATTGTAACATTTGTCAAGAAGACTCTGTTTGTGATGTATTCATGCCAGATAACAGTGTTAAAGGTACATGTTACAAGAAAGGGATGATTGTTAATCGATTACATCAAGGTTGTGATGTAACGAATCAAAAGATTTTACAAATTCTTGATGGGAAAATACCACAAGCTACATTTTCATGTGATAAAGAAAAAGATTTATGTAATTTCCAATTTTGGATTGATCAAATTGAAAGTTTTTATTGTGAATTAGACACATGTCAATTCAATTATGATATCTCCAAAAATACTTCTCATTACAATTGTGATAACGTTCAATGTAAATGCCTACCAGGAACTATGTTATGTGGTGCTAATGGATCCATCGATATTGGAGAATTCCTATCAGAGACAATTAAGGGACCTGGTGATTTTACATGTGATTTAGAGACAAGAAAATGTGTATTTTCGGAACCTTCGATGAATGATTTGATATCGACAATCTTTGGTGACCCTTATATTACCTTAAAATGTGAATCTGGTGAATGTCTACATTATAGTGAAATTCCAGGCTATAAATCACCTGCAGATCAAGGTAATATGACCCTTAGAGGTAAGATTATATTGGCCCTAACTTCTATTGCAGTATTAGCTGTTGCCACAATGACCGTCTTTTATATCTCAAACTCTCCCCTTTTTAAACATCCGATTTTCTTAGGTGATGATAGTGATTTAACAAGAGATATAGATGATAACAACAACTTCTTGAAAAGTGATCTGTTAACAACATTCAGCTTTGAAAATATTAAGTATACAGTTCCACCAATTGGTTCTAAATCACAATCAATGACTACCGTTCTTAAAAATATTACAGGTTGTGTGAAACCGGGACAAATGTTAGCCATCATGGGTGGTTCAGGAGCAGGCAAGACCACTTTGTTAGATATTTTGGCAATGAAACGTAAATCAGGCGTAGTAGATGGTACAATTAAAATCAATGGTATTGAAGTCCCCAAGAAACAATTTTCAAAATTGATTGGGTTTGTTGATCAAGAAAATTATTTGTTACCAACATTAACAGTATATGAGACTATCCTAAACAGTGCATTATTACGTTTACCAAGATCGATGTCCTTAAGAGCCAAACAGGCAAGAGTGATACAAGTTTTAGAACAATTAAGAATCTTTGATATTAAAGACCGTATAATTGGGGATGAATTTCAAAGAGGGATATCAGGTGGTGAAAAGAGACGTGTCTCTATTGCTTGTGAGCTTGTGACCTCTCCGTTGATACTTTTCTTGGACGAACCTACGTCTGGATTAGATGCGAACAATGCGAACAATGTGGTTGAATGTTTATGGAAATTGGCTAAGGATTATAACAGAACATTGGTATTATCAATCCATCAACCAAGATCTAACATTTTTAACCTGTTTGATAAATTGGTATTATTAAGTAATGGTAATATGATATATTCAGGTGATGTCATTGGAATCAATGACTATTTATTAAATAATGGCTTTAAATGTCCATTAAATTATAACGTTGCAGATTATTTAATCGATATTACATTCGGATCCAATAGACAACTTGGAAATGTAGACGCAACAGCTGATTTGGAACGTGGAATTATAGATATTGATGAACAAGACCAAGAGAGGAGGACAGATAATGGTATACATATTATCCATAATGATACTACTACGACGTTGGGTTCTCATTCCTTGAATAGGAGTACTACCCAAAACGAATGGGAACATTTTGCTGAACATCGAGATGAAATAAGAGGTTTATTGCAAGATGGTAGTGATAGACAAGCAACTGGCGGAACAATTGTTGAATTATCCAACACTGAGTTCTTAACAGAAAAATATAAAGAAAGTCCTAATTATGCATCATTATTACAAGATATTTCAGATATCAATAATTTTGATAATGCTGAAAGTGTATCGTTATTACAACAAATTGAAATTCCAAGAAAACATAAACCTGCGACTTTTTCTCAACAATTATCTATTCTTTGTTCGAGATCGTTCAAGAATATTTATAGAAATCCTAAATTATTATTAGCGAATTATTTATTGACGATTTTGTTAAGTTTATTTTTGGGGACATTATATTATGATGTTAGTATTGATATTAGTGGATTTCAAAATCGTATGGGGTTATTTTTTTTCATTTTAACATATTTTGGATTTGTTACATTTACTGGATTAAGTTCATTTGCACAAGAAAGATTAATTTTTCTAAAGGAAAGATCGAATAATTATTATTCTCCATTAGCATATTATATTAGCAAAATTTTAAGTGATGTATTACCATTACGAGTGATTCCACCAATTTTAATGACAATAATAGTTTATCCTTTAATTGGATTAAATAATGGTGATAATGCATTATTGAAATGTATTTTAATATTAGTATTATTTAATGTTGGTATTGCATTAGAGATTTTATCCTTAGGTATAATGTTTGAAAGTCTTAATAATTCGATTATTGCGAGTGTATTAGTATTATTAGCGTCGATTTTATTCAGTGGACTTTTCATTAATACTCAAGAATTGACCAATATTGTGTTTAAGGATTTGAAGAATGTTTCGATATTTTATTATGCGTACGAATCCTTATTAATTAATGAAGTTAAGACGTTGATGTTAAAAGAACGTAAATTTGGATTAAATATTGAAGTACCTGGTGCCACTATATTGAGTACATTTGGATTCCAAGTGCAAAATCTAATATTTGATTTAAAAGTATTAGGATTATTCAATATAATTTTTTTAATTATTGGATATTTAGCATTAAGATGGATAGTCATTGAACAGAGATAGTTTGGTAGTTGATGATGGATGGATGGAAGGGTAAATTAGTCAACGCGCGATGCCCTAATTCCTCTACCCTAAAAAAAAATTGATAAAAAAATTGATAAAAAAATTGAAAAATTGAAAAATTGAAAAATTTCCATGTAGTATATATATATATATATATAAATCAAATCAAATCAAATCAAATCAAATCAAATCAAATCATTAATATTAAAATAAGTAAGATATAAAATAGCAAGGGCAACAAGGGCAACAAGGGCAACAAGAGCAATGAGTGGAATGGATGAAAGTATAAAATTATCAGATCATGCGAGTAGATTACATAATCAAATGATATCTGGTGATGATACTACGAAGTTATATACTCAGCAAGATATTCAACAATACATTGGTATTAAATCCACCTTAGGTGAAGTAATGTTAATAGTTCAAGAATTAGTTGATAGGAATTTATTGAAATTAGTTAAGCAAAACAATGAATTAAAATTCCAAGCGGTTGACATATCGGAGGCTGCGAAGAAATCGTCGATGTCATCTGAGGAAGCGTTAGTTTATTCGTATATTGAAGCGTCGGGCCGTGAAGGGATATGGTCGAAGACCATTAAAGCACGTACAAATCTGCATCAACATGTAGTGTCTAAATGTTTAAAATCGTTAGAGAGTCAAAGATATGTGAAGAGTGTTAAGAGTGTAAAATTCCCCACGAGGAAGATATATATGTTATACAATTTGCAACCCTCGATTGAAGTTACCGGTGGTCCATGGTTTACGGAGGGGGAATTGGATGTAGAATTTATCAATAGTCTATTGACCATTGTATGGAGATATATTGCAGAGAATACGTTTCCTGATGGATTTAATACCAGTAATAATCAAAATTTACAAAAGCATTATGCACCAAACGTATTAAATGGTTCGACAACGGAGCAAATTCTTGAATTTATTTCGATGGCGCAAGTAGCCAATGTTGAATTAACCACGAAGGATATTCGTAGCTTGTGTGAAGTGCTAGTATATGATGATAAGTTGGAACGTATAGAGCATGATTATTACAAAGTGACATTGCAAAGTCTATTACAACTAGGGAAGATCGGACCCAGTGGAGTAGAAGAAGACGAAGAAGAAGATCGTGAAAACGAAGAAGATCGTGATGCTCATGCTAATACTAATAGTAGTAGTAGTAATAATGTATCATCGATCTATGACGATGATTCACAAGATTTCTGTGTATATGATTATTACAGAGGTATAGCGCCATCGACTAATGATAAAGAAGCGGTATATTTTGATGAGTGGACGTTGTAGTAGTGCGCTATAACATCTAAATATCTAAATATCTATATACGTTTATACGTTTATACGTTTATATTTATATATGTGCATATTGCATAATACAGCCGCGCACCCCGCAAATATTACAGGTATTTACAGGACACAGCGAACCCGTTTACCCCAACAATTGCGAAAGTAACCAAAAATATTTGTGGGAGGAGAAATAAGCTGCGAACGCAGAACTGTTTCCCCGCAAAATGCAGCAACAAAGAAACAAAGTGTAGTGTTGCAGTTTTTACCCCAATATTGCATTGCAGTACATTGCAGTATTATTGTTTGTTTGTTTGTTTGTTTGTTTGTTTGTTTTACTCCAATTTTTGTAGTTGGGGAGAGGGGGAGAGGGAGAGTCACACTTTCGTTGTTGCTGTGGCTGTCGCTGCTGTGGCTGCTGATTGTTGGAGTAATTAAAGTTTTGTTATTGCTAGTGGTTCTTGAGCCAAGGCGGTTAATCTGGAGGAAATAGTAGATATTGGGTATTCGGTATTTTGTGGAGAAGCAACAAGAGATTACAGCATTTCTTGAACAGGAGGTTGGACCCTTATTGGAATTTGAATAATTCGGCAAATATTATATTATAAAAGGGTTGCATATTTCATTCTTATTTATTTATATTTTATTCCTATCACTTTACTACTTTATTATATTGTAATATATTGTAATAATACAACTAATATAATATAATATAATATAATATAATATTACAACACAACAACACAACAACAATATAATGTCCGACAAAGAATACTCAAGTGGAGGTGATGTGGAAAACTCTCTAAAACCACAAGAAACTATACCTCAACCACATAATATGTCTAACGATTCCATCGGTAAAATTTATACTTCAGGCGATAATGGCGAATATATGTATATCGGGAGACAAAAATTTTTGAAAGCTGATCTTTATGAAGCTTTCGGTGGTACTTTACAACCAGGTTTAGCCCCTCCTTCAACTCATAAATTTGCTAATCCAGCTCCTTTAGGTTTATCAGCTTTCGCTTTAACTACTTTTATCTTATCAATGTTTAATGCAAGAGCTCAAGGTATTACTACTCCAAATGTCGTAGTTGGCTGTGCCATCTTTTACGGTGGTCTAGTTCAACTAATTGCAGGTATTTGGGAAATCGCATTAGAAAATACTTTTGGTGGTACCGCTTTGAGTTCTTACGGTGGGTTTTGGTTAAGTTTTGGTGCAATTCATATCCCTTGGTTCGGTATTTTAGACGCTTATGAAGGTAAAGGAGATCAATTAGCTAACGCTTTAGGCTTTTATCTATTAGGTTGGACGATTTTCACCGCAGGTATCACTGTTTGTACCATGAAGTCTACCGTAATGTTCTTCTCTTTATTCTTCTTATTAACCATCACATTTTTATTACTTTCTATTGGAGAATTTACAGGTAAAGTCGGCGTTACAAGAGCCGCAGGTGTAATCGGTGTAATTGTGGCATTTATCGCTTGGTATAACGCTTACGCAGGTGTCTCAAATAGACAAAACTCGTATTTGATTATTAAGCCAATGCAATTACCTTCTTCTGAAAGAGTCCTTTTCTAATAAATTTATTATAATATTATTATTATTATTATTATAGTAATTTTTGTTTTTGCTTAATTCTTCTCCCATTTAATATATTCCTCCTTCTTCTTCTTTTCTTTTAATTGCCTTCTAATGACCTATTATTATGATAATGATAACATATTTTTTTCTCTTATTCAATTATTTATTTTAATTAATAATAATATAATAATAATATAACAATATAATAATAATATAACAATATAATATATTCTTAACTACCTAAATCTTCTAATAATTTTTCTAATGAAATTTGCGGATCAAATAAAAATTCGTCATAAATCGCTTGATCTTCTAAATTAAATAAGGAATTGGTTTCATCAATCGAATGATTATGATTATTATTATTATTACTATCATTTGAGATGAAATGATTACCAGTATTATGATTATTACTTGGTAATAATGATGATGATGCAGATGCTGTGGTGGTGGTGGTTATTGGTATATTTTGTTGTTGTTCTGGAATCATAGTAGAAGGTATTGGAATTGTTGAAGAATTCATATCCATCATCGAATGATTAATTAGACTATTATAATCATATCCATTGGTTAATGTAAATAATGCCTGTCTTGATAATTTAATCATTTGACTATCAAAATCTTCAAAGATTTCATTCAATACATTATAAATCCGTTCACTAGCTATGGAATTACTCTTTAATTTAACTAATACATCATACCCTAATTGATAATATTTCTCAACATCTTTATCCTTCTCACTATAATCATGATCATCTTTTTTGGTGGTTTGTAAAATATGACGATACACCGTTAAACAGGCAACACTATGGAATATAGTATGAATGGAAAACCAATATGATCCATTGATTATATCTTCATCGATCATTGTTGTTGCCAATTCGATAATCTCTTCAGAGACATCGATACATCGATGAGCCATGGAAACTTGAAACGTTAAATCTCTTCTGTTTGGTAATTGAGATAATATACTTAAATCAATACTAATGAAATGGAAAAATGGTTTATATAATATTAATTTCGTCAATAAGTAATCTAATTGTAATAATTTACTTGGTTTCAAATAATGATCACGTTCTCCACTAGTACTATAATTATAACCTAACGATAATGGAATTGGTAATTCAATATGCCATTGATTTAATTGTTCTTCGAATTGATAAATTACAGATGGCTCCACATCAAGGATTTGTAAATTTAATGGATAAAGTTGTTCATATATTTTTAACATAATAAGAATTAATTTCGTATGTTCATTATTCATTCCACATGAACTTATGATTCGCGATGGATTGGTTAAAGTCTCTGAAAAATCACTTAAACTTGATACGGCAGTGATCTTTTCATCATCAATATCCAAGGGAAACTCTTGATCAACATTATTCTCAGGGATACTACATGGTAAACCAAGGATACAATTCAAATATATATCCACTTTATAAATTGACCAAAATAATCTTTTCTTAGATTCATCTTCAATTAATGTGGGGCCTATCAAAGAAGATTTACGATGTAATCGTTCACGTAATGCTAATCTTTTAGCAATTCCAATATAATAATAACATGATTTCAAGTTCGCAGAACATTGAAGAAACATTGTTAACATAAATAATGCTTGGATAGAATATATATCAGAAATCTCTTTAAAATTTATCATATCCCTTGCTTTATTGAAAAACTTGATCCCTTCATCATTATAAAAGTCTCGATTTCTTGTATCATTTTCATTGAATTCATCCTTAGAGAAAAGAGCACCAACTGCTAATATAGCATATATTAAGGATTGTGCTTGTATTTCTTCATTATTTTTTGGATATCCATCATTTTCATATAAAGAATCCAATATATTAATCAGAGTTGGACGATGATAAAATCGAAATAATACCCCAGCATAGTTCCAACTATTTAAGATTAATTTCAATGCAATATCTCTTGGAGGTAATAAAATTTTATTAGATTTATTGAAAAAATTTAAATTTAATAACGATTTTTCCTCATTAATATTTTTTTTGATTAAATTCGTCATAAATATATTCCTGTCTTCTAAAGAATGATTATCTTTTTTAATCTTTTCTAGAACTTTCTTAGATATCAATAATTCAGCAATATTTTTATAATCAAAGTCAGAATGGTCATCATTATCAACATACTCGTTATTATTAGTGGTTCCCTTAAGAAGTAATATTTCATTCGATAATATTTCATTCTTTTTTTCTTTCTTTAAAGCTTTAATCTCATCATTACTTATTTCTGAAAATTTCTTATCACTATAAGCGCAATTAAAAGAATATCGTTTACAAAAATCACATGGATTTAAACCATTGCATTTCCGTTTCTTCTTTCTACAGATCAGACATGCACGAGATACACGAGTCTTCTTAGTAATTAACTTATGAGTCTTACTGTCTGCAGATAACACTAATAATCTTGGTCTAAAGTCTACCATTTTAGATCTATGATATGTGTGTGAGTAATATATATATAGATACAACTCAAAATAGTATTAGTTACTCTGTCTTCACCGTTCTTGTGACACGTTCTTTATAACTTTATGTTCTGAAAATCTATCCTTTAATAAGGTAAGTAATTGTTGATCTTTGGGTCTATTTATTTTCTTTTCGTAAACAAAATAACTTATGGTACCTAATAAAATCGCAAAACTAGTATCAATATATTTACCAAATAAGTATTTCGCATGTACTGGCATCTCTCAATATTATTAAAACACCACTTGGTTATAGATAGTTATATGTACAACTTTTATATTATTTTTATATTTCTGTTCCCTTTCAAGTTGTGTAAATTGAACTAGTTATTGCAATATATTAAACACTAATAAGAAAGAAAGAGGAAATTTGTGAATCTTACTTTTTATTGTTGCCTCATCCAATCATGTTTTTGTTTCCCGAACTAAAAACAAACTACATCTAGAAAGGTTATTTTTTGATGCCCTCATTCAACCTTACCCAATTCCAGTTTTTCGTCCTTTGCTTCTTCCTTTGTTTGGATTTGGTTGATAGAGTTGCAAATTTGAAAGGAAAAAGGTATCCGAAATATCCAATTAAAATAAATTTTGGAAACGACAAAAGCCGCAACAGTAAGAAAATAGACAGAGATAGCGTCAGAGGCAGAGATACAATGATGATAAAACTGAAAAATATCGCTCCTGCAAGGGTTATATGTTATTTTCAAGTTGATTTTGCTCTTTGCTCTACTGTCAACATCTTCGAACTCAGGATTTGTGTCATACCTAATCTTCGTGAGGGGGTGGCAGTGTCTAACGAGATCGGATCGAATAGGAGGAACTGGTTTTCAACGAATCTCAGTGAGATCGGGGAGCAAAACAAAGAACACACATCTCAGCTTCGTGTGCGGTTTCATTACTCTTAAAGGTATTTATTCTTGGATCTCCTTATACATAATTACTTTTAATTATCTATATATCTATCTCATGGACTGTTACGCTCTATCTTATTTACATAATTAATTGCGAATACTACATTATTACGCAATCTTTGAGTCCAAGACCATACATAACTTTTTCAACGTCTCTCTTAACAGACAACCAATCTTGTCTTCTTTGTACAAATTCATAGATTTCCTCCTGTGAAAATATACCTTGGAATTTGTTTAAGTCACCAATAAGTTTACCTAATTCTTTAGAATCCTTCCCATCTATTAAGAATAGATTACTTACATTTTTTAATGCCTGAAAATATGGAATAATTGATTTTTGTTTCAGTTTTTGGTTGAAAAAATCAAAATATAGATTCATATCACAAATTAAAATTATTGCACCTTCAGTAGAAATAATTTGAGTCTTTAAATGTTCGACTAAAATGTTGAAAAATCTTTTACCAATTTCTTGTTGGTATACATCGATGGTACCTTTATCTGTAGCACCATTTAATAAGAAACAATGATTATCTAATAAAGTGATTGTCTTTCTACAACATTCAGTTGGCTTAATCTCCACAGTGTTCTTATGTGCTGGCGGGTAATAATCTGTAGGAAGTTGTACGGTCTTAAATGTATGGTTTATTTGATCAACTAATTTATTGATACCGATATTTAATCCATCTGCGACAAAACTGTCTACTGCGGATTCAAAATTTTTCTTAGTTTGTAATAATCCACTTTGCCATACATTTTTTTTGGCTTCTTCTGTTGGGTCTATAATTTTCTTTGTCACCATTTCATTTCTATAGAAAATTGATATCATTTGTAAAATAATGTCACTCGTATTAATAAGTTCAGCAAAATTGACTAATGGTTCAACAGATTGTGTGACATCCTTGCTGTCAGAAGATTCATTTGAAACATTTATAGGTAAATCGTTAATATCATAACTTTGTAATAATAAAATTGCTTTTTCGTATGCAGGTTGGATATGGTTTTCATTCAAACATTTTATCAATATTCTAAAAATATTTTCACATTTTTCATTAATTAATGTCGAGAGGTTCATCGAAGTTTTGAATTGCAAAAAAATATCAATCCTTGCTTGAGTTTGTCTTACGATACTCAGACATAACTCTAAATTTATGAGATTTTTAATGTTACGTAGACTGTTATTCATTAAACTCGTTAAGTTATCATTCATTTGTTCTGCTTTTGAAGTCTTGCTAGTAATTCCGAAGACTTTAGTGAATGAGTCTAAGAAATTATATTTGTCACCATCCTTATTTTGGTTCTCATTTATATCTATTGTTGAATTTTCAGCAGTTAAATTTAACATCTCATTTTCGGATTTTTCTTTCTGTTCGATTTGAAAGTTAGTAAATTGTTTAAGAATATTTTTTTCAAATTGAATACTCGATTGATCTAAATATTTTAGAATGTTAGGTTGTAAATAAACATTTAATAAATCATATACCCTTTTATGAAATAATTTATCTCTTTGTTCTTTATCTAACTTTTCTTCATTTATGCTACCGTTTATAGAAAAATCTAGATTTGTACAGAATTCTTCAATAACATGAGAATATATTGATGGGAATCCATTAATAAATGTATCTTCGTTCCTATCATCCTTTAATATTTTATTTACAAAAGGAATTAAGGACTGTTGTATAAAAGATTCAAAAAAATTAGTAAACATTGAATAATTTTCTTCAAATAATAAATCGATCACAGATATGTTTTTATTTACAAACTCATTTAGAGGCTTTAATGTCTTCACCAATTCTTCATCGGAAAAAATGTTCGATTTGTTGTCAGTTGTTGATGTCGTATCTTCATCTGATTCGGGTAGAGTAGGTACAGATGGGTATTCGATTTTGGAATTAAAAAAATCTATCACCATATTTTGTTCACCAAAAGTCAGGAGAACTTTAGTAAATTTTCCAACGGCAGTGTATTCTGCTTCATTGTAATTTATTTCCATTTCATTTAAACATGAATTAATAAATATCTCTTTTAAAATCTTAAAATTTGTCACGACTTTGGTATAATATTCAAAATCGTTATTGTTAGATACGTTAAAACGACTAATATTTTGCAGTATTTGGCTCTGTTGCAATGGATCCTTTTCATATTGAACAGGGAAAAAATTGGCAAGTTTATTTGAATAAAGATTCTCACAATAATCATTAAACGTTTGATAAAGAACTTTGTAAATTGTTAAATAATTTTGTTTGTTAAATGTCTTGATTTTTTCGAAAGAATTAAGTACCGATATGTCATTGTATGATACATCGTCGATTAATTTATTTTCTGAAGGTTCTACAATAGTCTCCTCATCGAGGCCGATTTGTTTCAGCTTATTTGAGAAATAAATGTAGTCTGTTTCTTTATTCAACCATGAACTATACACTCTCTTGCTAATACATTTAAAATTGACATAGTCCTTAACATTTAGATCCCCCACGATATTCTTTACTATAGCCTCGACTTGAAGTATATTATCCATTCTATTATTTTAAATATTAATACGCAATGGCGTCTTTAGGTTGCATAAGTCAACTTTAAAAGACAAACAGTAAATAACTTGTTTTTATTGGACCTTCCATTGACATAACTAGTCGGATAGTAATTTTAAATATGGTATTGATTAATATCTTGTTTCAAAGAAGTGTAAAGGTTGAGAACTTTAAGGTTGGGCGGACCTCACAGCGAAACGAAAAAAAAAATACTTAAACAGACAATTATTCAGGCATCGTTTTTAATGAAAAGGAACCACAACAAAGAGCAATAAAGAATATAAGAGTTAGGTTATTTCTTCCAATTAGTGTATGATCAAAGGTTGCATTAACAATAACCTTATTGTAGAAGTGCCAAAATGGATGCTGAATTGGAGGCAAATATAATAAAGACAGCTGAATACGTTCGAGAGCATGGGAAGGTCTTAGAAGATAGATTGCTGAGAGAATCGGAGGATAAATTTCCGTTTTTGAATAGTCAAGATGCCAACCATAGTTATTATGTGTCATTATTAAATGGTGAAACAGAAAGTGTACCAAAATCGAAGCGGGTGGAACCAACAGATACTGTACCTGAAGAACCACCATCATTCCTGTTTATAAACTATGATGAAAACCACTCAGTACCAAGTTCAGACCTTGAAATAATAAAGAGAACAGCGGAGTTTGCAGTCACCTCCGGAGGGGAGGCTAGCATAGGGACTGACGGTGCTTTAGAAAATGCTATACGTCTGATCCAGGACAAATTTGGTAACAATGAAACTTTCAAATTTTTGGAACATGACCATACTTTGTACCAGGTATTTATTGGATTTGTGAACAGGTATGCCCATATAGTGCATAATAAGAGGAGACGTATTTTACCACAACATAAACTTATAGAACAATGCTTTAAGAGGGCTACATATAATGAATACACTAGTCTCATCACAACAAATAATGACAATTTGCAAAAATCTTTTAAGATACGGTTTGCGGCAATTAAATGGTTGGACTTTATAAATAACGAGAAATGCATTGTCAAATTAGATCAATGGTATAAGGAACAAAAAATAGAGGATGATGGACGTACAATCTTTAAAACCCCATTAAAGTTTGAAGAACTTGCTCAGAAAAATATATCGAAAGAATTGACGAAAAAAGCTCTGAATGAGTATTTCTTAAAGCCCAAAGATGCCGTTATTAATAAAGAAGCAGAAAATACAAAGACTGCTAATGAACCCACCAAGAAGCGCAAAGGTAAAATTATCAAGGAAGCTGGTGAAACAAGGATGAGGAGAAAAAAGAGAAAATGAATTCAGAAGAAGTAGGAACATTTTTATAATGAGCGATACGGGTATCTTGTAACTCTAATAAATAGCAAAATTTTTGTTATGGAATATAAATGACTTAAGAAGTAATAGTACCTGACCAATTTTTTGGTAGACTGTAACTATTAGAAATAATAATAAATAATTATTGTTGTAACCTCGTTGCTAGAAGTTCTGAATGTCAATTCATGCATGTAGGCTACTATTCCGTTCAAAATTTGGTTCCCACTCTATAACAAAAAATTACATTGAAACGATATGATCATAATTATAAACCGATGAGACTGATTAGTATATATATATGCAACAAATCTGTTTTTAATATAAATTGACTCAATATTTAATTTAGGAGATTATGTTTTACCATAAACTATATAATTTTTTATCTTTGTGCTGGGTTAGGAAATGATAATATATCGACCTAAACGTAAACAAAAAAACAAAAGTGATAATCGGAGTTGGTAACATTAATTACCCAAAACAAACAGATAGAAGCGCCTTTTGTACTCAGAACAACAGGTACAATTTCCATTTTTAACTTCCATATATAGAATTTCAGATATCTGTAAGATTTTGTTACACCCTCCTAAAAGAGAGCAGAACCTAGTTGTCTTAATGTCCAGTCGACATTTATCTGGGTTATTTTAAAAAATCAAAGTGACTCAGTGTTTCCTAATCTTGAAGTCCCAGTAGTTTTAATATATTAATAACTAGTTCAATTCTTGACACACCAATATTAAAATTTTGAACAACTTGTATTTGTCGGAAATATATTATAAGAGGGATAATGACCAAGGTTATGATCTGATGCTAGATTCATCCCGCAATGATCTAACGATAGGTTCATCCCACAACAACTTAATAATAGATTACTTAAGCCACTGTCGAGTGAGTTTATAATCACGACAATGATAATCCAACATATATAAATGGAACAATATTTCATTTATGAATATAATTGTTTCCATAATTTACTTTATATATTTTTATATAAGATATAAAAAGACCAGACGACTATAAGTTGATTTTGTAATATAATAAAATTTGTTCAGTTAAATAGAAGATGTCTAATATTCAATTTTCCCATCAGAAATTATGTGGGATCAATATATCTCGAATATGTTATGAAGCACGTTATAGTATGAAACAAATATTACGTAATGATTAGATAATATGAGAAACAGATTGTCGAGAAAAATACATAATATATAAAGACAAAGAATTCTGAACTTACATTCGAAGTTAGATTCTGTTCGTTCTATAAATTATATAAAATATAAAAAACCACTTACAAATATAAGAGAAATATAACAAGTATATTTTGCTTACCTAACATTAAAACTTAAGCTATGCCATCAACCTCTCTACCTGCCACTATATAATATGAACGAATATAAGTCTAACCACAGTATGTCTGCTTCACCTCATAAGCATGTGTATTCCCAGAACAAACCGAAGCATATTAAAAATGAAGTTTAACAAAAGAGCATAGGTAAAACGCTAGTGTCATAGAACTCATCCTTGTTAGCTCAGTTGGTAGAGCGTTCGGCTTTTAAGTAATTATTACTTAGGCAAGGATAACCGAAATGTCAGGGGTTCGAGCCCCCTATGAGGAGTTCTATATTTTTTGGAACTTTTTTTCTTTCGTCGTCAAAAGTGATCCGCTAGAGAAGTGTCTCTACTGAGACATTGTAATGTCTGACAGAGGCTTTGGGACTCATTTGTTATTAATTAAGAAATTTACTTGTCAAAATATCGAATTTTTTTTTGTGGAGAAGCTGAGTTAGTGATTCTAACTTCAGTGGACTCTTCAGGTATTTTTATGGTAGCAATGCTTAATTCGTACATTTTTGCGTATGATAATTGATTATTTTTTTTATACCACATAACATATAAAGTGGATAATACTTGAAATTAATTATTTTTAAATTAAGCTTTCTGAGTTTGTTGGGGTTTCAGTTTTCTCATGATTCCGTAATTATTGAATCTTTAGGTTCATTAGTTGAATTTAATTGTTGATAGCTTTACAAATAATTTCTTTGGAATTATGCCAATGTATAATACGGACAACAAGAACATCCATCTTTTGGATGAAGTTTCATATATGCCTTTTCACGAATAATAATAGATAGATTGAAAGAAGACAATACTAATATTTTATTAATAAGCCACAAAACAATTTGATACGTTCCATCCTGAATTTATCTAAATTTCATAATTTAAAAAATCCTATATTTTTTATAGTTGGTTTATTGCCCCTACAATATACTTTACCACCAAAATTTGTTTTTTGGTGACATTAGCCGATGACACAAAAAAAAGTGTAATTAACAGACTAAACGACCTTGGTCTGTTTTCTTGAACTAAAACAGTTATGTTTACCCCTAACGGATAGTGGACAACATATTGCGACACAAAAGAAGAAATAGGGTCAAATTGAAGCATCACAGTCAAGAATTTTGTACAATGCCAAATTTGAACTCTCAATCACCGGAATCACATTTTAATAATTCTAATGAGACTTTTGAAATATTTATTGAATTTTCTATATTAGCTCTATAATTTGTTCATTTTTTTCAGAGCATTTCTAAACCAGATGGTCCGATAAATTATTTTGTCCTACATAAAAATAAGTACATCGAAGAATATTTTTCCCCTTTTTGGTTTTGATATTTCAAGGCAATGCTACCAAGTTTCCCCTTTGGTTGTTCTATCATTAAGACCCTCCTTTTTATCTTCTACCGTCATAATAATAGGTTTCATCCATTCTACTATTCACTTTAAATTTTTCAACCAAAATTTCGCTCATTTTGGGTGTCCGAGAGAGTGAACAATTTTTCCCATCGCTCTATATATTTTTCCTGGTATCTCATAACAGAGAAATTGTCACACAAATTTTGGCGTTTCTTCCGCTGGAAGACTGATGTGGAATAACATAAATAAAAATGAAGTTTCGAGATAATATGACCTTAGCTTTTTTTATTTTAAAAATGTTAATTAGGAATAAGTTTCAAAGTAGATATCATCACAAGGTTGACACTGCTTTTACAAGTTAGTAGTAGTTGTATTTGAAAGAAAAAAAAGGATACAGATACATCTCTTTTTTTTTTTGAACTATCTTTTTCAGCATTCTAGAGAATTGATTATTATTTTGGTTAGATTGACCCATTATTCACCTATCTCACCATTTGGTTGAAGTCAGCTATCCTCTCACTTATTTACTATTATTTGCATATTCCATAATCACCCCTACTTTGTTACAACTAATACAGTTGTATTTTATACCCATACCATCAAAGTGGACATAATAATTAAAAAATGATCGATATTAACGTAAACAATATATTTTTTAAATCATACTCCATTGATCCAAACTCTGGACACTCCATATATGTCTTTGATTCAACATATTTACCAGGTCCTACCGAAATTGGTGGTGATAAACAAGTATATGACTTGTTGATTGATGAATTAATGGATATGTTAATCACAAAATTACCACAATCTCCTTATTCTTTGGTAGTATTCTCATCTGGATTTACAGAAAAGAAAATCAGTTGGGTATATGGTATTAAAATGTTTTCTAAATTACCTAAAGAATCAAGATATTTTCTGCAAAAGACCTATATTGTTCATGAATCATTTTTCATTAGAACAGTATATCAAGTTCTAACGAATGCCATTAATATTAAATTTTTACCAATGCTAGGAAAGGATACCTCACAAGAAGAAGATAACTCCCCAGAAAGTTCTGTTGCAGTTGCCCATGTTCCGGATCTAACAACATTATCTAGATTGATTGATATCACGCGATTAAGAATATCCTTAAATGTATATCTTCATGATTATGAAATTAGTGAGTACATCGATGTACCAGAAGAATATTTTACAAGATTAACAGATCTGGCTAAAAGGAAATATAGACAACTCATCTTTGATAAAATCTTTAAAAAAATCAGCATATATGGTGTAAAATCAGAATTACTTTTCCAAAAACCAGGTACCTATAGGAAAGTTAATATTTTTCTCGATGTAATAGAAAGAAATAATTATATTGATATATCACAATGGGATATATATTCGCTGGGTTCTGTATTTTTACATTTCATTAAGAACAAAGCACATCCGTTGGTACCAATTGACATGGTTCGATTACCTATATCAGATGACTTAAATTACACATTCAAGACATTTGTGGAGATGATAAATTTTAATAATTATTACCATTTGTTCATTACAATATTCCCATTATTTATTTCGATAATTAAAGCAGAAGAAGTTACAAAACATACTTCCAAGAGTCTGAGCAAAGCATTAGTACCGACATTATGTAAAGAAAAAATATCAATGAATAATGCAGATAGATTAGCCATCGGTTCAAGATTTATTAAGAATTTATTAGAAAATTTTGATCAAATTGTCAGTTCATGTGAAAAATTGAACAAGAGAGGTAGATCAATGAGTTCAACTAAGCCACTACCAAAACCACCTGTGAAGAAAATACCTTCAGTACAGGCAACTCCAGTTTCTACACCACCAACATCAATGGGACCACCAATGTTACCAAAACCTAGAAAAGCTAGTCCTTCCAAATATAACACCAGCCCAAGTAGAAGTTCATCTAATTTCAACAATGACCCACGCAGTGAAAGTCCAATAAAATCCTTCTCTTCTCTTAAACTTTCAAAAGATGAAGATTCATCATCTGATTCAACAGACTCTATAAATAGGCCCAAATCGCCTACACCATTATTGCATAAACCTTCTATTCCAAACTTATCGATTCGTATTAGTAGTACGGATTCTACTTTGTTGAGTTCTACTGAATTAACAGAAGAGAATTTGACATTTAATAACATGGGTTCCAATTATCAGAGTCGTATATCGAGCGGTGCAACAGCTGTATCGGGACAAAGATCTACTTCGGGGTCTTCTGTTATGAGAACTCCGCCAAGTACAATCAGTATCCCAGATATTTCTGAAACAGGTAAGACTGACACCAATGGGAGTGAATTTGATGCGGTGAGAGATATGGTAACAGATAATGCCACACCACTACCAACATCAAAATTTGAGAAATTTGATAAAGAATTAAAAAAGAAGCAGCTAGCGAAGAAAGCAGAGATTAAGACTAAGGATCAATTTTCTCAAGTTGGGTTTTCGGGTATGAAACAAGGCTCACAAGCTAGTAAAGTCAATAAATTGGCTGCGTTGTACGAAGAGAGACTCCAAGGTTTAAAAGTTATGGATGAAATGATAAAAAAGAAATGAAAATTTGGAAATACGTTTATCAATAAGATAAGAATTAACTTAGAACAATATTAATCGACTTTTTATTTTGAATAAATAGATAAATAAATAAACTAGATTCTGTACCCAAATAAATATATAATTAATGCATAGAACTTTCAGTTCAGAAATGAAACAAAAAAGATGAAAATACTATCTTTTGGATACATCAACCTTTATTTAATTTTTGTGAGGTGTGTAAATGAAACAATTTATACGTAAAACTGTTTATACGTTTCTACGTTGTTCACCAATGAAGTTGATAGCGGAACCTGCCTTGAAGAAGTTGATTTGATCCTTAGACATTGTGTGTTTAGCCTTGATAATGAAAGTTTCACCGTTACGCTTAGTGACCTTGACATCCAATTCACCGCCGTTATCACCGTTCTTAGCAACCATATCAGCTAAGTTAACAGTCTCTAAGACGTCACCAGAACAAATTTTATCGAAGTCGGCTTCATCAGCAAAAGTTAAAGGTAGCATACCTTGCTTCTTCAAGTTAGTTTCATGGATTCTTGCAAAGGACTTAACCAATATGATTTCACCTCCTAGGTATCTTGGAGACAAGGCAGCATGTTCTCTTGCTGAACCTTCACCGTAGTTATGCTCGGCCAATACTACCCATGGTCTTTGTTCATCCTTCCACTTCATCATCAAACCTGGGATATCGTATCCCTTGCCATCTAAATCGTAAACTTTGTTGACTTCATCCGTTTCATAATTTTGAGCACCGATTAGAGTGTTGTAGGAAATATTTTCTAGATGACCTTTGTACTTCAACCAAACACCAGCAGCAGATATATGATCAGTGGTACACTTACCCTTAACCTTCAATAAAACAGTCGTCTTTAACTCCTTACCATCCCATGGTTTGAATGGTTCCAATAGTTGTAAACGGTCAGAATCTGGGCTAACCTTAACTGGGATTTCAGCATTTGGCTTTGGATCATTTTCTGGGTAGAATATATCTCTACCATGTTCAAATCCCCTTTGTGGTAATTCGTCACCCTTTGGAGCTTTGAAAGTGAATTTTTTACCATCTGGGGTAGTAATTGAGTTCTTCAATGGATTAAATTGAGCATCACCTGAATAGATCATAGCGGTGACAATTTCTGGTGAGGTTAAGAAATTCATTGTGTTTCTGTTACCATCATTTCTAGCTCTGAAATTTCTGTTGAAAGAGGTGAAGATGGAGTTTGTTTGTTTAGTATCCTTTGGAACATCACCTCTATCCCATTGCCCGATACATGGTCCACAGGCGTTACCGAGGACAATAGCACCATTATCAGTGAAAGTTTTCATGATACCATCTCTTTCCAAAGTAGCTCTAATCTGTTCCGAACCTGGAGTGACAAAGAAAGGGATCTTTGGTTTCAAACCAGCTTTAGCGGCTTGATTGACTAGATCGATAACACGACTCATATCTTGATATGAAGAATTAGTACATGAACCGATTAAACCGACAGAAATGTTTTGAGGCCAATTTTCCTTTAAGGAAGTTTCAGCGTACTCAGAGACCTTTGTAGACAAATCTGGAGTGAATGGACCATTAATTGTTGGTTCTAACTCTGACAAATTAATCTCTAGAATATCATCATATTGAGCGTTTTGATCACTCTTTAGGAAGTTATATTCATTTAAAGCGACATCAGCAGCATCGGCAACTTGTTTTCTACCAGTGGCAGCCAAATAACGCCTATGAGCATCATTATATGGGAATAAAGATGTGGTGGCACCTACTTCAGCACCCATATTACAAATGGTAGCCATACCTGTACAAGATAAAGAGTCGACACCTTCACCGAAATATTCCAAGATATAACCAGTACCACCACGCACAGTTAATTTACCAGCAATTGTAGTGATAATATCCTTTGGAGCAGACCAGCCACTTAATTTCCCTGTTAGTTTGACACCCATAACCTTTGGAGCCTTCAATTCCCAAGGCGTAGCTGTCATTGCATCGACAGCATCTGCACCACCAACACCAATGGCAATTGCACCTAGACCACCTGCATTTGGAGTGTGAGAATCGGTACCTAACATCATTAGACCTGGAGCACTATAGTTTTCCAAGACAATTTGGTGAATGATACCTGAACCTGGACCCCAAAAGGTGATTCCGTATTTCTTAGAACAAGATTCTAAGAAGTCGAAGACTTCTTTGTTTGCTTCTTTAGATATAGGTAAGTCATATTCTTCCCCATTTTTCCCCACGACCAAATGATCACAATGAATAGAAGTTGGGACACTTGTATTAGGCAAACCTGTAGTCATGAATTGTAACATAGCCATTTGAGCAGAAGCATCTTGCATAGCTACTCTATCCGGAGATAATTTCAAATATTCTTTACCACGAATATCTCTAAAGGCAGAGACACCGGTGGAGCCACCTAGAGATTCTTCAGGGTTAGTCAAATGTGAATAAAGAATCTTTTCAGCCAGAGTCAATGGTTCATTGTTTGTAATTTTGTGAACTTTTTCCAAATTGGTCAATAGTTTAGCATATGGAGGAACTCTTGATTGAAGATCCTTTGAAACGTTAGGGATCTTTGAGAAACTAGCAAAATTTCTTCTTGCTACAGCTCTTGCAGACAACATCTCTTCTTCTTTTTAATGATAAAGTTCGTGATGAGTTTAGTTTTGGTTAGTACAAGATGAATAATTAAAATGATATGAAGACTATTTAAAAAAAAGAGGATTGTCAAACGAACAAGATGCAACTCATATATATATATATACATGTAGTTAAATGTATGTATAACCGTATTTGTCATCCATTTTAAATGAGATGGAAGAAACAACTAACATAGTAAATTATAAGTTAAAAAAGCATTAAGTTTAGCAAATCAGTGAAAAATTTCAGTTCATAGTAGTAATTGAATCATCAATCTTGACAAATTCAGTTAACAAATATTCTACGGTACTTGATTAGTAGCAGTACCAGGCAAGAGGATACAAATAAATAATAATAATTCACGCTGTCTGTGTCTGTCTTTCCAAACGGAGCGTTACGCACTGCATAATAACTGCGTGAGCAAATGAGGCCGAGGATTCTATTCCCAGCGGAAAATGACCATTGCTATGAGAATCTTTGGGTGAGTCAACAGCTCCCTCTCCCTTTCTTTTTCGGAGAAGTCCAATAAGAGCAGGAAAGAAAGAAACAAAATTCCCTGTGATCAATTTATTTTGCAGCGGAATTTTAGTTTGGATTTGAATTTCTTTTAGTCGTGTACCAGACTGTCGTAGCTAGTGATAACATACGGTCACATGATATTCACGTTGTTGCCGTGCCGCATGATTACTTGCAGTCACATGACCAACACAAAAGTTCCGTACACAGTGATAAACTGGAAACGGTTCGTTGTTTCCACGTGGGGCACGGCTGTGCAAAACAAAACAAAATCAAAAACCTTCCTTTTTTCTTTCATGATATTTGCGGGATACCCTTAAGTGCTGCGCTGCAGTCTGTGAAGAAAACCACTTCTCATCACGAAAAAACCAAAATTGAAAAAGTGAAAATTTTTTTCTTTTCGTTTTCCCCTGTTGAAGTGAGTAATACAGCGAGAGAGAGGCTGCAATATACAAAAGATAGAGAGAGGGAGCCACTCCCGTTTGCTCACATATTTAGAGCGGACGAGTACGATTGTGCGCACAACATTAACGCAGAATCATACATAAATGGGCAATAGGTTCAAATATATAGCGATAAACAGATTCATTAAATGAACTAGAATGCTATTATTATGGGTAAGAGAAATCAAAGAATTAATATCAAATCGTCACATCACATACTCAGAAATCAGAGTTAAGATCCATATTGTACCCATGTACTTCTTGTTAAGTAATAGAATAGAAAGGTAAAAAAAACTGGGATTACCCATATATCTAGGCACATTCACCTTATCTTTCTTTCTTTTTTAACGATCGATTTCTTTTTTCCATTTCTTTATATAAATATAACAAAGAGACATCGCTAGCTTTTCATATTGACATAACTGTCTATCTTTCTATCTATATATATACTTAGGTGTGTTAATCTATTTTATCTTCGCTAGATTTGATTAGATTCGATTGGGTTTTAATCAGTGAAGCATAGAAGGATAGGATAAAAAATCAACAAAGTCTCCACATTAATACATTCAATTAGACATTGTATCATGAGATTTTCTCATTTTTTGAAATATAATGCTGTACCTGAGTGGCAAAATCATTATGTGGATTATAATGAATTGAAAAATTTGATTTATACTTTACAAACAGATGAATTAGGGTTGAATAACACTGATGATCAAGGTGACGCTGTTTCCAATCTAGATAATAACCTATCTAATTCTAATGATTTGAATCTGGCTGCTAGATTGAAAAGAAAATTATTTTCTTCAAAGAATAATACTCCGGTATCAAGCCCAGCAAGTATAGTAGGAGGCTCTCCAGGCGATCCTTTCAAAGATGATTTGGAGGCTAACTATACTATAGGTGGAAGTCCTAATAAGAAAGATGATATGGTTCAAGAAGAAACTATTGAATTGCAAGATTTTAAAGGGTTGCCACCACCTGCTACCACTTCTGGGAAGCACGGTGCTGAAAGTTCGCGTTTGAAAAGATTATCCCCATTTAAGAAGGTCGTCAATAATAAATTCTTCGATTCTTCAAGAAGATCGAGTGATTCAAGCGATGATAAGACTCTTTTCAATACTTATGATTCCTTTTACAATAATCTAACTCAAGAAAAATTGAAAATTGATGATTTTTATAAAAGAACCGAAGCTAAGTTTTTCCAAAGATTCGATACTTTAATTGCTGATCTTGAAAAAGAAAGAATCCTTTCGTCTTCTTCTCGTCCTTCTACAGTGAATTTACAAGAAATGAACAGCAACAGCAACAGTATTAATAATGCTAATAATGAAAATCAACAATTCGGTAACGAACTAGAAGAAGATGATGAAGAAGAAGAAGAAGATGACGATGATTTTGATGATGAATTTGGTAATACTCAAGAAGAGACCGCTTTATTACATTATAGAGAATTTGATATCAAATCTCAAAAGAAATCCATCTTAAAGAAAAATATCGTTAACCTTTATATCGATTTATCTCAATTGAAGGCCTTTATTGAATTAAATAAAATGGGGTTCAGCAAGATTACCAAGAAAGCTGATAAAGTATTAAAATTCAATATGAGAGCTGAATTGATTCAAACCGGTGATTTCTATAGTGACACCTATATCTTTCAAAAGAATACTTTCACTACTTTATCAAACAAAATTAATCAATTGATCGAATTTTATGCAAAGATTACCTCTTTGAATAATGATCAATTGGCTAAACAAGAATTGAAATCATTTTTACACGATCACATCGTATGGGAAAGAAGTAACACATGGAAGGATATGCTAGGCTTATTATCTCAGGAAAATACTTTAGACCCAGATTTAGATGCTAGAGACCCAAACGCTGCAGTATTAGGGAAATTGCAACTGGAATATTTTAAAATTCCATTACCAACTTCAATGTATAGTGAAAGGTTTTTCCCATTTGAAAACATATTTGTTCCAAAATTATTTTTCACTTGGAAGGCTGCCAAGATTGCTTTTGTTATCTTATTCACAGGTATTCTTTTAGGGGTAAAGACCTTTAATGATCATGTCGAAGGTCGTTGTATGGCCTTAGTGGAATGTGTCGCTTTACTTTGGGCATTTGAGGCCCTTCCTTTGCATATTACCGCTATGTTGGTTCCATTGCTTGTTGTTTTGTTTAGAGTGTTGAAGGATACAGATGGTAATGTCCTGGGAGCTGCTGCTGCATCATCAAAAATTTTGGCATCTATGTGGACATCAACAATTATTATTCTATTGGCTGGTTTCACATTAGGTGAGGTGCTAGCGCAATATAATATCGCCAGAGTCATAGCATCATGGTTATTAGCAGCTGCAGGTACAAAACCAAGAAATGTTCTTTTGATGGCTATGGGTGTAGTGTTCTTCTTATCAATGTGGATTTCCAATGTTGCAGCACCAGTGTTGACTTATTCATTGTTAAGTCCATTGCTAGATCCTTTGGATGCAGATATCCCATTTGCAAAAGCTTTGGTTCTTGGTGTCGCCATCGCTGCAAACATCGGTGGTATGTCTTCACCAATCTCTTCTCCTCAAAATATTATCTCAATGGAATATTTAAAACCATATGGTATTAATTGGGGTCAATTCTTTGCTGTAGCTCTACCAGCTGGTGTCATAGCCATGTTATTCTGCTGGGGTATCCTATGTGCCACTTTCAAGATTAATTTGACCAAATTAGAGAAATTTAAACCAATTAGAACAAAATTTACTTTGAAACAATGGTTCATCTGTGCTGTGACTATAGCAACAATTATTTTATGGTGTGTTGAAGCACAACTTGAAAGTGCTTTTGGTTCCTCTGGTCAAATTGCCATTATTCCTATTGTCATATTCTTTGGTTCTGGTTTACTATCTACAAAGGACTTTAACACGTTCCCATGGTCTATTGTTATGCTAGCCATGGGTGGTACTGCATTAGGGTCTGCTGTTTCATCTTCAGGTTTATTAGCTACTATTGCTAAAGCTTTACAAAAGAGAATTGAAAAAGATACAACGATGGCTGTCCTATGTATCTTTGGTGCGTTAATGTTAGTTGTCGGTACATTCGTTTCTCACACTGTTTCTGCTATTATCATTATCCCACTGGTCAAAGAAGTTGGGGACGAACTTGGTGATCCAAAGGCTGCTCCAATCCTTGTCTTCGGTTGTGCATTACTTGCCTCTGCGGGTATGGGTCTTGCATCCTCTGGTTTCCCTAACGTCACAGCTATCTCAATGAACGACAAAAATAATAAACCATACTTAAATATGGCAACTTTCATCTCAAGAGGTGTACCTTGTTCCATTGTTGTGTTCCTGTGTATCATTACAATAGGTTACGGTATTATGAGTTCCATTTTGCATGGTGTTCCCTCTGCATAAATATAGCATTTATTTTATTTTATTTCATTTTCAAGTCATCATCATTTTTTTTATCGAATAAGCAGATACAAAATAAATAAATAACATTCGCATATAAAATATCAATAACTTACTTTTCTAAATTAGAATTAATGTAAATATTCACATTAATGTACTATATATAGATTAAAAAATAAAATTAGTTATTAATCACTTCTTCATTATTGTGAGTTTATTTCAGAGATTTACTATGCTTAGGTAAAATAGATGGATGTTTCGTATACCTCATGGAATTGTCCTCGCGTTGTTTGCTCTGCGGTTCCTTCAGCGGAAGATAGCGTGATTTCCCAACGCGAAGAAAAACAAAACATGTCCAAAGACATCGAAATTGAATTAATTGAGGGAAACGTTGAAAAGCTCATTGTCAAAAGATTAATAAGATACACATACTCAATTATTTTTATTAAGTTTCATTTGAATTAATCGAAGCACATATATGATACATCATTTTTTTGCATAGTTTTCTATCATTTATTGCAACTTTTATAGTGGTGAGTAAGACACTATTTAAAGAATAATCGACAACTTTTTTCTGTCATATTACCTTTTTGGCGTCAAGTAGGAAAAATCAACCATCATTGCATTAGTATAAACAGCCAGCTAAGAATAAATTTTGTATTGAAGGGGCTCGTACAACTTTTTATCCTTAATATAATTCAAATTTGTCGCAATGGATAGGAGTTCCAACGAAATAACTGGACAAAATGACGAAATAACAGATCTCAATATCGAGTTATTAGACAGATCTTTGACAGATCAAATAAACTTAAAGTCCCGTGAAGATAATGATGAAACATCTCCAGAAGTGATCGAAGAGAATGAAGAAGAACTAGAGGAGGAACAAGAAAATTCCGATATACCTGTTGAAGATGTAAATAATGAAGATGAGATTCTTGTTAAACAAAGAAGCGAAATTATAAGGTTATTAAAACTGAATAGAAAAGAGGAATGCGAAGGTGATAGAGTATATATCATTCCTAAGGGATGGTATGAGCTATTTTTTAACACAGGGCTTATGGATTCAAAGCAATTGGGTCCCATAACCATTAGTTCTATAGTGATAGATTATAACAATTTCATACTAAGAGATTATGATACTCATCCTTACACTAGCTTACCAGAAACTGTATTTATAAGACTTGTTGAATGGTACGGTATGTCCGAAGATTCAAAGCCTCTCTATACCTACCTAATAAGGGACCCTAAGACTGACAAATTAATCACAGAATACAATAAATTATTTTTCAGAATTCAATATTTAAAGGCACCAGAAAATCGTTCAAGAAGTGAGACCAATTCAATGTATAGAGATATCAATAATTCGAATTTTTTTACTGTTTCAGCTATAGATACTCTGAAAGATGCAATGACAAAAGTCGTAGAATATTTTTTCGATATCGAAAGTGATTTGGATATAGAAAAGCTTAAGGTAAAAGTATGGCACGTCAATAATACGCAAAATGAAAATCAACCAGGTGAGAACAATATGTGCTCTACTTATTTGATTGATGAAATTCAATTCCTTTCGTATGACTCAAGAAAACATATCACAAAGGATCTTCTGAATCAGAAACTAAGAGACCTTAATATGTTTTCAGGAAATTTTGCAATTGAGGTAATACAATCCCATAAAAACTACCACTGGGTCTCGAATTACTTAAATTATAATAAAATACAGCCTGGGCGTGGAATTATGGGCTTACAAAATCTGGGGAATACGTGCTATATGAATTCTGCCTTACAATGCCTTGTTCATATCCCACAACTACGAGATTATTTCTTATACAATGGATTTCAACAAGAAATCAATACTACAAACCCACTAGGGTACCAAGGTTACATGGCTAATGCATTTTCAAGTCTGATACATAATCTTTTTGCTGAACGTCTGGGTTCAAATACTAGTGCAACATCTATGGCACCTACCCATTTCAAATCTACAATAGGTAACATTAATAACTTGTTTTCAGGTTATTTACAACAGGACTCGCAAGAGTTTTTGGCCTTTCTACTAGATAGTTTACATGAGGACTTGAATAGAATTATCGATAAACCATACATAGAGAAACCATCCCTGACAGAATCTGATGATGTTGATGATTTTGAGATAGTACGGAAACTAGCCAATGATACATGGAAAAAACATTTGCAGAGAAATGATTCTGTAATAACTGATTTATTCGTTGGAATGTATAAATCAACACTAGAATGTCCTGAATGTAATAATGTATCAGTGACTTTTGACCCTTACAATGATTTAACTTTACCTTTACCTGTTGATTCTGTCTGGAAATCTAAAGTGAAAATATTCCCACAAAATTCTCCACCTTGTACATTGGAAGTTGAACTGGATAAAAATGCAACATACCAAGAGTTAAAAGAATATGTTGCAAAAAAAGCTCAAATCAATATTAATAATATTTATGGTTGTGATATATTTAGTCATCAATTTTATAACAATTTTGAATCTAATAATTCCCAATCTAATTTCTTGGGTGTGAAAGAGCTTATTTCAGAAACTGATTTAATAATATTTTATGAGATACAAAGTGAAATAGATGATGTGATTATTCCTGTATTGAATACTTGCATTGAGGATGGTTTTACAAGTTCTAGATTATTTGGCGTTCCATTTTTCATTTCTTTAACGCCCTCTGAAATATCGAATCCTTTGATAATTAAACAAAAATTAGAGAATCAATATAAATATTTGAGTGGTGGATATATCCATTTCCCATCGCAAAACAAAGATAATAATAACAACGAATCTGTAACAACTATTGAAAATTTTCCATTTATTAAAGAGAAACACCCAGATGTAGATTTTGAAAAATATTCAGATTATTTCAAATATGCTACCCCCACCACTGTTGTACAAAATGAAGAAAGTAATGTGGATGGCTATAAGGAGTTCTTTGATATCAAAGTTATAAATCATCTTGATGACCGAATGCTTTCAAAATCTTCGAATGATTCCGAGGAGATAGCGCCTATCTTCTGGACTCCTCCAGGACATATAAACTATCATGGTGCTAAGGATCTATGCGATTTTATGGAACCTTTTATTGCTGCCATTTATAATCATGGGATATTAAAAGAAGAAGAGGGTATAAAACAAAGTCAAGATGATGTCGATATGGTTGCTGATGAGACGGATGAAGACGTTGTGAAAGAAGAACAAATACTTGACGGAGAAGAGGAAAAGGAGACTGAAGATCATGACGATATAGAGGTAGAACTTGATGAGGAGAATATTGTTCAAATGGAGGCAGCAAATTTTGATGCCTTGTTTACCAAAAACAATACTGTGATTGTCTGTGAATGGAACACTAGTTCTGTTGATGAAGCATTTACATCTGATAAGATTATCAATTGGGAAAGACCTGGAATCTTAGAGAATAAAGAATTAGATGAGATGAGAGAAGCACGAACCAATACCAGTAACAAAGGATTAGATATCACACTTGGTGATTGTTTAAAATTATTTTCCAAGAAAGAAGTGTTAGGAGTGAACGATTCTTGGTATTGTCCTAGATGTAAAGAACATAGGCAAGCCTCGAAACGTATTCAGTTATGGAATACACCCGATATATTAACGATTCATTTGAAAAGATTTGAAAGTTCAAGATCCTTTGCAGACAAGATTACTGAAGTAGTGAAATTTCCCATCACCGATCTTGACATGAAACATCATGTTGTAGACCAAGCAGATCCTCGGGGTTACACTTACGATCTAATTGCTGTTGATAATCATTTTGGTGGTATTGGAGGTGGTCATTATACTGCGTACGTTAAGAATTGTGTGGATGGTCAATGGTATTATTTCAATGATGGTAATGTCACTGAGGCTGTTCCGGAGGATAGTATTACAGGTGCAGCATATTTATTATTCTATTTACGTCGTCCCGTCACTGATGATTATAGCCAATTGAATGCTGGGTATGGAAGTGAACGATTACGTGAGATTTTAGCGGAATCGAGAGCTAGTCATGATACAAAACTGCAACAATTGAATAACGTTCAAACAAAGTTGTTTGAGAGTAACAAAACCGATACGGAGGATGGTGAAGTGGAGGATGGAGATAATGAGCATGAAGAAGAAGAAGAAGAAGAAGAAGAAGAAGAAGAAGAAGAAGAAGAAGAAGAAGAAGAAGAAGAAGAAGAAGATATTCAATATAGTGAAAATGCATCATCATCATCAGAGGAAAATGAAAATATCGCAGAGTCACCACAGGGTTCTGTGAATGAATCCCAAAGAAATGATTCTATAAATTATTCACATCGTACTGTATCAAAGGAACCTTTATCAGATATTAAGAAACCTAATGAAGACACAAATAACGATAACTACGACGACGACGAGGATGGATGTGTTAGTGATAGTACAAATTCAGATAGAAAAAGAATACGATTAATACAGGATCATATTACTAGTACAAGTACATAGAAATACATAGAAATAAATATGTGTGTATATATGAATGGAATTATTTTCTTCATTTTTATTGGCTCTTTTTGTTATTAATATTACCATTAGTAGTTGAATCTAATTTTTTACCCAATTTTTTATTTTTATTTTTATGAGTATAATGATCTTCATAAAAGAAAATGAATAAAACTAAATACGATGATAAAATTGATGCACCCCAATACATTGCATTCATTGTACCTGCACAGTCACCACAATAAGGTAAACCTGAATCTTTTAAATAAAGATAAATAAATTTAGTATAAGTTGTGAAGAAGATAAAAGATACGTCAAAGATGAATTGAATAATTTGTAGACGTGTAACCCATTCTTTCCACCAAACTTTAATACCACAAGTTGATAAGAAGTAATACCAATACATTATAACATGAACTGTTAGATTTAAAGTAATTGGAACCCATGCAATTGCAGTACCACCGAATAATTGAGTATAGCACAATAACGCTGTTGCACCATGATGATAAGTATGTAAAAAAGTTAATTTTTTATGTTTTAATACTAAAAAAAAAGTATCAATAAACTCCCAAAATTTAATTAAATAATTAATATAATATAAAGTTCTTAATCTTGGAGTCCATGCATTAACGTTACAAATTGAATAAAATAGACCATAAGTTTTAATAATTGGTATTAATTCTTCGAGAATTAGTAATAATAAAATTAAGGAGATTATTGTTAAAAATAAATTATGAAATTTAACTAATAAAGTTAATTTTAGTGGTTTTGTATTTTTTAATAAAAATCTTCCACCAAATATAATAATATAATAAAGTAAAATTACTAATAAAACATTATGAACTTCACTCATAAAAACATCACTATCTTTAATGAAGATGAATTCACTCGGTTTAAATTTCCCATTAGTTAAATTTATCGCCAAATTATTAAAATGATCCCACAATATCATATTTATAATTTAAAATTCAAAATTAGATGTAATTATAAGTATATATTCCACCTCGATAGAGAGAAAATACAATCCTAAAAATTGACTGAAAATTAAATAAATAAATAAAAAAAATAATCAAAAGGTAAACAAACTTACCTTCTAGCTCTAAATATTTCGATACTATTTATATATGTATAAGAATAAATCTAATTAAGAAAGGGATGTGCATATTATTAATTTACTCATTTACTCATGTACTCATTTATTTTATTTGTGGTTTGCAAACAACGAGAACTAGCAGTAGTGGGGAGGGGTGGAGTGTGCCCACTTACATCCAGCAATATTTACAATAACAATTTGCACCAATAATATGGATAATTCCACATTGCTCTACTACCGTCAGACCGAAAAATGCTGTTCGTTGCCATCACCTTGTCTTTCTGTAACGGCGATAGAAATACGTAAACAGAGCGAGAGCACCAATAGTATCGTGATGTCTTGCTGCGTTTGTTTGTCTGGGTAAGAGGGACATATCACAGATATGTATATATTTGGCACAAATCCCGCTAAATCCCTGCAGATTTCCTCTCTTTTAGTCCGAATACTATTATTATTTACGTATGCGCACGTGACTCTCGGGTATAGGGATGGATGGTGCACATTGTCGACGTAGGGTGTGATGTTCTGCTGTGCTATGAATACTACATTTAATTGCCATTCAAGTATATATATACATACATAGATATATATATCTATGCAGAGCAATTGTTGGCGAGTGACTACTAAATGGTTTTCATCACCTGCTGCTCTATATCATATGGAAGTAGAGAATCTGTAGTATGCAAACATTATTACTATAGCAGGTTTGTTTAAAGATACACATACATATATCTATATATATAGAGGTTTGTGTGTGCATATTTGTATTCGACATGAGAAATGATTAAATTGAGTCCTCTTCTCTATATTTATGTATGTGCGTTGATTACCGGATCAGGAAATGTAATTGAATACGCGTACATACATACATATATATGTTTAGTTATTTTAAATGTACGCGTTCGCGCAGCATCAATCTATTTTTTTATAGCGATGGCTGGGATACGATTACCTGATATGGTAATTTAACATATTTTATTTCTCGAATAAATATATAATATTTATTCACAGATCATATATATATATATGTACTTATACATATATCTATCAGTTTGATCGGTGTATTAATGATTCTCAACAAGTATATATAAGTTCAAGTATACATATATATATCTAGAGTTATTCCTTTCAAATAAAAAAGATGAACTCATTACAAATGGATTTACCACCGTTCCCTGAAACACCAAGAAAATTAAAAAGATCTAGAAATATATTAAATTCTCCCTCAAAATATGATGATGAGAATGACCATTCTCCATTGAGGTCTTTAAGTGATAACACCATTCAAAATAGAATTGGAACTGAAAAAAGATTATTAAGGTCATCAACAAAACTTCAATTACCATCTCCAGAAAATTCTCCTCAAAAGAAAAGACAAAAAAAAATACTCACAGAATTATCTTCAAATAAATTAACCTTTGGGAAACAATCGCTTTATGCTCGTACAAAGAGTCTTTTACAAAGATCTTCTTCTGTAATACCAAATGAATCAGGTGCTCTTTTAACAAGAGAAATTCAATGTTCACAAATTTTAAATTTCTTAGATGAAAATATTATAAATCATAAAAGTAATTCGTTGTATATTACAGGCCCACCGGGAACAGGGAAAAGTGCACAACTAGAATTATTATTAAAATATAAATTTTTACCAATAGATTTAAATCAATCTCATATTAAAACACATAACCCAAATCTTGTAAATAATAATTATTATCAACCAATGTCATTAAAGGCTCGTACTGAAAATATTAACGTTTCATCAATTAATTGTATTGCTATTAAAGAACCATCCCAAATCTTCCAAAGGATATACGAATCATTTGTCACAAAAGAATATGAATCACAACATAAAACTGTTAAGACAATGTTACATTTACAACAATTTATGCAAAAATATTCAAAGGAAACTACATTTGTTATCATCTTAGATGAAATGGATAAATTAGTTCGTTTAACTACAAATGATACCCATGCTACAAGAATAATCTTTGAATTATTTATGTTAGCAAGATTACCAGATATAAATTTCATTTTAATTGGTGTGGCTAATTCTTTAGATATGAAAGATAAATTTCTATCAAGATTAAATTTAAGACAAGATTTATTACCAAAAACGATCGTTTTTAATCCTTACTCAGCTGAAGAAATGTTTCGTATTATTATGGATAAAATTAGTACCCTGGATGATTGTGTTTTCAATCCAATGGCCATAAAGTTTGCAGTTAAAAAATGTTCAGGAAATACAGGTGATCTGAGAAGATTATTAGATATCTTAAGGCATAGTATTGAAATTGTCGAATTAGAAAACTTAATGGAAAGACGTAAAAATGGTAAGAAATACATAGAGAATGATGATTCTGAAATTAAAAAAATCGGTTTACAACATATTGCTAAAGTATTCTCCTCAATCACCAATTCTTCTTCAACGAGATCAAGGATTAATAAAATTAACATGCAACAAAAAGTTATTTTATGCAGTTTGGTTCAAAGAGAAAAGACTGACATCTTCCAAAGTAGTTGTAACTTGGATGATGCATTCAGTTATTACGTAAAGCTACTTAATAACAAAGATGTATTCAAACCATTGAACAGAAACGAATTCCTCGAGGTTTGCAACGCTTTAGAGACATGTGGTCTTGTTGAGATCAGTAATGGTAGATCAACAGGTAAAACTAGACATGTTGTTAAACTTATTAAAACAACAGTAGATGAGAAAGAGTTCACACAAGAGATCAGCAAGACTGAACTTCTTAAGCACTTCCTTATTTTGTAATATTACACATACATATAGCATAGATACATACAGCATAGATACATACATACACACGTAGAAGCAAAATAAACGGCATATTTCAGGTATTGTTGTCATTTTTCAAGAAAATATGTCATCTTCTTGAATTATGTAGTGGATTGTCTCTCTAATTAGGTTTACTAAACCCACAAGAAATTATTTGCCTTAGAAACGCGCCCGCTAAGAAATTACGTGAACAGTTTCCCTCATCGTCAGACAAAAATCAATCATAAACAACAACAAACTGACAGATAGTTGCAGCAGCATTGAAAAATGGTATAATATTTCATACATTCTAATGTTATCTTTAAAACTATGTTTAATTGATGAGATAGCTTAAAGTTGGTAGAACATCATATACCAATCACAAGAAGGTCAACCATTTTGTCTTATTAATTTATTTGTTAATAAATTGAAAACTGAAACATGTCAATAATACAAAGAGTACGACCTCACATTCATATAGTGATACTTTGTTTATGTTGGTATACTATCTCATCTATCGGTTCTAGAGTTACTAAGAAAATTCTAACAGAATGTCCATTACCATTATTTCTAGGAGAATTTCAATTTATATATACTGCATTTCTTGCTTTAGGATCCTGTGCCCTGGCACGTAAATATAGAGGTGTCTATAATACTTTCCCTGCTGGAACGTTTCCAAATTATTATCGTCATTCGAATGAAAAATTTAATCATTCGACGGGTCCTGAACTAGATAAACAAGATGCTCTGATTATTAGTCCATCTAAACATATAATAAATACCGTATTGCCTTTAGGGTTATTCCAATTTGTTGGAAAATATTTTGGTCATACAGCAACTTCATTGGTCCCAGTATCTACTGTTGCTAGCATTAAGACGTTATCACCTGTTTTTATTCTAATTTTCCAAAAATGCCTAAGAATCAGCACCTTACCATTATCCTTGAATCTATGGTTAAGTCTTTTCAGTATTGTTGCTGGTGTTTGGATTATTGTTAATGAAGATGGGAAAAATCGTAAATCAAAACTCAATTCAAAGGATGGCAGTTATTCATCAAGTGGTATCCTATGTGCCATAATTTCCATGTTTATATTTGTTGCTCAAAATATCCATGGTAAGAAAATCTTTACATTCAAATCTGATTCTAAATTAATTAGTGAAAGAGTGCACAATTCCAAAGAAAGCACACCTTTACCATTCTATAATAATGAGAAAGTTGGTATCAAATACGATAAATTGACATTAATGATCTACATTTCGTCAGTAGGGTTTTGTCTATCACTTGGTTGGTTTAGTTTCTTAGAATTTCCAATTGTTTGGAATTATGTATTTGGTAATGGACAATCTGATGTCATAAATTCTATACCGTGGAAATTATTCTTAGTGAATGGAACATTCCATTTTATTCAAGCAATGATAGCATTTCACCTCTTAGGAGAGGTCAGCACATTAACGTATTCTATTGCCAATTTAATGAAAAGAATTGCAATTATATCTGTTAGTTGGATCTTTTCGGGAGTTTCTGTTTCTTTTATTCAAGTATTTGGTTTACTCTTAAATGCACTCGGATTATTTCTTTACGAACAATGTAACAATAAAAATAAATTGAAGAAACTCCGTCCTGAGTAAATAAGTCAATTAATGGACTATCAATCGAAGAAACTTCTATCTTCAAAAACATTTCGTTTTTTATTTTGGTAAACTGTTCTTTAATTTCCAGTATCAATATTTTATATATTACAAGTCATTATACACACAATAAAAAAAACATATAGTATTTTTCACTTCTTATTGATCTTTAGGTATAGAAATACTTCAAAACATATATATATATACATATACTTGAAATTGTCATAATGTTCAATTTGCATACTGTTCTTTCTTCTTCTTAAGTGCTTCTTCTCTCATTATTATCGCACTCTCTGGATCAATCTTATCTATGAACATTGGGAAAGCAAAAACACAGATGATAGTAATTACACCTGCAAGCTTCCAACGGGAGTTTAATATACTTCCAACGATCCCGTTATCATTCATGATACCTGAGTTTCTAGTCTGGAAGTATGCTCTGAATGGTGCTTTCTGTATCACAGAAATAGTCAAATGAGGCTCGGTAGTGATTTGCTCCAATTTATCAGCATGGATAATATCCTTTGATGGGAAATATTCTCTACCGAAATAATTTTTAAAACCACTCATTTGTGAAGTACCATTTTCTAATTGTATAAATTCCACTAAAATTCTATTGGGGTATAGATTATAGTCTAATGAACTAGATGATAATACGAAATATGTAGTTTCATTAATACCTTTATTTATTGGTAAATCATCGAATTTGAAATTACCATCCAAATCAAGTAAATGTGTCGTAGCTTTATAAGGGTCTTGTGTACTATAATTACCAATTTGATATAAACTGAAAGAAGTTCTTCTAATTGCGTTTTTGGTTAGGTTACCCAAAGAGAACTCGAACTTACCTTTAATGGAAGTCGCTAGACATACGTTTAGTAACAGATTCAAAATGTAAATACAGGACAATTTCATCTTATTAATTAATACTTGTAGTTTGTTTTTATGTACTACACTTTCTTTATTAATAACTAAGCAATGTAAGGGTTTACCACCTTTATTCTTTCAAAAATTATTATTATTTGTATCTATTTATCAATGAGATATCTAACTATTTAAAAAAAGAAAGTGGGAAAGTCCTCTAGGAAGGGCCAAAGTCAAAAAACTACTAAGATAGCGGTAAAAAGGTGAACACTACGCAAAATGTACTGTGAAATCCCACAGAAGCGCGACTTCCATTTACCGAGAAGAGTTGTTCCACACAAATAGAAATTCAATTTTTTTTATTTTTCACTTTCAACCTGTCAAGTTCTGTTCTTCTGACATATATAAATGGAAGAGATGAAATATCATTCAAGTTATTGGAACTTTGTATATATTCTTTCTTTAAATTTAAGTTTATATATTTCATTGTTTTTTTTTTTTTCATAAAAGAACCATATTACATTTACATTTCAGAACGAGTATTATTGTAGTAGATTTGTGACGAAATATTTTTATTTTAAATTCAGGCAATTCTTACTCTACAACTCAGTTCGAGATCGATACACATACGTGTGCATATTGACTCTTTAAGCATGGTGAAAGATATTTTTACTTAACTGTGCTCCAGACGTCTCAAACATTCCTTTTCCATATATAACTCTTCGAACAGCCTAAAAAGAGGAGGCAGAACGATGAACTTACAAAATCGTCGGCAGGAACGTAAGAAGATTATAATTTAACAACCTTATTGCATTACTCTTGAATAGCGTAGCATTCATAATCAAGCTATATAATGTAACTGTTAGGAAATTGTCACGGGACAACTAGATATTTTAGTCAAGTTGTCAATATAACGTGCCTTTAAACTGAAAATTGTTACTTGAGCGACAAACAGCATCAATTCAATTAAGCAATCGGAAAAAACTATAACTTGGACTGCCTAAGTTAAAACACCCATACATACCGGAAAGACCTAACTGACTTTTTTTCAATTTTTTTCTAAATTTCTCTAAAAATTTGAACAATAAGAGAAAGGCCGATTTTTCACCTGGCGAAAATCAATATTTATTATGCGAACTATATAAGTAGACACCCCATCTGGTATTACATAAACTGTTTTTAAGACTCTATTAATTTCTGTTTTTTTTTGAATCAATTTAGAAGAAACCAATATATAGAAATTCAGAATGACTACTGGTACGTACAAGGGGTGATATCCTGTTTAAAACCATTTAGTTATTCTTAAGATCAATAGTGGTAAATTTTTATTGGAATACTTACGCAATGTGTCAATTTGAGATCGGAAATTTACATTATGTCAGGTTTGAATTATAATTCGTACCTTTGATGTTTTGCAAGTTTTCATCAATGAATTGACTCAATTATGTTTAAGCTAATAACAATTCATACATTTATGAATCGTTGTCTAAAAATTACCAATCTTTGTTCTTAAGAAAATCTAGATACTTAAACAGTAAAAAAGAACTCTTAACTAAAGGAATTGACTTTGTTTGTTCCTTTATTATTATTAATATCGTTTATAAGTTTCCAATCTTACTAACTCAATTCAAAATCAAATTAATGACAAGTATTTTAATACTATTATTATTTCGATGACCACTTATTATTATAGTTCAAGCTCGTGATAACTCTCAAGTCTTCGGTGTTGCTAGAATCTTTGCTTCTTTCAACGATACCTTCGTCCATGTTACCGATCTTTCTGGTAAGGAAACCATCGCCAGAGTTACTGGTGGTATGAAGGTTAAGGCTGACAGAGATGAATCCTCTCCATATGCCGCTATGTTGGCTGCTCAAGACGTCGCTGTTAAGTGTAAGGAAGTCGGTATCACTGCCGTCCATGTCAAGATTAGAGCCACTGGTGGTACTAGAACTAAGACCCCAGGTCCAGGTGGTCAAGCCGCTCTAAGAGCTCTAGCCAGATCTGGTCTAAGAATCGGTAGAATTGAAGATGTTACTCCAGTTCCATCTGACTCTACCAGAAAGAAGGGTGGTAGAAGAGGTAGAAGATTATGAAGAAAGAAAAATCTATATGGTTTGTTCTATATTATTATTTTTCCTTATCTCATTAAATCATCGATGTCTTTGTATAACCTTTACTTAAATCGGTTACATTATATACATACATTTGTACTCATTTACATTTAAACTTATTTAATATTCTAACATATTAATAAATGTCTTTTGCATATTCTCGTTGTTACTTAAATGATAATGAAACTATTATTACTGCGATGTTTTGGTATCATTTAACGAGTTGTTAGGTCAATTGCTTCATTGCATACAAGATTTAATTCTCATATTTTTAGTTTTTGATGTTTCTATTATTTCAATGTTTTTAAATTACACAAAATATCTAATAGATATATATAATGCTATCTAATTGTAGGTGATCCCATAGTTTTTGCTTTTAAAGTTAAGTTTATCAACAATAAGAGTTCGCTTAGTAAACGAAACCTAGAATCTTACCAGAGACATGCTTTCTTCTGGCTTCTTCGTGGTCCATAATACCGGCAGAGGTGGTTAGGATAACGAAACCGAATTGTCTAGCTGGTAGCAAGTTTTCGGTCCACTTTTCAATGTCAGAAATCTTAACGTTGAATCTTGGGGAGATGACACCACACTTGTTTAGTCTACCGTTTAATTGAACGACGATCTTACCAGATCTGTGGTCATCGATAGATTCGAATTCACCAATGTAACCGTGCTTTTGCATAACTTGTAGGAACTTGATGATAACCTTGGAAGCTGGTCTAATCATAACTTGACGCTTACCGGTCTTTTCAGCATTGTTGATGGAGTTTAGGGCATCGGCTAGGACAGAAGTTCTGGTCATTTTGGGCTATTCTGTGTTTGTGTTGGTATGATTCTATTAGTTATTAAATAAATAAGTTATTATTTCAATTATACATTTATAGCTAGTTGTATTTCTATAGTAACTAACCAACTCACAGGTAAAGAAGTTGTGAAAATTCCCATCAATGCAGTAGCTGGAAAATTCACTATTCTATGTTCAGGATTGTCTTTCAGAGCGCGCGTAGGCAAAATTCATGCGACAGTTTTATTATGGACTTTAATTGTTTTGTGACTCTTCAAAATAATTAAGTGTGCGGTGTCCAGATGTTACGCATGATTTAACGCGCGGTGTGTGGGTGTGCAATGAAAATAAAATAAGAAAATTTCAAAAAAAAACCTGAAATATTCTTTCGTTTTACTTTCCAGCGAAATTGTAATGTGCAGGGAGTTGTTGCTGCAATGGACAATTTCTTAGTAGGAAGGAGTTCAAACCATTTTCATTCTAAGCAACAAAGTTTCTCTTACTGTAATGGGCCGTTCGTTGATATCTCTGCTTAACGCAATACGATGTACCTCTCACAAATTTTCAATAAACCACTAAATAATATTCTCTCAATATATTTATGAATTTAGTATTTTAAAGGTGTATATGTGTTGTATTGGTTATTTTTTAAATATTTTCTTCTTAACATGACCAGCAATAAAGAGATCATTAACAATGCCAGTATGTAAAACTATAGCTATTTGAAATGAAGTACTTTGAGATACGTTTAGAGAGATGAAATTTGATATATTGTGGTGAATTACCGATAGTTCGTTACGTAAACCAATATAATAGGAATAAGTTATGAATTAAATGGAATGATAGGTAAAATGTAGGAAGATTGTGAATAATATATGTTAATATAGTTGTGCATTTTACAATAAAATATTTATATGGTGGTAGAGTTGATATATCGTGCGTTGAACAACCAACAAATCATATTCTCCCATTTTACTTATATGATGATGAGGAAATAGAACTGTACTTTATTGAAATTTATAACAACCCTGAATTATTAATACTAACAATTTTTAATTTCATGATATCATATTTAACTCCTATGATTGAACAAATTATGAACATTTTTATATAGGCTCAAAAATCTTTCAGAACCAAGCAAAGACTAGCTAAGGCTAAGAAGCAAAACAGACCATTGCCACAATGGGTCAGATTAAGAACTAACAACACTGTTCGTTACAATGCTAAGAGAAGAAACTGGAGAAGAACCAAGTTGAACATCTAAGTTATTCATACGAATTTCAATGATTTTTATAAGAATATATATTTGTGTATTCATACAATTCTTTAGAAGTTTTTAATTTCAATAATTATTAGCATTTTACCTAATTCAATTTATCGTTTTATTTATAATTTGGACATCATTTAATTAAAAATAATTAATTGAGTTTACTAAACCACCTCTATTTTCAATATAAGAAAGATCAAGATATTACATTATTCGAGATAAATCAGAAGTAAAATTACTGTCAAAACACTTGTAACCATTAAGTTTTAAACTTTCATATACTATCTAGCATATATTGTGGATTGAGAACTCATCATTTAAAATAGCGAATAATTTTTTTATTTATATATTGAATAAGTATGCAAAAATAAATTCGCCACAAGTGTTCATCACTAAGTTGAACTCAACTTAGTAGCGATCAACAATCATATCCTTTTATGTAATTGCATTATATTCCGTTTCCTTGTAGTGGATTAGAAATGCAAGCATAGAAGTATAGATTTCAGCTGTTGAAATTCATATTTTATAATACTTGTCGCTTTATATACTTCTGTAACCTTGATGAAGCGAAGGATGAAAAAAAACAACATGGGAAATAAAATTAAGACAATCATAAAGCCCTAACTGAAAAGCTATTATAATTGAATAAGAAGAGAAAATGAGAACTAATAAGCTATGCAATTTAAAATCTTTGTAATATTTCTTTGTAGCAATACAACCACATACATATTTCTATATAAATGCCATAAGTTATATCATTATGAATGTTTTTGATCGAGTGATCTAGCGTCAGTGGGTTATTCCTCACATGAAAAAGTTAGGCTTTGGTCCAAAATAATCTTCTTGAATTACTGCGCCGGTTAACCTTGTCATCTCCACATACATACATTCTTCCGTATGCAACAATTCATTTGCGGTAGGTCTTTTTCTATAATCTGGATCGATCAGCCATCTAACGGTTTTTTCCAAGGATTCACCATCGATCAAGAATTTTGGAACCCATGCTGGAATCTGAGAATTTGAAATACCAGCATAGCTTGGAGCACCCCTATAATCTTTTGAATGTTTAATACTACCAACAGTTAAATTATCAACCGTCGTTAGAGGTTCATTTGCAGAGGCCGAAGTTTGGTGATAATTGCTTATATCGGTTAAATTTGTATCAAATTTAGTACTTGTTGAGAGTAAAGATTCTGAATGAATATCTGTAGAACTTAAACCACCTGCATCAGAAAGGTCACCACTACGTAATTTATGCCATGCATTACCATTATCAGGTAAAACTACATTAGCGGCTATTTCAACTATTATTAACCCCAAAGAGAATATATCTGCTCTAAAGTCGTAGATAGAATCTGAGATGATTTCAGGTGCGATATACTCCCTATCACCTTCATTTTCAAAATCATGATCTTGTAGAGGTAATCGTGTTGCCATTCCAAAATCGACCAATTTAAGAGTACCTTCAAACGTTATCATGATATTTGCAGGCTTTAGATCCAAATGAACTATTTGACAGGAATCATGAATAAACCTCAATGCGAGACTCACTTCAACAATTATCTTCCATATTCTCCAATCTTCTAATCGTTTATTTTTCTGAATTATCTGTTCATTCAAAAATTTGTCTAAATTCCCATTTTCGTAGAAATCTGTCATAACGTAGTAAGCATTTCCAAACTTCCATGAACTAATGAAGTCAATAACGTACTCGTTACCTTCTTGATCCAATTCGGTCTTATCACGGATGCCAGCGAGTAATTTAATTTCTTGTAAGATCTTCTTGGTGCTATTTCCTTTATTGATGGTAATAGATTTTATGGCATATTTTTTGTTTGTCTCTGCAAATGTAACTTGATATACTTTAGAAAAATGTCCCTGATCAATTAATGTTACATTAGTAAATCGTTCAACCAGATGTGTATCAGGATTTTGTGACGATTCCAAATCTGTATTCTGAATATTATATGATTGTGATGGAGGAATTGGTTCTACATGAAACCGATTCTGTTTGAATCTATTCGAGTTTAATATATTAGGTGTAGCACCAATGATTGATTTTGTTTTTGTTGGTGTAGAGAAGTTCACCATTTCCTCATCCTCATTGTCGGAATTTCTGTGTGTGCCTTCAATTGTTGATTTGGTTTCGAATGTGAACGGATCACTATGCGTTATAATATTTTTATTATCATCTTGTTGTTTGTCATTACCAAAAAATGATAAATTATTCTTTGAATTAAATTTTAAAGGGCTTATTGAATTGGCCCTCATATTTTCATCATTATTATTCAAAGGAATTTCATTTGTGATTGATATTCCATATAAATCATTAGTAAATTGTTGTAAACTGGTAGTCAACTCCATATTTTTCATTATTACAGAATCTCTTGATTTTTTAAGTTTTTTATATTTACTTAAATTGAAACGTGGGGAATTTCGTTGTTGAGAATATGCAGAACCACGTAATGAACTTATAGGCGACGATTCCTCAACAGATGCGATTACAATTTTTGGAGTCTGCAAAATTTGGGAATTACAAAATGCTGTAGATTCATTAGTGAAACTTGTATAGTTTGGATCATTAGAAAATTCCGTATTTTCTAAAATTGAAGATGCATGCAAATTGGAGATACTATTAATTTGATTATTTTCTCTCAGGGGGTACTTTTTAACTGGAGTCTTTGGTATTGATAATTTTTTAGGGTATAAAGATGAATTGAATTGTGCCAATTTTGATTTCAACCCCTGTGGATTAAATACATTAGGATTCGGTATCCCGGAGTCAGAGGATATACTTATTGTTGGAGGTGCTATGTTTTCATTTTCTTTATTAACTTGGCTAGTGGCAGCATCTACCAACATTGTATATTCTTGTTGTTGTTTTGAAGAGGAGGTCGTTTGGCGGCTAATATTATTCCGGATAGAATGTTCCTGTAGAAAAGGTGACATTTCACTCTTAGAAGCAGAACGTTTTAAACGTGCAATGGAAGTAATTGGAATATCAGTATCTTTAATAGAATCTTGTAAATGCGATTGTTGTGAAAGTCTCTTTGTCCTGAGATGATGACTAAATAAATTATTCGATTGTTTCAATTTAGAAGGATTCTGTAAATGGTTCTTACTTGTTCTAAATGGCGACCACTTCATAATTGAAGTATTCACACCGTTGATAGGATCATTATCGTTCGCCGTAATGTTGTTATTAGTAACAATATTGTCTGTTTCCTCAGTAATGTTCTGTAAAGTACCAGAACGCGTTAGAGATAAATTTAAAGTAGCTGCACTTCTAGTTAACGTATTATTAGAGTAAGGGAAAAATTGTAAATTATTTGTAGTATCATTCTCATCTATTGCAATTGAATCATTCTCATTCTTTTGTTCTTCAAATTGTAACGTTGGATGTCTAACACGTCGATCACTTATGTCTTTGGGTATATCTATCATATCATCACTATTCATATTTATATCATCATTTTCATTCATCATTGTAATTGAAATTGTTGTTACAGGTATATTCGTGTATAGATATAGATGGATGACCTTGTTAATACGCGTAATATTATCTCTAATTATTTTTTTAGAGGTTAGTTTCACCCTTATTTGAATCAATAATTAATATATATATATTTTTTTCTTTTAGAACTGTAGGATGTAATTAATTACACGTATATTTCAAATAATTTCTCCAAAAAGATGTGAAAGCAGATCGAAACGAGGAAAACTTGAAACTTGGGAGGTGGTAATCCTTTTACAAATTAGATACATAAACAGAGGGAGAGGATGGAGGAATTCGAAGCAAAAACAACAACCAACAACCTATAAACAGTAAGCAAATACAAGGCACCAAGTACCTAAAATAAATCAAGAATAGAAAACTACATCAAATTACGTGAACATGAGCAGAATACAAGAATAAAATAAAATCATCTCAGCTAGAATTATGCAGATTATTTCATTCCTCATCTGACGCAATGTCATTCTGTTACCATAACCTAGCAACCGAGCTATCAAGTAACTGGCATAACAGAAAACAAACAAAACAAAGAGGTATCTCAAGGAGATGGTGATTATATCATATTTGAAAATGATTATTTTATTTCATTGATTTTCTTGTATCTTGAATAAATGTTCAATGATTCCGCTAACATTTCGCGTCGCTGTATCCTCAATTCCCATTCATTTTATTAATACTTAAATAGGTTGAATTGACGCGTCAACAACTATGAATTAAAGAACCGCACAACGTACAACGTGATGGCCGGCCGCGTTTAAATTTTTTTGCTATTTGACATTTCGCGTTGTATGGGAGAGGCAATACGAAGCGAGAGACTCCCCCCACCCTTTCCCCCATCACATAATAAAGGGAAACAGAGAGCGTTCACCTTCTTAGATTAGATGACATATTTCAACTTGCAATACTCTGATAGTCTAGCGAGTTGATGCAATTATTGAATGATATATCCGAATTGAGCACAAATATATTTATATTGAGGAAGGACGGGTTCGATAAAATGAGCTGTATTACATCTTCATTTAGGTTGTTTGTAGATAGTATCATTAAAACGTATATTCAACATCTTGTCTCTTAAACTTTCAGTATCTCTTCCCAGCAAAGACAACGCTATGTAAGGCCAGTTAATATAATGTATATATGTGTATGTTCATCGAGTACTTCACTTATTATGTGATTGATGATAACTCTATTTTGCATTTGTAGTCACGTGGCAAGAGGGGGTAATGCCTACTGCGACTAGAAAATGGTTTTACAAATTAACAATTCCATTATATTACCGTAGGACAACCTGGAATATACCCCCACCTCCCCCCCCCGCGCTGACTGTTTCTCTTTCCCGTCCCGGAATGAAAGAAACCGACAAGCAAAATGAAAAATAATATTAAATTATACAGTGTGTAGCCTAATGGGGCAATCCGAAAATGAAAGACAGAAACTGAGTAAGCAGTAGACAAATTATTCATTGCATTAAAGGGGAAAACGAAGATTTTTGGCACAAGGATAGAGATAATTTATTCAGTAAATATTGAAAGTTTATAGCTGTCAATAATATAAAGAATATAGATTAGTATATTACGAAAAGAATAAGTTTATTTCAAACCAGGTGTAATTACTATAACCGAAAGAGAAAAAGTAGATATATACATATAACAAAAGAAGAACAACACATATTATGTCAAACGAAAGTACTGAATATTTCAGTATTTTGACAAGTAAGAGACCCTATGAGTCTACTGAAGCTATTAGAATTAGATTATCTCAAGCTAAATTGATCAATAAGGATTTCTATCAATTGTTCAAGGATGTCTCTGACTTAAAGAAAAATTATGTCAATCAACTAAGTAAGATAATTGCCAAGAACGATAATCTTGAAAAAGTTTTATCTTCTCAGATGATTTCTAATGGTGTCTTGACACCTGAGGAGATGGAACAATTCAACTTCAATTCTTTGGGTGATTTGCAACCTGTTTGGACGGCATTAATGGATGAATTCAAGAGAGAATTAAGATTATCTAAGGATATGCAAGCTAGTGTTGACGCCAGAGTCATTAAACATTTGAAGGACTCCATTGAGAATAATAGTAATTGGGAAGAAACTAAAAGAATTCATTCGCATTTGACTCAAGTAGCAGCCTCAATCGAACAATCTAATGGTGATAATGGTAGATTGACACAAGCTCAATCAGAATGGGAAACTGGATCTCCACAATTAGTGGAATTGTTTGAAACTCTGGATAAAAGAAGATTACAAGCAATTAAGGACTCTCTATTGACTTATCAGACAAGTTACAGTGATTATCTTACACAAGCAACCTCTCAAAGTGAAAGGTCAATGCAAAAGATTTTAGAATTTGAACCAACTAATGAAATTCATCGTTTTGTAACCGATGCTAACAATTATAACTTTCAATTAGTTAATACTTCTAACTCCACTACGCAAAAACAATTACAAAATGACATTCCTCAAAATGAAGAAGTTAAACATAATAAAGAGAAAAGAAAGAGTACATTCGGTAACATTGGTCAACGTTTCACTTCTTCTTCATCCACAATTTTACATCATGATTTAATGAACGATGAATTCTCAAATTCAACAAATAATGTCTCTTTGAAGAATAAAAAATCTTCAAATACATTAAGATCAAAAGTGGGTTCTATCTTTGGTTTGAAAAATAGAAAATCTTCTCATTTTGGTAAGCATAATTCACCTGTACCAGAGACTCCTGCTCTTCCAACTCAACAACAGCAACAGAAGCAACAAGCAACAAATAAACCTGTTGCAGTTTCTCCAGATCGTCCAAGATCTGATTTCAGACAAAGAGGCTCACAAAACTCTTATAGTAGACCAAGAAAGGAAAGTACTGTCTCCGAAGTGTCAAACCAAACTTCTGAGGCTGCCCAGATTAATTCAAACAGGTACAATAACAACAATAATAATAATGTCAATGAGTACGTTCCGGCAAATAATAATTCTGCTCCTATTTCCGTTGCTCAAGCTCCACTTCAACCGGTTCAAAAGTCAAGACAGTATTCAAGCAATGCAGAACAGAAACCTTTACCTGCTGAACCACAATTTCAAGTACAAGGGCAATACATTAATAATGATTCAATGGTAACAAATGAAGCCAGTAGACCAATCCATATCCAAGCGCCTGTTTTGCCTCCATCAAGAAAACAAACGATATCTAGAGATAATGACGTATTCAATGACAACCAAAACACTATAACCACAATTCCAGAACAACCTGTTACCCAAACAAATCAACCGGCTCAACGTACTATGTCAATGTTACCTACCCAGATTACTGGTGAATTGAAGGAATTAAATCCACAATCTACAGGTACTTCAAATGTTATACGTGGTCAATCTTTGTTCCAGCATGATCCAACTGATACATCTATTTCGTTTGGTTTGAATGCAAGTGTCGCAGAGGTCCTCAATGCTACATTTAAAGAAGGTATAATTCAACAATCGCAACTAATTGGTGAGATTGCCTTAAATTATATTCCAAACACAGTCATGAATACTCCACTACCAATTGGAATTAACCTAAAGATCAGCAACAGTAGTAAATTTGATAGCATTATACTAAACCAAGCTTTTGTCGAACAGGTTGAAAATGAAGTCTTCAAATTGAACCCTCAATTCATCGATTCTAGAATATTAGGTGCTATTAAGTACTCTATTAAAGAACCTTTAGCTCCTGTCGTGATCCAACCTGCTTGGAAATTTGAAGAAAACCAGGCAAGTGTTGTTCTAACTGTTAAGATGGCATCTTTCTTACCGGAGCGTATTCAACAAATAGTTTTAAATGATGTTTCTGTCTTTGTTCCAATTGATGGTGCAAATGCTACAAGCGCTCTCTCTAAACCACAAGGTTCCTTCAGTAAAGAAAAGAGAAGAATTACATGGAGATTCAAGGAACCACTAGTTTTAACCAGAAATGGTGAGGGGAAGAGATTAATAGCCAGATTTATTACTGATCGTATGGCAAAGGAGTCAGAAAAGGGTATTTCCATCAAATTTGCTATTCGTAAACAACAGGATGTTGATGCTAGTGATATAAGTTTGGTAAGTGGATTATCATTAACTGCGCAAGAATTTGATGAGAATGATCCGTTTGGCGGTGAATGGAACCCTGTACATAGTTCAACAACCTTAAGTGCTGGTAATTATAGTGGGTTATCATAAGTCGATAGTCGTTCCAACGATTTCGCTTCCTAAAAGACAATAAGAATATTACAAGAGCATTATAAATAGCTGTTCTTTTTTTTTTGAATGTTGCATGTTATGGTAACATTCCGCCATTTAAAGAATGCACTGATCTTATCAATAACAGACAGAAATTGCTTAATGAACTTTTAACTGTGTTTTTTTAAAATATGTAACAATTATACAATGTAAATTACTAATAAAGATTTTGAAAAAAAACGTTATGAATTTCATATCACTAATGCAGTTGAATAATATTAACTACAACCCATTTTCTGAGGAAGTTACGTTACTTTCATTTTTATACTTCTCCTACATCAAGTTTTGACCTGTAGATAGTCACCTCCTAAGTTTATATACCCGATAATGAGGCTTTATCTACTGTAGAATAGACTAGTGCTTGCTAGGGAATAATGATTTATTGCAATTATATTTCTTAGGACTAATTCCTAAATATCATTTCTTTGAATATTCTACTTTACTATCCATCGGACGATATAATTTGTTTTCAAAATGAATAAAATAAGGGAGCTTATTGGATTAATCAATGTAATCAATATATCTTTACTTTACTTCGAAGCGTTTTCTTTGAGAAAAAATTTCAAATGATACCATTGCCCAACTAATGTGTATATTTTTATGTATAAACTTACAGGATGGCACATATATTAAATATATTTATGAAACAGACTTTAAATAACAAACTAAAGCAGTGCAACCATCGAAATATCTATACCTGACCGTCTCTTCCATTATTAGACGTAGCAACCTATCGCTTATAATTGTTATTAATAGTATAGTTCTTACAAGTCTTCAAGTTTTCCAAATTTTTGTTATATACTTGGTGTTTTCAGTGTCTTACAGTAATCAGACATATTAGGATATGTGATCCATATTTTGAGCAACCCATCACATCAAATGGACTAACAAACAATCACAATGTAATTAGACTTTTATGAAACGACTGCCCCCTCCCCCTCTGATTCCTGATAAAACAGTTCGCAATAGCAAACAGGTAGGTACTTTTTCAATTGTAAATGCATCATAACGTGCCAGTCCCTTGGGGACAGATATCTAATAAATTTCTATTCAAGTACAATATTATTTTAAGCAAGATACTTCGGTTATGTTAGCTATCATAGCTCCTCTTCTTGTGTTGTATTGTCGCAGTTGCTGATTGTTCTTAATCCTAAAATATTTTTCACCGGATCAGCGATGACTGAGTAGATGCTATTCCGGATTCTTCCTACTATTTTTTCTCCAATAAGGAAGATCCATAACGTTAACATATGAATATATACATGAATGATAAATAGAATGTAATTGTACCAAAGGAACTACTCTCCCCTTTTCATTCTCTAGAGAGTCAACTGCCGATAATTGATACATACATATATATTATCAACATGACATCACCTTTAGCTACATATTCTTCTCCAGACATTACAGAGAAGTTATTCGCTGTGAAGGAGGGCAACTCCAGATATAGCACTACCAATGGTAAGACAACGGGGCCTAGTACATATGTGCTGAATGCCGGACAAGTAGATATTGATAAGCCATCTGACCCTAGAATCAATCCTGCCACACAACAGCCTACCACATTAAGTAAGCTTCGGATGGAATTAACAGGAATGCAAGATGATATAAATGAGTTCCTAACTCAACGTATGGAAGTGGCAAAGAACAAGAAATTAAAAATACAGAATACCTCGGAAGAGAAACGTATTGAAAATGAAATCAATGAGCTTTTGGATGGTGGTGATGGCGATGACGACGAGGATGCAGAAGATCAGAAAGAGAAAAATACAAACGCTAAATGAAGTGCGAAGCAGAAACGAATAAGATGCATCAATATATAAAATTCACTTTAGACATCAGTTCATTTAAATTTGCCTATCAATCAGTAATATTGCATACATCTTAAGGTATTTGATAAAGAGTTATATAGTCTATCTACCTTCAGCCGTAGTTTTATATTTATAATGTGTGATTCTTTCCAACATCGTTCTTCGCGATCTCGAATTGAGTAGAACAGGAAAAGAAAAAAAATCACCGAATTTTTCTTAAGAATTTTTGTCAATACAAATATTGTTATGAAACTGTCAGTCAATAACTATATTGACAGAAGTTATGATTTGCCTTTATTTATAGAAACAGATATTTGTCAATATATTATTCTTATAAATTTCTTCAGTTACTTTGAATTGAAGTGTTATAGTGAGGGTGTGTGCATGTGTTCACGTTTAATTTTGATAGAATAATTGACTAATTGGTGATTGACTAGGACTGGGAACGATACAAAACAGAAATATTTGTTATCTCGAACTACAACAGTTTTAACTAATTTAATTTGCATATAGATAAAACAAGTACTATTAAGCGTTGTTGTTATTAGTTCTTATAGGCCTTATAGTCAAAAAAATGGTCCTTAAACCTAAATCGAAGAAAGGATCACACAAGGCAAGTGAGAATTCATCTCAATGGCCCTTAGGGATCCCTCCCTTAAGTTCTACCAAGAAATATATAACGACGAAATATCTATGGATTAGAGTCGGTAGTATATTTACAGGGTTTTGCATATTGTTATACGTTTTTTCCAAATTCTTTAACCCAAGAGATAATACATCATCTAATAATTATCCAGCGGTACATGGACTATACATGAATGAATTAGCTGCATCAAGCCGTTTGATTTTTCCTCACGTTGAACATGCCACAATTTTAAAAGAAATTGGTATTAGAGGTTTATACGTGTTTAGAGCAGATATTGATGGGACCAAACAATATGTCTTGAAAGCTGACGATAAACCCTTGACGGATGAAGAGAAAAAGAAGAGTACAGATCAAGTTTATTTAGTCAAGAAATCATTTTTGGACCACGGTAAGTTGGTATACCGTAAGAAATCAGATGAACCTGAGATTGTCATCGTTACATTAGTTGATTTTGAAAGGTACGATTTGGAAAATATTGTTAAAGTTGTTCAAAATAGAGTTGACTATGCTCAAATTCATAGATATGGTGTTTATGTCCGTTGGATTCAAGAATTTTTACCTGTTATGAGCAATCAAGACATGGATACAAATTATGATTTTTATAAAGCTTTAGTCATGAGAGCAGCATTACATGCATTTCCACGTACCAAGAGTTTCTTATTCATTGACCAAGATTCTTTGATCATGAACTTAAATCTATCTTTAAAAAAGCATCTATTAGATAAAAATATTCTTGATTTAGCATTATTAAGAAACGTCCCAATAAAACCAGGTTCAAATGTTAGAACATATGACCATATAGACTTCAATGCTGTCAGTATGGTAATTCCACAAGATGAGAACGGTATCCTTGATTTATCTTCATTTGTAGTATCAAATGATTACTACAGTAAGGCATTCCTTGAATTTTTAATAGATCCAATAGTAAGAGATTACGGTTGGCAAGAATCCTTCCCATCAGTTGTTGCACATGTCTTGCAATGGCATCCACAATTGTTATCAAAGACTGCAATAGTAGTACCGAAGGTCATGGCAAGTGAATTCGACGATACAAGATCGGAAGATGAAGTTGATGCCTTCCATTACACCGAAGGTGATCTAGTCGCATCCTTCAAGGGTTGTAGAGTAGCTGGAACGTGTGCCAAGTATATCAACAACATGTATGCTAGAACAAAGAAAACTTAGAATTCCCTAAAATTCTATTGTTGTTATTATCTTTTGACTAAACTCTTATATTTTTTTTAATATAAGATAAATATCTTTGGACAGGGTATAATAACCATACAAATATGTATATATGTATATATACTTGCATACTTGTTTTGATGTATTACATACATCATCAAAGAAACAAATGCATTTCTGATAGAATATACTATCTAAGTACGTACCCGAATTTTCCTAATATTCTCTTTTCTCATTGATGTTGGATGTTTTGTCTTTCCTATGCAAAGTTTTCTGTTAGTAATTGTGTCGCGATGCTAACCTTCGAGGGATAAATAACTATTTTCCTGTAATTAAAGTGAAAGATCTCGGAGGTAATGGAACTTCTTCTCCTTGGTATGAGATCCAAAAGAAGTTGCAACTAAAAGAAAGATCTCATGTTTGTTAGGATCAGGAAAATGGCTATACTTAAGGACCTTATAGACGTAAACCACTAGGTACTTTTTCACCAATTTCATCGTCTTTTATAACTTCTATTGTTTGGTGCTTGCGGTAAATGACAATATAACAATGAATTTAGAGCATTTGAAAAAGCAGGAGGAGGAAAATTTAATAAGTCTAAGGAAACTTATATCCATAACAGACCCACTTAGCATTCCATTAAATTCACAATTAGATCCGTACAGAAGTATACGGAAATCGGTTACTATTCTAAGGGGACAGATAAAATATTTGATAGAAAAATATGTTGTGTACCTTAAGTCGCTAAATGGTTATGAAGTAGAAGGAGCAGTTTTGGAAGTTTGGCTATGCTCAATGAATACCCTAGGTATTTTTAATAACGTTCTTCAAGAATCCATTCCTTTGATCCTAGATACTAATCTCAGTATATTCAGAGAGGGACTAAATTTAAATTTTACCACCTACATTCTTAAAATATATTCTCAGTTATTATTTTACAAAGGATTATTGACTGGGCAACTTGAAATAGAGTTGGAAACAGTTCTTGAAAACTTTGAAAATTGTTTCAAAAGGATTTATATGATTGAAAATTATGGTATTACTGTATACGATGAAGTGCGAGACTTACTATCAAAGAATCATAATTTGGTCGCATCATTAAAGATACGGAATGAGGATATAGTACGAAAGGGATACTTTAGAATGACTATGAACACATTATATAAATTCAGTCAATTGGTTGAACTTTATCAACTGAAGAATGGCCATATCGCTATATTTAAAGTCAAATCTAATGAGTTACCTACATCGATAAGAACCCCTAAGCAGTTCATGCAACGATTAGTTCAAGGAGAATATCAATTACTACATTTGGGAAATTCATTACTGTTTCCTATAATAAGACAATATGATTTGAAGATGGTACAAGAATTACAATGTGGATATGAACTAAAAACAACTACTGGTAATGGGGTAGAATTAAGACTCACTTCTGTAGATCCAATACAATGGGATACACACTGGAAATTATGTTTTCAAAAATTGTTCAACACAGACGGTAATGTGGTTTCACCCTTTAAGGCAGATATTGATAGAGCCGTCAGGAAACTGTCATCAACTAGTCTAAACTTTTTAGAAAAATGTGAAAAATTGAAAAATAACCCTTTCATTGATGATGAGAAAGTAACTGGACTTGGAATTGAATTTACAAACTTTACAGAAACTCCTGTTAAGAAGGTTCCAAAAAATGATAATATTTCTAGAAAGAGTTCAGGGTTTTCGTTACATAAATCGAATCCTTTACCAAAGTCTATTGACCTCAATGCTATTGTTAATCCACCTCTGAGTACAAATCCATTCATAGAACCTGTAATAAAAAAGCAACAAGTACAACAAAATGGTGGATCCAGCACCATTGCAAGAAATTTGAAGGAGTCTCCTCTAGGTCCGCATCATACCCCAAAAGAGTGTTTATCAATTCCCTCAAATGTTCGGCAGCAAAAGGAGGATCTCATTCTTGATGATAGTCCATCTCAGCATGTGTCGAGTGGAAATAAAAATCTAGTTGAAAATAGTAGTGTCAATAATTCAGAGGAATTTCTTTGTCCAAAACCCACCCACGATAATGAAATAACTGACCAGCCATCTGAATACGGTAATACTTTACAGGATAAAAACCCATCTAATTCGAGTGCAATTGTGCCTGAGAACTCTCACCAATATAATTTACCTTCATCAACCTCAAAGACGGATTTATTCGAGGAATACCTACATATATTTGTTAATTCCTCATACCTACCTATTTTTGAAGATCCAAACAGCAAAATATCATTTTGGAATGGAACTACATGGGAAATGCCTGACACCGATGAAAAAATGCAACTTACAATCATTTCAGTTGACAATAACTCTCCTCTTCTATTTTATCACAATGGGATGGATGTTCACTCTTGTACATTTGCACTTCTGTTAACGACAAAATGTAAGGCTGGTAGAGCAACAGCCCAAGATATTCAAATACGATTCCAGAACTCTTCTGTTCTCTGTGGGTCTATAAAGAACAGTACTGTAATGAATATCAGGACTCCACAAGCAGATGTGTTACTCAGGCTCATCCAGGATTGTATATATGATAAAGCGATTATATCTCAAGATAGTAGGAGCGACATCAATACCAGTACATCTTCAAAATCCCAAAATAATGAACTATCATTGGAGAATGGGAGAGTACTAATCTCTAACATTAAAGTCAAGTTGCATATCTTAAAAGATTCTCGATGGTATCCCACAAGTATTGGGAGAATAACCATCATTGACCAAACTCATAAAGATGGAGCAACATTAATATTTATGTTCATAGATAATAACAAAAGACAGAACAAATTTTCCTCCCTCCAATATAATATCGGAAGGCTTGGAAATACAGGAATTTCATTGACCAACACACAAGAAGGTAGGTTATTTGAATTTACTAACCAAAATGTAGCGAATGAAATATACAATCTTATTATATAGCAACGCACTTATATGGTTACAATGACGACTAATGACGAATATGCATAGAATATGTAAGTTAAATTTATATATACGGAATGATAATAATATTTACATGAATCATTTACTTGTAACTAATTTAGTAGTTACTACTTATTGAATGCTACTATAGATGCAGCATTAACGTTACGTTTTATGTTACGTTTACTCACATCGTGTGTGTCTTCAACTTCACCCCACCGTTCCGTTTGATATATTGTCTCCAATGTGGACGCTCTCACTATATCATCAACAGAATATTTAAGATTATTAACGTTGTTATGTTTAGCCTTATTTTGTAATAATAGAATACCACAAATGAAAGATTTAGTCGATAAGACGGTCTTTTCGAATACAGCCAGATTCCATAAAGAGAGACTATCCAAATATGTGGTAGCAGCAGCTTTTGTAGCTGGGTCTTGGGCATTACCTCTTAGTCCATGGATATCAGCATCTAATATTCTTAAGGACACTGTCTTGTGCGCATCAGCATAATTATCTGTTAAAAATTCTTCCATTGACTTAATTATTGGTAAATACAATTCATCCTGAGCGGCTCTTAGGTCTCCTTCGTATTCATCTCTCGGAGAGAAGACTAACAATGTGTCTGTATCCAGGTATCTTAATAAATCTTTGTTGATCGAAGATCTGTCACCTCCAATTTTAGTTCTTAATTCAACATCGCTATTCGGTCCATTTGTAATTTCGAGGTCGATACATCTTGAAACCAACGAAGTTAAGGGTAGTGCGTGTTGTTTGACCGTCGACTCTGATACAGCTTCCCATTCTTTTTGTAATAGAAGTGCCAAAAGTTTCTTGCTTTCATTGAATGCCAGTTTATTACCTAATGGTGTCTTGATAGGTTTGGAATCTAGTTCCAATTGAATTTCTCTATTTGGTGTGACGGATAGTGTAACGTTTTCCCAAAATTTCTTACCACCTTTTGCAAGCCTGTTGGTTTCAGATTTAACATTGGATTCTACAGAACGGTCTACCCCCAAAGGGGATGAATTTGAGTTCAATAATGGTTGTAAAGTCCATATGGATCGTATTGGGAATGCACCCCTGACCCTTATGGATGTGCGGCCAACTTTCAAAATGCGAGTTAACATAGTTTAATAATTTGTCGTGGGTATTACTAATTGTAAAATGTAGTAACTATTGAATCGCCAGTGTTAATTAATCTAGGACTATCAGTACTTCTATATTACCTCTCTCGTTTCAAATTTTCCTTAATTTATCTAACTTTATCTAATTAAAAGTTTCTAAGCGTGTGATAACCAAACAAAAAAAAATAAGAGTAAAAATAATGAAAGCTTAACAAAGAAATAAAAGACAGTCTGCATGAATCATAAAGGTAAACAGAACGATTAGAAGTATTTGGTAATCTTACGTATTAGAATAACCTTACATTTATTGTTTATCAAGTCATTTCCATAGAAATACACCAAGTTAGATACCTCATTTATACGCTATGTCACAACCAAACTTAATTCGTGATCTAACGAACAGCCTGAGGTCCTATAAGACTCAATTAGATTCAGCTAACCAACAATTAGCGCATTTAGAAAAGCAAGAAAAAATTGCACAACTTACAGCTAAGGAATTGGATTCATATCCTACGGAGGAAGTATGGAGATCCTGCGGTAGAACTTTTATATTACAGGATAAATCAAAATATATGGCAGATTTAGAACATGATGAAGGTATCATAAACGATCAAAAGAAAAACCTAACCATAAAGCAAAAGTACTTAGAGACGAGTGTGGAGAAAGTCGTGGATAATTTGAAGCAATTTGTGGAGAAGGAGAGTAATTAGTTTACTTTTTTGATGTGCATTCAGGAAAAAAAGTTGATATATATAAATGAACGTTATTATTAATGGATAAATATTAAAATTATAGCATAGATAACTAAATTGTACAATATTACTATAATATATGTCAATTATATATATATAACGATAAACTGTTGCAGGCAAAAAAAAGTGTGTGTGTATATATAGTAATTATGATAATTAATTCAAATAATATTTATTTCTCTATCTAGTGATATCATGATTAAACAGCACTGTAACCACCTCTTTGAGAAGAAGATGTACTTCCGAATATCTTTGCTGCAACCTCTTTGCCAAAAGTTGGAAGTGACGTTACAAATTGAGTAGTACGTTCAATGAATTCATTACGGAAATCATCGAATGAACCGCCTCTTGTATTCATGTATGAGACAATCATTAAGTATATCACAGTGAATAATAAAGCATATATAATTAACCAAGTAAACCATGAGAATCCGCTGCTATTTGAATCTTTGTTCTTCCTGTTCTTATTGTTGTTATTATCGTTATTATTATTGTCATTGTTATTATCATTGTCATCATTAGAATTATCCTTTAGACAACCAGATGGACCCTCTATAGATAAACTAATGACATCATCTTCCATGGTACTATAAGTTATTTCATCATCGTACATGTTATTATTACATTGGTATTCTATTTTAGCATCAATGTTACTTGAACCCCATCTAGCACCCTTAAAACTTAAAGTCAATTGGCTATCAACTTCTTCAACGCTGAATGCAACATTTTTGTTAAAATCAATGATCTGTGTAACTATTTTATCCTTATTTGGTAATTTCACTTCTGTTATACCACAGAGGATGTCATTGCTATTACATTCTGAAGGAATTTCAACATTATCCTTATTTTCGGAACATGGATTAACCCACCAGGTTTGTGTAGTTTCACTAGGTGGAGTCTCCTTATTAGTAATACCCTTTGAGATATGCTTATCCAATTGGAATTTCTTTAATACATCGTGAGATGAACATTGTAAACCTTGGACCAGCGGCAAACCACTTCCTAAGAGAAACACGCAAAAAGCACTATTTAATTTCATTTTTCTGTTTAAGTCTGGAAAAATTCAAATTTTTAAACCTCTAATTGAATATAATTGTAGCTAAGATATAAATTTCTTTATTACAATAAACGAGTATGAATGTTTTACTTCCCTTTCTCTTATCTGATTGTCTCTCTAATTACCTGTTGCAATTATTTCCTAATTAATTTCCCCCTCTTGACAGCGAAGGTTCAACTTTCGGTTTTATTTTCGGTTTTTGGTTTCAAAGCAGTTGGACTGTTTTTATAATTCTCACCCGTGCACCCACTATTACATCTTTACACGCTCAATAATTTGTAGCATTTTATTTATTGTTTTTTGTTTTTTTGAAAAATGAAAACAAATTCAGAATCCGGAAATTTTCGGCCCGCGCACAACGCAAGAGAGTACCTGGGAAGACCGAAAGATGAAAATTTCACTTTCTTTACTGGTGCTCCCATTAGGATTTCCACGACATAGGGGCACTTCTCCATTGGAACTGGGTTTTCACTGGTACCACTCTCATATCCTTAGGCTGACAGTCCAAGGAAGCTCGGCTGATCCACACAATATACTCCTGGCTCGGTTCATTCTAACATCCTTTCTAGCAGTATCACTCACTGGCTTTTTGTAACGAGACAGTGATGCGACTTCGTCACCCATCGATCAATTTAGTAGTTGTATTCCATTCTCTCATCTGTCCTTAGTATAGTCTACTCTTGATACCTAATCTAAGGCTTTGTTAGTACCAAATTAGAACACTTTGATAGAGTTTTCATTGCCAATTATACTATTGAATATAGTTAATAGTAATTAATTAATATATTACTATATTGGTTATTTAAATATTGTATATAGTTTTTCATTGTGTTAAACTTGTTTACTTTTTGACAATTTAAAGTAACCAACGAAACAAATAATTAGAAATGGCTAGATACGGTGCTACATCTACTAACCCAGCTAAGTCTGCTTCTGCTCGTGGTTCCTACCTACGTGTTTCTTTCAAGAACACTAGAGAAGCTGCTCAAGCTATCAGCGGTTGGGAATTAACCAGAGCTCAAAAATACCTAGAACAAGTTCTAGATCACCAAAGAGCTATTCCATTCAGAAGATTCAACTCTTCCATCGGTAGAACTGCCCAAGGTAAGGAATTCGGTGTTGTTAAGGCTAGATGGCCAGCTAAGTCCGTCAAGTTCATCCAAGGTCTATTGCAAAACGCTGCTGCCAATGCTGAAGCCAAGGGTCTAGACGCCACCAAGCTATACGTTTCTCACATTCAAGTCAACCAAGCTCCAAAACAAAGAAGAAGAACTTTCAGAGCTCACGGTAGAATCAACAAGTACGAATCCTCTCCATCTCACATCGAACTAGTTGTCACTGAAAAGGAACAAACTATTGCCAAGGCTACTGAAAAGAAGGTTGTTAGATACACTTCCAGACAAAGAGGTAGAATCGCTTCCCAAAAGCGTATCACCGTTTAAACAGTTATCTACAGTTTAATAATAATAATAATAAATCAATATTAATATAATAAAAACAAAACTAACAAAGGGAGAAGAAACAAGAAAATTAGAATAATTAGGCATATCACTCATATTGTTATACTTAAGATTTTTTTGGTACTCACTACTTCATTTGTTGTAGATTTCTATCCACTATCTTTAAATATCTATATAACATCATCTTTTTTATAAGAAAAATTAAAAAAATTAAACATTAGTAATTAAGTAATTCATCATGATTCCCATTTTATTTCATTTATAGGTAGCAAGTAACTTACTATAAAGACATTTCCTATTAAGAAAAGGGTAATAAACACCACAGTGATATTAAGGGATGTAGATTTATTACAAAGTAAATTATTATTTTTATTATTTGATTTTTACTACTGTTACAAATGATCTCTCATAGGGAGGGACATTCTAATATATATCTATATATAAAAGAATTGTGTTATGTGCATACTATATCGGACAAGACACATGTTCAGTATTAGATATTTGTTCGTAGAGTGCAGTTAAGCTGACCAATATCTATAAACTTGAGGGTTTTCAATAGAAATTGGTTTCATTCCATTTTCTAGATCTTCAGTAGTGCTTGTTTCCTCATTGTTGGACGATTTTGGACCGTCTACCTTGGAACCAAAACTTAGATAAAGTGGTCTCGATAACAGTTGCTTCATTTCATTAACAGATGACGTCAAGGATTTAATTGTTGATTCATCGACATTGTTTGTTCCTGTAGAACCCTCAGAATGGGTATCGTTTAATAAATCCAATGCCTTGTCAAACTTTTTAACCAGTAAGTTCGAACTCTTCGCAAATGTTAAACGTTGCACCAAAAATTCTTCTTGTTTTCTTTCTAATTTCTTCTTATCAAATTCCAAGGATCTTTCTAACTTGTCAAATATCTTCAATTTGGTTTCCAGTTTTTCGAGTTGAATTTGAATCATTTGATTAGCCAACTTATTCATTTGTCTTTCTTCATTATTAGCAAAAACATGAGAACGAACACCCAAAGATGCTATAGCAATTTCAGAACCTTCCTTCACATCGTTATATTCTTTGGTATGTAACTCCTTAGAAGGTTCGTTCTTTTCAATTGCTGGTTTTGTAGAGCTTCTCATCTCAACTAAAGTTTCTAAGACAACCTCCGGTTCTGTTGTTTCACTAGTCTTTTCAGCCTCTTCCTCTGCCGTGTCGTCAGTTTTTGTGTCTACATCTATATTCTTTGTATCGACATTGCTAGACAGATCTTCTGCCTTCGCTTTAATTTCAAATTGGTCCTCCTTGTTTTGATCTATTACAGCTGATACTGTGTCATCCTTTGTTTTGTCAGGTTCAGTGGCCATTTCTGGTAAACCTGAAGGTTCTGTCCTAACAGCAATTTTAGACTCATCTTTTTTGTCCTCCTCTGCCAACATATCTTCATCACTATTATCATCGCCAAATAATGCATCAGTATTATCACTACTGCTTTCTCTAGTATTCAGTGGTTCTGTTATATTGTCAGTCATTTCAACATCTATGGGCACAGTACGAGGTACAGTCGAACCCACATTCATCGCATCATTTCCAATTTCTTCTGTAGTAGGGGGTGCTTTATCTTTTAGGGTAATATCTAGTTTTTTCTCGTCATGTTCCTCTGAGGCATGGTCAGCATTGGTTTTGGTTGTGTCTACTTCAGTTACAGCAGGTTGTTCGGCTGATATTGTTTGTAGTTGTTCCTTCTTTTCAGTTTCAGAATTGACATTATCTTTATTGTTCACTTTCTCAACCTTATCATCAGCACTAACGTTTATCTTCTTCTCGCTCCAAATATCATTTTCGGTATTATTTTCTTTCTCCTGATCTTCCATTGAACGAATAGCACGGTCAGTCATTTGTTGGACTACCTTTGGATCAACTAACCCTACCAAAAATGCAATTGTAGATAGAACTGGATTTTCACTTTTCGAGAATGGAAGGTGGGGAGCAAACTTCAGTGGTCCTAGCTCACCTACATTAACTACAGAGTTTTTCTCTTTTTTAACGTCATTTCCTGGTAAATTGTTTCGATCTTGGTATAAAAATTTGTCTTCAATTGGTAATTGTAAAAACCTTAGCACACATTGTTCTGGTGTCTTATTCCCTACGTGTTTGGCGACCTTGTACCAATCGGATCCATAAGTTTGAATACCAAATAATAATTTCTTCAAATCTTCTCTTTCCCATTTTATTTTTTCTGATGGGACACTAACATTGTCTAAAATATTTGGTCTTTTGGTAGGTCTCACCTCATTTTTTTGTGCAATTAATGTAGTTGTATGGGCTATTTCATTATCTTTGCTAGACTGGAGAGTTTGCAACTCATTTTTCTCTAGTTCTGAAAAGGTACGTTTCTTTTCCTGATTTAAATACTTGTACAAAGTGCTACGCTCATCTTCCACGTCCATCATTTTCTTTAGCTTTGCCATGTCTGGTAATTGTACAGATGGTTTGTAACTTTCAAAGGGGAAAATTCCTCTTGGAGCGTCATGTTTGGTAGAAAATTCATTGGTATACGGTGGTTCAACAGTTTTTGGTAGCTGTTTAGCACTGACTTGGTAATTTATCAACCCCCACTTCATTAGGAATTTATGAATTCTGAATATTGATGCGGCATCACCTGATAGATTCCTTCTTGCTGCTGTGACACTGAAATATTCGTTTGGATTCAGTCTATAAGAGTTTATCATGAAATTTCTATATTTCATATAAATCTCAGGAGTCTTTGATGCAATTCTGATTGTGAAAAATTCTGGTAAAGATTTTTTTTCAATTTGATGTATTTTTCTTAAATTGAACCACGTTGAATAACTTGGTATGATAATTTCATGCGTTTGTGGTATTATAATTCCATCATCTACTTTATTTGGATTATGTTTCAATGTAGGCTGTTCTTGTACACTAGATTGATTAGAATTAGAATTGGGGGGAACAGTTACAGTTTCTTGGGCAGATTTTTCAACATTGGTTAGCGTTTCTTCAGTATCCTGCATTGTATGGTGCTCTGATGTTGTTTTAATATCATGGTTGTATTCGTCTGTCGATTCTAATATTCCGTTGTCGTTTGTATTGCCTTGAACCACTGACGTCGAATCACCCTGTGATATAGTTGAGTCTATATTATTTTCCTCATTCATATAATCAGACTGGGTTTCTGTAATTATTTGAGGTGTTTGGGCGCTTAATGTTGCAGGACTGGTAGTTTCTGATTCATTTATTGCCACGGAGGGTGACCCTTCAAAATCTGTACTTTTTTCTCTATGCGTCTCTTCATTATTGTCTTCATCATCCGCTTCTTCACCTTCTTCCTCCTCCTCTTCTTCTTCTTCTTCTTCTTCTTCTTCTTCTTCCTCATCATCTTCGCCTGTATTCAATCCTAAATTATCCTTATTCTGATTTTCGAGGCTATTTATATCACCTAATAATGAGTTATTATTGTTATCAATAACATCTTCGTCATTGGTTGTGATGTTGTTTTTATCCTCCGGTTCTTGATTCAAAGTTGTCACCGTGACGCCATCCGTTATTTCATGGTTTCTGTAATCGGGCATCTTTGGAGTGTCAGTATCGGCGTCACTCTCCTGTTCAGGGATATCATCCATTCGTTCATCCTCATCATCGTTATCGTTATCGTCAACGTCATCATTTATATTGACATTCTTTTCTTCATCGCTAGTCATATCTACATCATTCTCCCCTTCATTGTCGGCTATGTCTGCATCTTTTTTCTCTTTTTCTTCTTCTTCTTCTTCATCATCTTCTTGGTTATCATCATTAGGAGATCCTTTTTCAGTGTCGTTGTTTCCATTAGTTACTTCTGAAGTCGAATCTTGTTCTCCGATATTTGTTGAATTGTTGTTATCTGGTTGGGATATTTGTGGTTGCACTATCGTATCAGTATTCTTTGTCATTTTTTTACTATTATCTTCGATATTGTTTTCGAGATTATCCTTTGACATGTCAACATCATTGTCATCATCGTCATCTTTCTCTTCAGATACAGGATTTTCTGTGCTTATGTTTTTATTATCCCTTGTATCTTCACCTTCGGCATTACTATCCTTGCTTTCAATAATATTGGTTGATGAAGAAGCATTGTTTTGTTCTAATTTATCGTCGTCGTGTGAATTATTAATAGCAGTTGCTGTCACAAATGAATGATCTGCTGTTGTCGATGTATTATTATCTTCATCATTACTATTATTATCATTATCTGGTGATACTGTTTCTTCTGTTTCCAATATAGAATGTTCATCATTTTGGCGTTCTTGATTGACATTCAAAGTATCTTCAATAGTAGAATTTTGATCCTCATTATCCATACCGAATTCGTTGTTATTACCCAATTGATCAATGACGTTGTTCTCATGCGATGATGATTCATCTCCTTCTGTATTAAATAAATCCATCGTTATTATAGTTGTTTTTCTCCCACGATGTCACTCTTACTCTTTTCCAAAAAAAAAATACTATATGATTTAGTTTAAATTTGGAGGAAAACGTTGTTCTCTTTCTAAAATTAAAAATAAAAAGAGGGAACCGAAATAAAATAGGTGTGATTTCCTTCTCTCTTTCCTATTATAAAGTGCAATGTTGATTAGAATATAAAATATTAAAAATGTGACACCAAACGAAAAAATATCTTACACTGAAACAAGTTGAGAAAACACCTTGTAATATATACACTGTAAACCTTTTTTTTTCTTAGTCGTATTCTCAAAGTAACAACAGAACGAAATATCAGATAGTATCTTGTGTGTAACGATTGCCTCTTTACTGACCTTCCTTTTTCTCTTGTCTTAATTCTTCCTGACAATTTTGCCATTAGGTGAGCACACTTTTCCCTTACTCAAATTGTTTATTTACGTTGCGCTTATTATTTTTTAATCTTGAAAGAAAAATTCTGTTTTTTTTGTTTTTTTTAAACAACTTTACCTAGTCGTGGAGAGTGATGGTATGATGTATCACGTGAGGGCTCATTTCAAAATAATAAACTAGTAACTAATCATATTATAGAGTGTTTCTGTCTTTGTAGATGTGTATGTATTGATATAATGCACATGTGCTAAGTTATAGAAATGGTATATAGATCTCTCTCTTTCCCGACAAGCATATATAGTCTTTCCAATCACCGATCAGATCACAAATTTAAGATAAGTTACATAATTCAGACTACACACACATATAGATATATACTCATTCAACAACCAGATGTGTACAAGGCAAATACAACAAGACTAGATACACTTTTAATAGAAACGATGCTTCCATCACTCTAGCAGTACTAACGATTGCAAAACAGAAAGTCCGCGTCTTTTATAAATTACGAAGGAACAACTAACTATTCTTAGCTCGCGTAATACAAAAATAACGAGGCAAAGAATTTTTTTTTTTGAAGTGGTGAGAACAAGGAATTTTTACATAGCCACAACACGTACATAATAATAATTACGATTACGATCAAGAAAACAAACGGTCTGTTTGCATCCATCACTATTTAACCAACTCATTTAATAGTACGTTAGTGATCTTTTTTCACATTTCGAAGTTATAACTGATATCCTATCGTTGTTTCTATTAATAATCACCACAGGTCAAACTAGAAGAAGAAAATTCAGTATGCTATTGTTACAGTCAATCATTATTGTATTGGCGCAGTTAAGCCACATCGCATTAGCTGATATTTCTATCACTAAACCAGAAGCTGGTGATACTTATTCACCAAGTAGTGGTGAGGTTACGATTCCTATCCAATTCTCAGACAATACAGATTATCCTACGGTCTCTGATGTCAATTTGTTTAAGATTAAAATATGTACAGGTCCAAGTGGTGCTATGAACTGTCCATATTCTATAACACAAAAGTTGAGTCCAGCCCAATTAAAGAAGACTATCAGCACAGAGGATGATTCCACTGTCTTGTACGGTTATAATGTAACTTTCTCAAGTTCTGTGGTAGGTTCTGGTCAATACTTCCTTCAAATTAATGGGTTAGTCGATGCTAATAACTATGCCATTCATTATAGTCCCAGATTTCTTTTAAAAAATATGGCAGGGTCTGTTGGTACAAACACATATACTGGTTTAACCGCACCAGCTGCTCAATATAATTTACCAAAGAAAGGTGCTGGTGGAAGTATTGATTCTAGATCATTTACCATTCCTTATACCTTACAAACAGGTATTAGTAGATTTGCTCCAATGCAAATGCAGCCAAATACTACAGTGACAAAGACAACTTGGACGAATAAATATCCAACTAGTGCTGTCACATATTATTCCACCATGAGAAAATCTTTTCAACAAAAGACTACCATTACACCAGGTTGGTCATACACTTTCATTAGTGATTATAATTATGCTACTGTGGCTGCATGTCCATCTGATAATGGTGGTTGGTATGAACCTTCAAAGAGACAAAGTCTATCAGTCAGAAAAGTCAATAATTAGTTGGACGATCAGACGAAAATTAGTTCTTTTAACAATTGTCTCATAAATTTTTCTTAAGTACGATTCTTTAAAAACAAATAAATACAATAACCATATAACAAAAATATTCAATATCCATTATAAAATAAAAAAATAAATTTCATTTTCTTACTTATTATTGATGTTATTTTCCACATGTATTCAAATATATTTATAATTTGAGTCTTTTTTTATCTGGATTGTAGTGGTTGCCAGAGGTTGAAGAGAAATAATTCGAATCCTGACATAGAATAGAGATCATTTTATTGTTACAAGTTAATGTACTCAAATATATATGACAGTAGCATACCTTTAAAGAAAGAAAAAAAAAAGCTGTTCATATTATATTACATCATATTTTTTTTAATAAAAACCAAGAAAATTATTTTCTTTTAAGTAAGCCTTCCAAGCATGTATATATATATATACCTCTTACATAGAATATGACTGCGAAATAACCAAACCCACGAAGGATCCTTTTTTCATATTATATTTGTCAAACAGAGAACACATTCACTTCTAAAAAATATATAGCAATAATAGCAAAAAGACCATATTGTAGTAAATGAACAAGGCCGTCTGCACTGACTTACATACACCATGCACAACAATTTTCGTTGTCCTCGCTGTACTTCGTTATATTGGTTGAAACAATTCAAAGTAATAAAAATGTTGTTCTGTAAACGTGCATAAAAGTTCATCTTGTTTATCAGTTTATTTGACCTCCTTTATTGACAGTCTGGGGTGGGATCTGCTCCTGTGAAAAGCCCCGGGAGTGATCCATTTTTGTTTGTTTTGCTAAAAATTTCACAGCGAAAATCATCTTTTTTGGTGGACAGCTCAATGTGTACGGCTCTTTCATTGTAGTTGATAAAAATGGTAATATACTATTTTATATTATTTATTTATCATATCCGGTAAGAAAGTGACTGACCATCTATGGAAAGAGTTGTGTAATTACTTAATTGGTTCATTGTTACCTTTATTAATTGTTTCAGCAAGAGAAAATTGAATAAAAATTTATTATATTCAATATCAGAAGAAGAGATACCCACGAACGAAAAGGTTTTTTTAATTGCTGCTTCTTCTGGTATTGTAAATGTTGTGGTTTTTAGTAACTAATATATTACTACCACGACAGGATATAACTTGTATTTTCAAAACAATCAATTTTGTTTATTTATTTTATCATAATTTGGGGGGTAGGGAGATAGTTATTCTCTTCCCATAATTAAAACTAGAATAATTAATTTTCTTTTCAATCTTCTTGCTTTTACAATACTATGTTTATTAACTAAAGTATGGTAGTGTTGTTTTATCTTTAGTTAATTATTGCACTATATATATATATACAAAGTTTTGGAAAACATATTAAAAGGAAAAAAACCAATATAAAGATATAGTTAGATATCAACAATTCATTCTAAAGAGAGGAATCATGACACAGCTCTCTTTATTACTAGTTACGTTTTTACTACAATTCAGTCATTTTGTTTTAGGTGATATTGGAATTAATGAACCTCAGGCCGGGGATATATATGAACCAGAAAATGGTAAAATTCATATATCGATTGCATTATCAGATAATACAGATTATCCATTAATAACAGATGTTAAATTATTTAAAGTGAATTTATGTACAGGTTTAAATTCAAAATTCACTTGTACATATTCTATCGATTCAAGTTTAAGTCCTATTCAATTTACTAAAAGTATTAATAAAGAAGATGCTTCAACGAATTATAATTACAATATAAGTTTCCCAGATACTTTAGTTGGTTCTGGTCAATTTTTTCTTCAAATTAATGGGATTGTCGATAGTAATAATTATGCCATTCATTATAGTCCCAGATTTTTATTGAAAAATATGGAAGGGGCTATTGGAACAAATACTTTTACTGCATTGACAGAACCTACAGCAGATTATAATTTACCAAAGAAAGGTGGTGGTAAAGTAGATACTAGATCATTTACCATTCCTTATACATTGCAAACTGGTATTAGTAGATTTGCACCAATGCAATTGCAGCCAAACACTACAGTGACGAAGACAACTTGGACGAATAAATATCCAACTAGTGCTGTCACTTACTATTCCACGATTGCTAAATCGGTAGCACAAATGACCACTATAACACAAGGTTGGTCATATACTTTCAAGAGTGACTTCAATTATGCAACAGCAGCAGTTTTCCCATCTGATAACGGTGGTTGGTATCCACCATCAAAGAGACAAACATTATCAGTTAGGAAAATAAATCGTTAATTTATATATATATATATGGTTAAAAATGAATATTTGATGTATTATTTATTTTGTAATGAGTTATGCTTCCGGGGTTTTTTTAATCCATTTATTATAATATGAGTTATTATATAAAGATATATAAACTTTTTTATTTTATTTTATTTTATTTTATTATGTTACGCTTTAATATAGATCAGGGAATCTTTTAGCTAGATTTTGTAATGCAACAACACCTTTAATACTCATTTGTTCATTTTCCATTAATGGACAACTAACAGAATCCAATACTAAAAAACCCACATCACCAGAATCACTTGCTCTACAAATAAATTCATACCATTGATCTGTTTCGTATGTTTTGTCGGCCATAGTAAGTTTGACGTTACTCAACGTTATCATCTCTTCTGTCTTTGCATCACTTGGAGATTTCAATATCAATGTGGATGATGTCGGTTGAGAGACAACTTGTGCGATCAGTCTAAAGATAGAGACTGTTGTGTTAGAAATTTCTGTTGGACTTAATCTTGGGGTCTCACTAGACATTCTTTTTTTATTATTATTACTATTTGGGAGTAGGAAAACTAGGTTATATACTGTTGTAAGTGTTTCTGACTTTTAAAGGTTTCAACTAGAATGAATATATCTATAGTAACATCACCACCACCTTCTTAAATTCGTGTTTCTTTTATTATTGTATTTTTAAAATGGTTTCTCGTAATAATTATTTACGCGTATCCATAACACCCAAGGCTAGATAGAGGTCGTCAAAAGGGAGAAAAAGGTGCTGTTACGCCTGTTTCTTAGTAATAAAAAGGAAGGGAAAACAGGGAATAGCCACGTGACTTTCAGCCTATCCCTCTCTTTATATTGAGTACTGTCATTTAATGTCTATTTACGTTCTTACATTATTATATAAATCCAATTCTCTCTCTATCCCTGTCAACAGGAACAACTACTAAGACTATAGCGGAACTACTAGAGAGATATTCATACGTGCAATACCATATATTCCCCTTAAATGTTGCATCAATGTCATATACCCTCTTTCTTCACAGCTTTATCATATGTTGATTGAGCATCTAACTCCAATTATTAGGTTGGATTTTTAGTTATTTCTGTCATAAATCTACAACTGTATAGAGAGACACCTCTAGTCATCAGACGATGCATTCGGTTATGCCACCCAGCGAACTGAGGAAGAACAAATTGTGTGCAGCGAGTACTTTTCTTTTTGTTTCTCCCACAGAAATTTCCGGATTTTCCACCTTTTTTTCTTATTTCTGGCGTGCTTATCAAACTGAAAATTTCAGTTGCAATTGAAACTGTGATTAATTTCATGGATTAGGAAAGTCAAGGGAAGCTCTACCGGCAGGTAAAGTAAAGTAAGATGATATTTACAACGAAGCTGAGAACAAAGATACTAACAGCAGTGGTTATATGATAAGAGGAAGAGTTGCTTGTCTTCACCGGTCTTAGTAAATTGTAATAATTTATACATTGTTCTCTGTCCTGCTTCCCCTTTTTATCTTTTTCTTCTTTTTATCAGTAAGAAGATTTCTTATCTAACCTATTTTTAATAAACAGTCACTTATTATAATATATTTGCTCACTGCATCTGAAAATAGAAATACAGTTGCATACAATTATATATAAATAAGAAGATATATCTGGAGGTTTGTTATTGTCCTAACGAATATAGTTTTTGATAATATAGCAATTTAATAAATTAAAGTAAGTCATATCCATCCATTTCCAACCAGGTGGGTTTATTTGTTTTGTATTCAAGATGGCTATTCATTTACCTGTGGACTCTAAATTGTCTACTGAAGATTTTGAAGCTCAAAGACCAAGAACTTATAATAGTAAAGTTCGTAAATTAGCCTCAATTGGAGGTATATTTGTATTTGGTATTCTATTCGTTACTAATTATATTACTTTTTCAAATGTCGATACCAATGAAATTGAAGATTTCTCTTCAATGAGTAAAGGTTGTCAAAAGATTGAACCTTTAATTCCATCATTTAATAAATCGATTGGTACTATCTTAAACGATCCTTTATACAAAGAATTATCTATTGAAAGATTATCAGGTGCTGTTCAAATTTCAACTGAAGTGAAAGATGTCAATCCAGATCCTTTAGAAGATCCTGAGTTCTATTCTAATTTTGTTATCTTACATACATTCTTAGAAAAATCTTTCCCATTGGTTCACTCAAAATTAAACTTGGAAAAGATTAATAAGTATGGTCTACTATATACTTGGGAAGGTGAAAACCCAGATTTAAAACCAATCTTAATGATGTCTCATCAAGATGTTGTCCCTGTGAATAAAGAAACTTGGGATTCTTGGAAATATCCACCTTTTGCAGGTCATTATGAACCTGAATCCGATTTACTTTGGGGTAGAGGCTCTAACGACTGTAAAAATTTATTAGTTGCTCAATTGGAAGCTCTAGAAAAATTATTGGAAGATGGTTTTGTACCAAGTCGTTCAATTTTATTGTCCGTTGGGTTTGATGAAGAAGCTAGTGGTATTTGGGGTGCACGTTTCTTAAGTCCACATATCCATGAACGTTATGGTGATGATGGTATCTTAATTATCCTTGATGAAGGTGCAGGTATCACTGAAATCGATGAAAATGTCTTTGTTGCCACTCCCGTCAATGGTGAAAAGGGTTACGTCGATGTCGAAATCACCATCTCTGGTCATGGTGGACATTCTTCTATTCCACCACCTCATACTACCATTGGTATTGCAGCTGAATTGATTGCACTTTTAGAAAATAATCCGTTTGATTCTGAATTTAGAGTAGATAATCCAATTTATGGCGCATTACAATGTATGGCTGAACATTCTACAAAATTACCAAAAACTACAAGAAAGAAAATCATTAAGGCTCCACTTTGTAAGAAAGCTAGAGAATACGTTAATGAATTCTTGACTCAACAACCTATGTTGCGTGATTTAGTTAGATCCACTTTGGCAGTGGATATCATTCATGGGGGTGTCAAGGCCAATGCCTTACCTGAAGACACTAAGTTCTTGGTTAATCATAGAGTCATCCTACATTCTAATGTTAACGAGACTGTCCAAAGAGATATCGATTATGCTTTCGAAATCGCTGACCAACATGACTATGGTGTCTCTGTCAATGGCGTTGTATTAAAGGAAACTACTGAGAATGGAATCATTAGTCTAAGGACCATCAATCCTTTGGAACCAGCCCCAATCTCTCCAAATGAAGGTCCGGTATGGGATTTGCTTGCGGGTACCATCCAGGATCTATTTGAAAACAGTGTTTTTAAGAAGACCCCAGAAGAGGATAAAGAGATCTATGTTACTACCGGTTTGTTTTCTGGTAACACCGATACTAAATACTATTGGAATCTAACCAAGAACATTTACAGGTTTGTTGGTTCCATTGTGGATCCAACTATTATGGAAACTGTACATTCTGTCAACGAACATGTCGACATGGAAGGCCATTTATCAGCAATTGCATTCGTGTACGAGTTCATTGTCAACGTCAGTGAACATGGTTCTGATCTTGAATAGATAGTTTAATACTTTTTTTTCTTTGAAGTAAAATTATTACATAGTTACGTATAATGTACTAAGTTTTTATTATGAAAAATTCTAGAAATTATCATTGAAGTTATTAGATTATCTATCTATACATAAGGAAGAGAGAAAAATAGATTTTATATAAGAATACTAATTAAAATTTTTTAAGTTTTTTTTTTTTAATATTGGGAGTAGGAAGGTGGTTCCCTCACAGTTTACTTTTGTGTTCTTCACATAATAACTTGGAAGACACCAGCAACCAAAGCAAATAGATAGTAAACGAAATCGTTAGATAATCTTGAGAAAGAGACTGCATTAGACTTTGAAGTAGTAGTTGGTGCAGTAGCAGAGATGGTCATCAAAGTAGTAGATAATTCCTCAGTCTTGGAGACACCACTTAACCACTTGCTGACTTGTTCGTAAGTCACAGTAGAATCAAAAGTAGTAGAGTCAGAGACAAATACTACAGTATTACCATCAGAGTCAAAGATTACACCACCCATCATGGTACTACTAGTATCTCTAGCAATGTAACCACCGGATTGAATACCAGTACCTAGATCCTCAATCCCTTGGAAAGTATGGAATGTAGAATATAGATGGTTTCTTTCAGTACCGTTCATGACTTCAAAGATATCGAATTCACCACACCCACTAGACCAACAGGAACAGTTAGAGTTAGTTGGATATTGGGAAGTTCTTGGAATGTGATCGTTCAATAACCAAATCGCAGGCATATCAAAATATTCAAAAGTAGAACTATTGGATTGTTTTTCAGTTGGCATTTCGAATTCAAATAAGAACATCTTTGTAGTACCACCGAAACCATAGTAAGCTGGGATATCATCTCTGTAGACACCACAACCTTTACTGTAACCAGACTTTGGACAAGCAGTATTAGAGAAAATGGTAAACTCAGCATCAGAACTAATATAGTTATCAGAGGCTAAGACGGTTGATTCAGAGGCGTAACCAGTACCGTTACTTGAAGCGTAAGAAAGAGCATTACCTAGGCATGGAGAACTGGAACCTGCTCTAGTTAAAAAGGTCAAGTTTTCACTTGTTTGAGAAGAAGCATCGTAATAAGCATCACGGGTCCAATCTGAAGAGTTACCATTGTTATCAATAGCAAAGGATGAAGCTGTATAAAACGCGAATTTGGATAAGCTTAAAGGACCACGGAAATGAACGGATAAATGGTCGGCCAATGGGGCATTAGTACCAGAGAACCAAGTAGCAGAACCTCTTTCACAAGTACATTTACTTTCACTGGTGACATCTGAGAGCTTCTTCACTGGGAAGTAAGTACCTGCAAAACCAACATTAGCGAAGGAAAGTTCTTCGTAAGCCTTTTGTGCAGATACACTTGAAGCTAATAAAGCTGAAGCTGCAGCTAATAGACCATATGATTGAGTTAATTGCATGTTGTATAAGTTGTAATATTATATTTCAATCACAGAAATTTAATGTATACACTATTTTATTTTTTTATCTATTTCCTTTAAAAATAAACAAAATAAATGTAATATAATGAAGTCACTAACTTATCTGTTGCTTTTAATATTTTCTTGCTGGATAAACTTCTTTGAAGAAAAATTAAATCACAATATCTGAAATATACATAAATGTCTATAACTATATATAAGAAGAGATAAACAAGGATTTTAAAATATTTATTAACATAAATAAATAAATAACCAATTAATAAGTAATTTTAAGCCGCAAGGTGTTGAAGAAACTAAGTTAAGTCTACAGGACTGTAACAATAAGGAAACGAATGAAAGGACTTTTCTTTTACCTTGTACATACGTACAAGTATATTGCATAAATGAGTGAATAAAATCATCGAATAAATTTTTATTTTTCCTTTTTCTTAAAAATAAATAAACTTAACTAAGCATTCACTTTTTGTTCTTCTTTTTATCACTTAAAATTTTATTTTTGCGGTAGGTTTGTTGACTGTCTGACTCGTGCTCTCTCTCTTTCTGACGGTTGTTATTGTTACCGCTGCCGTAATAAATTTTCCGTATTACTTTTTTTCCATTTAAAGGACGGGGTGATGCGTGGGCTTCTGTGTGTGGGTCGAAGAAAAGGAAAGCTCGAAACGACATTTCTAAGGTATTTTTTCTTCTCGCTTTCAAGGTATCGCCAGCTGGGAGATTAACGCACAGATTTGGTTTTTCTGACTTGGTGAGAAGAACGAGGCGTAAATGAGGTAACAGATGAGATTAAAAGGTCATTAAAGCATCAGGATAATAGAAAGAGAAAGCTTAACTATATGGATTTCATGAGACGCCTCGATTATGTTTGATTTACTTGTAAAAGAGTTTCGCAATTAGTTTCTCTTTGTAGTACTTTTAATAACCATTCCGTGATCTTGCCAAGAGTTCTTCTCCTCTTTTTTTATTTTTTTAGATGGTTGATGCATCCCTGGGCACTTCACTCAATCTTGTAGGCTAGCGGTTGATAAGTTATCTGCGTACATTTATGCTGCGTAACTCAAATAATTGTTGTCTGTCGATATTTCCGCCGTACGGCTTAGAGCTTGCCTTAATTAACAATTTTTATTGGTATTTGGAATAGTAATTAGTTCTTGAGGAGCCGAAATTTGCACCTTGGCTCCGCCTCATTAAGCTCTATGAAGAATATTGCTTCTTTTATATTTAGGGTTTGGCCCCTCACTACGTTTTTTAACTTTTTTAACGTACCCTTGGGTATTATTATTTTAGAAAATATTCTAACCTAAGGAATCTTAGTTGCTTAGGTGCTGTCAGTCTTAAAAGAGGGTTTGATGGTGACTTGGACACTCACCGGATTCTTTTTATGTGTGCATTTATGAAATATTTGTTAATTATGTAGCGGTAGCACTAAAAAGGCTAACATTAGCTTAACCTATCTGAAGGAGAAGGTACCTAATATAAGTAGAATTTAGAGTGTGCTGCACTACCGTATATATAATAACACATGATATATACTGCATAATGTAGTATTTGTTCCCCCTACATTGTGTTTATTGGAGCTACATAGTCCAACGTTACTATGTACAAAAGATGAGCAGTTAAACAACAGCAATTCTGTTTTAACATTTTATGTACATCTAACGTTTCTTAGGTTTGGGTCACGTGACATTTATAGATTTACTTTTTAAATATCACTTTTTTCCAAGAAATCTGAAGTTGCTCGTATGGCGCAGTGGTAGCGCAGCAGATTGCAAATCTGTTGGTCCTTAGTTCAAATCTGAGTGCGAGCTTTCTTTTTAATATTTTTTTACTACAGTACAAGTAATCTATATCAATTTTTTGTAAAATTATTGATCTAAGTCATAATTGATTGTTGCCATTAAATCTTTATTTTGTTTTTATTTTTTATCATTTCTTTGGTTAAATCTTCTTCCCACCAAACAAGTATAATCAATATTAGGAAAGAGGTATTGTTTTACTTTTTGTTTATTACAAAGAGAATATAATACTTAATTCAAGGTTTTTCAATGTAGAAAAATCCTCATGTTATTTTGATAAACAAATAACAATAGCTTGTTTGAAAAGCATACATAAGGAGGCTCTTTTTAGAAATACACAAATTCGTTATAATTTATGTTTCAATAGATAATTCAATCCATCTCTATTCTGGCGTTCTATGACTCTAATTGGACAGTATGTTCCTGGTAAGGGATTCTCCAATCGAAGTAATTTCTTTCTTTCTTTGTCCCACATGTTTCTTTACGTGTCAACGCTTATCTATAAGGCATTTCATGACATGACGAAACCAATTTGATTCGAATCTGGCCTACTAGATAATTTATTGTGGGTAAATAGAGAAAAGTAAGTCAGAAAGATCTTGTTTTGTTCCTGTGTAGAAAAAACTTCTTTAATTACATGTTTTACTTTTTCATCACCGGTGGACATGTATTTACCGGAAACGGTAAATTACACGGTGCCTCTAAAAAAGACTAAAGTTGCAGTACCATAGTCGTTTCATTTAAAATTAATCCACATTTGTAAAGAATAGTAAAAATATAATATAAAAGAACGAGAAAAATAAGCAATAAGTGGAAATGCTGACATAGATATTTTATCTCCTTTAATCCTAGTTATAAACAGACGAATTATCCTCAATGCCTTCCGAACCAACTTCAATTTTGAGTAACAACATGGCTGACCCCACATTATTGCAAAGAACAATTCAAGCAACCTTATGTCAATGTAGTTCATGTATGCATGTTTGTGAAAATAGAAAATTGATACAACGTAGTTTTTTCGTTGGATTCATAATCCCAATTGTATGGATATTGAACATCATTTATTATATCTATTCCCAATATATTATAGATCATGAGGTTAATCACTCGAAAATAGATGAAACTGAACTACCAACACTTTTTAATAAAGAACAGCAAAATAAGAAAACTGAAATTGAATTGAATGATGAGATTGTTCTAGAAAGTGAGAGAAAAAACTTAAGGGGGATGAGTTTGATGCCACATAGTCAAAGTTTACTAAATGAGAAGGAACAAATTGTTTCTTGCTCTGAAACATTATTTAGTGTGGATTCTACAGAAGAATTGGCTGAGTACAGACACAATTACTTAATTCAACTTTCGAATAATATAATACTATCTCATGATGAATTAAGAAGGTTTTCTAGAGTCTGGGCTTTTAGAAGTTGGTTAGGGTTTATATTCTATATTATAGTAGCTATATTTATTTATCTTTTAGTTTCTCACAGTAGTTCACACACCTTATATATGTCAAATAACCCTACATATTAAGAATAATACGATAGAAAATGATTTAAATAAAAAGTTTTTTAAAATGAGTTTTTTTAATAACTTTGTAATGTAGCTGAAAAAGGAAGAATTAGTACCTAAACGTAAACAAAAAAACGAAAGTGATCTTGATAATACTAAAAAAAATAATATTTTTCAAAAGTCCTTTATAATTATTAAGAATTACTGTAATCTTCTACTAAACAGCACTATTTTCTTCTTGTTCTATTATTTGTTCTGGCTTTATATAAATTCTGGATTTGTTTCTGAGATTAGTAGTTCAAATTTCGTATACTGCGTTAAATATGTCAAAAAGTATAAATTGAACAAGGAAGAAATTTTAAATCTAAAAAGGTCACTTGTGTTCCAATATTAATCTTTGAACACTTGCTTTGTAGAGTGTTCGATCATGTCATCAACATATAATCTTTCTGTCAGGCCATATATTGTTAAATAGGCATCGGGCTTGAACCATAATGGGGCCGGGCAGAAAATTAATTTCATATTTGACTGATAAGTATTTGAAATTTTATAACAATACGAACTGATCATGGAGACCAAGAAGTAGATACCAAACAGTCAATATATACAAATACGTCTTACACCCCCACATCTCTATACCTATTACAATTACCAGACCTTATGACTACTATAATACCAAGTTTTATTGCGCTTATAGCAGATGATAATAAACCTATTTTAGTTTACGTTCCTCATAGTGAAGCAGAAGATGTTAATAAAGTTTTGCAATACAATACGTTCGCTAACATTGCGCTCGACTATTTTGATAGCCAGTTATTTCAATGGTCCTCTTTGGAAAACCATTATGCAATAAAATCACTTTTTGATGTTGAAGGTGTATCCGTTTATGGCATGTTGATTAAGCCAACTGGTCTGAAAATAATAATCGGATTTGATACATTAAAATTGAAATCTGATGAGAAGAAGGTAAATTTAGTGTTTGAAATGGTAAAAAGAATATATATCAGGGTCAAGTGTAATCCACTTATGGATGCGACAGATCAATCTAACGACAAGCTGGTAGAGAGCTTAGAGAGTAAGTTTGGTCAATGGCTTAGTACACACCAGGTCCCAGGGAAGGAATTAACAACAGAACCTGTTACAGAAGGTATCATAGTAGATAATGACCAGTCACAAATTGAACTAGTTAAGTAACTAGTGATATAAAGTAAGATCAACTCTATTTATTACCAGGTAATATATATTTGAAAAAATGACTATCGCATTGAATTATCAAAAAAAAAGCTATTTATGTACATAGGTTCCACATTCTATTGCTTAGAATTCAAGATATCTTCTGAATAGTAATCTCTATAATTACCTATTTGGTTAATTTTCTCAAGGTTTCTAAAGGTTGGTAGCCCTGGTAAAATATTTTTAAAGGATTTTGAACGGCGCTGAATTATTGAATTAGTTATCTGAGGTGTGTCTGAGACTATACCTGGATGGCCATTTTCTTTATATTGCGAATTTTTGTACGCATCTATTTTGTTAATTCTACCGTTATTTGATATTTTTCTTGTCCATTTCGGATTGTTAATCTTAAAACCAATTTCAAGTATCGGATCCAGTATGACTGCAGATTCTGAATTATGAGATGAGGTTGGCCCGATTTTACCTGTTTGATATTCTGTAATATTTGAATTTAATAAGTAAAATATTTTATAATCATTTATTATGTCATTAATGAAAGATGTCGGTAATAGTAAATCTGTGCCTAATCCGCTAACAAAACTATTTAACCTGACAAAATTCTTGGTTGATTTTTCAAAATTATAATATATTGCCCAAAAGTCCACGGATGTTCTTAATGATGGATGTTTAGAAAAGTGATTAAAATATTTTCTTGTTTGTAATGTCTTTTTAAGAACCAACCACGTTGTTCTAATGAGTTCTACTACGACAACAGCTAAATTACGTTCATTTATAAGGTCTTCTAGCACAATTGAATGATCTACTCTGTCGGAAATAAAATTGTTAATACAGGTTTCCAGATATTTGGAATATGTAGTTTGTTGTGATATAAGTTGCTTTGAAGGCGTATCTAAGGAAGAGTAATACTTAGATATTTTTAACATTCTCAGGTAGGTTTCCATAGATTTAATCTGATCCTGTCTATAGGGCCATATCTCAATCATATTTTTAATACATTTACAAAACGATGTGAAAATGAGCACTTTCCCAGCCTTCTCATTAGATGCATAACTCTTTTCTAAACGATCAATAAACATCCATCGGAATTCATGTGTAGTTTTAGGTAACGTTCTACAACCTTTTTCATATAACTGAATAAGATCATCAAGTTTAGATAAATCTTTTGTGGTGTCGATAGACTGATTCCAGGTTAAATATCGTACCCATATCTTTTCAACAAAGCAACATGGGATTAAACTTCTTTGGAATACTGATCTAATGAGTTGTGGCTTATCGCAATAAGTTTTCGTTAGAAATTGAGTATAATTTATCCAATTCTCAACTTCTGATGGTGGCAGTGGAGTCAAATTAAAGTAATTCTGTTTAATCAAACTTTCAAAACGCCATATTTGATTTACCATTATTTGATTTTGTTTCCCCATTGCATCCACTTTCTTAATGTCCTCAGTAAGCTTTCTTTCTGTTAGGAGTTTTTTAAATGCAGTAATATATTTTGCATATTGGTGGAGTGGTATAGATATTAGTTCATGATATAACTGAATAACATCTGTTTCCGTTTTTAAATAATAATCTAATATTAAATCCCAAAATGGATGAGAATAAAACTGCCAACCAACGAGTTCTTTAGCTTTATCGATCTTGCGTTTTATTAGTTCTGATTCCTTTGGATAGTTAACAATTAACACTTTTAAGTAATCACACCATAAGTCTACACTATGTGGGAAGGATTCCGTCGCATTTTCTAATGTTTTTAATGAAGTCTCAAGACCATGAAATTGATATTCAATAGCAGTAAATCGCTTCCAATAACCAAATAATAAAGGATACCTCGAGAGGATTTGTCTAAATATTATTTCCACAGTATTCTTGATCTTATCATTTGGAGTAGCATACTTTTTCAATAATTGATCAACTGACTTCAATACTGTATTCAATGCCCCAATATCCTTTAAATTAATATTTCCATAAGCTTCAACAAATTCCGGATTCTCCTTGATGAAAGCTGGATCCAATCCTGCCAAAGCATCCTGATGTGTCAAAAATAAATCGGTCATGCTAGTTTCTATCCTCGACAGGTCACAAAATGTTATACAGTTGATTACAAGGAACTTATATGTTTAGTTTTTATGGATATGTTCCACTCAAATATAAAATATAGGTATGATTTATTTTTCATTTTCGACGTTGAATTTGAAGGCCCCATTAATTCGTCTCAGACCGAAAAACTAAAATGGATATTATTTATTAGTAGCACATATATAGTTATTTGAAGGTCTAATGGTAACAATTGAAAGTTTCATCTAAATAAAAAATATAATAAGGCAAGGGCCTGTTTATATTTAAGTAGAAACATTAGGAACTGGATGTTTTTACAAAGAATATTTCAAAACTAACCAAATCTTACAAGATTACACACCAGAAATGTCTATTCAGACTGACACAATTTTCTTCATCTGAAAAATACCGTCTATGCAACTTAAAGGGTTACATAAGTAAACTCTGATCGTGTCATCAATGATATACATAAATTTTTATGAACACATTCATGCAATCTTCACATAAGAAATTGTTTTCCTGATCTAATTGAAAAAGTATGAAAGGAGATTTTTAACACCATATTTTGTTTCAAAAATGTTTCATGTCTGCGTAATCCAATGAGAGGAAAAATATTTTTTATTATTCATTGATACACAAAGGTAACAAATATATAAAACCATTGATACTTGAAATCAACCTTCATAATGATCTGGATGATATTTTTGTAAAAAACTAGACTCCTGTTCGCTAGAGATATGTGATGTGGTGGCAAGTTTTTGGTTTTAGTCATAAAATAGATTCTACTGATATTAATGATCAATTATTTAACGATTTAGATTTATCATTATTCCAAAGAAAGAATAAAAAAACACTGACCATTTATATGATATCTGTTTGGGGGATGACATTACTGAAAGTGATCCATCTATTTTCAGATATATATACATGTATTAAATTGTTAGCTTTCAATACGTGGTCTAATGAATATATCCAACCATATTTACCCTTCAAGATCTCGAAATGGTTATTCAGTGGATGTATAATCTTTTCGATACTACTGTTATTATGGGAAGGGATACATGGTTTACGTATTTATCAAACTCAGAATGTGTGTTATGGATATATAAACAATTTTGCTAGGACATTATATTGTCTTAGAGATTATCGAATATTTTGCTTATTTGATAAAGTAACACCAAGTGGAGCTTTCCAAAAGTTAACATTTTTTTGTTTTTTTGAACTTAAGAATTGTATACGATTAATATTTACCGACTCCCCAAGACAAGTCATCAATGGGTTGACGTTGTGGTCAGTGTTAGCTGCTGCTTCAGACAGTACTACGATTGCCAACGATAGCAATAACTCTGATAATGCGAACAATTCCAATTTGCTCCAAATTTATGATGTTCATGGTGTAATAAGTAGAATCCGTATCATTGCACAAACAAATCATGAGGAAGCAGTCATGTTATCCTTTATGTTAGTTTCATTTCTAATTTGGATGCTATTATTTTTAAAATTCTCCATTGCTGTCGGAGGTTCTCTATATGTTTGTTATCGATTTCAAAGGGATTCTCAATTTAAGACAGTAAGAGAATATATTTCTATTACTATCAGTTATAATTTAGAGTATTTAATCGAGAAATATAAATACAAACAATTTTATTCTCAAAGCGACCTATTGGAATCCATTGATGATTCCGAGGATGATTCCGATTGGGATATGCACACGATGTCATATTATAATCATCAAAATAATTATATAGATGGAGAATTAGGTAAGATTAGTTTTGTAAAGACACCTGATACGTTATATAGTATACCTAGTTATTATTATAAATGAATGTTAATATTTGCAAACCAGAATAAAAGAGAAGGTGTTGTAGGCGTATAATCGTTAAAAGTTTATATAAAAATATATGAAGTATAGAATGATATATAAAAAAAAATAAGATAGAAATAGAGGGTTTTGAGGGGGGGGGGAGACTTACCACATGAATAAAAAAACCATAAAAAAGTTGATGAATTTCTAATGAATAATATAAATGAGTTAAAATTCAGTGGTTATAACATCATTTTAAGTCAAAGAAGATACAAGGGCAAATAAAACAAAGTGAAAAAAAAATAATAAGATATAGGCGGAAGGTTGTTAACAGTTAATCGTTGTTGATAAATTTCTGTGAAGTTGGTTAATTTAAAAAAAAAGAAGAAGAGGAATCCATGTGGTAAGTATTAGAAATTAGAGAGAGACAAAAACAAAAATAGAGTTTTTTCACAACGATAACAAATCTTCCTATATGTAACAGAGGGGCAGAAAGGGGGAGGAAAGGGTGCAATACATAAGCTTGATCAATCCTTCTTCTTGTCTGCTGTTTTCTTGCCTTCTTCAATTTCTTTGTCCTTCTTGTAAATTTCTTTTCTTACTTCGACTAAATGTTTTAATTTTTCACTTGGTTCGTACATACCGTATCTTCTAAATCTTCTAATTTCGGTATTCATCTTACCAATATCACCTTCGGAGACATCTAATAATTCTTTCAAATTATTTTCTAATTCGATGAAATATACTTCACTTAGGACAAACTTTGGATTTTCTTCATCGATTCTTTTAAAAGTATCGGCGGTGAATCTTTCATCTAATGGAGTTTGGAAACCTTCCCCAGCGTTCAAGATGAAACCTGGAGCTGCAGCGGTTCTAATAGCACCTGCTCTATAAGCCTGGACGACACCACCATGTTTCTTGATAGTATAATCGTAGAAGTTAGATTGATAATCATCGTAGGTGGCTCTTCTAGCACCGATCCAACCTAAGTTAGCCAAAAGGTTCTTAATCTTATCATTCTTTTGATTTAGATCGACGTTTCTAATCTTATACATTTTAATTGGATTAAATGAGAAAGGATTAGCTAAAGCGAAATGAAAGAATAAAGTAATCAATATAACTTTTAGGACGTGTAATCCGAAGAAAGCCCATTGAGCAGCGACGGAATTATAATTTGGAGCAATTTCTTCTCTTAACTTAGCAGCCATAACTTTCTGACCTAATTGATTTTCTAAGATTGGAACCAACAATTTAGATAGAGTATTAGTCAAAGAATTACCTGGAGTTGGAGAGATGACATCAGGTAAATCGGTGTATAACCAAAATAAGATAATAGCGATATAAATGGTGACATATTTTCTCGATTTATTCCATTTTGGAACAATCAATTGACCCGGCCACATTTGATCGATTAAAGGTTTATCATAATCCAATTTTTCCAAATATTGATCTTGGCCAGCAGTATAATGAAATAAAAGACAACCACCTTCTGTCATGAAACCTTGATGAGTAGATTTATAATATTCTACTGGTTCATATTCATGAAAGATTGAAGGTCTAATGACCATCAAATCAGATAACGTAATCTTTTGGCGAATTTTACGTGCGTCAGTAGTGAAAATACTTCTAACTTTATTGTTAATGGTATCAGTTTGACTGAATTGGAAAGCATAGTCCTTATCACTGGAATCGTTTAATCTTACGTACACTTCCATCTTTTTTGTTTCTTTATTTAATTTAGTCTATTGGTAAAATATATATAAAAAATTAATAAAATAAAATAAAGGGAAATTAAATTAAACTAAACTTCTATTAAATGAATAAAAAAATAGAGTAGTATTTATATTTATATTTTAATAATGAAATATTTTCTGTTATTTTCTGTTATTATAAATTAATTACATAATGAAAAGGGAAGGAATATCCTTACATATATATATATATCTATATATATGTATAAGTTAGTATGAGTTAAGTTTTGATTATTATAATAACACGTCCGTCTAGTGAGTCCATGGCGGGGCAGGGGTGGCAAATTTTTTCTCTTTCAGTTCCGGTTCCACTTTTTATTAAGCTGGAGAGGGCAGAGAGAGAGGCAGTAATGGGGGAATTGCCCGAGTAACAAAACAAAATAAAATAGACAGGACGGATAATAATCGTCAGTATTCAATTTGCCTTGTAGCAGTAGCAGTAGTAATCAGCGGTGATGGTGATGGTAGCAGCAGTAATAGTATTATTATGCCCGCCACTTTTTTTATTCAATTTTATTTTGTCTTTCCTGCCTTCTTTCTGTAGGAGTTTGTTGGTGCAACAGAGATATTTCCGCGGTTGCAAACAAATTTTGTGTTTTTTGTGTTTTTTGCAGTGTGAGCTGCCCGTCGGCTTGTCCGTTGAGTTGTTTGTTTGTTTGCGGGGTGGGGGTGAGCAGAGGAAGCGAAGCGATGGGAAGCGAAGGGGGGGAGGAGGAGGGGAGGGGAGAAAGAAGCGAGAAGAATTTGATAGAATATTGCGGGGTGCGGTGTTGTAGTGGTGGGCATGTGGCTGCCGTTCACCTTACTGTTACATGTATATAACGATTTCCTTATTTCCTTAGAGAGGATCGTGACATACAACACAATACAGTAGAGATGCTGATAGATGATCTCCCCTTTGGCGTGACATTACTGTTTTTTTTTTATTAGTAATGAGTACGATTATTTGTCATCGACGGCTATTAGTAAGAATTCGTACTTTGTGTTGATAAAGGAGGGAGGGTGATCGACCGTGTGAGCGTGCATGTGGTATCGGTGGGTAGTGGGGGTGGAAAAAGAGATGATTATGTGAGTAGTGATATCTAGTATAATCATATCTTGTATCACTACAAGATATTATATTTCAAGTAGTGCAGGGTCACGTGTATTGGTTCCGGGTAAGGCTGGTGTTAGTGGCGGTGTATGGGTGTGTCTACGAGGTTCTTTTTTTTTTTTGAATGGGTTTTCTCTCTAAGTGCGAAAGAGAGAGAAAGCGGTAAATAGTTTTACAGTAATATTGTAATAATAATAATGGCGATACTCGATGGGGGGCTGGATACGAAGATATGATGGCGGCTATTTCAACAAAGAATAGGGGGTCAGCAGTTTATTTTCTTCGGTGTTGGATATATATAAGCAGTAAAAAGAAATATACACAACTCTTTTTTTAAATTTAGAATGATTATTAATGACGATGAACCATATTTATATAACCTTACATTGCGTAAACAATCAAACTATACACACGCATGTTCAGGAAGTTTCACATTACAAGGAAGCCATCAAGTATGTTTAGCTACAGAAAACTCTATTGAAATATATGATTTATCAGAAGGAGACCTACATCATCGTCCAGTGGTAACTATAGATAAGATCGATTCTACAATCACATCCATATGCACAATTCCCAATAGTAACACTAACAGTTCCAACAATACTTTGTCTAAGATTCTTTTGCTGACAGATTCTGGTAATGTCACTCTTCTACAATATGATACAATCTCTAATACACTGAAACCGATATCAATCGAACCGTTAACAAGATCATCGATGAGAAGAACTGCTCCTTTGTCATTAAGCGCAGTAGATCCTTTAGGTAGATGCATATTTATATCATCCTTAGAGAAATTCGGGTATATGTACACGATTAATCATACTAGTAATTCGCCATTATCTTCCCCCGTGGAGGTCATTAGACCAGGCTCAATCACATTAAGTATCGTTGGATGTTCTGGCCAAGTATATGATAATCCAACTTTTGCTGCATTGGAATACTTACCAGTACCACATTTAACGTTTTATTCATTGGATTTAAATTTGAATCATGTCATTAAAGGAAAGACTTATCCTTTTAAAAAGAAGGATCCTAATTTTTTATTAGCTTTGCCTGATTTATCAAAATTCGATATCATAGAATCATTTAATGACGAAATTGAAGCAACAAATCCTTTTGTAATCGTCGGGTTTTCAAATCATTTGATTATTAAAGATATGAATGGTCTTTATACTGTAGAGATCCCATTGCCTCATCCAAATGGTGATACTAATCCAATTAATATTATCGCGGCAGATATTCAAATTATTAAAAACAAATCATTTTTCATCTTATTACAAACTAATAAAGGTGATTTACTTAAATTACAATTGCATAAGAATTTAAACTCTTCTCAAACAAACGTTTTACAAGTTTCAATGTCATATTTCGATACCATCCCACCTGCCAATTCTTTACATATTTTTAATAATGGTTATATGTTTGCAAATTCTGAATTTAATGATAACTGGTTATTTCAATTCAATTCCCTGGGATCAGAAAATTTTCAATTGGAAAGATCTTTTAAGAAACATGAATCTTTAACAAATCTATCTCGTATAGATAATTTACAAACATTAAACCCATTAATAGATACATCTTTGATAAGTTCTGTTAATATACCCACTTCTTCTGATATCTTAACAAGATCCACAGATACTTCATTACGTGTACTTTCAAGTTCAATTAATTTTATTAATTTAACTTCCTCAAATTTACCACCAAACCCTCAAAATATTTGGACTTTGAAATATAATGTAACAAATGATAATTATCATCATTTATTGGTATTAGGATTTGAAAATACAACAACTTTTTTACAGATAGAAAATGATTCGATTAAGGATCTAAAATTACCTGATAAGGATACCTTCTTATTAAAAAATGATAAAACAATTCATATGAATTCAATGTTAGCTGCTACTATTATTCAAGTATGTAATAATAGGTGCATCCAAATATCAATCAAGGACGTCTACAAACAAAAATTGAATTGGTTCCCACCAGCAGGTATAACAATTGTAGCAGCAGACTCTACGCCAACTCAATTAGTCCTTGCTTTATCCAATAATGATATTGTTTATTTAGAGATCCAGGATAATGGAAGTTTAATTGAATCCACAAAAAGGCTATCAATTTCAACAAGAATTACAAGTCTGGCGATGTATTATAATCCGAAGAAACCCTTGGAACGTTGCAAATTCCTAATTGTGGCAACTGACGATAAACTAATTAACGTTATATCTTTAAGTCATGAATCTTCAAGTAATGAAGATGAAGACGAAGATGACAATTTCTTGGAAATTGTTTCTTTCCAGAAATTGACAGATGTTGCGAACGCTGTATTATACACACCAGGATTTATTCATGTAGGATTAAACAATGGTGTCTACGCCAGATCAAGAATTATGGATACAGGAGGGAAACAAACTGCCACCGGCATAATCACAGATGTCTGGAATAAATATTTGGGTGTAAAAAAAGTATCTTTATCACTTATTAAGAGAACTGCATTATCATTAACTGATAGCGAAGACGACGAAGAGGAAGAGGAAGGGGAAGAGGAAGAGAAAAAAGATGGCCAAGAATCTATTGAGCGTTCAAATTCAAAAGAAGAACAAGATGAAGAGAAAGAACAAGAATTATCGGCTTGTATATTAGCGACCTCGGACTCTACTTGGGCAAGCTATCAACAGAACGATGTTTTTTACATCAGACCTGTTTCATTCCCAAAGGAAATTAAATCCTTAACCACAATCTCAGAGATCACAACAGAAACGTTGAAATTTAACGGCTGTTGTTCTCTTTCAAAATCAGGTAAATTAATTATTGGACAATTCAAAGATTTTATCTTTAATGATAAATGGTTTAATTTAGAGGAGATACCGTTATCACTTGATAACAACGAAAAGCAACAGAATTCAGAAGAATCTCGAGAGGATAGTTCCGATTCTGATGATGACGAAGAGGATGATGACGAATCACATGTTGATATTCAAAAATATAGAAACAAAAGCATCCTGCCATTCAATTCTTATACCATATTCATCGATAACTTAATTGATGGCAACGGACAATGTAGAATATCCATAACAGATTCAGATAAGAGATTTTTGGAATTTATTGAAGAAGATGGTACCAGACGCAATTTTCAAATTCTTCCAAATATGTCCTGTCTATCAGCAAATCTGATCAATTTCTCAAAAGGGAACAATTATCATTTAATTCTTTCATCACGAGATAATAAGTTATTGTGTTTTGAAATTTTAATTAAAAAATCCTCTTTTGAAGTTCAATTAATGCATGAAACCAATGTGGACGATCGTATCAATACATTTTGCGCATTTAATAATATGGTATTGGTTCCAGTACATGGCAAATTGATATTATACACCTTAGGTAAAAAACAACTTTTAAAGAAATCAATAAGTAATACGACGCCATCGACGACAAAAATTGTAAAGCTGATTAACTGGAAGAATAGGAGAATAGCAGTAGCAGATATACATGAATCGGTAACCATATATCAATTTTTTGAAAACCAATTTATACCTCTCGTGAGTGATATAACCAAGAGACATGTTACTACTATTAAATTTTTGGACCCATTTACAGTGATTGGGGGTGATAGATTTGGAAATATTTGGACACTTAGAATACCTCAAGAAGCACAAAGTGATGACACAGAATCGATACTCACAAACACAAAGGATAAAAAATTGAGTGGAAATCTAATGGAGACTCCTTACAAGTTTCAGTTACTGAATCACTATTACGTCAATGACATTATATTAAATATCTTTGTTATTCCAAACATACACCTTTCAGGAAGGGACTGTATTCTTTATACAGGATTACAAGGAACTGTCGGTGTCCTTGTTCCAATAATTTCTAAAAATGAAGTAATGCTATTGAAAAAACTAGAAGATAACATTACTGATTTGGAGACGAATATGACAACCTTTATGAATACCAATGAAAAGGATGAAGACTCCACAAATTTGAACACGACAAATATGGAAGACTTACAACTTATTAAAGATAGGAAAATTAAAGAAGAACCCCTTGAGGGTCGTTATTCACTAGTAGGAAGAGACCACAGTGTATACAGGGGCTATTACGCACCCGTGAGAAATATTATAGATGGGGATCTGTGTGAAACGTACCAAAAGCTACCAAGTTTGGAGCAGAACGTTATTTGCAAAAAGCTTTCAAGTGGTAATATAACCCATAATGACATTCTTAAAGCAATAAACGAGATTAGAACTAGTTATATCTAAAGCTCATTGACATTTCAAATAATGTTTATAATTGTATTTATTATCATTAGCATTACGTAAGTACACGAATATTATACATCAGGAATGATTCTATATTATTTCCTTTTGAAAGATTCATGTTTAAAAAATTAATTAAATGGTATATTATTAAAGAGAGATTTTGTTCTCGTATGGGGTTATTTCTATATTATTTTTTTCGTTAAGGAGGAAATTTTCAGATGACTATGAATTGAAGCTTGGTAATTGTGATATTTTCGTTACATCCAATGTGGACCCTAATAGATGACTTTGGTATACACTATCAACTAATCTGTGAATTATTAATGCATCCATAAAAGTTGGGAATCCCTCAAATTCAAAACCTTGTAATAAGAATTGAGAGGGTAAACTTGGAATCTTCTTCGTATTGTAATGGAAATCTGCTATACTTTCATAAAGGCGAAATATATTACCTAATACTGCATTATAATTTGTTAAATGATAAACTTCCATAATTTCTTTTCCTGCATCATACATATTCATATCATTTTTTGGTTGTGTCCCATATTTATTATCATTGCTGTTGTTTGCGACCGGTACATCATTAGCCCTTGTACCACTATAATACAACACTAGGTTAGAAATTTCTGCAAATCCTGCGTCACCTTCTAATTTAATATCACCTTTTGTACCGTGAATATCAATAACTAAATTTTTAGTAAATTTTTTTGTTGGTTTACCACCTTTAATGCTACATGATACAGGTACATTACCTCTCATTAGAGTACCTTGAAATAATAAATGGTCCGGCACACTTTTTTTCACTTTTTGCCCTGTCTTTTGGCCACGATCATCGACAACGTCCTGTTCCGGGATATTATTAAATACCATGCTATTAATTTGATTAAAATATGATCCTGTCATATATTGTAAAATATCAATAGTATGACCAAATGTATTTGTGACCAAATCATTCCCGTTCCCCATTTCATATATATAATTTGGTGATTTCATTGGTCTATCATACCCATACCAACCACCATTTCCTGTTAATTCAATTGAATTTATCTCACCAATATGTCCTTGTGAAATCAACTCTTTAGCACGTAAAATATAAGGCGATTTACGCCCTTGTAATGAAACAATTGTTTGTAATCCACGAGCTGCAGCAGCTTTATATATCTGTTCAGCTTGATCGAGATTGCAAGCCATAGCCCATTCTAAAAACAAATATTTCAGATTTGGGTTACTCTTTGAATACTCCAATAACGGCAGGATTACCGAGTAATGGTATGATGTTTGAATAGAAATCACAATCATATCAACTATGGCTGTAGAGGCAAAGGATTCCAAAGTTGGGAATGCCGTTGCATTAGCCAATTTAAGTTCTTTGATGGTCTCTAAAGCTATCTCTAACTGAGGGTTATACAACGCAGTAATTTGATATTGTGAAGATAACTGTAGAATGGCTGGATAGTGAGTCTTTACAGCCCATCCTTTTTGATGAGACAGTCCTATGAATCCGACTTTCAACGGTGCTGAATTCGGTACTGTAGAAACAGACGATCTTTTATTGTAGTCCATCCTGTTGTAATATGGTATTCTCAGTTCTATAAAGAGAGAGGGAGAGAAATAGAGAGAAATGGTTTATCGAATCTTGCTTGTATGAGATAGTATGTCTTCAGTATTATAAAATAAGATGTTTTTCAAATTCAACGTAAACAAGGAACTTATTTTCTAGAACTCGAATAAATAAACAAAAAACAGAATAGAAAGTTTTGACTTATTGGTATCTTTATTCCTCGATTAATTAATTAAATGTTTGACAGAAAAGTGTAGTTTTTTTTCCAAAAAGAAGATCAAAAAATAATGTTGATAACTGAACTTGAAATTTCTTTGAAAAAATATGTTTTATGTATATGACAGTTAAGTAGAGGGCGATTATAACTTATCGGAGAGTAAAACTGGTATATATATTATAAATGTTAATATTTTCTAAGAACCTTGGTTTGAACATCTACGATTACTGCGAGAGTACAACAGTAATTAATTAATATATATGAAGGAAGATAAAGATTTATGGACGTAGAATTACAGTTCATTTTTTCTTTTTATTTCATTTTAATTTGTTAAAAAAAATAGATAGAAAGAAAAGGAAAGGAATAATACTGTTTCCTAATATCCTCTCAGTTCATTCTGTATGGTGTATTATATTTTTTGTCCACAGCTATTCCATTATCCAGTAACTACAATGGTTTCAAGAAACCACACTATTAGAAAACGTCTTTTGTATAAAGGTTTCAACAAGATCAACTAAGTAATGCTTGCCAGAGGCCCTCTCTCTATCCATGATTTTCGATGGGAAGAAGAAAAAACTTTTGTTTTTCCCGCTTTCTCTCTGTCTTATGTTAGCTTGTTTTTGAATTCGGGGTAGAGTGGCCCGACGGTTATACTTATTTGTTGGCAAATAAGTATGAAGTAAGTCCAGTTCAATTTTGTTAGCTTGCTGCTTGATTCAACTACAACTTTGGGAAGGAGAGGTAACAGACTGTCTTCTGTTATTACTTCAAATTATTCACGGGACAGCCCCTGTTTCCTGCGGACCCCCACCTTTGCTGTCTCCTTTTGCGTAAAGATATACGTTAACCTTCTAGGAAACACTATTAGCTGAAGGAGGTCGGTAAGCATTGCGAAATGATGATCTTGTTTATGAGGGAAAACAGAAGAAAAAAGTAACGTTGTTTTTAATAAAACATCAACAACTGAACAGTACCCTCGTAGAAGGAATTATATTAATAACTATTTGTAATACTTATTTGACCTTGTTTTGATAGTTTAGAAGAGGGTTTTCGGCGAACTGCGGGGTGCATGAATAGTTACCGAATCGGTTTTATGTGCACAAGATTTAGAGCCCATCAACTTTTCAGCTTCTAGACTTAATAGTCAGAATCTTGACCTATGGAGGAGAGATGTCCGGGAGAAGTGTGCAAGATTTTTGTTCATGAAATAATTAAATAAGACACTTCGTGTTTCTTTCTTACCCAGGATTTTTGTTCCTCCGCTGTAGTATTTATCTTTTCATATTAGGTTGAGTAATAAGAAACATCATTTTCAAGGTTAATTTGAAGGAAGAAATTGTTACGGGGAATATAAATTGAGCTGAATTTTCGGCTTAATCCCAGTACCGTATAGGTATATTCATAACATTATGTCTGTTAGTTTCTCGTTGTGAGCAACAGTGACACAATTTTAAGTAAGATACAATAATAAAAAACAACCACTAAATAGTAGAAATAATAGAGATATGGCTATCTCAATTCTTGAAAGCAATAATATCTTGTAACTTCGTGAATTTGAAATGACACTATTTTGCTAAAAAAGAAACAGATCCCTGTCTTGGTGAGTTCAATTGAAAACATAGAGATATAAAGCCACAATATTACGCCTAAATATATATTTTTAAAACTCCCGTAAGAGAATAATCCTGATTAGAATTACGTAGAGTTAATTCTCCTCTATATATGTAGTAGTAATTGAGGAGTTTGTGGAATGATGTGACATATAAGAAACCCTAAGCAACCGTGCTATATGATTGTTGCTTTACAGTTTTCATTGATAGAAAGAATGCCTGTTATGCTAATAAGTAGAGATTCACCGAGGAGGTTCCTTATTAAGTTAACTTCTTGGGTTGTAGTTTTAGCAGATCAAAATTGTGTCTGCAATATTGCGGAGAAGTCTCTCAGATAGCCAAAAAAAGGAAAGTTCCAAAGATTTTATCCTTTCGTTACCCAAATTGGTTCTGCACACAGTTTTTCTGGTGAATTGAGCAGGTAAATATTACTTACCCAATCAATTGGCAAAGAAAAGAAAGTGAATGAGGATATTTCTGCCACTTTATTAAGTGCATACCTTGAATTATATAATTAACTATCCCATGATAAAACTACCTACGATACTTTCCTCAAGAATGCATATGACATAATTTTCCTGTACAAATCATAGCGATAATAGATTGAAGAATCACTTCATATGCTAATTACCGCAGAGCACACTTTATTCGCTACACCTGAGAGGGCATTAACGCTATATCTAGAGATTAATAGATAGCATTTGTTCAAATTATATTTTTGTATCTTTCTCAAACGTTTGTCTACCTTTAGCTCTCTTGACCTTCTCCCCTGTTTTTATCGAGTGCTAACGAGATAACTATTGATACCTATAGTAAAACCCTAACTCTGTAATTATCATGGTACACGAAGGAAGCAAGCCCTAAAATATGTTATTCTCTGCTGCATGAAGGGACTGTTTCTTATTTATTTTCTTTTTACTGCGATATTTTCCGCAGTGAGCCTAATAGTAAACAATTAGTTTGATTATCTCATTGAACAGGCCAAATCCTTCTGACTCAACAAATCATACGCTCAAGAAATTTTATAGTCATTATGTTTTATATACCCAATTAGAAGTTAATATTTACATTTTATACATATAAATATATATGTTTATCTTTTCGAAGCTTAACAGAACATTAAAAGGGTTGCTGTACAACTCATATAACAACTGTACATGACATTTTATTCACTTTTTTTATTGCATTTTAGGTATTTTTTCAACTATACCCAATAATAAGACCATCCATTAGGTTATCGCATTTAATTACAGTCCTTTTACATATACTTTGCTAATTTCCTTTTCATTGTTTTTATTTATTATTAATAATATGAAGTGGACTTTCCTATTGAATGAAAATGTAAGGAAGTTTGCTCATTTCCATTTAGCGATGATAACTTGCGCAATTCTTGGTAACTACGGTCGTGAAGCAGTCACAGCTCTATCGACATATTCTCCATCATATATTAGTTCCGGTACAGTACTCTGGAGTAATTGTGGCGGTTGTCTCCTAATGGGTTTATTTCAAGTTATGAACGCTGAGACAGGTTGGTTTACGGATTATCCAAATCTGTTTGCCGCAGTGACTACAGGGTTTTGTGGATCTTTTTCTTCTTTTTCCACTATGATGATTGAAGTCTTTGAATATTCTTCAAGCCAAACTGCATCAAATCTTAAAAATCATACTAAATTGCCAAATAGAGCATATGGTATTATGGAATGGCTCTCTGTGGTCATTACACATATTTCTATCTCAATGTGTGGATATATCTTTGGTAGATATTTAGGTACAGAAATTGTTATTAAAGTAGCGACAATTGAAGAAGAAATATTTGATAAAGAAAATAGAACAATAAGGAAAAGACCTCATCCAATGGTGAATAAAATTATGAAGACCGTATATGTTGCTAGTATAGTCGCTGCGGTACCTTTAATCATCCTTATTGTAGTTTTAGCAGCCTATTACGATAATTATTCTCGTGGCAAATGGACTTTACCACCTTTATTTGGTATATTCGGAGCATATGGTAGACTCTATGTATCCAAATGGTTAAATCCGAGAAGTAATAACTTTTTTTATGGCACATTTGCTTGTAACGTCTTTTCTACTCTGGTATTAAGTGTCCTCACAATGGTTATACGTGGGAAATTACATCGTGATAATCCCTTACCGATAGTCCACACAAAGAATGCTTGTCGTGTTATTACAGCGTTTATGAGTGGATTTTGTGGTAGTTTAAGTACATTAAGTACTTTCGCTAATGAAGCTTACAAATTACCATTGCCAAGAACCATTATCTATTACTTATCGACGATTATCCTATCGTATGTTTTAGTAGTGGTTACATTGGGTTCGTATGCCTGGACAAAAGGCCTAACACAATCATACTGTTAACGTTAAGCTTTGAATTATTCTTTTCTTTTATTATCATTAGTCACTTTTTCTCGAGCGGAAAATCCTAAACCAGACTATAAAGGTTTTCATGTCAATTATCACATTTTTTATTAATGCAATAGCATCAACATATTTAAGAAACATACATTATAGATAAAAAGATCTATATAGTATACAACAAATTTTCTTCATAATTGTATATACTCCCCCTATAAAACAATATAGATACTGTAATATTTACACTGTACAGGTTGCAACTATGGTACTTTCTGTTTGAATATTTATTATTGAAAATGAATTAATTAATTAGTTGAGTTAAGTAATGAATAATTAAGAATTATATTAATGAGTGAATGAATGTACCCTAAAGGTACATTACTTGGAGGGTATTGGGTATCAGATGATTACAACACGTAGTAAATAACACTACGGTCTAAAACTAAAATAAAAAATAGATATTATGATAAAGGAAGAAATAATAGGGTATAATAAAGTTCATGAATAATAGTAAAATGGAGAAAACGAAGTGTCACTACAAAATTCTAGTCCTTTTTGAATTCTGATAACATGGTATTTCAACAGTTTAAACTGAAACATCATCAGGGTTTGGTTTATGGGACCTTCTAATTGTGAAGAAATTGATACCTTTATGCCTACTTTCTTCTGCTGGTACAACTGCCGGTAGTGGAGTAGTGATTGGTTCTTGTACAATTGGTAAATTTGGAGATCCTAACGTTTCATTGTTGGTTACACCACTTGGATTAATCATAGGTCCGTTATTATCGTTCGACATGTTGATATTAGGAACTGGACTATATGCATCCGGACTCATCAATGGTTCCGGAACATTCAATGGCTCATTATCTCTATGGAAGAAGTTGTTATGATGCTTTTCTGTTAACGAGCTACCCTCGTAATATTCTCTCAATTTACGAGATGTATACCAGAATGCAACTGATACAAATTCCCAAATCGATACAAATACACTGGCCCATGCAATACCCATTAATGACGCACCAATCTTTGAATGACGATCATCCCCATGGAATGCACTCTTTGTCATGACTGTGACGGCAGTTTGTAGCACAACGGCACAAACATTGAATACACAGCCAAATCCCATTAAAATAAATACAACTTGTAAGAGCGTCCCAGAAACCCATGTCAAAATAAACAATATAAATGAGATACCGACAAACGCTAAAGCAATCCAAAAGAAACAAAATGCAAATCTACTTAAGTAATAATAAGCATCTCTTTCAGAAATGAATCTATGAGGAACATTTTCATGTGTATTGAAATTATCTACTGGTGAAATTGGATATGCTGGAGATAAGTTTTGACTGCAAACAGTCTTGTCATTGACTCTATCACATGCACCCCAAAATGTCCACCTTGTTAAAGTCGATGCATTAGGTATACCAGTTGTGTCAGCTTCTACCCAATAAAATCTATTGACCGGATAATGCTGAGTAGTACCAGATATTATAATTAAGATAAGTAAAAGAACATTACCTGCAAAAAATAGTAATGTTACTAATTTCCAGATAAGTTTTGCTGAAAATTTCATTGCTGTTAACCTCTGATATCGTTAAATTGTGGTTAATTAAATTAGAATGATTGTATATTCTCAGAAGAAGAAAAAATAGTTTATACTATTGTAGTTATAATTGAAATTGATGAAAAGGCCTTAAATAATAATAATTTTATTCAAAAAGGGTTCATGTAAAGATTTAACCAATCAACTTATATCGGGTAGTAGATTTACTTATATATATATAAGATGAGATTTCCTTTGGTAATGGATAGTAAAAATTCTTGTTGATTTAGTCCTATTATAGTCAATTTGCTGTACAGAGTCCAGAATCAAGGGAAGAAAGAAAATAATAAAGGATTTTTAATAAAGGATACAATTCAATTATCAAAATGTAATTCCGAATGAGGAGTTCAAAAGAGAAAGAATGAAGTTCAAATAGAGGAAACCTTTAGCCATCTCCCCAAGTAAAATAGAAAAGAAGAGAGAAAGAGAAAATATGATAATTCTAATAATAATAAAAAATGCAAGGGTTGATTTTTTCCTGAGTATGTTTAACATCGATACTAAGTGCATCGATGTTTACGACATCAATAAACTTTTCATCGTTCGTCATCTTCTCCTTCTTTCCCTTAATATTTCATATCATCCCCTCAAAAATCAAAACAAACAATAACAAACAACAACAACAAGCATAAGGGATGTTAAGGCTGTAGTAATTTTCAAATGTCATTACGGGATTTCTCCTAAGAAAAATACACTGTCTCTAGATGTTTCCAAAAGTGAACTGTAATGATGTCTGTAGGTGTCTCTCTCTCACATTGTTTGCTTAGCATGAAATTCGTAGATAGTAACATTAAATTGCAGAGCCAATGAAAAATGTCTGTACGGCAGTTAAGCTAGGGACGACAGCATTCTTCAAATAGAATGAAAAAAAAAGAAAATGATTTTTTATATTTTGGAATTACCCAATCGGGACATTGAAGACCTAACGTTGGGTGTGTATGTGGTGTGTGGGTTACATATTTAAGCCCTACTATCCGGGTAATATTTTCATAATTCTCTCTCTATGTGAATTTCTTTATTAAATCAATTTAACTGGAGGATCAGTTTAGTTTATCAGCAAATACACAACTGGAACTTAAATAAAATGAGTACATATCAAAAGTGATTATCCTTATAATAAGTTCATTTTCGCTACATCATAACTTTCTTTAAATGAAGACACATGAATTGAGGTGGAATATACAGTACCTCTATTCTTGCCTTTGCTGTATATATATATATATATGTATGAGTGGAAGGTAATGGTTCTTTACAAGCAAAGTACAACGTTCTTTTGTACAACGTAGTGTTGAAGATTGAGGTTTCTTGTAATCGTTGTTAATTTATTGAGCCAATCGACTATTTCCCTTTTTCGTCTCCCTCCATTGGAAATATATCCGCCGAGAGGGTAACATATTTCGTAAAAGTAATATCTACATCTATATTAAGTATATACTCCAGAGTTACACATAATTATATATCTATCTATCTATATATATATGACTAGTAACATCTACTTGACAAGTAGCATATACTTGCTTTCTTCTATAAGGTATAGTCATCTTTATTATCCCTTCCCTGGCATCACATCTTTCCATCCCTCTCTATTCCTTTTAATTTAGTCTGCTTTTTTCTGCTTCACGCGTATTGTTATTATTATTATTATTACTTTTTGTTTATATATATCGTTCTCAATCATCAAGAAAAAGATAAACTTCTCTTTTACCGTAAACTACTACTACAAATATTATATTACTTAACAGCTCTTTTCAAACAAAAGAAAAAAAGTAAAAGAAGAAAAAAAGCGCTAATTTTTTTTTACTTTTTTTTTGCACATAGTACTAATAACAACTGAAAACATTTATTTCTAGAACAAAACTATATATATATATATCACAATAAGACATCCAGTATATCGATAGTCTGTTTAGCTCACAATTACATACTCTCATTATCTCATAATAAAATAACAAACAAGAGAGACCGCGCATAATTACATACAAAGGAATGTTCTCGCTTTATGAACCACATAACGTCGTTAAAAGATCTCATAATCAATTTGAAATAGAGGCACCGTCACCTGAATTACCAAGGAAAAGAATAAGATACAATAATACTAATAATAGTAACGGTAGCTATGGAAAGAATTATAATACAATGATAAACCCTATGGATTGTCAAGATGAAGAATTTCCTATATCTCCAGTATTATCATCTTTATCAAATAATCAAATAACGAAAACAGATGATGGAATACAATGTGATGCAGTCATGAATAACAATAGCAATAACAATAATCATAACCATAATTTCAATAACATATTAACACCTGCTACAACACCTGCGGCTAATACAACTAACATAGAATGGTTAAAAATAGGACAGCAGCAACAGCAACTGCAGTATATGAATAATAATATAGGGAGTCAATTACATCATGATAATGAAATATACTCTGAAGCTGAAGAATATATGGTGATGGGTTACTATAATGGGTATGCTAATAATACTAATAATTCACTCTCTTTGTCATCTTCTTCCACTAATATACAATCATATAACCAAATGGTCAATGACAACACTAACGAAAACAATAACAAAACATTTCATACACAATATAGTCTGTATGATTTAACTAATGAAGAAATTGAAATGATAAATACTCAACAGCATCGCTTGCAGGATCAGCAGATGGAATACTAAAAATATTACATATATATTTATATATATTTATAGATATATATCACTCTAATTTATAACGTTTCATTAAATTATGCTTGATTATATTATATCTGTGGTTTAACATTTTGGTAGGAATAGCTTATTCATTTTTATCAATGGTAATTACAATACATATATATATCAATATAAATTTACTATTATTAATCACAGACTCCTTAACAGTTTAAGAAATATAAAAACTGAACTTTTAAATATAATTTTATTTTAAAAATTACTGCCTCAATAACATTAGGATAGAAAGAATAACCCTATCTTAAATATCACAACCAATTATGAGAGAGTTACCAAGATAGCCGCCAAGTATATCATTTTATACGATTACCGTCTTAACATTTTCCAAAAAAATTCTCCAGGGGGCGAGTCGAACGCCCGATCTCAAGATTTCTTGTAAAATTACAGTCTTGCGCCTTAAACCAACTTGGCTACCTAGAGATAGATTTTTGAATTTTTAAAAAATATTTATATATAAGAGGTACTCAATATTTTAGTTTCTAAATTTTTTATTTTGTCTATTGCGTTAAACAGAGTTTCTGTTGTTAAACTGCTCATCTTTTGTGCATAGTTGTTGAATATGTAGCGGCAGCACTAAAAAGGCTAACATTAGCTTAACCTATCTAAAGGTGAAGGTAGCTAATATAAGTAGAGTTTAGAGTGTGCTGCCCTGTTGTATATGTAATAACAAATGATATATACTGCATAATGTAGTATTTGTTCCCCCTACATTGTCATTTCTATTCGTTGTTCTATTACATAAAATAGTACACAAGATAATTATATAATTATATAGATAGATACCCAGATATATCTCGAGGAGATTGACAGAAACTATGTGGAATCAAGATATCTAAAATGTCCTAATAAGAACTAAACATTTTATTATGTAATAGTCGTTTAGGCCATAATCGTTTAGAAAATAATTTCATTACTGATCAATCGTTTAACCAACAATCGTTTAGGTAACAAAAAGAAACGAAATAGCGATAAAATAAATAATATATAAAGACAAAGAATTCTGAACTTACATTCGAAGTTAGATTCTATTCGTTCTACAAATTATATACAATACAAAAAAAATCCACTTACAATTATAAGAAAAATATGTAAACGTAAGTTTGAAATCGAGATGATACGATTAGTATTCGAGTTGAAATTGTCGGGCATAGTTATAGATATTCAAATGTATAATCTTGAAATTTATTTTATGTTTATTAAGAATATTATCAATATTTGGTACACCGTTTTCCTTTCCCAAAAGTATAAAAGGACCACATATTCTTCTTTCCAGCATACTGGATAAAACATATGATATTAACGCCAGAGCTCTACTTACAAATAAAATATCTGTAATTATATATGAAGAATAGGTGCATATACATATATACATATATGCATCAAGCTATGTGGGCAGCATAATTGATTAACAAAATATGAATCTAAACAACATAAAACGTAGAGTAGTCCTTTTTATCCTATTCCACTTGGAATAATATAATTAATTCTCTGATAATAATATTTCTAAAAACAGATATTTGTGCTTCTTTCTGAATAAAATAGATGAATCAGGATCAGAGGTGGATTATTTAGAATGCAGAGTCTCTTTGATGATAAATATGCAACCCGTACCTCTCTAAACTTTCATTATAATAAATATTACTGGTTTGGATAATTTACGATATATCTCAGAATGTCATATTGATTGGATAGACTCTAAGAACTTACAACTCGACCTCTTAACATTTCATTCTTAAAACTCCCTTTTTAAACTGTTTTATCTCAATCATTATTCTATTCTAATCTATCGGTGGTACTCAATCTTTCCAATAAGACGTCTTTCGATACCTCTTGTATTTCTCCACCCAAAAACATTTCATCCATAACCATGTACACCTTATAGAAATTGAATACTATATCCAATTCACAAACATTGCCAAAAAAGGCATCTAGAACTTCGACAAATAGATGGATATGTGATAAATAGATCGGTTCCTCGTCAGTTATATCTATTCCTATAACAAAATACAATCCTGCATATCTTTTATATACCAATTTGGTATCATCCGACAATTCAAAGAAATTACATTGATGTTTGTGGTCCCTACTTGATATTAATCGATATATTTGGGATATTTCATCCTGTGGATCTGTCGAATTGTCACTTGTAGCGAACCAACGAACAAGTCTTACAACACCTTGTTTGTTAAAACATAGTATAAACCTAATACCCATATTTATGAAAGTCCAACGTTATTTTATTAAATTTTACAATCTATTATTACAAGCTTAAAAGCGAAAATTAAAGGTTAACCTTAGTTTTAACTCTCTGTTTCTTTGTATGAGTGGGCGTGTCTGTAGATCAAATTTATCTCTTAAGTTTGCGTTGAAAAAATCAAAGGCTAAAGTATTAAAGATGTTTGAAAATCGATTTTAAGGAAGAAAGGAAGTGGAGGGAACAAAAACTGATTTACACCTTAAACCTAAATAGGAGGTTAGAGATATATAAATCTTCTTTCAAGAGAATGACAATCTTACAAAATAATAGATTTGTTATCAAATTTAATAATGAGGTGACAGGGAATTTTATTAGGCTACCAAGTAGGGTCGCCGATGTCATATACTCCAGTCATGTAGAAATTCAAAGATTTAGATTCAAATTAAACGAGCAATGGTACTTTTCATGGGATGGTTTTGATTCAAGTAATGATAAATGCATTGAAATTAACCCTGTCTTGGGTAAGACCTTGGGGTTTACAACTGATCAATCAATTTTATTTGAGGTGGAACAATTCGATGCTCTAAATTCGTTATTGTCCGAGGTCCATGTGAAACCTTTGAGCAGTGATGACTGGGAAATCGCAGAACAACATAGTAGTTATTTGCAAGAAGAAATACTGAATCAAACAAAGATTGTTAACCTAGGTGGAATCCTTGTATGTTACGTTGGAAATAATGTATGCAGGTTGCGAGTTGAGACATTGATCCCAAAGAAGCTCCAAGTTGGTTTGATTGGCGACGGTTCGTTAATTATTGTTGAACCTATTGAGAATAAGTTACGAAGCACAAAATTAAACATAAAATCAGAAGCAGTAACTCTCTCTAGCAAACGTTTACTATGTTGGAATATGGAGACTAACTCACACTCGAGTCTGGTGTTGGATAAAGGAACAAATATGTACATGAATAAAGGTGAAATAATAAGTGAATTTGGCTATGTCTCTATTATTGGGAATAAGATAGAGAAGGAATCTCCCCAAGTTAATGCACATAAAGTAAGCGAGCACAGTACGTCAGTTTTAAAATACTCAAAACGAGTCGCTGTTCGCATATTACCATTAGAGACTGAACAAGTGAATAAATTACCTGCATCTCATATCTTATTGGGTGATGCTGTTTGGGATTCCTTAGGTATCAGCCGTGGACAAATCCCAAACAATGGCACACGAATCAACGTCGAGTATGTTAATAATTATGAGACTCCAAATAAAGTATCGCAAGCGGATTCAAGGATTATATTCCATTTTTTTAATGATGAAGGAGATGATATAGAGTGCACGATCGATAATATATTAAAATTACAATATTTGACAAACATGCAATTGTTCCGGAAAGAAAGAGCTTTGGTAGAAGTATTCAACGGCGGCGGTACCCATCTTAAGTATATTGATCTAACACAGTTGAGCAAGAATGAGCTTTCTATTGAAAAAAGATATAATTGTGAAGTTTCTGCCAAGATTGGACCAGAACAGAAGAGCGGCAGAATTGAGGACACCTTTACCTTTGTGAAACTGGACGATACAATTGACAAAATCGTTGCCTACTTGCGCAGGCGTGTAGTAGGAAGTCCTGCTATTGTCATCGAAGGTTCTCTGGGTGTTGGTAAAACATCACTTCTACTAGAGGTTAGTTCGGTTCTAAGATCAACAAGTGGAATGCATGTCATATTTTTTGATTGTGAGACGTTGAATGATATGTTTAGTTACGAAAAGATGCAAACATTTATCTCTAATCAGTTAGTAAGCCTGTCTTATTGGTATCAACCAAGTGTGGTGGTTCTAGACAATGCAGAATTTTTGTTTAGTAGAGGAAATGGAAATGGAACTGGTGGCGGAGGAAATACTAGTAGTAACGGGAATAGCTTGTCGGACAAACTAACATTACTTCTGCTTCATGAAATTATACGTATTACATCAAAACAAGCAGGATCTATCAAGGTTATTTTTTCGACCAAACGTAAGGATCTATTGAACAATTATCTCTTTGAAAAACATTTTGTAAGCAAAATTTGGTCATTGAAAACTCCAACCAAAAGGGCTCGTAAAATGTTATTAGATTCCTTATTACCAGAACGTGGGATTAAATTATCCTCAGATATTACTACCAATGATATGAGCATGGATATGGAAGGTTATTCTATCTTAGACATCAAGAATCTTGTAGAGAGATTACTCTGTGGAGTCATGTTAAATGGGAAGCAAACTGTCTTGGACACTACTCAATTCCAAGAGATTAATAACGGTTTTGTTCCGGTATTCTTACAAGGGGTAGATAAAGCCTCTTCCTCTTCTCACCCACAACAAGTAGGTTCTGAGCAATCATGGAACAAAATAGGAGGACTTGTAGAGGCCAAACGTATTCTATTGGAGACACTCGAGTGGCCTGTCAAGTATGCCCCTGTGTTTAGTCGTTCTCCCTTACGATTGCGTTCTGGTTTATTAATCTATGGCTACCCAGGCTGTGGTAAGACTTTATTAGCAAATGCAATTGCACGCGAATGTGGTGGATTGAATTTCTTACCTGTCAAGGGACCTGAGATTCTAAATAAATATATTGGTGCCAGTGAACAAAATGTGCGTGAACTATTTGAAAGAGCTCAATCCTTGAGACCCTGTGTATTATTCTTCGATGAATTTGATTCTGTCGCCACAAAGCGTGGTCATGATTCCACCGGTGTGACGGATCGTGTAGTGAATCAGCTACTTACACAAATGGATGGTGCAGAACAACTCGAGGGTGTGTATGTTGTTGCTGCTACGAGTAGACCTGATTTAATCGATCCGGCACTGTTAAGACCAGGTAGATTGGATAAGAGTGTTTTTTGTGATGTGCCTGATTTTGATGCAAGAATTGATATATTGAAAAGGTTACTTGGTGAAGAGATCTTAAATAAAGTTTCTCTTGATGATTTGAAACACATAGGGGAACTTACAGATGGTTATAGTGGAGCAGATCTACAGGGACTTTATTACAATGCCTATTTACGTGCAGTACATCGTCAACTTTCATCACTAAGTGCCAAAGGAAATACTGTACAGACCAACGATATGTCAGAAGAATATACGGTTCTTTCACCAGAGAATGACGATTCCAATGAACTTGATGAGATAACGATGAAGAACATAATTTTGCAGTCATCACAGAGTAGAAATGACAACGATAAACATACGTCTGACAACAACAACAACAATAGTAGTATAGGCGCTACATCATTATCATCATCATCATCATCGTCATCATCACCACTTGATATTACTGTAGAGGATTTATTGATATGTTGCAAAGAGACTCGTGCTTCCATTTCACCTCATGAACGTGCTAAACTCAGTGTCATATATAGTGAGTTTCAAGGTAACAGTCGTCCCGCTGAATTACATGATGGAGAAATAGATCACAACCCAGGCACCAGACTTACTCTAGCATAGTATATATGGATATGATAATAGTTGTACGTATATACATGAGCTTAATACGATGTTCTTGCTATCTATCCAAAAACTCTATAACTAGCCCTGACATAATAAGGGTTCTCACACGAACCCTACTTCCAAACCCTTATCCTAAATCCGAGGGAACAATATCCAAACGCTCCAAAAAAGCAATGCACTGAACACACGTCATGGACGCGCACACCCGGGTCTGCCACGTGCTGCCAGGAAATCACTCTACACGTCAGCGCTAACAGTCAAAATACACCCCACACAGTTTTTGTCTTTCCATTCATTATCAGTCAATTAAATCAACGGCTCTCTTTCAACACTCCCTTTATCCCTTTGTCGCTGTTCCTATTCGCCTTTATCCACCCACCCACCGCCCCGCCGCTTTCACGCTCTCTCGCAGATTCCACTTCCACTTCCCGATCCGTGTTCCGTGCTCCCCTCCCTTCGCCCAGATAAGAGACAAGACAAATTCAGATAATAAAATAAAATAAATTGTGTCTCCTTTGTTTGCAAGTTGGATTTGGGCTCATCGCCACCAGAAAGGCAGCATGCAAGAATAAAATGCAGAAAAACAGCTGAAAAATTTCTTGATATTTCATGAAATGGTGATGACGATCGCGTAGATTGCGTGAGCGAAAAAGGTGAATTTTCAGTTTCAGTTCATTTCATGCAATTTTATTGATAATTGCAATAATTTATAATATGTTTGGGGGCAGGGAAGAGACAGGACAGCGAAAGGGAAAGAAAGGGCAGAAATAGATAGATCGGTCGATTGGTTGATAAATTAAGATAACTAATAGTTGTGCTTCGCTGATCATTTACAAGCTCATTCTATTAACGCTTTTAGTAATATTGTAAATATTTATATATAAACTGAATGGATTTTTTTGCTTCTTTTTCTTTCCAACTAATTAACTTCGTTATTTGTTAGTAATAAGACGTTACCATATGTGTACCAAGTTATATTTATAACAACATTCATTATTCCACTTAGATATAGTATTATATCTAATCTCGTTGTATTATTACTACCCTTTCCCATCGTTGTACTATTTTTATTTATTTACTTTCCCACTTTCATCTTCACAATTGGTTATGAACATATAGTCTAAAGCATTTTTATTTTATTTTATTTTTAAACAAAGATATTATTCTAAAATAAAATAGTAATAGTAATAATAAGCATTTTCCAGAGAACTCTATTGATATAATTACTTCAAACGCAATATGGCTTTATTATCTTCTAGAAATTCAGAATCTTCTTCATCGATTTCTTCTGTTTCAACTTTTAAATTATTAGGTAAAAAATTATTAAATAATGGTAAAAGTTTCGATGAGTCAATGCATAGAAACTCCGCTAAAAAAATTATTCCATCAAACGCAACCAAAAAATTATTGAAGAGAAACACTGCTCCTTCGAATTTATCTTCTACCAAGAGAACTCTTCAACATAGTCAAAAGGTGTCTTCGTCTTCAAAATCAAAATCATTAATTTCATCATCATCGGCAACATCTTCTGATTCAGATTCTCCTCAATTATCAACTAAATTGACTAGTGTAGATACATCACCTAAACCAATGGTATATAATCCGTATGGTACACAACCATACCTACCTACCAATAGTAATTCCAGAAATAGTTCAAGTCGGACCAGTAATTACAACAATAACAACAACAATAATTATAGCAGCTCTGGTGGCGCTACTAATAGTAATAGTAGTGGTATTCGTGATGCATCCTACTATTTACATGATGGTTCTACAAGAATTCGTGTCCTGCCATTACCAATTGAAAACCCTAATGATTTCTTACCGACAGAAATGCAACAAGAGAGTGTTTATCTTTTAGATAATTTCAAATTTGAAGGAGATCATCAAGTTATTGGTAATGGTGGTACTTCTGAAGTGAAAAAAATCATTGTTTCACAAAATGGCAATACAAATACAACAACCAATACTCCTACAGTCACTAGCCACTCTGCTATATATGCATTCAAGAAATTGAATATGATTTATAATGAGGATAAAGATGCTTATTATAAGAGATGTTCTAAAGAATATATCATTGCCAAATATTTGAATTCTATTGACAAACATAAGGATCCTCATGGAGTTCATATTATTGGAGTTTACGATTTATGTAAAGTTCCAACAACCACTTTTATTGCACGTGGCTGGGGCTATGTAATGGAATTAGGCCAATGTGATCTTTTCAGTCTAATAACAAAACCAGGATGGAGAAATGTTGACTTAAATGAAAAATATTGCATCTTTAAACAAGTTTGTCATGGCGTGAAATTTATGCATGATCATGGTATTGCACATCGTGATTTAAAACCTGAAAATGTTTTGATTTGTTCGGGTGGGATATGTAAAATTACAGATTTTGGTATCTCTAATTGGTATCATGAAACACCAAAGGATTTTACCACACCAATCAAACTTTGTAAAGGTATGATTGGATCTCCACCATACACATCGCCAGAGGTCATGATGTGGGATAGTAAGAAGGATTACCCAGAGAGATTGCAATTAGCCTTTGATCCTTTAAAATTGGATTGTTATTCGTTGGGGATTCTCTTGTATACATTAGTGAATAACATGATACCGTTTGTTGAATCATGTAATAAGGATTCTAGGTTTAGAGACTATGTGAACGGGTATGAAAACTATATTCATTATAATCATTCAAGTTTCAGAACACCGATCGAGAAATTGACACATAAAGTAAGTTATTATAGGAAAGGTCCCGGTATTGAATATAATTTTGCGAAGGGCTTTAGGGATCCGGCAGTGTCTCGTGTCGCATGGAGATTAGCTGATCCTCAACCGCATACAAGATATACGATGCAAGAATTATGGGACGATCCATGGTTTCAAAACATTGCGACTTGTGTCGATACAACAACGTTTGGTATTGAGGAATATATTTCAAAGGACCCACAAGAGATTATCAATAAGAAGAGACGGGCGCAATCACCACCGTTATCATTACAAAGCGATGCAAAGAAAGAGAGCTCGATAGAGCCAAGAGGCAAAGAGGATCTATCCCCAGTGAACGAGTTAGCAGAAGAAGAGGACATGATTGTTCAAAACATGGATGTCGTACAAGAACAAAATGAAGATATACCTATATCGTCATTGCAAAAGCCTCCGTTAGAGACGATACTAAGTGGAGTAGAGGTTCTAGCCAGATCCTCTACTTCGAGCACTACCATCAACAACAACAGCAATAATAACATTGAAATCAACAATACTATTAATAGCAAGATCATGACTCCTACCAAAGCAACCGAAGTGGCTATGGACTCTATTCCATCGCCAGCACCGACACCCACAACATCGCCAATACATACACGTAAGAGAGTAATACATCATCATACATCTGTTACGAATAACCGAACTACAAGCTTCAGCGGGAGTACAAGAACAAGGTCATCTGCTTCATTATATCATTCACATCATTCTCCTTTGGTCACGTCTTCTGGAGGCTCAATACCATACTTATCTCGTAAATAAAATTAAACATTTTCATATACGTACGTACTAATATTATAATATCATTTAGAGAACAGCGATAAGAACAAATTATCTCTTCTGTTGCCATAGATAATTCTATTTATAGAGAGAGAAATGGTGAGTTAACTTGTTACTGTGGTGTATCTTGTGAAGTCGTCTGGCCCATTGATCTCATATATATGAACAACCGGATTTCCTCTGTATATGTGAGTGAGTGAGTGAGTGTGTGTGTGTGTGTGTGCATTTCTTCGCACTATGTACGACCTTGAAAAAGACGTCATATATATATTTTGTTTGGGTTGTAGTAGGAGAACAAATCAACACTGAACGAACTTGTTAGCGCGTGTCGTGCGTGGTGCCGTTCCTCCAAAGAAAAAGTGTGACTAAAAAACAAATAATTGAACATTCTATCCCGCCCAAATTTGAGACGAGACCCAGACCTTCTTCCAAAAGCAAAAACAAATTCCGTGGAACAAAAACAACAACAAACAGCACGCGGATATAAACGCGCAGACAGAAATATCACTGTCAACGAGGAAACTTGGGAAGTGAAAGCAGGCAAAAAAATGAAACTCTTGGGAGAGAAAGTACGGAGAAGCTAAAATAAAAAAAGAAGGGAGAACCCTGTTTAAAGTTTTGCATAGTATTTGGTACTTGATAAGTGGCAGCTTGGCAAATTTTTACTAGTCACAGATAGTAATCGGGTGTCTACGCGAGTATACTGCACTTGAGCTATCAATTCACTTTCTTGACCCCCTCCTACCTTCCCCTCCATCCTCCCCCCCCCCC